GCCGAAGAGGACGACGATTCAGCCGAGCTGGTTGAAGCGGCCGAAGAGGACGACGATTCAGCCGAGCTAGTGGAAGCGGCCGAAGTGGACGACGACTCCGCCGAGCTAGTCGACGACTCAGTAGATGTTGTCGAGGCTTCTGAGCTGGAGGAAGTCGTCGAGCTGGTCGAGGCTTCTGAGGTGGTCGAGGTCTCAGAGCTGGTTGTGGTTTCGGAGCTGCTGGAAGCAGTAGTTGATGTGATGATGCTAGACGTCGACGAGGGTTCTGCGGTGGTGCTTGTCAAGGTGCTGATGGCAGACGTGCTGCTCATGCTAGTAGTGGTCGTCGTGGCTAGGGACAAATCAGTAAACGAGTCAATTGAAGTAGATCAAAAACTTACTTGGCAAAGTGAAGACAACGATGAGGGTGATTGGGTTGCAGAAGAATGGAGTCTCGGTGGCGCTGAAGAGGATGAATATGTTACTAGAGTCTGTAACACAGAAGCCATTGTTCTCCACATCGATGACCAAGGTATTGTCCTCCGCGATAGAGAAAGTCGCGAGCGTGGTGGGTGGTGTCGATGTCAGTTGGAAGGCGATGTAGGAGAAGGTGTAGTCCGAGTCAACAAATTGTCCTCCGGAAGTCAAGAAACCATTGGTGTCAATGTAGAATTGAGCAGCAAGGTCTTGGTCGCTGACGAGGACGGCATCCTCACCAGCAAAGGCAACGTAGGTGATGGCTCGCTTGCGGTATTTGGCGTTGGTGTTAGAGATCAAGTAGAACGGACCAATCGAAGGAGTCGTGATAGGGCTGGTGGTCGAGGATGAAGCTGAAGTGCTTGTGCTGCTGGAGCTGGACGCGCTGCTAGCACTGCTTGCAGAGCTGCTGGAGGAGCTTGCAGACGAGGCAGAAGACGAGCTGCTGGACGAGCTTGCAGACGAGGCAGAGCTGCTAGAGGAGCTTGCAGACGAGGCAGAGGAAGAGCTGCTGGAGGAGCTTGCAGACGAGGCAGAGCTGCTAGAAGAGCTTGCAGACGAGGCAGAGGAAGAGCTGCTGGAGGAGCTTGCAGACGAAGCAGAGCTAGAAGACGAGCTGCTGGAAGAGCTGGCCGACGAGGCAGAGCTGGAAGATGAGCTCGAGCTGCTAGAGCTGCTAGCGGCAGTGGAGGTAGAGCCGGAGATGGGTCCTCCAGTGCTGGAGATGGAGGAGCTGCTGGAGCTTGAGCTTGAGCTGCTGGCACTGCTAGCAGAGCTGGAGGATGAGCTGCTAGAGCTGCTGGACGCGCCGGTTGAGGTCGCAGTGGTTGACTGGGTAATCGGGCCACCGGTGCTGGTAATGGTATTAGTGACAGTGACAGTCTCCGTGAACCAGTCTTTCCATCCCTGAGTATTGGTGTTGCTCGGGCTGCCCCAGTCTTCCCATTGGAAAGGATCGCTGGTAGGCTTAGGACCTGAACCATGTGTAGGGAACCATCCCCAGTTAGGGCCGGTAGGCACTGGCACGGTGCTGGCGGTTGTAGGGGCTTGTCTGCTGCAAGGCACGGTGTAGTAGATTGTCTTGGTGATGGTGGTCGTGAAGTCAATGATCTCACGAGGTCTGTGGCAAGCACGGGTGACATACGCATACCATGGCTGAGGAGCGATGGTGATGGTCTCAGCGGCAGCTGTGACCACGCGGGCAGGCTGGGTCATGGTGAAGGTGAAAGTATAGGTACCAGCACTAGGAGCAACCCATCTGGTGGACACAGGAGCCACAGTCGTGGATGTCACAGGTGGAGCAGGAAGCGAGATCCAGATCTCTTCGTATCCCAAGCACTTTGCACCCCAGGCGCCAGCACGGCACTCGACAACGTCGACGACTTGTCTCCGGGTGCCATCCTTCTGGACACCACAGGTTGTGCACAGACCGCTACCGTCATAACCAGGGATGGCCAAAGGACCAATCTGGTTGTATGGAGCGTAGAAGTCTTTGGCGATGGTGAGATAAACAGGAGTCGGGGCAGGAACGTAGACAGTGCCGTTGATGGTGGCAGTTGGTGCTGGAGTAACATATTTCGTAAAAGTCGTAGAGAACAGCGAGACGGTGACTTCCTGGTCGGTGGATGTGACCAGGGTGCTCGAGGCGGTCTTTCCGTTCCAGGCATCTGGAATGGTTGTGCTGACAAAAGCCCATGTGTTGTACGGATACTTCGTGATGCAAGACCCACGGAAACAAGCTGTTGTAGGCTCGCAAGTCGAGACAGACTGATACTGGCTGGTGACGGTGATCGGTGCTACCGTGGTGCTGCCCGACGCTTGCGGGCAAGGAGTGATCGTGGCGAGGGGCTCAGCGAGTGCAACGCCGGCCATCAAAGCGGCCGCCCCAAACGAGAAAAGCATGTTGAAAGAGTGTTAACGAATGACTTCTTGGATAAAGAATGGATGAAGGAAAAATCCTTCGGATTATAACGAGGGAAAGGATGACCTGTGCGGTGAGTGGTGGTGAAGAGAAGAGGCTGGGAGAGGAGCGCGCGTCGACGGCTATATACCACGGACGTCGACGTTCATTTCGTGTTGTCCTAGGGCCAGGAGCATAAAGGAGGCCTTCGAGTGGATTGCTGTGGGGTGGCCCTCATGGGAAGACCACGCCGTGATCAAAGACTGAACATCATCCGTACCAACACTCGAAGCATGGCTCATTGGCTCCACTAGGGGAGCGTAGACACAGTGAGTCCAGGCGCCGACGCCAGCCCAAGAATGGACCATCTGCAAAAGCCTCCCGTGGCAGGATATGCCGCACTGAAGCACCGAGCAACGACCGCATGAACCACTCGTAAGCCCGTACCTGAAAACGACAGCGGCACTGATATCGACGCTGACATTTCTGGCAGTGCTGTCCAATTTCCCGGTGTTGATGACGGATAAGGCCTGTCCGAACGACCGCTTCGGCCAATCATTATACAACAGCTGTGCAGTGCTTAGGGAGAAGGAAGTGTATGACAGGAAGTGGAGAACAACATGTTAACGCCTGTCCAACGACACCTACCTGCGGCGGAAAAAGAATCTCAGTCGTGCCCACACGCTTTTCCAGCAGAGATGGATTCTCGCCGATCACATCCAAGGAGGCAGGAAACTACTCCCATAGCCATAGACGGTGCAACGCGCTCGAGGACAACCCTGCTCACCTCACAAAGCCTTCCCTATGAGGAGTGATCCGGCCCGCTCCGTCACAAGCAGGCAAGGCGAGGTCAGTCTGGGATTTCAGCCTTGGGACCAACTCCTGCCACGCCAACGCCCACGATGCACTTCAAACATCATCCTTTCAAGGGGATCATGCTTTCCCATGCAGCAAACAATCCCATTGTGGATGACTCTGTTTTACTTTTCACCGTAGATTGGTATGGAAATTTGGGATCGATAGTTGGGGATGACAAGATTGGGATCTTGGATCTCACAGGCGACGAACTGCTTAGGTAGGGCAGTGGCGGTATGAGACTTGACACGGGCCTGGCCGAGCACTGTGAAGCTGTCAGTGTCGAACCGCCTCTCATTCTCGGGCACCATCGTGCCGCGTATGAAATTGGCGGCGATACCGTACAATCTCGCTGTGCTCCAGGGCACGGTGTGCAGATTGGTGTTGCTGCCAGTGTCAGACGGGAGAAACTTTGTCGACTCCCTGAGGTTGGAAGAAGGCCTCTTGGCGGTACCTGGGCTAGTCTCGATATGGCCTAGCTGTCACGACGCGTGAGGTAAACTTACCGCCGTCTCGTTACGATACGCCACAACACGACTCTTGGCGCAAGATGACATGCCTCGTCCTCACCACTGCCATGTGTCAGTGCTGTCACGGCCTCCTTTTCTGGGGACCACCAGCCTCTGGCCCAGTACATCCATCTGACGCGATTCATGCTTCTCCTGGTCGACACCGGAGTGGACATCCTCCTTCCTCTGTCTCTTCGTTGAGGACAACTGGGACGAACACGCCGTGCTTGACGCGATACGCACGCCTGTTGTCACCGGTGCCCAAGCTAGGGCAATACGCGCTGCAGCCACCCCATCTTGTGCTACGAGCCTTTCACCTCCACCTCAGAAGCCTCCCATCCTCGATGATGGATGTGGCGACGGGCGATCGGCGTCAAGCGCCAAGCAGGTATGGTTTCCTCGACGAGGCTTCAATCCGCCGCTGGGGAGGTAAACTCCTGCGCGTGTGCTCTCCGTCTGCGACAAGTGTGGGTTTGAACTACCCAGTACAGTGTGGCACATGCCTGACTGCCTCATCGAGCGTTCTGAAGCCATCAACTACGAGATCCTTCGCCTCGTAGTCTCGTCGATCTTGGCGATGCCCTGCCATCATCCCTTCTCCCAGTTACAGTGATTATCTGTCAAGGTTGGGAGGCTCCATTGGCGCTCCTTCTCGCCTTATAAGCCAGTGCGTGGTCCTACCAACCGACTGTCATTGAATTCCAGCAAACTCAAAGTGAATAGGCCCAAATTTTGGCCCCCTTTTCAATTACAGGTCAGTCTCATCCAAGTCTCTTTCGCCGACTTATACATGGGCTCAATCTACTTTGCGAGTCCAAGCTTTGCATTGACTGCTCCAAAACTGCATACTGGGGGTTTGTCTCTGACATTGTTAGTGTTGCTATACCAAAGACCAGTTTGACCACCCACAGCTTTTCTTGTAATTGCCAATCACTTGGTGGTGCGGTGATATGCTGATATCCCAGTCCTAATTTGGGTGAAGATCGAGAGACGACCCTCCAGCATGTCGACACTATCTCTCGCTAGTTACAACCGCCGATGGGAGCGCAAGAATTCCCAGACCTGGCGGCAACCTCCCTGTTCCCAACGATCATACCGACCCATACTGCTCGCCATCGTATGCCTACTGTGTATAGGAGCATGGCACCAGAGTCACTCTACCGGCCGCTCTGTGTCTGCATATCGACACGCCCTGGACCAGGACGAGGTAGATTCCATCACTGGTAAAGGGCGCAGGTCGGTGCGGGAAGACGCAGACTGGCCTCTCAGGGCGCCGTCCGTGGATAGGGCACATCCAAAGAGCTTCAAGCCAGCTACCGATCCTATCGTTGTCTACTCTTCAGATCCAGAAGTGGACCAACATGTCATCGTCGAAGCCAAACCGGAAGGGGGCGATTTACCTGAGGGCGTCGTTATTGAGCAAGGTCCGGCCCCGGAAACATTTCCCGACCGCCTGACAAGCGAAACAGAAATCGTGGTCATGCCAGAAGATCTCTCCGAAGATGGCATGGTCGTGGAACAGGGTGCCGCGCTGCCGGTGGAAGTGTTGCAAAAGGGTCCGGTGGCCGTACAAGCAAATCTTGACCCTGAGACAGAAAAGGAACCATTGATCTCATCACCAGACCAGCCCATGAAGGAGAAAGTGATCGAAGCAGAACCCCTGGACCACCTGACACTGGAGGAGAAAGCGGATAGTCTGCCAGAAATAGTGCACATCCCCTTCGAGATTGCCGTGAAGGACGAGGTCTTGCAAGGGTGGGAGGACGATTGGGTGGCGCACGGCTCTTACGACCCCAGTAAATGGGGGAAGCTGGAAGAGCCCAAGATTGACTTTGTGTATCTCTGTGAGTAGTTATCCCGGGTCGACATCTAGTGACAGTAGCTAATACGCGCAGGGGTCAACGGATCTGAACAAGCCTTCCAGCAAACAAAGCGGCCGTACGAAGAGAACTCGATCCTTAACGACGACGAAGGGAAATGGATCAATTCGCACGGAGTCAACCGGTATCGGGATTGGGACGAACTTCGATACTCCCTCCGCAGCGTTGAACGATACGCCGCGCACTTCCGCAACAAGATTCAGATTGTCGTTAATTCTGTCGACGGTAGTGCAGCGGGCAAGCAGGTCCCCACCTGGCTCAACGACGAGCCGATAACCAAGGAGGTGGTACAGATTATGGCTCAGGAAGAATTCTTCGATCGCGAAAAACATGCTTGCTTGCCGACTTTTAACTCCTTGACGATCGAAAATCAGCTCTTCAATACTCCATCGAATACAGATTTCGTAAGTTTCCCGTGCCAGTCACAAATCACTTGCTAACCACGTGTAGCTCTACGCCTTATCTGATGATATGCTGCTCGGCAAGAAACACTCTGCTTCTGACATCTATTCACCGTTGTTCGGTCCCGTGATGGGCTTCAAGAACAACGCTTACAGCACTACACAGCCACCGAACGAAGTGGATGCGCACCGCTTTGGCGAAAAGCCATATCTCATCTACACATCGTGGTTACTCAACCGGAGATTCGGTATTCGGAAGCGCAAGGGCCAGGGGCACTTTGGACATGCTTTGTCTCGAAGCATCATGAAGGAGGCCATATCTTCGTTCCCAGGCCCGGAATTACAGAGTGCTTGCAAACGATTCCGAGGCGAACCAGGCTTCCAACTGTACTCCTGGTACGCCACATTCCACTATCTCATCGAAAGACACCGAGAGGCACTACTGTGGAGCTATATCATGCTCCGTAGTGACGTCGATGAGGATGGTAGTCTGTCGTGGGAAGAAAGGCAGACAGTGATGCAGGACCTGGAAGCCGGGATGGTCAACGAAGGTCGAAACACGTTTCGCAAGCGAAACTATTACCACGTAAATGAGCATCTGCAGAGAGCAGGCCTTGAACCACCCAAAGTCAACACAGACATCATCTGGACTTCGTTGGACGGACCAGCTGCAATACAAAACGCAGATTGTATCGAGTTCGACGTAAACGATTGCCTGGCTCCAGGATTCTCCGTGTCATCGACAGATGCCTTCGTGAAGAACCCGGTATTCTCAACGTCGAACATATTCGACCGCCTTGCAAGACAGGAACCCAAGTGTGGGGATTGCTTGCTCAAACTTATACTCAACAAGAAACCAAAAGGCCTGGCTCCTTTGCTTCCACGAGCCAACACCCAAGCCAGGCAAAGAGAACTCGTGATCAAAGCCGTCATGCGTTACCGGTTTACTATCATTCATCCGGATGCATTGTTTGTCATGGTGACGGACGCCGAACAAGTCGACAGTGTTCTGGTAAACCGATACGTTCGAGCAAAGAAAGAGCTGGCGGGTCAGCTGTGTTTGAACGACGATGTGACTACGACCGACGAACAGGAGTTGGCCGACGTACAACAAGCCATGAACGAGCTGTATCAGGGACTCTTCCCTGACCCCAGCCAGTTCGAGAAGTGACGGCGAATAGGTACTTGACGATTTAATGAGTTGATTGCTCTGCTCGATTTAGCGAGGAGTCTGGCATTCGGATGTGATACCAGGGGCATATGTAGATATAGAATAGAAAATCCCAAACCCGGGGCTTATTGACCATCCATCGGCTCGACCCCCCCTGGCAGACGTCTATTGAAGTCGTAGAGCTCATCGAATAGGGCCGACGCCTGTAGGAGGTGTATTGGTCCAACTGCGTATCTGTAGCACCGGCCCCGGCCCCAGAACCACCACCCTCGCTTCAAGGTACCGTACTATTGTGGTTAGGATAGTGAGGCAGCCAATGTCCAGACCACTGTTCCTGGCTTACACTGGAATCTTCGCTAGTGTTTCCGGGGGAGGCTCTGATGAGAGTCTCAGCTGCTCTCTAATAAACCGTTGTCTCTCCCACGCCTGGTTTCGCCCTGACCCGCCTTTACCTAAAAATCCTGACGCCTCAAGAGACTAAGGACGGGGAGAGTAAAGAACGCGGAGAAGGTCAGGCCTCGTGCAGTAGCTTCACCTTAGCCGCAGGTATTTTCTTTGGCCTTGGACATTGGCCTTTCTGCCAAACCTCCCAAGACAAACAACAAAGCATGTAGGCCACCGCCATAACGACCTTTACTTCCTCTAAATGACCAGGTTTGACCCAAGAAGCCCCGGCACGCTTTGTCCTTTACTGACCAAATCCAAGCTTAAAGCCTCTTTGCCAACAAAGTTCGTGATTTTCCTTTAAAGAGCGCAATATACGACCTCCAACTCAGCCCGAGCCTACTCACGCATATGTATCGTACTCTCCTCCTTCGCTAAGCTCACACTGCATGTCCTCGGGCACCCGGCAACATGGAAGAAAGCAACCTGGAAGCACCGATGGAAGCGAAAGCCATAGCGAAGCGATATCAGGATTACAGGCAGAGAACGACGGAACAAGACGCGTTTGTGGATGTAAGATCAAGGACCACTGCCCCTCGGTCTTGTGCCCGCAGGCTAAGAATATGTGCAGGAACTTGTCAAGGCCCTTACGCTCAAGGAACAAGAGTACCACGAGCTCAAGGCCGACCTCCAGGATCAGACAGAGAGTCGGCGGAGATGGCAGAAGCGTGCCTTGGATGTTGAAGACCGCATCGCAAGTTGTCCTCGTCATTTCTAAGCCTCAGAATGCTTCCATACTGACGGAGTGAAAGCAGACCAGCGTACAGCATCTCCTCGTGCTCATCGACGGAAACCAGCACTTCTTCAAGCCGCACTTTATCAGGTCGGGAGCCGCAGGCGCCCACGAGGCTGTCGAAAGATTTGTGGCAGAGGTCAAAGACTTTGCAAGAGCACAGCACAAAAACGACTTACCCGAGGGGGTGAGCTTGGTAACGCACATTTTCTCTGATATTGGCCAGTTGGCCCATGATCTTTCGGCGGCAAACCTCATCCCGGAGCCGGACAGACTCTGGCCGTTTATCCTGGAAGTTTGTAGGGTCGAGCCTGGCATAACGATAACCGACTGTGGCTCTGGACCTGACGCGGTGCGCCACAAGCTGAAATGTAAACTATTAGCCCCCTCCCCTCTGTGCACTCTTCACTCTGTGTTGATCAGTATCCCCTGCTAATACTTCTCATCAGACCACTATGAGCTGTTCTTGGAAAACTGTCATTGTAGGCACGTTTTCCTGGCCTTGGGCCAGCAATCGGAATACTACAAGGTCCTGGAGCAGTACGGCGACGACGACTACACCCTAGGGAAGACGACTCTTGTCCGTCCAGCCCATGGATTTGCCGAGAGCCACAACCTCCCGTTCCATACTATCGAGCTTTCCATGTTTGACGCCGTACCAAACAACAACAAAAACAACACCACCCTTGGAGTGCTGCCCAATGGCTCCAACCCCGCGCCGCCAGCTCAATGGAATGACCCCCTTCCGGCGAAACCATCAGATCCCGTGGCCGTGGCCAGTACAGACTGGCAACCAACGTCACGCGGTGATGAGGCGCTGCTTTTGAGTTCTAACATCGCGTCACCCCAAGTTCCCCCAGAACCAAAAGTCGTCCCGAAAGGCCCGGCGAATGGCACGTTGGCCAACGGTGTCAACGGGTCGCCTGGAGAATTGGACAACGAGAGTCTTCTTGGTGTTGTTAAGCTTGATTCGTCACATTCTTCATCGCAAACAAGGAAAGCGGCGCAGCAAAGCTGGGAGACGAGCATGACTGAAAACAGCTATATCCCAGCACCGATCCAAGAGCCATGGGGCGAGGAGACAAACGGCACTAACGGGTACGAGGAAGAAGACTATTCCAAGATGGCAGACATTCCACAAACCCGAGCCCATGCTCGAAGAGGCGCCAGAGGCAGTGCCAAACGAAACTCACAGTCGACACTGAGCCAGGACCGTCGATACCCAAGCACATTCCCACGAACACAGGTACACACTCCGAAACAGTTCGAGGGATCTTGGGACGATATGTTGAGGCAACAGGAGACACGGAGCCCGGTTGGTCCCGTGTCACAAGCGGCATCGGATCCGCAGCGGCCAGCCTCGAGCGCCAGCAGTGTCGCTGCGTCGGCGTTCACGAAGAAGATTCTCAGCACGCCGGAGCCTCACCCAGAGCGACGACCGATTTGCGCCCCGGTTGCACTGAACAAATTTGAGCAGCGCATCGACTTGAAACTACCAAAGCCGTCACTCGAGGATCAAGAACTCTGTGACATTCGCACGCGGAATAGGAAACTGTGTAACGAGCATCATTTGCGTTCGAACTGCAAGGATCCAAACTGTAAATACGACCACGAGTCCATCGTTGACGGCGTGTATCTTGCGCTGAGAATCAAGGCTCGCAAGATTGCCTGCAGCGTTGGTCCTGGCTGCCGGCGCCACGACTGTTATGCGAGCCACCACTGTCCCAATGTGTCACACTCGTCCACTTGTGGAAGGCCCAATTGCTATTTTGCAAGCAGAGGCATGCATGCAGTGACCGACCTCGAGATTGCAAGGATGATTGAGCCGAACTTTCCAGATGGGTCTTGAGGAGACAACAAGACAAACTACTTGAGGTATGGCCGAAATAGAGACTCTCCCCCCTGCAGCTGCTATCAGGACCAATACCAGCATGGAGGGCGTTGAGGTCTGAGATCTGTAAACGAGACACAAACTCTTTCCCGCGAGATTTACCACGACCAAACAGAATTTTTAGGAATAATGCAACCTGCTTTTGCTGCTGTCGAGCTAAGAATTGCCCGAATAGACACGTCTCGATCCAAAAGATCGACCTGCTTGACGGGCTCACAATAGCATCTTGTTCGAAACCAACGTAGCGATGAAGTGAACCGTTCTCTCCACGGCAGCTGGTCCAAGCTGATTCAGGATGCCAGAAAGCAGCAGGTTAAGGTTCAAAAACTAGACAAGGCAGTCAGTTTCTGAAGTTTCGAATTCGACCAGTGCAAAGTAACGTACCATGTTCTGTCTCTCTCTCGCTATATAGACATCAACAAACCTTTTCTTGTATGCGAATCACAGCTATGGTTCACCGAGTGCAAGTAGCGAATGATGTCTAGTCCTCGCGTGTTCTGGAGCTCCGGCGAACGAAGTGTTTTGTTCTCCTTTGCAGCGAACATGGTGGCCCGCCACAGAGGAAGAAGACGACTCCAGCCTTGCCTGATGTGACGGCAGCATCAGCGCGGCGCAACGTGGGCAGGCACTTAGGACCATGGGGTCGCTCTTGTCACCTCGTGTCCGTCCGCTGCGTGTGTTCGTGTGTACCAGGGTACCGAGTTGTGCTCAATCTCTGTCCATCTTGTCTCCATCACCACGGCTTCTTCTGTCCCTCTCGGCGTCGACGCTTCGGCTCCTGCTTCTCGACTTGCTCCGGCTGCGGCTCCTCCCAGCACGCGCACCGCCGCCGCGTCGCTCATTCGCTTTACCTCCTCCTCCGGCTCCGCCACGTCCGCCCTTGTTGTCCTTCGGAGGTGGTCTTACGAACGCGTAGTCGACTGAGATGGTCTGGTCGAGAAGCTTTGCTCCGTTGAGAGCTTTGATCGCCGCCGCGGCTTCGACTTGCGTGGGGTATTCGATGAGTACGTAGCCCTAAACAGACCCAAAAATAACGCCATCACGTCGTTAGTGGTCTTGCTCTCATTCGTGAAACTTATGCTTCTTCCCTTGAGTAGTTTTCGGTTCCGTCTCAAAGGGGGGGCCTTGGAAGCGTTTCGCAGATCTCTTGCAGCAACAACGCAGAAAAAGGGTCTGAGCGTACCTTGACGTATCCTGTTCTTCGGTCCAGGTTGAGATGTAAGTTCTTGATGTCGCCATACTCGGCGAACAGGTCAGTGATGTCCTCTTCGGTTGCTTCTTCGTGTATGTTGGTCGCGATCACGATCCAGCCTTCGATACTGCGGACGGCCACTGCGTTCTGGATCGTGCGGGCTTCGGATCCCGCGCCCGCGCTGGCTTTCTTGGTCTCGGTCGGCGAGGATGTGCCGTTGTCGCGTTCATCTGAAGCCGGAGCGACGGCGTCAATCTCCATCTCTGTAGACATAGTCGCTGGTGTGAGGTGGGTAACTGGATGAACCGAGACGTTGGCGCGGAGCACGAGAAGTGTGTTTTCAGAGGTGCTCGCGCAGCGTTGGTGCGGTATGAGGGAGGGTAGGCTGGGTGGGTTGCTTTTTGGTTTGTCGTGGTGTTGGGCACCGACTGGACTGGTGTAGCGAACTTCTAAACTGTAACTCGTGAGTTGTAACTTGTCCCCAGGTTGCGGGCGGAATGGAAAGTCTGCGTGCCTCGCGCCAAGGGTTCAATCGATCTTCAGCTTTCCCGTGTGTTTGTACCAAATCAGTGACGCAGTGACATGTCAGACATGGTCTCGCGGTGACTCGGTCAGGTTATCAGTACTTGACAAATACTACTACAAATTTGTCATTACACTGAGTATGCCAATGTAGTTGTGTGTGGAGGCAGAGTCATGACCCGCAGGGCCGTCTCTTTCGTGACAAAATACAAGCGAGAAACGGGGTAAATAAATTTAGACTGACAACTCATTTTTCATGCTTCGGAATGGCAATGAATCGAATTCAACCTTCTGCCTCTACAACCATATGCGGTGGGTAGAGTATGGTTCAGCCAGTGTAGATTGTACATGACACTGGAAATTACGGATCTATGTCGTTTTCGCCTCGCCAGAGGCAATTGTGGTGGTGCTATGGCCGATTTATGCGTTGAGACCATTCTCGGCCAGTACATTCGAATATATTTAGTTTCTCATCCTCGATCAGGGCTTCAAATTACAGCAACAGCAAAATCACCAACAACAAGCCAGACGCTGCCCAAAAGATCATTGAAACCACCGTAGATCGTTTTGACGCTTCGATAAACACCCAGGCAATGCATCTCTGAGCCAGAATACGGAGTGGACGCTCAGAATCCCGTATCCTAAAGGTGAATAGTTTGCTCGACGCGCTCACGGGAGGCAAGGTACAACGGACACTTTAACTGCCTTTGTCAGATGTACGAATGAAATGTGTATCAAGGATAAAGTATCTACATCCGTTAATATCGGCCTGGAACTCAAGATTGCTTATTTTGACTCTACGCTCACATAGAAGATCGGGTGGAAAGCACTACAATGAAAACGAACACCCCCCTATCCAACATACACACTGAATTCCACAGGACATTCAACTTCATAAGGCTTGCGAATGATGCAAGCCCACCTGGTAAGTGACGGCATCACCGTCGAACTCCAACTAAGCATGCTTTGATTTCGGTATATTCTGTAGTTGTCATACAGCTGTTGTACTTTTTTTTACGAGCGTCCTCATACCTCCGCGGCGGCACCATTCATCTTCTAACGCAGACCCTTAGGGATATATATGCTGGACCATCTGAACGACCAGCCAGGCGCACTCTGACCGAACCCGGCTGCTCAGAAGAAGAGATATGCGATCAAGAAGCTAAGTAGGCAAAGACCAGCAACGATCTGCAATGGTACTCCGGACTCGTTGCTCTGTTGTACCACCGTCTGGACTTTTTCACTTGCTTCTTGGACCTTTCTCTGTCGGAATTGCGGGTCTTGAATCTGGTCGCTCAGTTTCTTGATCTGAGCACGTGCGGCTGCTAGTTGTTCTTGCAGTTCCTGGTTGGAGGTCGGTACAGCACTTGCTACAGTGGAAGCAGCGGCCGCAAGACCAGTGGCTTCAGCCACGTTCGCCACCGACGACTTGGCCGACTCGGCCGTAGACAAACCTCCGGCCGATGAGCGAGGAGCTGGGGAGTCAAATTGCGGAGAAGGAGACGAGTATGCAGGCGGCTGCTCTTCATGGGAGGAAACGCCGTTGGGAGTTGCACCTGTTGCAGGCAGGAAATTGACTCTGATCTTCTTCTCTTGAATTGTGCTCTTGGCCGTCTTCTCGACTGTTTGCCAGAGTGTCGTGACGTTGGGGTCCTGATCGGCAGATGTGAGGACGGATTGTACGAGGAACTTGTCGCGGCATTTGGCGTCGAGGGGTGGCTCTTCCTTCATGGCTTGCAGAAGAACTACCACTGTCAGAGGATTCATCGGTACAGCATGGAATGCTCCTACCTTGCACTTCGACTTCTCCATTCGGTGGGATCATGCCCGAGTTTGGTCTCACGCAATATCTGTGGACAGTTAATGATTGAGAGGGGTGGTGGTGAATGATGCTACGGACTGCTTGGGTGCGGTCGTTTTGACCTGTGTAGCACACTGTTAGTGAAATGCGCGACCGTGATATGGCGCGTGGACGTACTTTGAATGCAACGGGAGCGCTGTTTGTGTTGCTGAGCTTGAGGACCTCAGTGACTTCCCGGTTGAAAGGGCCTGTATTCGAGGTCAGTCACAGGACATCGCGGTGTCGGGAGGTACTGACGTCTGAAGCCCAGTTCGGCTGGCTGAAGATCAACAGACATGATGGCGTTTGGTTCGGATGGCGCGATGTCGAGGAAAAGCGAACAGGAGCCGGTTCAGCAACGGGTGGTCGTAGCGACTGTGCGAAAGGTGACTTCGTGATGCTGGGCTGGATTGGAAGAAGAGTGAAGAGCGGCCAGGCCGATACGGGATTGTTCAGCAAACAAGCGGATTACCAGGTATGATGACAGAGGGTGTGTGTTTAAGGGCAAACGAGCACTTGCAGGTCAGCTTGGGGGAGAAGAGGCTGGGCGGGCGCTTAAGGTGTCTGGTCTAAGGAGGCTATAGCGCCCAGTCTGCCTTCTACAGAGCCTGTTCAGGTGCCTACAGTGCCTACGGTGCCTATACAAGATGCCCCTTGGCGGCAAATCGCGATTGGCCCGGTGGGCTTGTTAGCCTCCCAGTCTGGGTATCTTAATCAGCCACCTACAGTACTACTCCAGACTAAGGGTGATGTATTCAAGCCCCCCATCGTCAATGCGGCGCATCACGACAACCATTGCCCTTCCACCAACGGAGTCTTGATCGGTTCTTTGATTTCCAGCATTTGCATCACGGAGTGTCAGTTGGCCTTGTCTTCAGATTTATTTAAACTTCACCTTTCCTGTCTTCTGCCTCATTCGAATTCTCAGTCTATCAGTCCCGCCGTCCCTCTTCATCTCCCGTCAACCACCCCGCCATTGCCCTTCTCTTAACTCCTCCAGCGCATCACCCGACTGTCGATTCGCAGACTGCGTTCGCAATGTCGTCTTCAGATCTCGATCAATTGGTCATGATGGGCTTTGACAAGGAGAAGAGTCAGATGGCTATTAAAGCCACCGGCAGCTGTAAGGACAAGAAACCCGCATCGCCGCCGATCTACAAGCCTAACCCATGTCTTCTGTAGTGGCCGACGCCATCGACTGGTTAGATCAAAACTCCTCAAAGTCGATAGAGGAATTGAGAAGTGAGAAGGAAGCCGCAGACAAGGCAAAGGCCGAAGAAGCAGCGGAGGAAGCCCGGAGTTTGGTTTGCAACGAGTGTGGGAAGAAGTTCAGAGGCACCGCACAAGCCGAATTCCACGCGAGTAAATCTGGGCATACCGACTTCGCCGAGTCCACGGAAGAGATCAAACCCTTGACCGAGGAAGAAAAGAAAGCCAAGTTGGCAGACCTAAGAGAGAAACTAGCCGCCAAGCGCGCCGTACAGGCGGAGCAGGACAAGGTTGATCAAAAACGAAACGAGCAGATCAATCGCAAGAAGACCAAAGAGACAGAGGATGCGAAGGAACAACTGCGGGTAAAAGAGCAGATCAAGGAAGCCGAGAAGAAGCGGAGAGAGAAACAAGCTGATATCGAGGCAAAGAAGCGAATACAGGCCAAAATTGCAGCCGACAAGGAAGAAAGACGGTTGAAAGCCGAGAGAGAAAAAGCTGCTCGGTCTGGCGCTGCTCTGCCCGTCGCTGAGACGCCTGCTGCGACGCCAGCACCTCCGAAGCCAGCCTCAGAATACAAGGAGACGCGACTCCGGTTACAGACTTCAGCCGGAAATATCATGAAGACCTTCCCGGTCGAGACGACGCTGTTTGAGGTTGCCGCTGCGATAGGCGATGAGACAGGACGGGATGTGGAAAGCTTCACCCAAAACTTCCCCAGAAAGGTGTTCGGGCAGGAGTATTTCGGAGAGTCGCTGAAGGATTTGAAGCTGGTACCCAGCGCAAGCTTGATCGTGAAGTAGGTCTTCTCATATTGGCCCCTTGAGCGTGAGCGGTATTCATGACGAGTCAGCTCGTGTGGCATCTCCGAACGCGAGCATTATTGCTCTGTTGCCATCACTTGATCCGGGCGGCGCTGACCATGAGTGAAGGGATTATCCATTGCCTTGGTAGCTGGCCGTGCCATGGGCGTGCACCTGAGGGTTATGATATAAGTAGATTATTCAGGAATCACCGAGCAGACTAAGACAGTCGAGAACAAAGATTGCTCTGCTGCACACCCCATTCGTTTGTAGAGGTGCAGACAACCGTGTTGAGAACGAGTTGGATGCACGTGCGGGCAGTGAATCACGCCCATCGGGAATTTTCTATCCACCGCCGCATCTCAACATCTCCTGATCTACGAGGACCCGTACGCGCCCTTCTTGATCGCTTCAAGCATACCTAATGCTCCTCGTACCAAGTACAGTCGCTCTTTTCCATATCCCTTCCTTCATTCCTTCGTCCTATCCCTAGAAATCCCCCCCAGATCGCTCAGCTTGGGATGGCCACCGCAACCGAAACCCAGTCTCTTCGGAGGCTTCAACGCAGCCAGGCTTCTCCGAAGGCCGACCCTCAGGGTCAAATCGAAAGAGAAGACCCAAGTCACGGTCAAGAAACAGTGGAAGATAAATTCTTCTGGACATACACTGAAGAGCCCCATCGAACCCGGAGGCAAGCAATCATTAAAGCACACAAGGAAGTCTTGCAGCTGTGCGGACCGGAACCACTCACTAAATACCTTGTCCTGGCGGTCGTCCTGCTACAGATTACCTGTGCCAGCTTGCTCCGGAACAGTGCTGTATTCTCGTGGCCGTTCTTCCTGACAGCATATATTGTTGGTGCCAGTGCCAACCAGAACCTCTTCCTTGCAATCCACGAAATCAGCCACAACCTGGCCTTCCGAACCCCAATCTATAACAGGCTCTTCGCCATCTTCGCAAACCTCCCCATCGGCATCCCATACTCCGCTGGGTTCCGACAGTATCACTTGACGCACCATAAGTCATTGGGGGTGGATGGGGTTGATACCGATCTGCCCACAGCGCTTGAGGCTATCTTCTTGGACTCAGTGCTGGGCAAAGCCTTCTTCTGCACCTTTCAGCTCATCTTTTATGCCATAAGACCAATGATGGTCTACAAGATCCCTTTTGGTCCGGTACACTACACCAATATCGTTGCACAGATTGTCTTCGACATCCTCATCCTTCGCTACCTGGGAACCAAAGCACTCGTCTACCTGCTAATGAGCTCATTCCTTGCTGGGTCCTTGCACCCTTGTGCTGCCCACTTTATCTCCGAGCATTATGTCTTCTCGAAGTCTCCCATGGTGAATGGAAAGATGCCCAAGGACGTTCCGATTCCTGAGACGTTTTCGTATTACGGGCCTCTAAATGTGCTCACCTACAATGTTGGCTATCATAACGAACACCACGATTTCCCTGCCATCCCCTGGACTCGGCTACCTAAGGTTTATGAGATAGCTCGGGAGTTCTATGACCCTTTGCCGTGTCATAAGAGTTGGCCCTTGGTTCTGTGGCAGTTTATCACTGATAAAGAGGTGGGTATGTGGTGTCGTGTGAAAAGAGCGGAAGGTGGACGCATTGTTGGTGGCTGGACGGATGGTGAGGTCCAGAGTTGATCTCCTCATTACCACCTGAGGTGTAGAAGATGATGACATGACCCGATAGACAAGAACTAATTGTACATGACAACTGAATAAAGAAGAAGTATAGTCTTTTCCAAGTGCATGAAAAACTATACCGTTCTTGCTCTTTGCTGAAGGTGAGTGGACGACGTACTGCAGCTTTCCCAGAGCGACCACGTTGCCTCTTCCTTTCCCGTCATTCGAGACATCCTGTCCAACCTCTTGATCCGAACACAACTGTCTCGTCAAGTTTCTCGTACGGACAAGATGCCATCCACTGCTGGCCATGCAGGCCAGAAGCATCGGAATCGCCATGAGAGCAGATCCAGGCCTTTCCGCAGCACTGGAGGCCTCCAACCTCAATGTCGCCGACGTCGACCGGTTGGCCTAGGAAGGTCCCTACATCGACCCCCGGTGACGCCCTCGCCAGCGACCATGACGCCTCGGCAACTCTTTTATACACTTCCCGCTCTGTCGCAGAGTCGATCAACTGAAAACCTCAGATGGCCCCAATCGGATGATGACTATTCGGAGCACATCATTATGGCTATCAATGTTGGCTCGAAGAACATCATCGGCTGTGCATACTACATTGCTGGGGAAGAGAGACTTCTTTGCATGGAGGAGACTGGTGGCGGAGACCATGACTTTGTCGAGAGATGTGAGGCCGTCTTGCAGGCAAATGGCTTATGACACTGACCAGCATCAGTGAAAATTGATATACAGCCTACTACTGTCATTTTATCCCCTCGAGCAGACAGTCTAGCTGAAACCACTACCTCAGGGTCACGGCGACTGACATCCATTGTTGATAGCGGTGAGTTTGAATGTTGTGACACAACTGTCACAAGTTCTCACGAACAACTTCAGCCGATGATCAACAACCTCTTCCTTACGAGACGGAAATCCGGCCTCCTGCGGAGTTCAGCTATGAAGGAGCATTGGATAAGATTATCAGCCTTGCTTCTCCCGGGCTCTGTGATGACAGTGGTCAATTCTACGTACCCGATGATCCGGCATACCACGAGGAAGACAATCAGCTCACCGAGATTGGGTTCACTCAACGAAGAGGTAGACTGCTTCAGCTATCGACTCGTCTTAATCTAGATAACAGAATGAGTATCGGCTGTGCGGGAGCTGTTCTAAGCTATCTACAACGCAAGAGGTCTGCGGCATATCTACCTGATGATCCCAGAGGTGGGCAGATGTTCCGTATTGTACGATTTGACATGTTCAGTCTTCGGAACACTATGTGAGTCCAAGTGTGTGCACTGTTCTGTGGATGCTGATGAGCCACCAGGCTTGTCAGTGGGGATACACTCGCATCTTTGCAACTTATTGAGCCACGGGCGACAGGCTCGACATGGACCACAGGCTCGTCGAAAGGCAAGGGAGCTGCCCTATCCATTCATGCTCTCTTTCACGTTCATGCTCGAAGCCCACAAGGGAAATCCTTCCTACGTCAAGCCTTTCTCCGACCTTCGTTGGACGTGGAGCATATCAACTCAAGGCTTGATTTCGTGTCCATCTTGCTCCGGCCCGAAAATCAGCAGCAACGGCGGGATATTAGCATGAGCTTGGGCAAGATCAAGAACATGGGGAACACCATCACTCTTCTTCGCAAGGGAATCGAACGTGGGAAACAGCAGCATAATCCATTCAAAGGCAGTGTGTGGTCATCACTTCGGGACTTCTGTTCCCATTCCATGGATATTGCAGAGTCGCTTCGAGCTGTTATTGGTGCTGAGCGTCTTCGGCTGTGGACTCGCGCCGTTGAGTTGCTTGACCGCTGTCGTCTACAGACTATTCGCGAAATGGTGGTGGAGACTGTCGACTTCGAGGGGTCTGCCGACGAGGAAAGGACAGTGATCAACCGTGACATCAATCCTCGGCTCGACGAGGCAAAGGACCTTTATGAAGGACTGGATGAGATCCTATCCGAAACAGCCACGGACATAGTCAGATCCATTGGTCTGGAAATCGCACTCGGCGTCATCTACATTCCTCACCTGGGCTTTCACATCAGAGTACCTTTGGATCCAACTACGCATGAGCCATTATTCGATGGGAGTGGGCGGGACTGGCAACAGATGTTCACGACTGACAATTGGGTCTGTTTCAAGGACAGTAGGATGCAAGAATTGGACGACGACATAGGAGACCAGTTCGCCACTATATGCGACTACGAAATCGAAATCGCTCATAACTTGGCGCAGAACGTTTTAGAGCACGAGAAGTTCCTCACAGAGGCATCTGACATCTGCGGCGAGCTAGACTGCAACCTGGCATTTGTTCATTGTGCATATGAATACAGGCTGACTCGCCCAAAGATCACCACAGATAATATCATCGACATTGAAGGAGGAAGACACCTGCTACAGGAGAAGAGTGTCCCGTCCTTCGTCCCCAATGATACATTCATAGTGGGCGGAGGTGGCGAGGATGAACAGGCACCGGTCGGACCAAGCATGCTCCTACTGACAGGGCCCAACTATTCTGGAAAGTCGGTCTACCAGAAGCAGGTGGCATTGGCAGTCTACATGGCTCATATCGGGTCTTTTGTTCCTGCAGAATCCGCGACTATCGGCATCACTGACAAGATCCTAACCCGCCTGACCACCCGGGAGACGGTTTCAAAAGTTCAGTCTGCTTTTATGATTGACCTGCAGCAGATTGCCATGGCCCTGAACTCGTGCACGAGGAGGAGCTTGGTAGTGATTGATGAATTCGGCAAAGGTACAGACACGTGCGACGGTGCTGGTCTAGCCGCCGGTGTCCTTCTGTACCTCTTGTCCCTTGACACCCAGGCCCCGAAGTCACTTGTGGCAACCCATTTTCACGAGATCTTTGACACAATTTCGTTCGAGACCTGGGAGAATGTTTTCTATGCACATATGGAAGTACAGGTTGAGAATACTGATGTAAGAGGAACGGTGCAACACAGCAGTGTCACGTATTTGTACAATCTCCAACGCGGGCGAAGCGATCTCTCATATGGTACACAATGTGCAGCTATGAATGGTATTCCCGAGCAGGTTGTTGAACGAGCTTTGCAGCTTTGTCGACTGGCGAGGAAAGGCGAGGACCTGGTAACACAATGTTCTAGGTTGACGGTGAGCGAGGCAGCAGAACTTGAAACTGCCGAAGTTGCGGCCGAGCTCTTGATGGATCAGAACTTTGACCAGCAGATGACAGAAATTGGGCTTCGGGCTTTGCTGAATGCCCTAGTAGAGCCGGCCTCAAATGACAGCGAAGAGCTGGACATTTAATGGTGAGGTGTATCGTATGTTCAACTTGAAGGAGCAGGTCCAGTCGCAGCCAGTCCCTTCTGTTTACCCCATTTTCGGCATTTTGCAATCAGGTCAGGGGCCACAAAGATGATGACCAGAGATCCAATCCAGTTCCAGAAAACATCCATGAAGTTCTTTCGCACGCTACTGGCCATGCCAATGCCTCGCATCAGGTGTCCCAACATTAACGTGCTGATCATGAAGTCGCCGGCATTGAGGCGGTTGAGGACAATCTTCGCAATTTCGTCTGGTTGTTGTGGTTTGTCATCTTCCTCAAGCATGAGAGTGAGCTCCGGTTTGATCTTGTTCTCGTTCTCGAAGCCCGGGCTAATAATGCCACAAGGAAATACAATATGGACAGCAATGTCTGCGTCAGGAGCTGGGCCAGCACCCAATCGTGAGCCATTGTAGACAGCCACTTCTTGATTCAGGCCATCGGCCATAGCCTTCATTGCGGCCTTTGCAGGAGAATAGGGCGAATAGCCGGCGACAGGAACAAAAGCAAGCGTGCTGCATGTAAAGACAATATGCCGCGTAGGTGGGCTACGGCGTTGCTTGTTCTCCGGCGACGAAGGTTGCTTCCACAGATTCAGGGCCGCGTGCGCCATGTATACCGAAGACCAGTAGATTGTGTCCATCTGGCCTCGAAGTGTCTCGACGCTTGCATCTGCAAGGAAAGCCGGCTGGCAGTTGCCTGCACAGCAAAAGACTATGTCCGGTGCTTGTCCGTTGTTCCATTGTGTGACTTGTTTGAGGATCGTAGGGGCAGACTCGGGCGATCGGAGGTCGAAGGACATGTCGAGGAACTGTTGCTGGGGGTTGACTGCCTTTGCGCGGATTGCGTCGACGGCCCTCGCCAGTTTGGCCTTGTCCTGAGCGACAATCACGACATTTGCGCCTCTGCTGGCGAGTTCTTGCGCTATAGAAAGGCCCATGCCTTGCGAGCCACCTGTGACAATGGCTGTGAGGCCATCGGTAGGGAATTGATTCTTGCTAGAGAACAGCATTTTGAAGCCGAGGAAGCTCAAAACAGCCACTGCGAGGGTGACCAGGGATACCAATAGGAAATTGGTACTCATGTCCTATGCAGAAGCAGAAGAAGAGGGCAGGTCAGAGCCTTTCCGATCTCAGGCGCGCCGTTCGTCAGGAGAGCAATTCGCGTCTCACGTCTCCGGACACGTCCTTCGTCCACCTTCAGCAAGGCTCAGGGACTGCAGGCTGGTTGAGGGCCAAGAAGACGTGCCAGATGAATGCCTACCTGATCGTAGGTGCGTAGGTGAAGATACACATTACATGTTGTTATGGAGGACCTGAGCAGTGACTCCGTCCCTGCGCTCGCGGGAAGCACTTGAAAATGCCACCACGTGCTTACGGGCCCGGAGAATCTCCCGCCGAGGCCTATTCACGCATACCCAACTTAGTGAGTCTAGTGCCCCCGAGGCCGACGATTATTGGTGCCTGGAACTCCCTTAGCAAGCCACCAAAGCAACTAACTTGGTGCCAAGCCGAGTCTCCAAAAAAAAGTTTCTGGCCTGCGACATCAGTGACAGCGGAGGGCACAGCGCAGGCTCAGCACTGGTTTTTTGCTTTTGCTTTTGCCTTTGCATTGTACTCAGCACTCAAAACTAGCAATGGCAAAAAAGAGAAAGGCCGGAAGAGCAAGCCAGCAGGATGCTCCAAGCAGGACTGATCGATACGACGTCGAGGAAAGATTCGATGATTCCGAGGACGAATTTTTTGCCGGACGGGATAAGATCTTACTTGATGAAGCGCCGGCAGCGAAGAGATTACGCAGACTTGAAGAACAGGAGAAACACTTACAATCCTCGGATGAGGAGGTCTATGAAGACGCTCAGGCTGAGGTCGAGGATGATCTGGAAGACGACGAAGACGTAGATTTCGACGCCGATGCCCGTGGCCGTAAGGACGGCGACGAGGACGAAGAGTTGGACGAGAACTGGGGCACGTCCAAAGCCGACTATTACAATGCCGACGTAATTGAGACCGAAGCAGACGCCCTCGAGGAAGAAGCCGAAGCGCGCAGGTTGCAGCAGAAACAACTCCAGTCCATGACCGAGGCGGATTTTGGCTTTGACGAAAGCGCATGGGTGGACGAGACCGAGAAGACACAGGACAAGCGGCCCGCCGTCGAAAAGCTCCCGGAACTTCAAATTCCTCCAAATGCCACGGCCGAGGAACGCACCCAAATCCTGAAATCAAGGTATCCCGAGTTCGAGCCTTTGGCGCACGACTTCGTCTCACTACAAGATGAGTACCGTGAATCGAAGAAGAAGATTGAGCTGTCTGATGTACAAGGTGCACGGGGCATTCAGGACAAAATATCTCTGACGAGGTTCAGGGCACTTTCGTCCTATCTGGGTGCCGTTGCAATGTACTTGGCTGTTCTAACATCCTCGAAGAGTGGCACAGCGCTGCCTCCCGGTGAACTGCGAGAACACCCCATCATGAGTAACCTCGTGCGGTGTCGGCAGCTGTGGCAGGAAGCGCAAGACTTGAAGGTGGTTGAGGTTCCCACCGTTCGGGAGGAAGCCGTGTCTGTCAAACCACGTGAGGTTAAGGTGCCGGAGCAGCCCAAGCCGAACGTCGAATCGAAGAAGCCGGAGAAGAGCAAGAAGTCGAAGAAACCAACAACAAAGTCAACAGTAACGACAGAAGACGTCGTGCCTGAGCCTGTTCCATCAACGAAGAAGACGAAGAAATCTAAGAAACCCAAGCGTGATGATCTGCAGGAACTCCTCGCGTCGTCGCTACAGACTCCCCGGGACGATGAGTCCGACTTTGGAGACGAAGTACCTTTGACTGCCGAGGAAGCGGCAGAGAAGGCGAAGAGGAAGAGGTCGCTGCGATTCTACACGTCGCAGATCGCGCAGAAGGCCAACAAGAGAGGCGCGGCTTCACGTAACGCCGGCGGCGACGACGATGTACCGCACAAGGAGCGCCTTCGCGACAGGCAAGACCGCTTGATGCGTGAGGCAGAGATGAGAGGAAGGGAGGTTGCCCATGGCGACGAACAAGTGTTTGACTCTGGAGACGACGATACCGGCGTAGGCCGAGAAATGAAGGACGATGCCAACGAGTACTACGACATGTTGGTCTCGAGCAAGAAAGCCAAGAAGGCCGACAAACAAGCCAGAGCAGAAGCGTACGCCGAGGCCGCGAGACAGGGAGCCCAGGTATACGAGGAAGAACAGGTCGGGGCTGATGGCAAACGGAAAATCACTTACGCGATTGAAAAGAACAAGGGCCTCGCGCCGAAACGGAAGAAGGACGTGCGCAACCCTCGCGTCAAGAAGAGGAAGAAGTTCGACGAGAAGATGAAGAAACTCGCCTCTATCCGACAGGTATACAAAGGTGGCGAGGGCCGCGGAGGCTATGGCGGCGAAGCCACAGGTATCAAGACCAATGTGGTTAAGAGTATCAAATTGTGAATGGAAATATCCGATTGAACAAAGCCTTCATGTCATACCTGGGTTCGAACTGGCTTCTTGGATTTTTCCAATCCATCTATATCTACGTTTGTTTCCCTTTGCCCTTCAACCTTTCATTGTTGTAACCGGGTCTAAAACCGCGACAGAACGCCCGTCGAGACACCAAATGCGTAAACCTGGATCGTAGGTGCTACTTGATCACGGTGGCACGCCTATTCCAGCTCGGTCCTGGACCCCGCCGCGCCGGACTTCACTTGTCCCGAGTCAATCTCGTGTACTTCTGATCCGTCTATTTGTTGAGCATACTGATACGGGGGTGTCATATACGCTCGCTTGGTATCAAGGAAGTCGGATGACGCTGCCATTGCACGGCGAGATCGCCGTCTGCGTACGATGAACCACCCCAGACCCCCAACTGCTGCTATCGCGGCCAGGCCACAGCCGACCCCAATGCCGGCAGCGGCACCTCCGCTGAGACCTGAGGAGCTGGTTGAGGGGGTTGGCGATGCTTGTGTGGCGCTCACGGCAGCGCTTGCGGCGTTCGTTGACGAGGAGCTTCCAGATGCGCCCGTGGCGGATGCCGCCGGTAGAGTTCCCGTCGATGAGCTAGATGGGGTCGCGGTCTCGAAGAGGTCGCGCTCGAGAGAAATGGTCTGGCCAAATGTTGCGTTGGGCTTGTTGTCACATCCACTCTTCATTGCAAACAGGTCTACGAAATCCCCCCCCAAAAAAACACCTCAGCGTCAGCGCCAGTGCCTCAATTACAATGCAAATCGGCGGAGACATCTCTTTTGATCGGACTTACAATTGCCAAGAATGACCGAACCGGATCGTCGTGACAAGCAGGTTGCGCAATCCTCCACGTAGGTGGGAAGGCCGTGTTGTTGATCGAGCAATAGTCGTATTGCTCGGCCGCCACTGGAATGAACCAGGAGCTCTGGAGGACGGGGTAAAGCCCGGCACAGGAGGCTTGACATTGAGGCAGGTTAGGTGTGCTGCCATTGCCCTGGAACATGCAGTACTGGAGAGTGTATTTCATGTTGACTTGTCGTCAGGTCAGCATGTAGCCGCATTCGCGCCCGGAATCGGGGGTAACAAAGAGCTTACACAGAAACCAATATATATCGTTGTTCTGTGGATTACTGTTGTCGCCCGTGTTGGCGGTACTCTTGCTCTCACACAGCAGACAGTCGTGCATAGTGTCACCTTTTGCCGTGTTGAAATAGCCCTCGTCGGTGCATGTCAGGTCGTCGCTGTACGTCAAGGTCGGGCCTTCGCAGATATCGGCACATGCTGATCCGCTGGTCACTTCGAGCGTCTGGACACCCAGTGCCAGCGAGACTAGGAGTATAGAAGTCAACATTTTGGTGAGGAGGGGAAGAGAGAAAGGACACTCCGCGCAATCATCTACTGCAGAGTGTACCACTCAACAGCACTTTTCGAGAGATAAAGCACCTCCAGAGCTTGTCAGGAAGTCTACAGGAACAGACGATCGAGGAGAATTGGGCAATAGGCGGATCAGCACCGTAGAGAACACTTAGCGTGGACATCGACACGGGTGCTCAGTGATCCGTGGTGTGTGTAACCGTGCAAGCGACCACCTGGTCGTTCAGTTCGAAGTCCGATGCCGCCATCGACATGTTTCCTTGCCAACTAGTGCCAGACCCCAAATGCCAATATTGGTTGTTAAGTGGTCTCATTCGTGCTTCGTTGGCGTCTGGAGTCGCACCAGGAAGACATCGACAGGGAAGGGTCGGGCCTAGCAATCGTGATGGCCTCGAAGGCATGCCAATGAATTGAGTGTGATTGCCTGCGCTACAGGGGAGGCCTGCATAGTATCGTGGCTATGCCAGGCACCGACCAGGAACAGTCTGTCCTCCTATTCCAGAAGCCGGAGGGCTGGTTTCAGGGGCTTATGCATAACCCAATGTCAAGCCAAGTTTTCTAGTACTCCGGACTCTGGTACTCAAGATGCCCGGATCACACGTTGATATCGAGGGTGAGTAGTAAGGCGCCCTGTCGTAGTTCAGTCCACCAGGCTGTTGAGTGTGCGGTTACAGTTTCGCGACGGATCTTCTCGCCCGGAAGCAGAGACCGCAACTGTAACAGATATGACCTGGGATTGAAGATGAGTACTCCCTATATCGTATAGATTTGCTATGGCATGTTCCTTTATCAATGGAATGCCAGGACGAAACCACAGGGTGTCGCGTTTATCTAATGGATTACGTAAGAAGTGTGTAGTATTCGTATTCGTATTCGTATATGTTTTTGTCGGTGATGATGTCAGCTTTTCAAGGCCGCCATGAATGAATCGATAACCACGGCAAAGTGTTCTGCAGAATGTGATGCTCTCAAGTGTATCTTGTGGCGATCTATGAAAGATTGACCACTTGGGCGAATATTCACCATGGGCTCTATGATCTGGAACCGCATGGTCTTGCGGCTACCGCCAATTCTTCGTCCTCGCTGGACATGGAGATACCTCTTATGCTTCAGCGTTGCCACAGTCGCAATCTACAATTTCTTGTTGGCGCGCCCCTTGCTTTCATCCAACCTGCCTCCATATACCGGACCGTACCAAGTCGGAACCCTCGACCTCGAAGCGCCCTGCGAGCCAAGGAGGATCAACGATGCCACGCTTAAGGATGGGCAACATCCTGCTTTCGAGGTGAGTCAGGGTTGCAGTGCCAAACCTTCCATGTCGGTACCATGGCTGAACATCTCAAGGTTGAAACCGTGCTTTTCACTTTATACTACCCGTCGGTAGACGGTGCGAGCTCGTCGAAACCGCACCATCTCTGGGTTCCCCGACCACTGGGTATCGTCGGGGCTGGCTATGCTCGTTTTGCTAGGATTAGTAACTTCTTGACCAACTCGGTGATGACATTTGCATTGTGGGCGTTGGCCGGCAGTATCAAGATCCCGGCACATGTCGATGTCCCTCTCCACCACGGTCCTGCCGTCCTTCAGACACCGGCGGGGACTTCCTCGGTCGAAGTCGATGAAGGGTTTCCTGTGCTGGTATTTTCTCATGGCATGGCTAGCTCCCGCACTCAGTATACGCAATACTGTGGAGAGCTTGCTAGCCGGGGACACGTTGTGGCGGCGATTGAACATCGGGATGGTAGCGGACCGGGAACTCTCATCATGAGTCCATCGGGTCGTCACAGAACTCTACTTCACTTTAGCCACCGTGACCTGCAGTGAGTTTACTCTTGACTTGCTTTTAGATCGAGCATGTGTGCTGACGTTGTTATCTATCTTAGTCATGATGCCGGGCTGGATGCCGATACGTTCAAGCAGGCGCAACTTGATTTCCGTCAAGCAGAGGTTGAGGAAACTGTGCGGGTGCTCAAACAGATCAACGCCGGTCATGGAGATAGAATCTTCAGTCAAAACTCTCGCGGTGAGGGCCAGCACCTCAAGCACTGGCGAGGTCGTCTGGCAATGAACAATACTACGATCGGTGGACACTCCTTCGGAGCCACATTGGCCGTGGGTTGATATCGTCAACTGACACAAACATGTGCACTGACGTCCAGCTCTTTAGTTGCAAACCTTGAAAGGCGGACCTACTATACATCTTCCGTTTCAGAGTGCCGTTGTCCTCGATCCGTACGCATATTCCTGTGTCTCAGCTGCTGTGCCCAGTTTACTGACAGATCCTACAGCGGTAAACAGAGCGGACCATTGAATCACGATGTCAACGTCTCGACACTGGTCATCCATTCCAACTCTTGGTCGAGCAGATACTCGATATTCTACGGACGACCACACTTTGAGACGGTCAAGGATGTGGTTTTAGGTGTCTTGGAGAGAGGCAAAGCAGCATGGTTTATGACTTCGCGTGCGTGATAGGTTCACCTCTACCGAGAGCTTCCCCCCCGTGCCCTGGTGCCACCTGCCCCGTGCCACTTACGGCCATCAATGCTAACCCCTACATCGTCGCAGTGGGCACAAGCCACCCTTCGGTGACAGACGCTCCTCTGATAGAGCCTCTCCTTCTCAACTGGGCGACGGGCTCGAGCATCGATGCACACGAAGGTGTAAGGCAATACGTGAAGGTCTCGGAAATGTTCTTGCAATATCAAACGTCCGGGGTCAAGAAAGGTATCTTGTCCGAGTGCGTGACACATCCCGAGTACAACTTGCCGGAAGAAGGGAGGTTCGAGAAGGGAAAACCGTCGAATGAGGACATGTGGAAGTACTGGCAGATTCATGCTGCTCCGTGCGGCCCGGAAGCGTTTGAGAATGAGAGCGAGGGAACTTTGTACCCGGAGACCAATCCGCTACTTAACGGATAGATATACAACAGAGCCTATACTAGGGGAAATAGAACCAGCTAAGGTAGGTATAGTAGTTACTACTAAGCACAGCTGGATATCTTGAAACTTTTAGTGGTCCTCTCCTTGAGCATCCGACCTTGAGTTAGGTCCAGATATATGCTTCCTCAGGTATCTCGCGAGTCACTTAGATTCCAGTGTCTAAGAAGCAGCGGATACAAATTGCGCACGATGAAAGTGGAAATCTAGCGGATGGTATGAAGGACACTGGATGTATTCTGGTGCTTTCTTAATGGGAGACGTGAAGTTCAGTACAACTATACGAGTATAAGAGCGATGGCGTGGCATAGGTTCCCTGGAAAATCGCAATGCGGGGAAAAAGCCATGGATATTCATATCGCCCATTGTACTTGGGATATTGAAATCGCCTTGGGCAGTTTCGAAGCGGGCTGAGATTCTCTTCTTCTATGGATACGGATAATACCAGAGCAAGATTGAGGAGCACCTAAGCTGATACGATTTGAGGTTGGTCATGTTCAAGAGAGATGCGCTCATGACGCCGCTGCTGTTGAGTGCTTGTGGGCATTGAGCGAACGGCCAATAAATTATCCGATGTATCTGAGCCAGTTTCGGCCATGCCTAGAGGCCCTGGACGTCACCTCTCTGTTCTAGCCAGTGCCTTTAACTAAATTGGGGGAGGGGGGCGCTGCCTATAGCCTATAGCGCCTAATGATACCTTGCTCCAGGCACCGCGATACCCCACGAGGCTGCCCGGGATAAGTGCCTAGGGAGCCTTACTTTAGTGAGCCTTACTAGCCGAGACCGTTTAAGTCAGCCAGACAACTAACTACAGTACCTACCTGACTCGTTAACTTAGTGGCTGCCTTCTCACCTCCTCTAACATTTGGATAGATCAACATAATGCGACTACTCTACAGAAACCCTCGCTTCGCAGCATGAGTGCCCTCGTCTCCCCCCAATGGCTTCCAGATCCATCGCGCCAATCGAGATTGGCTCTTTCACGGCATCGTCGCCACACAAGACCGAGTTTATTGGTAGCGCAAGCGGCGTGTTCTTTGTAAACACCGTCTTCCGCGCATTTGCGCAGTCCGCTTACAGCTCCAACAATGCTGACTCTCGGACGTTGCATCATGATCCAGGATCGGTGGATAGCCGTCTTGTTGATCCTGAGACTCCATTGCAGGCCGAAGACGAGAATGTCGGTGTGAAAATCCATCTTGAACGCGATAATTCGGACAGCCCAGCGAGATCTTACGGTATCAAGGGTCATGGATTGGGCGTTGCTCCGAGTCAGCAGGCCGCAAAAGAGCTTCTGGTGCTTTACCTACGCAACTGGCACCCTTTGTTCCCCTTCCTTCACGGCCCAACACTTCTTGAATCGGTAGCGGCCTTGTATGAAGTTGACGAACCACGGCTTTCGACCAAAGACAGCCTGAGAGCTCGTTTGTGCAAAGTCATTACGTGCCAATGCGTCTTCAACATAGCTGACCTCGATAATCGGGGCCAGTGTCTGCCATCCGAGTCACAGATCGAGTCCTCGAGCAAATTGCTCTCTCTCCTCGGATATGTCGCCAACAATCACGACATTCAAACCATTCAGGCTTTGCTCGCCGCACAGCTTTACCTGGTCTCCACCATGGCGCTCCGAGCTGCATCGACCGTGGGTGGTACACTCGCTAGGATCATGTATCATGCTGGTCTCCATCGTTGCCCATATCGCTATCCCCAGCTCGATCCCCAGGAAGGTGATTTGCGAAAACGGATTTTCTGGAGTGCTTACGTGCTAGACCGATATCTCAGTCAAGCTCTGGGTCACCCTCTAGGATTTCAAGATTCGGATCTCGATGTCTGTATTCCTGGCACAGCAGAATTGCACCGACCTGTCACGTCGTCAAGTCAACAAATGCCCTCAGGAGACCGTGCAGATGAAAACGAAGTTTTGGCTCACCTTCCCCGAGAACAGTCGGCCAGATCGGCCAGTGCAGCGAATGCAACCTCTTCAGTGGTGCCAACTTCTAGAACTGCGGACCCTGTCAAGTTTCACGGGTCACGAGAACAAGAGGAGAGAAACAGTAGTTCGGAGATATTGGCTAACTACGTTCTCTACTGTCGATTGACAGGACAAGCATTGGAACTATTTCATAAATCGCTTCAGAACCGTAAAATTCAAAGCGAGGACATGGTCGAGCTACAGTCGGAGGTGCATTCTTGGTGGAATGGACTGCCCGCTAGCTTACAAGACGAATATACGGGAGGAAAGATGGAGCTTTCTTCGACGTTCACCTTCTTTTTTATCACCCTCTATAACCAGTTGCTCCTCCTCATCAATCGTCCCTTTCTTTCCCTCTCGCCGAGGACTTTGGAATTCAGGTCAAGTCTACAGACATGTGTCACAGCTAGCCGCCAGATAATCTCCACGCTGCGCCATCAATCTGAACGAAATCTGTCGGTTTCTTGGCCTGGAATGCTATCTGTAAGCTGGATGGCTGGCTTGGTGCTGTCTTTTGCCTGCACCTTAAAGCTATATCCGTTCAACAAGGCACAAAGGTAAGCCTTTTGTTTCTGCTACGAATGTTTTGTCCTTTCATCGCAGATCCTGAGAGGAGTCTATCTAGGGAGATTGAAGAATGCATCGACCAGATAACGGCAATGGACAGAAGGTGGAACAATGCAAGGCATTGCGCAGAAGCGTTGAAAAGTATGCTGGCAACTCTGAAACAGCAATATGCCGACGGTGTTCTCGGCCGCGCCCAAGGCGGTCTAACACCAAAATCCCTTGCTAAAAATCCAACCCCAATGACGGACAATATTTCCTCAGTTGATAAAGACAGTTCCTCCGACGTAGCTGCACGTCCTAGGAAACGAAGAAAAGCGGATTTGCAAGAGAACGACCTCGAGTATCTTTCGGGCAGCCTTCAAGTCGAAACGAATACTGCGTCAACCCAGCGACCTGGTCCAACGTATGACTTCGATCCTGATTTGGGTGGATGGCCTGTATTGGAGGACGGTGTCACTCTTCCAACTTTGGAGTACATGGGACCCCATTTCGCGGCTGGATCGCCCATGGCCGGGAGCTTCGACAATCCTGACCATTTTCGCTTGTCCATTATGGATGACTTTTATATAAATCCAGGTGCCTTTGGAAACATTGGTTGGGAAGCAATGGCTAATGGGACAGGGTACGTGAACGAGCTGGGGGCTTCGAGCGGCCGAAGGCACCAGCAGAGGGACAGCTATGACATGCCATGAACACGCTCTCGAGTCTGAAGAGGCACGCTGGCTTGAGGAGATCCAAGAGAGGTCATGATTACCACAGAAATGTATCTTCAAATTCTTGGGACAAGCCAAATTTCGCGGCAGTGCTGCTCCGATGCGATCTCGTTGAAGGCTGACGTAATGCGTCTCCGACATTTTGTGAAGTCTGTGAAGGTGCAGAGGGATGGAACGACCGGGGTTCTGGAGTAAATGGTACACCACCTTGGCTCGCGACATCTTCTCCAGCTTCGTGGGCTATATCTTGAACTGGTGATGGGTCGGCACTTGGAAAGCTTCCCTCGAACGGACTCGGATCACTCGGAGAGGCTACCTCTAACCGCTCGAACAAGCTATTATCTACCACGTTACGCGAGCCCAGGGCTGCCATTCCGGACTGGGAATCCAAATCTTGCTTCCACAAGATCACGTCTTCCGGAGTTTGCAGAGGGTATTGTTCCCAGTAGGCGATGGCAGACTTTTTCTCGTCTGTCGTACTTAAGGTGCTGACGCAGAGGCTTGCCGGAATTCGGTGATCGAGTTCTGCATTGAATGATTCTGCCAATATCTCAACATTTGCACTGGCAGCTGACAGCATTCTCCATAGCAAGCGCTCTGTCTCCTTCAGCCTTGTTTCAAGCGCTTCAATGTAGCCCTTGGCAGGACCTCTGTCGATGACATGTTAGAGTGCAAACCAAGTGGCTTTTCGACGCGAAAACACATAACTCTTGGTGCTAGCAACAGGACTGGAATCATCTGGAGCCACAGACCGTTTTTGTTTTCTAGGCCATACACATGTCTGCGAAAGACTTCGGCATCTGCTGCAGGTAGGTCTGAGACCGGAGATCGTTGTCAGCTCTCAAGCGCATCGCTTTGTACAGCCAAGGACGGAAGCCTTCGCTGTTCGACGAACCTTTGTCCATCACACTAGGGAAGAGTCAGTCATGGAGAGATATCCCTGCATTGACTCCTGCTGGCCGACCAACCTTCTGCTTCCTGGCGCGACAAGCATAACACGCGGAGCTACTTCTTGGGACTGATGTGGCTCCAGGCTCACTGGATCTGGGCTGTACCATATTCTCAAGTCATATTCACATCCATGAAGCAACAGCGCCCGGGTTGATCAGCTTCATGGCAGAAGCACTAACTGGTCCACGTGCTTCGTGAAATGTCGAGATAGCCCGAGAATGGCTGCAAGCTCTACAAAGGTTGATGACCGGGCTTGAACTCGTTGTCTGCAGCTTCTCCAAATATCGACCTGATTCACGCCAAGCTGACAGCGACGAGTGCCATCGGCTCAAATATTGGCCGATGAATTTCGGGCAATCTTTTAAGCGACAAGATCCAGTCTATGGGCTTGAGGGTATTGTTGAACGTGACGAATATATATTGACAACCGGGCGTGACTGAGTCTACTGCAGCTGTTACCACCGGCAGGTTTCACTGATAATCAAAGTAAGGCATCGAATATCTCGATGGTAGCACCCCAGAAGCATCGACTGCCCTGCATTCCAGGAGTGACAACACGGTGCATTGTGTTTTGACACGCCTGTTAAGCAGTCGATGCAAAAGATTCCCGATTGATATAAATCAAAACGGTGTCAAGCCATACTCACCATCGGGCTGGGCTCAGTCTTCTTCAGTGTCACCCGTGGCAGTAGAAGCGGACACACCGGCAGCCCTTACCATACACCGTGGCATAATTCGCAGCTGAGGAGTGTGCATTCTTTTTCTGTGACTCTGGTCCATCCTCTGGGAAGACTGGGTAACTGTACATGCTTCTGCGGTGCAAATAATTCAACATGGCAGGAAATTGGCCATCCCCAGAGTATCGGGTTGGCGCCGCTGAATAGGCAAAGGCAAAAGACCTAGCAACTTCGGCGCAAAAGCTCGAATCTCGGCTTGGTCCTTGATGATGTTGCGAGGCTGTGTGGCCCAGCTGAGTTTCGCCCTGCAAGCAGTGGCGTGAGAGTATATTCTCTAGCCTTTCCTGAATATGGTCATAATTTCGAAGAATCGAGGTATCATGATCTGCAGGTCAGCGTGGGAACGTCTTCCATGGCGCCGAAGATGGTCGATTGGCTGTGGGCGCCACAGGATCGAAGGATGCATCCTGCCCCCAATCCTTCAGCCGTAGTTTTGTTCATGTTGCCTTGGGCACTCGCGTCTACTTAGCCACAGGAGGATCGTGCGGCACTCTAGCACGCGGCATCTGCAACCACGGCCTGCTGACACAGCAACGGGGATTGGACACAGATGCTGCCACGATCCGAGCGTTGGTGAGGAAGCGCAATGGGCGCTGGCGAGACTCCTGGGGACCCTGGCCTTGTACCCTTTAAACTACGGCCAAGCATCGCCAGGAACAATAGATTTGTTTCTCAAACTCCAAATCGGTCTCGCTCAGCGCCACAGGCACGATGGACCAGACCTTTTGGCCCCCAGATTCAGCTTGAGTTTGGGCTGAGACGGTTGCCCAAGGACTCGAAGGATCGCTGAGCTAAGACTCCTTCTCACCTGCACAAGATTGTCCATCTACTATAAGTAGGGAACGCGATGTCTCCGGCCGCAATTATTTTCTGGACGCCGGGGGAGTTTATCACACTCGGGTACCTTTTTGATTTTCTGGATTCCTTTCGCATGGAAAACGAACGTTGAGTTTGTACTAGATTTTCGATTTGCTACCTTATTATTCCGTTTCCCTTTGGGTCTGTCAATACTCGATCGCCTGGCAGGCTTAGTACTACCTCGCAGACATCATGAGATCCTCTCTAGTGGCTGTGCTATGTCTGGCGACTGTTGGCCTGGCGGCCGACAGTTTCGTCAAGATGAATCTGCATAAGGACCATGTGCAGCGCAGCAAGAGCATGTTGGCGCGCAGACAGACGGACACCCTTGAAGAGGACATCACTTTAGCAATAGAAGGATCTGTTTACTGGCTGGATCTCACCATTGGTACACCGCCTCAACAGTTCAAGCTCCAACTCGACACTGGCAGCAGTGATCTCTGGGTCCCGGCAGCGAATGCAACTGCTTGTGTCCGGGATGGCCACACTTGTCCAGGCGGCGCGTTCAACATCAACAAATCCACCACTGCCGAAATCACGATCCCATGGTCATGGGAAGTGGAATACGGAGATCAGACCGGCGACGCCGGGGATTATTTCACTGATGTTGTAGTGGTTGGCAACGACACTATTCCAGCTGGTATCATGCAACTCGGCCTGGCTATGATTACTGTGGATGGCCCTCAGGTTCAGAATGATGGCCATGGTCTTGTCGGCGTCGGATACTCCAGTTTACAGTCGGGCGCGATGACTGGCTTATTTGACGCAGACAAGCTCCCACCTAGTCTGACTCAAGCGCTGGTGCAAGCTGGTGCAATTGACCGAGAAGCCTACAGCCTCTATCTGAACGACTTTGAAAGTGGCGAGGGTGCAGTGCTCTTCGGAGGCGTTGATTCAAGCAAGTACACAGGCGAACTTGTGGCTCTCCCCATCCTGCCTACGCCGGACAATTTCTCCGATTACACGCGCTTCGAGATTGCCTTGACTGCGATATCTCTCACCGATCAAAACGGGACACATAAACTGACAGACGACGACTTTGCCGTACCCGCACTCATCGACAGTGGTACCGTCGCCCAGACCCTCCCACAGCCAGTTTATGATGCAATCCTCGGAGGCCTCGGGGCGACCAACGACCCCAACCTTGGTAGCCCTGTCGTTCCGTGTGCATACGGGGACGCGGGCATCTACATCACTTATACCTTTGGCGGCCCAGGTGGTCCTTCGATTGACGTACAGTTGTCCGAACTGCTTGGACCTGGAGCAAGCGACCCGTCGTTTTACAAAGGCGATGTCCCGGCTTGCGCCATCTTCATCAACCCGGCAACCGAGGACTTGGGTTACATACTTGGCGACTCATTCATGCGTTCCGGATACTTTGTCTACGACCTCGAGAATAACATGATGGCCATCGCTCAAGCCCGCCTCAATTCGTCAGAGCCAGAGAAAATAGTCGCCTTCTCCAACGGAACGGATATCCCTGGAGCAACTTCGACAAACACATTCACCAATGTACCCACATCCAGCAATAGTGTTGAGCAGCCCGGCGCGAAGACCACCTCTGCTGCAGCATCGGCGACTGCCACAGGAGATGTTCCCATAGGGTAAGTGAAGACTTGTGACGGGCAGATATTGGATTCCAGCTAACGATGAGCCCAACTAGTTCTCCAACCTTCGCCATTGGAAGTGTGACTAGCGAGCTCGGCGCCTCAAGTACGGGCTCCTCCTCATCAGGCAATGAGAATTCAGCATCGACAAGCACTCGTGCGTCTCTATGGGTTGCAGTTGCCGCTGGCATAATGAGTTTCTTGGTGATTTAGAGCACCGAGACATTATTGAGTCACCCGCCGATTTTCTTTTTCTCACATTTTGGTATGCAATATATTCTTCATTCTAATAAAAAACAAACGAACGGCCTGTCACCAGGTTTGCTTGATTTCTTACGTAGAAAGAACCACAGGTTCATTCTCCATTTCCATGCAATACTGGGGAGCCTTCATGGTCTGGTCTCGACGCGGTTCTTCAGCTCACATTCGTGCACTCTCTCCAGAGAACGACCGCCAGTATCAAAGCCGACTCCAATGGGATCCATGTCTTTCTGTCGGTTGCCGCTTCAGACGAGTCAAAATTGACTCACTCACACTATCTACTACGCATACGGCGTGGACCTTGGAGACAGATACTCATATGTAAAGGCACGCAAACATTTGTTTAGGTGGAGAACATATAAAATACCTCTTGACCAGACTCTCTGTTTACTAACTACTCTGTCACCAGTGGCCGTCTTGTCTCAGGCCTCTCTTGCACCTCAAGAAGCTGATTGAAGGAAAGCGGCTGACCGAGGAGGAAGCGAGCCCAGAAGCCTCTCCTTATTTCTTTCCATGTACTCCTCAAACGTGGTCGTTTTGATACCATACTTTTGTTCCAGGCCCTGGACATCCACCCGGCGCCCAACACGGTTTGTCAGAATTTCAAAGACCTGGAAGAGCTCGGTGTTCTTCGACTCCTCCATCTCGGCTGGTGTGCGCTTGTGGAATTTGACGTCGAGCCCACTGACCCGAGCCAGGATTTCGCACACGTCTCGTGCTGACAGGTTGTCGCTTGCAAGGTCGATTTCGTGACCGCTGAACTTTGTCGGGTTCAGCAGCGCGGCCACCGCAAACTTGCCGACGTCGTACCCGTCCAGGTACGGCATGGTCCGGTTGTCGTCCAGGGAGGTAACCAATGTACCTGACCGCGGAAGGTGTGGGAAGCCATGCGAATGAGCGGAATGTGGCAGGAAAAAATCGTGGTTCAATATTGGTGGACGGAGGATGGTGTAGTCCCGGATCCCACTGTCGCGCACTGCTGCTTCGACTTCAGCTTTCGCCGTGTAGTACAGACCCAGCCACGGATGGACTGCAGATGTTGTGCTGGGCTGCGTGCTCATTTCCATCGTCCTGGACGTTGATGAGAGGACTATGCTCGTGAGGCTGTTTCCAGCACCGGCCTTGCATGCTTTTGTCACGGCGTCTGCTTGGGCCCTGGCCTTCCCAGGCTCAAAGATGGAGAGGTTCAGAAACAGACCGGTGCATCCTGCGGCGGCAGCTCGGAACGCCGTGTCCGGCTCTTCATGGGTGCCTTGGAATAGAACGACGCCCTTTTCACGAAGAGCGGCAGCTTTCGCACTTGTGGGATCCCGCACCACGGCGTGGATTGTCGCTCCGGCGGCGAGCAGTTCGGAAACCACTGCGCCGCCTTGGACGCCTGTTGCTCCAGTGACAAGATAGGTTGCCATTTTGCTAGATCGATGGAGAGCAGTGCTTGGTTGTGAAGTGTTTCTTGAAGATTTGTCGACGACGGAAGAGGGCGGGCCACCTTATATGCTTCGGCGTTGATGCAGGCCACCAAACCAGGTAGGTCACTTGGCCTGTGGCCTTCGCTTCAGATCCATTACAAATCGAAGTCCGTCTGAGGAGACCACGCACCTTTGCAAAAAAAAAAGCCGAGGATAGTGGACAGTCAGCTATGCATAAATGCGAGCCAGAGAAAGAATGGTTCTTTGAGTTGGAAGTGTTAGGACTGCTGTTGTCGCCCGCCTCATGAGGGCGAACGAAAGACCCACAAATCTCTCGTTTACCTCTTTAGGAATGGGACATACGAGGTATACAATGCATCATCGAGATCCAGCGTCATCGTCATGGTCGATCTTTTATGACAGTGGCGCTGCGAAACGTGACAATTGATGTACCGATTCACCCAGAGGTCCGCGGACATCGTGGACAGTAGTGGACCAATTATTGTTTGTCAGGTAGCAGCTAGGATGCGTTCTGCAGATACGATTCCCATGCAATATGCCCGAGCGAACGCTCTGAGCACCCTGTGTTTTGTCATCCCCGGTTCGAGACCATTGCTTGATGAATATCTATCCCTCCATCATCATCGTTACCGGTCTTGCTGCTGGCAGGATGGCTACAAGGGAGAAAGGGCAAGTTGGCCACCACCACCACCACCACTTCGGAGCCCCTCGACCAAACGCTGCCCTGCTGGATCGTCACACGTGTAAGGATAGCCACAGGCAGCGGCGGGAAAATCCACGTACTTCCACCACAGAGATTTGTCCGCGGCCTGCTCGATTTGCTCGCAGATGGCCCGGCAGTCATTCAGAGCGCGCGCACGAGTCCACCAGCAGTCCTTGGCGCACAGCAGGGCAAGCCAGTATGACACGAGCAGGAGCGCCCTCGTGTCAAGCGAGTTGAGAAGATGCAGAAACTGCGAAGAAATGCCTTCGACGAACTGCACGTACTGGAGAAGAGCCAGTTCATCCTCAGGATCAATGGCCACCAGCCGACACAGTCTGCGAAGCGTCTGAAGATACGGGTGGTTGGTGGAGGAGGACGAGAAGGAGAAGACCTCGAATATCGTCGCCAATTCGGCCGGGACGCCGCCGCCGTGCGCCCCTCCTGGCTGCTGACCGTGGTCGTCAGGGTGCGGTATGAGCAGAGCTTCCACCACCGGTTCTAACGTGCTTATCCACATGCTCCGGTCGACGCCCGATTTCGATTGGAAGAGCGTCAAGATTGGTCCGAGACCAAGTTGACTGCCGAGCCAGGAGAAGGGCGTCTGGCGATGTTGCAATGACACTTGGAAATCGTCGTCCATGTCAGCGAACGAGATGCATCCTAGAAACATCGACGTTGTGATGGCGGCGTCAACCTTGTCCAACTTCTGCGCTTCCAGCCACTGCCTCAGACCAGAGCAGGCTCGCATTGCATGGTATGTTTCGCTTAGACATCGTGCTCGCGGTGATTTGCGATGGTAGCGGTAATGACATCCTGATGCTGCAAGTACAGAATGCATGGCGAGTGGTTCCTAGGGGCAATTGATGGTTACTTGGTCAGCCTTGATTCCGGTATCCTGATCCTGATCCTGATCCTTATCTTAAAGGACCTTGATGCCGTGTGATGGCTGGGCCGCCCTACCTCTACAGCTATGCATACGACGTTTTTCACAGCCGGTTCCCATATGGACAAAGGCATCATGGTCTTGACGACCGACTCGATGAAATACGTGAACAGTCTCGAATCAATATCAGGGTACCAGTTCAAGTGTATCCTTGTCCGGAGACGATGCTGGTCGGCGCGAAGCTGAGGCCAAGATTGTGTTCCGTAGATGCAGCTCGTGCCGTGCTTGATGCAGTTCTGACACGCTGGCGTGTGTTCATCGCACTCCCCATCATCAGCGAGCCATGATCCGTAACTATTGTCCGGATCCCTTTGCTCACTTACCTTGATTCTGCGTCTCTTGCATATTAGGCACCCATTGTGCGATTTGTGATGGAGCTTTCTCCGCTTGTAATTCTGGACGTGTCCATTGGAGGCCTGACCCTCAGGGAACGACAGGACTTGAAATTGTCCTCCCTTGTTATCTGCCATCGCGAGTACCTAGAAATAGGCTATCGTGGTCTTGCGACGCAAGGCATGCTTGAGCCCGATTGCCGGAAGAACTTAGAAGTTTTGTCTCCTAGAAAGGGAAACGAGGGAGATAGTTAAGGTAATGGGTATTACGCACCCCAGGGGTGGTATTACGCACCCCACCTAAAGCGGTTAGCGCGGCCCAGTTAGGTTAGCGTATGTCTTGGCACAACTGAGGTAAACCCCTTTCCATGCTATCCCTGCCTACTCCTCGATCACAACCCTCTCAACAACATATTCCTTGCTCGCAACAACCTATCATTGCGTCTATCATTGCGTCTATCATTGCGTCTATCATTGCGCCGTCTAGCCATGTCGACCCCCGCCCAACTAGCCGCGGAAATGGAGGCCCTATTGGCCTATGAAACATCCTCAAATGATGAGTTCTATGAGTGCAACTCCGACGCGGAGGGCGCGGAGGGCGCGGCGGGCGCGGCGGCGCAGGAAGATGCCCCGGAGGCTCTCGACGGCGCGCAACCTAGTGAAGAGGCCGCGGAGGCGCAGGAACAGGGCCATGCTATCCCATTTGCGCTCCCGCCTCGTGAAGAGGCCGCGGAACAGGGCCCTGTGATTCCATTTGCGCTCCCGCCTAGTGACACTATGTTTCACTCACTTGAGGAGGCCTGGGAGTTCCTTGATAGGTGGACAGGGCCTCGTGGATATGGCCTTCGCATTCATCGACGAGGTCGTCTCCATGTCAACGGCGAAATCAATCAAATCTATCTAGTCTGTGATCGCGCCAACCCGCGGAACAGAAAAAAAAGCGCCAGTCATGTTGTTCATCAATATAAGGGCACCTTGACTCGGAATTGTCACTTTCGAATGGTGCTGAAGCGCTCTATGGAAGGCTCCCCATGGCGACTTATCTATACTCATCAAGAGCATTCTCACGAGCCATCCTAGGGGCCTTTAACTCATTCAAGCCTTCGCCGACGCGGTCGACAGGGTGAAGTTAATGAATTTATTAAGGAACAACTCCTTGAGGGTATCGGGGTGCAATCAACTATCTCACATATTCACTCCCTTCATGATATCTCTATCACTCGTCAGGATGTGACTAATGAGCGCAAGAGACATGAAAAGGTTGACTTAAATGGTAGGACACCTATTCAGGCACTTCTTCTAGCAATCACAGAGCAATGACAACATCGAACTCTATACAATATCAAGAGTTTGAAACTTAAGGGCCTCGCATTTTTTCACCACCAAGGTCTTGATCTCTTTCGACTTTATCCTGATGTTTTGTTGGTGGATACTACATATAAAACCAATCGTTTCAACATGCCACTGGTCAATATGGTTGGTGTGACAGCAAATAATGAATTGTTCTTTCTTGGATCGGCATTCATTAGATAGAAGAATGAAACCACTTATTAGTGGGTGTTGAGAAGTCTCCTTGAAATCCTTAAACACTGTCAAATTTCATCTCCATGGGTTCTCATCACAGACGCCGCTTATTCTCTTGCTAATGCTATTAAGGTTGTCTTTCCACTTGCCTCGTATTTACTCTGTCTCTGGCATATCAACAAGGCAATTATAAGCAAGGCTAAAAAGATATGGAGACCATTCACTTAGCGAGATCTTGACTTTATAACACAAGAAGATATCGATGAGAACGCCACAAAGATTCAAGTCCAATTAAAGCGTCTTATGAATAGTTGATGAAAATGTGTTAATATATCTACTAAGGATCTCGCTAATGAAGCCTAGGATAGACTAAGACGAGACTATCGATTCAAGCCTTAAATCTATGACTATCTCTTCTATACTTGGTTCATGAGACAATAAGGAATTTGGCGCTGTTTCATCGACAATTATCGTCATTTTGGCAATATCATAACCTTATGTCTAGAAGAAATACATCGAGTGCTAAAGAGTTATTTATCTAGCACTTAAAGCGATATCTTAACTATCGTTCGATAGTTTAAATATATTCACAGAGATATAACTATTAAGATCATGGCAAAACTTGCTAACAACAGCCAATCGAGAAGGCCTCAGTTCACTGGTTAATTATAGGCCTTTATGGTCACTTATATATCAATCTACGCACTTCTCAAGGTAGAAGAGATATACAAGCCTCATAATATTTATATGAATATAACACCCGCAACCTTGCGGGCTCCTCCAACAACATGGAGACCTTGCACAGGCTCATTCGAGCGTCGATGGGGCCTTCCATGTCCTTATATTATCCGAGCACGCATTGAATCAATGGAGCCTCTATAGGTTGAGGATTTCGACGTTCATTGGCGTCTAGATCGATGCCGAGAGATCACATTCAACTATGCTGAGGTTGCGCAACCACCAGATATTATCCCGCGGCATCGATATAATGTGAATGACAGGCGGATGTTGACTGAGCCTGAGCGAACTGACGCCGCAATAGAACAGGCCAATCAGGAGGCAAGAAGACGTCTGAATGAGTCAAACAGCGGTCGTGGAGGCGCAGGAACAGGCGCAAGAAGAGGCCGCGAAGGCGCAGGAACAGGCGCAAGAACAGGCCGCGAAGGAAGAGGCCGAGGCCGAGGACAGTCAACTCATATCCCAGGAACCATGACCTTTCGACTAGACTAGGTGTGGAGCGCAATGCGCGGCGAAAGGAACTCCCATAGAAAATAGGTGAGAGCCGCCTCTAACTAGCACTGGGACAGCATCACTTGCATCGATCCTTGCATCATTCCTTGCATCGTTCCTAGCATCATGATATTGTGCAAGCCTAGGGCGCCTAAAACACCGCCTAGAACGCGAGCCTAGAACGCTGTGAATAGGCGCGCCTTGGGGGGTGCAAGGGAGAATTATTCCTGACAAGGAAGGTTACCCGAGTGACGCTAACCGAAAGGGGGTGGGGTGCGTAATACCACCCCTGGGGTGCGTAATACCCATTACCGATAGTTAAGATGGAGAACATGCAGAAGGACTTTTCTGGCCTTCGGTAGGAATGGACCCAGTTCTTTTCTCGTTTACCTGTTTTGGACTTGGCCAGAGCCCCCGGGAGGGAGGGAATGCCTAGTGAACCCCCTCCACTCTCGGGCGAGTCCATGCAGATACTTCCGAAATCTTTCTTACTAATGCTGGAGCCGGTGCATCGCCATTCTCGAGTGCCGCGGACTTTGGCAGATTGTTGATTGGCACCAAAACGGGCATTATCTAATAGTCTCACTCTTCACGTTGGTGTCTCTCAAGAACCTCCCCAGTTTAGGCCAGCGAGCAATTCTTGAAAGTTGGAACCCACGTTGACCTCTGTAGGGGTTTCTTTCGGACACAAAACAAAGTGTAGCACTGCTGACATGACCATTGAAAAGTGAAGTCCAGTCTTCTTGATTCAGTACGAGTCTCTGTCAAACAAGCCTTTCGCCTTGCCCGCCTCATACAATGCCTTCAGTTTATCCCCTCCCTCGAGTTCGTAAAATTGAGAGATCTCACCCAAGTTATTCAACATCCTCAACAGACCAAGGAAGATCAAATCGGCGTAACAGAGTGTATGGCCATGTAGGAAGGGACCTTCGTTCTTCTCGTACGCTTCACCTAGTTCCTTGACTACGGGCGCGACAGTCTGAACGCACTTTTTTGCTCCCTTGGCAAACTCGTCCAGCTTCATTCCTATTCGCTTCTCGCGAGCCTCGATGAAGTATGTCTGACTGGGTGGGTTGAGGAGGATTTTCGGCACCGAAGGAGTAAATATAGGTCGAATAATGTTGGTGAATTTAACTACCAGTTCCTCGACGTGCTCCTGATCGGGGAGGTCGAGATGGAGAGACGGTTCTGGGTAAAGTTGCTCAAGCCTTTCGGCAATGGCGCGCGAGCCTTGAAGGTACGATCCATCGGGTAGCCGGATTGCTGGAGAGGTGTAGGCCGGTCCAGTCTCATTTGGAGCAAGTCCGCTGGAGAGAGGTAGGTCAGTATTTCAGTCAAAGCGGTAGATGATACTGAGGACTCAGGATGGAGGAGTGTTGGTCTCGCGAAGGCACTGAGCCATCCTTGCGGGCTCGACGGATTCTCAAAAGTTGAACTGATTCGTCTGCTACTACAATAACGTGAACTAAAAGGTAACGGAGCAAGGGGCACGGCTCACGTTTTACCCAGCTTAACCTTCAAATCAGGATACTCTGTCCACTCTGTCTGGTACGGAATGTTCTTGTAATTGAGAACGAGTCGCGCTATGCATGGACGTTAGTCTTGACTTGAACGAAGGCAAGAATGTGTTCACACCAGCCCTTTACCTTTCAACGCATTGTAGCTCCAGCTTTTGCCTTGCTTCGAGGGCAGGTCATACAGGACAATGGTATTCGACATGTTGGGTGAAGCTCCAGGAGGTTGTTGGATGATGGTTCAGCAGATCCTCAAACTCTGGAACCCTTCCTCCATATAACTTGCCGTTATCTCACCATGTCGTCATGAGCGCAGTACTTGAATGAGTCAAAAAGAAGAACTGGACAGCTCCGACTTAAGGTGCTACGCGCAAGAAGTGCAACCCATCGCTGCGCTGCCAGCGTCGATGGGGACCGAGGCATCTGCCAAGGACCCACCCCCGGCACGAAGAGCGATGTTGGACCTGGAATTGCCTCGTTACTTGCTGGCCTCTTGGCTCGATGGGAACCCAATCGCCTTGTTAAATTGCCCAGTAGATGTTGAAGCCGCTGGAAGCAGTCAGCAACTCCACGGGAGAAGTAGCTTTCACCCAAAAGCTTGATGTCCCGCGAAAGTACATCTTCAAGACTGGGGGAATGGGCATCTTCCCACAGCGTGCGAAACAGGCGTAAAGTCCGGTCATTGAACAGCCTGGTTTAACTGCAGAACAGAGTCTGTGGCCGTGGATGCTTGGTCGCAAATCCCCGTTGGCCATCCTGACCAGCAGAAAGCAATTGGCGATCGTCACTAAACCAGCGGCATTGATGCCGACTTCCTCGGAAACCCCACTATGGGATCGAATGCGACATTTTTTTTGCTATCAGCCTCAAGACACATCTGGTAATTGCTCGCGTGCTCTCTCCGATGCCGCTGAGTCTTTCGTCACTGCCAGGTACAAAGAGTACCGAAGGTCTCGAGCGTTGGCTATCTCGGTAATGAGTCAGAGCCCGAACACAATTTCACCTCGATTGTGTCTGCTCGATGCTTCGAGCTTCGTCCGAGGTTATTGAACCAGGACCATCTGTCCCTTCCCTGACCGTTGACGGAGCATAGACGACTCGAAGTTCTATGGTCTGACGCCTCCATGGTCGAATCGATCTATCCACTTGGACATTTTTCCGGGTTGCCTCGCTCTTATGGAAGAACAGGAGGTCAGTGACGGGCCTCCAGCCCAGACGACCAATCATGCCAGTCCCATCGATGACGAAAGATTCAAAATATCATCATTACCTGCGGTGCTGGAAACGAAGACAAAGTCAGATTTGCAGAAGCTCCCCTCCACTCTACCGCCCAAGGCCACGGAAAATACTCGTCTTGACTTGGAAGCTGGCTCACAGCAAGATGAGCAGGCCATGAGCGTTCCTCGAGGTTCAAGAAGAGGTCTCTTCGCCTCTGTAACGATTCTTGCCGAAATCCACAACCCATATCTCTATTCAAGGAGCAGGAAATGGTTCATCACGTTTGTGGTTGCCTTTGCTGCGGCAGCAACCTCACTTGGGAGCGCCATTATCTATCGTAAGTACATCGAGAACACATTTGCATGTTCGTTGTCTCGGCTGCTGACCCATTTGCTAGCCGCCCTGGCTGATACAGCCCGCGACCTCCATGCGAGTCCCACGGTGACCAACCTGTCCGTCGCTCTGTACATGCTCAGCATTTCTTTTTGCCCGCTCTGGTGGTCAACATTGAGCGAGACGGCTGGCCGCCGGACGACATATCTTGTTTCGTTGTTCTTCTTTGTGCTCTTTGCAATCCTATCGGCCACAGCTAAGTCGATTGGTGTTTTTGTTGCAATGCGTATGTTGTCTGGTGGCGCTGGTGCATCCGTTCAGGCAGTTGGGGCCGGGACTTTGGCCGACATCTGGGAACCTTTTGAAAGAGGCAAAGCCATGGGTCGTTTCTATCTAGGCCCCTTGTGTGGGCCGCTCCTTGCTCCTATAATCGGAGGGTAAGTCACAACCTGGTCAAGTAGCACTCCTCAGACATGTCTGGTGGCGCTGGACATCGCCAATGCTGACGATGTTGAGTCCAGATTCCTGGCTGCCCGCTGGGGCTGGAGGAGCACTCAATGGTTTCTAGTCATCTATGGTGGAATTAGTCTTGTCTTTCTTCTCTTTGCGCTCCCCGAGACAGTCAGGGTGCACGAGGACCCTCAAGCCGAGGGTACTTCAGAGGGGCACATGATACCAGTCGCCTCAAGAGCCCGGTCTCGCGGGCAAAGATTGCTTGGCTTGTCTCGCCAGGTATTGCTCGACCCGTTGAAGATGGTCATGCTGCTCCGGCACCTTCCAATCCTCCTTACCGCTTATTGGGCATCGCTCGCCTTCGGCACATTATACATTGTCAACATTTCTGTTCAAGATGCCTTCGCTAAACCTCCTTACAACTTCTCTGTGTCCAAAGTCGGTCTGACATACATCCCCGCGGGCGTTGGGTTTATGGTCTCAGCCCTCTTCGCCGGAAGATGGGCCGATTATGTCATGGCGAGACAAGCAAAGAGAAAGAACAGGTATGATGAACGCGGCAAGTTGCTTTTGCGACCTGAGGATCGTATGATGGAGAATGCTTGGCTTGCTGCCATTGCCTTTCCTGTAGCCTTGCTGTGGTATGGCTGGAGCGCCGACCAGGGAGTTTTCTGGGTAGTACCGGTACGAAGACGTCTCGTTCTATATATATCTCCTCCTCTTGGAACCCGGACTGACGGAAAAATTCCAATAGTTACTTGCTACCCTGATTTTCGGCCTTTCTGCAATGCTCATCTTCGGCCTAGCTGTGACGATGCTGACCGAGTTCGTTCCTCGCAAGCCCAGTAATGGCGTCGCTGTGGCCAACTTCCTCCGCAACATCTTTTCCTGCATTGGTACTATTCTAGGGGATCCGTTGATTCGCGCCGAAGGAACAGGATGGATGTTCACAGGGTTGGCAATCCTCGTTAGCACGGGTATCTTGGTTATTTGGTGGATGAGAGCGAAAGGTGCCAAATGGCGCGTAGAAAATGAAGGCAAAGTTGGATAATGAAGTTGACAGGGCTAGAGCGATGACCTGATCCTTATTGTTTCAGGTCCCAGGAAATCTTGCACCGGCTAGTACATGTTAGTAGCGGTATCGACTGGCAACGAAACTATATTGGCAGTCCTTGCATGGTTGCAGCAGTGGTGGCATTCTGGGAGGGAGGCTAATTGGCCAGCTGAGACGGTCCTGTTGTGAAAATGCGAAGCGCGCCGACATGCCTATGTCCCATTAGGTGCCGTATATACAAAGTTCAGTCTCTTCAGCTGGACCTGGGACCGACCCCGTGAGACCGCGTGTATGAGTGGGTCGGTCGACACAAGATCAGCTACAAGTACTTCTGCGGTATTGCCCTTCGGGTCTTGTGTCTCTTCCGTCATTGTAGAGTGGTGTCTGGAGCTCCATCGTTCTTCGTATCATCCGTGTCAAGAAGACCGGCGAGAGGGGAGGATAGTTGAGGGGCAATAGGCATCGTAATCAAGTCAAGCGTCGCGTGGGTATTATCAGAGAGATTACGTGAATACTGCGTCGTCATGGTTCAATGAGCGACGTTGTCTCACAACGTAAGGCTCGCAACCCTTGCCATGTGGTTTTGTAATGGTCTAGAAGTAAACACAGTAGAAGAAGGAGAACGGTACGAGTAGAAAAGCCGCATGGAGCGACGGCACGGAACATCTTTGTACCGACGAGAGCGAAGTGCTTAGTCATCACACCTGTTTTCCCTTCACCCAAGATAGCGGACTAGCTACCTGTACGGAGTACTTGTATATACTCTTGCTCCTGACCGCAATCAGAATGATCGATTCTTGTCTTGCACTATCTGTCCTAACTGTCTACAACACACACCACAAGACTCAAGGCAGTGTGTGAGAGGGGTGCTCATGTCTGACCTTTCATCGGGATCCAAGCCCCAGCCTACTTGCTAGCGACTTCTTGATCCACTACCACTGCCGCTCGACCTTCTTGCTCAAGTTTGTTGAATTTGCGTACAACCTGCAACGTGGCGTAGTAGCTGAACGGGAGGGCAATGAACCAAAGGCCGCAGTTGATGCTTGCAGTGGCAATCAACACGGTGGGAACAGCCTGCACCCCAAATCCTACTGCTACGCCAGCAGTCTCTATACCCCGAAGCAGAGAGCTGTATCGAATCTGGTCCCCTGGGGAGTCGGACAGGTTACTGATGCACCAGTAAATGTAGTTCTCTACCATCCCAAGGCTGATGCGCTCGAACAGGTACAGACCGAAGCCTCGACCAAAAGTCCGCTGATTGCCCCAGTCAAGCACTGGCTGCGTGTGGCGGTATTCGTTTTGGATGATAACCGCCCAGATCCATGTCGCGCTGTTTAGCAGTGCGATCAAGGTGTATGTGGCAATGGCCCGCCTTTGCCGACTCTTGGTCCATGGAAGATCGACGAGCGAGCCGGTGAGCCAAGTTGCTAGCGTTCCTACAACAGCAGACATGAAGCTTCCTAGTGCCCGAGACCGCACAGTGAAGTAAGTCGCCAAATATGTTCCGGGATACGCTTGAATCCATCCAAAGTACCAAAAGAGTGGTGTCAGTAAAAGAATCGGCTTGCTCCGGATCAAACGCCACATCTGCTGCAGTTCGACGCGCCAGGCAATTCCTCTGGGTGCGTAGATGCGAGTGCCATCATCTCTTATAACCTTCTCTGGGTTCGACAGCAGTAGGCCGAGGAAGAAGCCCAGACATTGAATGGCGATAAAGGCAAGGTACGTCTGATAACCGACCTTGCCACGGTGGTTGATCTTGTGGTTTATCCCGAGGGACACGGCTCCCCCAATGATGTTGCCAAAGTTGCGGAAGGTGAACCAGGTCGCAATGTATCGGCCTCGCTTGTGTTGTTCTGGATAGCCTGTGGCAATGGCACCTTCGACACTCCAGAAAAACCCTGCACTGATACCACAAGCCACGGCACCAAAGTACACGAACCAAGTTGCCCCTGTACGGTTGTTGACGTACAACCCGGCCGCGTAGAGTGGGTAGCCCAATGCTCCCACAGCGAGCGTCCAACGGAACCCGATCACGTTGGTCAGCCAGGGCCCTGCAAAACAGGTCACTGTCATGAAGGCGTACAGAAGGGCATTGGCCGCGTTGACAAGGTCAGGACTTTGCGAACCGCCCACGCCCAGTCCATTCATGGCGCTCCAGATGCCAGGCGCGCAGAATGCGCATATTCCCACGACGAGGATCTGGAAGAGGGTGGTACGAAAGAAGGGATGTCGGCCTGGTTGCAGAGGTGGCTCCCCTGACTGTACGGGGAGGGGAGGCGGAGAAATCGCTATTTCCTGGTCCCCAATATCCAGGGCTTTCTTGCCGTCGAGAGGTTGTGTCGACATGATTGACGGTATCTTTCACACGATGTCAAGTTCGCAGCAGACACAAAGGGAAAGAATATGCCCCGAGGATCGCAGTGATAGTGGAATAGACAGGGAAAGTCTTAAGAGAACATCATTCTGATAAGCAGGATGGTTAATGTGCGTTTATCAAAGAATCCCTAGGCTTCCCCAAGGGCCCATGTCTGGGATGTTTCGACCCTCAGGAACGGATATCACCTCAATTGTTCATGCGAAAAAAGCACGCAAGAGAACACTGAAGTGACAGCAGACGAACACTCTACCTATTTCACAGGAGCCAAGTCTGCCTAAACCAAAGATAAGACTTTGTTATTGGCGACCTGCTCCTTGAAACTGTGGTACTCATTTCCATGTGCAAGGTTCTAACGCTACCCATTGGTCGCGATACTTGGAAGCGTACTAGCCCAGGGCACACTATATGAACAAGTGGATTTCATGAGCCTGAGAGACAGACATCATGCCAGATGACAAACTCCAGTCTCTCTATAAGTGGGGGGTTTCGTGATATTAAACCACGATGGCACCATATGGACAGCGGGGAAGTCCTACGAATACATCTGCCATGCCTCGGCTCGCCCTCAAGTCAACACATGGACTTCGGTGAGAGATATTGTTCGTTATCAGGCAGAGTCACAATCAATACTGTCACGGTTTTTGCAATTGCCTTATATCGCGGTTACCCAAGGTCCAGCTGGCCCTGGCGACTTCATCCCCTTCCAACATTGGATATTATCATATATCTAACGTCCCCTGAACGACAATGGCAGCCTCTGTGCAACATGTTTTAGGCCACCCACTTAAGCTCGACGGGGCATCATCACCTGTGCTGGCCTTTGAACCTTTCGATCTGCCGTCGACCAACCAACGCGTTCTGGGAGCACCACATCCTCCCAACTCGGTCATCCCGCTGGCACTACGACCATCTACTCACGACGATGCCGAAGTGTCTCTGGACACAGTCGTTGACACTATCAAGTCGCTCCAGGCGCAGGACGGTCTTCTGACCAAGAAACTCGCCCGCCACGGCACCCTGCTCTTCCGCGGCCTTCCCATTCGCAATGCGGAGGACTTTAGCAAGTTTGCCCACGCGTTTGGCTACAGACCTCACGAGATCATTGGGATCGTCGTGGACAGGCCGTTGCTAGCTCCCAATGTTGCGCCTGCCAACGAGGCTCCCAAGGAAGTCCTGATCTACAACCACAACGAATCTCCACAGGTACCTCATGCGCCCGAGTACATCTTCTTCTACAGCCATCGTGCTCCAGCCAAGGGCGGCGAGACGCCCATTTCATCCTCCCTAGAGATCTTCGCCCGCGCACAGCAGGAGATTCCCGAGTTCATATCTGAACTTGCCCAGAAGGGCATCCTCAGCAAGGTGACATACAAGGTCAACAAGCAGTATGAAGGAAACTCCACGCTTCGACAGGCATTCGGTAAGGAGATCAAGGACGGCGACGACGCCGCGACGAAGAGGGCCAAGATCGAGGCTCAAATAGCCCGCTATGGAAGAGGCAAATACACCACCTGGGAATGGATCGACGACGACGACACATTGGTACTCACACACCGTCTGCCTGCCATCCGCACTCAACCAGAGACTAATCTCCCAACGCTCTTTACTGGGTTGGCAGCGTACTATAAGACCGCACAGCTCAATCAAAGCGCCAGGAGGAACATCACCACCCAGCTTTTTGGTGACGGGACGCCGATCCCGGAGAAGTACCTGGCGCATCTTGCCAAGATCACCGACGAGCTGAGGGTCCTCCACAAATGGCAGCAAGGCGACGTGCTTGTGTACGATAACATCATTGCGCAGCATGGTCGACAGCCATGGGAAGGCGAACAAGCAGATCGTGTTGTTTTGGCTAGTCTCTTTGACGGCGAAGTGCCTGGAGCTTATGTGGATGAAGACTGGGCACAGGTTGTGCAGGCCCTGGACGGATGAGGCCATCGAGAACTTCACTGTATTCTAGGCTCTGGCTCTCTATGCTTACCCCAGGCTTTGGAATTACTGTTGTTGCTAATATTTCCCCTATGTGCAGTAGGCCGACAATGGGACCATGGGGTGTATACCAGTATATGCTCGACCCATTGCCAGATCTAATCACCTTTTTGGAGTAGATTACTACATTCATTGAAGCGCGAATTTCCGTTTATATCACGCTACTGTAGTTTTGTGTCTTAATCACTCAGTCATGCCTAGCTCGAGGCTTCTGCCGTGGCATCGTTCCCCTTACGACGGAAAGTGTCGTGAACAAGCATCATTCCCATATCCCTCAGTGCCGGATAGCTTTCCACGACGGGCCAGATGATGCACGCCGTAGCACTGAAGAAGACCCATATCAGACTAACAATAACCCAACCTTCGAACGCTGCTTTGCTGAAGATCCACCCGGTGCCGTAGAAGGTGAACGGGAACAAAATGATGGCGACGACAAAGAAAACCGCGCAGCTCCAATAAGCCAGCCTCCGGGCCCGGTGGTACGCCTTGAAATCCAGAGGCTCAATGTGGTTGGAGGTCAGATAGTCAACCACTTCGTTGCCCGTGGGAGCCGCAGCCTCGGGAAGCGAGGCACTTGTGGCCGTCTTGTTTGTCTCGGTTGCTTGATCAGACCCAGTAGGCTTCGTCTCGCTAGTGGCAGGATCAGCTGTCAGAGCTATGTCTGCCACTACTTCCTGTCCGCCAAGGGCGGCCGTCCCCCGAATCTTTTCCACTCGGGCAATGTGAACGGGATCTGTCGAGGTATATTTGTAGGGGAAAAGTATAGATAAAACAACCACGGTAATAGCTCCGGTACCGCAGGCTGTCGCACTTCCTGCCAGAGAGTTGGTCAAGTCTCCGGTAGTGACTGCAGTGATGGTTCCGGAGCGGATATGAGTCGTCACGAACCAGGCGATTAGCCCCAACGGCGAAGCAATCAATGGTGCGCCAATAGCAGCGGTCGTTGACACCCATGTTGGAAACAGAACGATGAATCCCAGCGGGATTCCGCCACCTCCGACAATAACACCGCCAGCTGTGATAATCCATGTGATGTCGATCCCACTGGCGCTCAGTCCGCAGCAAAAGGCCGCCAAGATCAGGGAGTACGCCACAATGCCGTAGTGTGCCTGTCTAACCAATTTCGAGGATGATGCCGACGGATTGATGTAGAGTTTGTACACATCGAACGTCCACAATGACGAGACTGCGATGAGCTCGGCCGACGCAGCAGACGTGACGGCCATGAACAGCAAGAGCAGCATCAAAGCAGCTCCATTCTTACCCATGAGGGCAATTGCGGTTGCAGGGGCTGCGAACCCACCGCCGATTTGCGCAGGCGTTAGAGGGTTGGGATACGTCGGGAATGATGGAGAGCCTGTCAGAGCCACAGCACCCAGTCCCATGGCCGTAGCGAATGCATATGGTATGCCGTACCATGCGAGCTGGTCCAATGCCAGTCAGTACATATCGAATAAACCGGCAATGAAGGCACTTACACCACCTAACAAATATGCCTTGACGCTGGTTTCCGGCTTTGAAGCAATGGCACGTTGCCAATAGGCCTGATCCATCCACACAGTCGAAAAGCTACCCAGAAAAATAAGAGCTGCGAACTTGATCCCATCCTTCGATCGGAATGTAAGCCACGAACCATCACGGTTTCCCGGAAGCGGACTGGCTTTGGAAGCTGCAACAAGTAAGTCGTAGACTCCTCCTGGACTCCCAACATAGTCGTTCGAGGTGTATAAAGTAAAGGCAAATATGAAGATTGCCACAAAGAGGATCACCGTATGCAGATAGTCGGCGACAAAGGTGCTTCGAAGACCTCCTTGGATCACATACGCGGCCACAGCGATGGGGATCTGCATCACCACCCGTGTCAGTATACATCTATACTCTCTTGCATGAGCTTTCCTTACAATGAAACAGGCTCCATAGACGTTGACTCCTGACAGTCCAGCCAAGACCTGTGATCCGCCGAGCACCAAGGTCGCACCGACAACTGTATCCCGCGCATGTTAGTGTCTTGGTTCTACATGTGGATATAACAAATTAATGAGTCACTTACACATATTCACAATCCAGCCAAAGAAGGTGAAGATGCCGTGAGCCACTGACCGTAAGTTAGTCTACTTGTCTATTTCTCAACGAGTGGCACACGTTACCTTTGCCATGGCGCGAGAGCACGATCTCCGGAAACGTATGTGCCCCTGGTACATCTCTCTTCACTCGAAGGGAGAGCAATGCGAATAGAATGACCTGTGACGAGCCGAGAGCCGCGTACCACATCGGACCAGATATACCATAGGCATATGCAAAGGTGGAGCTGGTCAACAAGGTCGCAGACCATGTCCAAGCCGAAACAATACCTGCAACGATGAGACCGGGCTTGACGTTCCGCGAGGCTGTATTGAACTCCTCGGATTGTTTGGTCGAGAATGCAAAGTATCTGTTCTGGAACTTGGTCGTCAGGATCATAATCAGACTAAAGGCGACGCCGATCCCTGCAATAATACCATAGCCAACCCCTTGGCTGAGCACCCTCAATTCAGGGCCGACCGAGTAGCTTGACATGATGTTTGACAACTGTGATTCAAGAATAGAAGAGAAGCTATCTTGGAGTTTTGGTCTTCTCTGTCCAGCCTACATCGGCCCACGTTTATATATCTGGACATGGCTATGTCGCAGAGATAAGACTGCCTCAGATATGTGGTCTCTTTGAATCGCAACTGCGCCCAAAGATAAGACATGCCAGACTAGACATCACAGAGTCTTTGAAATCAATGCTTCGATAATGTTGCTTATCTGTCTGCGCGTCAGGCGTTTTGAAAGCGTACTTCGCCGTCATCGCTGCGGAGTAAAGGTCCAGGCATCTCAAGAACGTTGCCGCCGTTGATAACTGCAACCGCGCCTACGCTAACGGGATTAGTTGCCAGCCGCAGACTATGGCGGCGACCGATGCCCTTGTGGGAAGCCCGCGGAGCAAGTAGGCGCCGTTGATATCAGTTCTCGACCACTGAGGGCGAGGATGTGTCTTATCATCGCAGCATATACTGCGTAACCCGTATACTTTATCAAGGCCAAGCGAGTTTCACGTTGCCGCAGTTGTCTATTTCTCAACAGCGGCTTCTGACAAGACGATAACTTAGCAACTGGTTTTGCATAGTTAGAGGTCAGATGGCTAGATCCATACACGCCACCAGGCCGGGTGAATGTTGTAGGAGATACTGATTCAATTCACTGAACGTGTCACCTATCAGGAGGGAACGTATATCCTCTTTCGCTTCCGCCTTGGTAGGCGCGGGCACTTGTCCATGTCGTGGAAACGTGTATAGTGTCCATAAAAAGGGGAGTATGCCGCTCTTGTAAAGCGATTGTAGTTCCCTCTGACAATTTATCCTGTGACCTCCATGATGGCTCCAAGTTGGGAAGAACGTGCTTCAAAGAAGAGAGAATCGATCCTGGCTTCCATTCCCTCAGAATGGCGACTGCCACAACCCCTTCCGTCTCCCGAGGCCCAGAAGGCCGTCGCCGGGTCTTATGTTCAACAGTTTTTGTCCGCCCGAGAGATCGAGATCACTGAAAGCGACGCGGTAACAATCACAGAGAATACAACGGCTGGTAGATGGAAGGCAACAGAAGTCGTGACGGCTTTTTGCCACAGAGCAGCTCTCGCACACCAACTAGTCCGTAACATTTCAGGATGATCAAAGTGATCAACTGGATCCATACTGACTGCTCGACGCGTAGACAAACTGCCTTCACGAGATCTTCTTCGATCAGGCGATCGAACATGCTAAACAGCTTGATGCAACATTTGCGGCCTCAAACGGCCCCATCGGTCCTCTACACGGCCTTCCGGTCAGCTTCAAGGATCAGTTCCATATCAAGGGCGTCGAGACGACCATGGGATATGTTGGCTGGATTGATACGTTCGAAGGCGTCACAGGAACCGGAAAAGAGAAGGAGGTCGATAGCGAATTGGTACGAGAAGTCAAAGCACTGGGAGCTGTGCCATTCTGCAAAACGAGTTTGCCACACACTGTGATGAGTGGAATTACCTGGAATAACATTGTAGGCTTCACATTGAACCCACACAACCGTCTTCTGAGCTGCGGGGGTAGCTCCGGAGGTGAAGGAGCTCTCATTGGCATGCGTGGGAGCCCAATTGGATTTGGGACGGACATTGGTGGGAGTATAAGGTCAGTCTGATCGTGAGAAAGTCCATATCTTCAAACGTGCTGCAGCTGACCGAACATGAAGAATTCCATCGGCCTTCAATGGGCTGTACGGTATCAGACCATCATTTGGTCGTTTCCCGTACGCAGGTGTGGCCAATAGTATGCCTGGCCAAAACACAATTCCCTCCGTTTGTGGACCACTGGCCACCTCTCTCGGAAGTTTGAAGTTGATGGTTCAAGCTGTATTGAGTCAGAAACCATGGCTTCACGATCCTGCAGTTGTCGAGTTACCTTGGAGGGATGAGCTTTACATGCCACAGCCTGCAGATGGCAGCAAGCTGACATTTGGAATCTTCCCTACCGATGGGTTTACGAATCCTCAGCCACCAATTAGGCGTGCGTTGGAGATGGTGCAAGAAGTCATTATTGCAATGGGCCACGAGGTGGTGGAATGGCAACCTCCGTCGCACCAAGAGGCAACACAACTCGCTGTAAGTCTTCACAGCCACGAGAAGTCGACGTGTTATACTAAAACGAACCATAGCTTGAGGTATTCACTGCTGACGCTGGAATTGACATCTGGCATCACATCGGGCTTTCCGGTGAACCTCTCGCAAAGAGCATTGCGCAGTTTTACGGAAAGGAGCCCGGTACGCCGAAGACGGTTGACAAAATGTGGGATTTTAATCTGCGTCTTCGACAATATCAGAAGAAGTACACGGACTACTGGACAAGCACGGCTACAATGACAAAGTCTGGTAGGCCTGTTGACGCCATTCTGACCCCAGTGACCCCTATGCCGGCATATCGATTTGACGGATCAGTTCCGATTGGTAGGATTTGTTCATAATTCGGATGTTGCTCGAGCTGAGACGTGCACCAGGATACACCCCTTGGGTGAACGCGCTCGACTATACTTCAGCCGTGTTCCCCGTGACCAAAGTCGACAAAAATATTGACACTTTCGACGACAAGTATCAGCCATTGAACGAAGCAGACAAGAAGGTGTGGGAAGAGTGTAAGTGTCCCTTTGAAGTCGGGACTTGTGCCAGGTAGCTAATAACTGAATATTAGATGACCCTGAGCTTGCACACGGCACGCCTGTTGGCCTGCAACTCGTGGGGCGGAGGCTCCAAGAAGAGAAGATTCTGGGATTGGTGGAGTTGATCTCGACATCGCTAGCCACCAAAGAGAAGACCGTGTAGTTCGGCGCGTAGTCTTGAAGAGTACATGCTGGCCTGGGTTCACAGCAACAATAGTCGAGTACCTAGTTGATTCATAGCCCTGATCCAACTACAAGTCTCTTCCCCTTCTGCCTGGGATGCCCGAATCTTCCAACATTCCTCTAGGATTTCCAGTGTCCACATTGTAATGACCAGGGGGTGCTTTCCTTCTTCAGGTGGTGGATTCAGTGCACGGAAGCGTGGATACTCTGATTCCAAGGCCAGACATCCAGCAACGCAGTTCGGCCAAGCAGGAATGTTTTGTGTCGAATGGGCGCGCATGTACTCGAGTGCGCCCAAGGTCTGGAGAACAGAGTTTCGAATTTCCGGGATATTTGGGTGAAAACCCGAGACGACGACGTGGAGAAATAATAGGGCTGCATGAAGAAATGTGTTGGTCATCATTTGGAATTCTTTACGCCGGCACGAATTTGGAGTTGAAGTCGAAATAGTATCCACAGTGCTGTGATAAGGTGTAGAGTGGAAAGCTTCGCATTGCGTCGAGGATGAGCAGGGCGTTGGAGCGCACCGCGCAGCACCTTCTTGGAGCTTGTCCTCTATCATGGCGGCACGGCGGCTCAGTTCTCGAAGACTAAGCGTCCCAGCCTGTGAGGCTTTCTGCTTCCAGTCTTTGAGGACGGCAATATCGAGAATGGTTAGGAGGACCCAATCCTCACAGCCGCGCATATCTCTGAGCCTGTTTTTCTGGGGCCGATAGAGAGCTCTGATGCGAGTGATAGCTTGGGCGGATTGCGAAGTCATTCCAAAGCTAGCTGTGGAACAGATGAACATGTACGTGTACCAATCGAGGAAGAAGTTGAAAGCAGACTGTTCGCCATCGGAGAGAAGGTGAACGGGAATATTGGACTCCGGAAGGTCGTCGAAGTCTTCGGATGGGGAGGCAGGTATAGGGGTTATAGTTCCATTGCCTGGGCTGGAGGGGCGAGAGGCTAAGTCAAGGGTTGATAAAAGAGCACTGGCGGCGTCGAGATGCATTGGCCAATCGGTGACGTCGAGCCCTCTTCTGGGAATCCAGAGCTAGAGAAGAAAATCAGGTCAGAACCAGGGTCCAGATGTAAAGCCAACGAGGGGGGCTTGAAAGAAGAAGAGAGTAGACGATGAACGCGGAGACAGGAGAAATAGGAACTACAAACCTCAAAAAATATAAGGTGAACGATACAACCGAGCGCCTCAACGCCGGCTGCCATCTGATTAGTAGCTGGTTTTTTGGCTAGTTGGTCGAGATGGTCGCGCAGATCAGCTACGCTTTGCAGATGTTGCATCTCCAGCTCGTGGTAGGGTTGTGGAACTTCAGTAAGCGGTCCAAGGGAGAACTGCGCTTTGTCGCACGCACTCAGGCAAATGACAGCCGTATAGAGAGGGCGAGTGCGTAGAAAAAGGTTGAGAAGCCAGCCTCGGCCATTGTTTGCTCCTGAATATACGTAGAAGGGGGCAATACGTCGAAAAATATGGTCCAAGTAGTACATCACCAGATTGAGGTCAAATTCAGTGAAGGGGGTGGGAGTCGAGAGAGGAAGGCTGGGCTCAGGGTTACGTCGGTTCGATATGTAAGCGGAGTTAGAATAGAGCAGGCTGGAATTGCTTCTTCTAGGATCTTGAGGCTTCCTGATCGCAAGGCCGGAGACCTCACCGTACGGAGGTGTGGTGCGCCATAGCAGCTGGGGAGAGCTGTCGGCCGTCGAGACCGAGCTTTGCTGGGGCCACAATGACAATGTCGGCGACGGAGACTCCACGAAAGCCGTACCATCCGTAGCTCCCAAGACAAAGTCAGGCCGATAAAGACAGAGGTCACTGATAGCGGCGGTTTTGCTCCGGCGAGTACGCCGTTGCCTGTAACTTTCTTTGATGCGTCGCTGGATTGTGTCCATCATGGCCTTCTCAGCAGGACCGCCATCCATCCAAGGAGGCTTTGCATCATAGCCGTAGCATGTTATCGAACGTGCGCTGCAAGATGAGCAGGCCGGACGGGCATCGTCGCACTTCTTTTTGCGAGCCCTGCATGTCCAGCAGCCTGTTGTCTTGCGTGGCATTGTTTGAACCGTGTCAGGAGTCGACTTCGCAAATCTCTCTTGGAGTAATCAACCGAGGCTGCATCTTGACCCTGGCTATTCGTTGAGGAACTGTCAATGCTTGGCCTCGACAGCATGCAGGGTTTCTGGAGGTTTCTGGCATCCAAGGGTGAGATGAAGGAGTGTTTGTGAATCCTGGAGAACCAAGGCGATAACTACATGACCGACAGAGTGCCTCGGACTGTTATCTTGATAGCCGAGTCTGACCTGATTGGCTTAGTGGAGGCTCGCTGGCTGTGACTTCCGTATTCGTATTCGTATTCGTACTGTTACGCCGCGTCATTGAGAATACACTTCGCTCCTTGGTATCCGCGTCTTGACTATCTTCGTGAGGAATAGAAGAAAGCCGAGACAAGCGAAAAAAAGCATATCAATGGAATGCAGGAGTGGGAGGGCGTGCTACAAGAGACATTCATTGGTTTCCTGGGGATATGTTATGACCCGGTGCTTCTCGCAGGGTGCTTCTCGCATTTCAAAGAATCGTAAACTCGGGCCAGGACCCCATGAAGATCCCAAGACAGGACGATCAGAGACTGATCCCTCATTGAGCCTTTTCTGCCGACAGAGCTTCAGCCTCGTGGAACAAGCTATCGCAGCAGTGGGAAGAACGTTGTAGATTACGCATCAGTTCTCTCATACGCCCGGAAAAGTCTATCTTGTCTATTCCAAACCAATTAATACATAGGCTCCCGCCTTGAAGCCAGAAGTTAAAGACATTGTACCCCCGCCAAACCACCTCACTAGGAGCAATCGCATCGAAAGTCTATGAGCATCAATCTATAAAATGTGTCTAATCTTATCCAGTTGCCGGGTCAGAATTGGCTTATGGCCTCGAAGCATCTTTGTGACTCTGAGAACTGGCGCTCATGACTGGTTGGTATGTGGGAAGAACCTGCTTTGACTGCTCCTTCTGCTTTACTTTGCCATAGCCGTAGATGAGACCACTGAAAAACCCTAGCAGGATAGCAGAGACGCTTCCAAACGTAACAGGAGCGTCGAAAAAGACAATACCGCTGATGGCCAGAGGAAGCTTGTTCAAATAACCAACGAAAGAGTATGTGGTGGACGAGGTCTTGCGGATGCACCAAGCAGAAGAGTAAGAGATGAAGATGGCGCCCAGGCCGGAATATAACATGCCAATCATGATGTTGTTTCGTGACTCGGCCGGGAAATTCTTGGCAAAGTTGGCCGAAGACCAATCCTCGGTGATCAGAGAGCAGAGGATCATGATTGGGAGTGACAGCAGATTGTTGTAGAACATGGCTAGTTTAGAATGATTAGTGGGTATTTCACGTCACGGCACTGGGCATTGTGGAAAAATAAGTACTTACTGTCCCAGTCCTTGAAATGTAGCGAGGTGATGAATTTGCGCGTGCCCAGAACATACGAGGCAGTGCAAAAGACGTTGAGCCCCATCCACGCATAGCCGGCGTTCAAGGTTGAGATGGCGGCAGTGGCTTCATCCGAGTGCCCAGCGCCTTGCAGAGCAGCCTGAATATCTGCCCATGCAGCAACAATTGAGCTGAGCACCATGAAGCCGAACGAGAGCAGGAGGAGCGGCGTGACGTGGCCGCCAAACCACAGCACCTCACCATAGGCAATGACGATGATGGTCAAGTTTTTGAAGATAGTATAGACTGGAACCGACAAAAACTGAAGAGCCTTGGTGCTGGTGTAAATCATGCCCACGAAGACAACAGACACGGGGAGCCCTGGTCTAGTATTAGTAGGGGTACACCTTGGCTGCGACCGACATACATCTCTTGACCTTGCTGGCCTCCAAGGCAGCGAGATTCGGAATCGTGCCCATGTTTTTGAGGACCAGAATTGCAGCCGTGCAAATCAGGGACTGTTGTGAATGTATCAGCACAAGACCTTGACAGAGCCAGCATGCCGCAACGTTGACCTACCTGAATGGCCAGATACAGGAAGTTCAGGCTCCATGACGAGCCCGAGACAACATATTTGTTGACAACTGTCATACTGATCGACGAGAAGCAGTAGGCCAGAACAGCAGCAAGAGGATTGTTTTCGAGCTGCGAAAGTAGACTCCCCGAGCTGCCATTGTCTCGCGGTTGAGGGGGCGCAGGCTCCGACAGGAACTTCTCTCCTTCACCAAAATCCTTCTCTTTCACACTGCTCATTTTTGTTGCGTCGGGATGCACGTTCTCTTTGTTTTATTCTTGGATGACACTACAGTCTTAACGTCAGATCGGAATGGCTAGAAGGAAAGGAGTCCGTTTCGCGGGTGAACAAGACGCAAGATTGGGTACGCACCGGAATCCTGCGCAATCTGAAAGATGCAGTCGACTTGACAGGACTGGGACTGACTCTCTTCGGGTCTGTATATCAAATCTAAAGGAACGAAGGGGGAATGAAAGAGACCGACAATTTAGAAATCGTTAAGAGAGACACAGAAAGTATTGAGCGAGATGTGAAATCGACGCGTTGAATTGGGCCAGATACGAATGTTTCCAAAATAGGCTTAGTGGATACGGAGGGGCATAGGGCCATAGGCGACCATATCCCTCTCGCAAGTTGTTGACCCGCATAAGGCGACATTGTTCTCACTTTCCAGTTGAATATCAGGATAGCTAGATTTGTGGATTGACATGCCACAACTGCTAGACATGTGCCTGCATATCGCGTCTCAGGAAAATGCCAGTCTAAATGTCCAACGTTAAGCAAAGCCAACCAAAAGACTTCCTAGCGAGGCCAGCACTGCCAATACAAGTCACCCGCTGCAATCCATCAGAAAAGCATGAACTCCAAGGCAGGGATCCAACTTCAACCAGATATGGAGGATCACTATGCAAGTGTGCTTGAAGGCCAAAATATCCAAGTTCCTGATTGATGATCTGCCTGGCCAGACAGGCTCTGCATGTTCGAGATCAGCTTATTACAACTAGTGACGGCACATAAATGCCAGACCACGCACCGTGCAAACACTGGACGGATACATCAACTTGACGAGCCAAAATGGCCCAGACTCCCTCAATTCAGCGATGTACATAGGCTGCAAGAGATTGTGAGCTCACTTTTCAGATCGTTGAGATTCTCGAGGTGACTTGTGTCATATGGAGTTGCTGCGTCACCTGCGCCGTCTTTGAACTCTTGCATACATACGTCTCTCCTCTACTAGAGGAAATTGGTTCCGTCGGAGGAATCAACGCTGAAAAGGTAGACCGGTCCCGCGAATGCAGCAGTTACTGCTCTGTCGATCTTGCAGGTATGATCTGAATGGCGCTCCTGAATGACTAGAGCGCCTTGCTGTGAATGTCCGCCTCCAGCCAAGCCACCAAGCGTGACCCTTGAGTGTTATAAGGCTGTATGTTAGGAGGCCTGCAAGAAGCTGGCCGCCGACCCCATACGGCACAGGATCACTAGTCAAATATGAGGACATAGTACTCGTAGCGTGAACTGGTATTTCATACTGGTGACTGGAAACGCCAACTACCTACTTCCAGTACATAGCTACATCCTACGTAGTATCGTACCGGAACTCTTCGTAACTTCCCCTTTCGACGGATTGCAGTCGCTGTCATTGAGCCTGGCCATTGAATCCCGTTCAAAAGCAGCGCCCAGGATGCTCGAGAAAAGCAAGTTCGTCAGGTGGTGATATACCTTCTGTGCTGTGAAGATGGAGGAGGACAAATTCCTTGTGTGACACACACGAGTCTCGCAAAGGATCTCCATCTACTCGTCGTCGTTGATATCGACGACAGTCTTCTTCCACTTCCGAGCCTGAACACGACGTTTGAACAAAATGTCAATCTCGCGATAAGATCGGTGCTTCATTTCTGGAATCCAGATCCAAGCCATGACTGTGCAAACAAATGCAGTTCCAGCCCAGACGTAGCCGCACTTGCCACCGAGGTTTGCTTGGTCCGGGTTGAGCATGTAGCTAGCCAGGAAGATGCAAGGGATGTTGACCGCATAATAGGCACCACGTCCGACACCAGTGGTCAATGGCCTGAGACGGATGGAAGATGTCTCTCCGATAATGACCCATGAGGCCGGGGCAGGTCCCAAGCAGAACAGGACAGAGACTATCAATCCTAGTGACGCCTGTGCATTCTTAGCAGCATTGCCACCACCGACAGAAGCGGCGATGCCGAGAGCGACCAAAAATGCACAGTTGATGAAAGAACCCCAGACGTAGATCGTTCGTCGGCCGAGGTAGGTCGTGAGGACCCAAGAGAGCATGACCATGATCCACTGGAGAGCTGAGGTGATGAGACCTAGAGCGAATGCAGTATTGTCGGACATGCCGGCCTCTGAACTGCCGTCAGCTTTCTGCAACACTGCCAGGGGAAGGCAAGAAACTTACGCTGGAAGAAATAGACCGCCTGGTTGGCGATCAAATTACCTGTCAGATTTTGAGAAGCGTAAACACCACACACGATGAGTGTGCGGTAGCGGTCGGTTCCTTTCCACAATTCGATGAGTGTTGGTTTCTTCACGGACTTCTCAAGATCGATCGTGCGACGCATCATGGCAACTGTGTCGGCAGGGCTGTCGGTCGCACTCGAACGTCCGAGGCGTCTGACGGACTTCTCTGCCTCCGCGAGACGGCCCTTTCGCACCAGCCACCACGGTGATTCGGGTGCCAGGTAGAGAAGGATGGCAAGAGGCGTCGGGAACATCCATTGAAGGGCGATGGGAACTCTGGGGACGATGTTAGCAGTGGTCTCATACGGCTGCGGCAGGGCACGAACCTGTACGCCTGGTCGCTGTCCTTGGATTGGTAGTGATAGGTGATGCCACCGACAATGATCGAACCAATGGCCCAAAACATCTGCAGCATTTGTGTCGCCGGAGCTCTCAATCTCAGGGGCACTATCTCACTGCAGTAGGCGGGGGCATTCGCAATGAATACGCCCCAGGGAATGCCTTCGAGAAGCTGGGACAGCAACAACACTCCCAACGAATTGCCGAAATAGAAGACAAAGATGAAGGCATTCAAGGCCATGAGACCGCCAATGGTCGCCCAGCGGTATCCGATCCAGCTAGTAATGGGACCTGCCAGGAACACGCCGATGAATGCACCGACTGGTCCACCGCACTGAAATGCTGACTGCCAGGGAGCTGTGATGTACCATTTCCCCTTGTCATCGTTGTATTTGCCGTAGTTTTCGGCAAACTTGGCCGTGGCGATGAAATTTCCCATCAGGAAGACGCAGTATGACTCCATGATCTGCCGAAACGGTCAGGGCAATGTTGGCCTGGCAGCGACCGACAGGGACTTACGATAGTGGCCGACATGACAAAAGCCCACCAGCTGGCCGCGGGATAGGCTCGGACGGCCTCAAGCACCCCCATCCTGTGCTCACTAGTTTCAGCATCGATTGCACCCCCCCTGTCGTATTCGACCTTTTCGACCACATCTTGAATGGGTTCATGCTTCGGGTGGTGCGCCTCGACCTCTGAGATCGAGGTCGGCTTCTCGGAGGCGGCGGTAGTCATGGCGGCGGTGCTGCTGGAAGATGGCACTGGGCGATGGGAGCAATAGCAAGATCCCAGATGGACAACTGGGACATGCAGATGCTATTTAATCCCTACGTGGAAATCTGAGGATGGATCTCTCGGTGGATAAGCGATAGGAGGGATTGCCCACCGGGGCCGGGGGGGTGCCCACTGTTGGCCTCCGCACCCCAACTTCTCCGCCTCTCGCACCCCCTTTGGGCAGATGTCCGGCAGCAACGTCGCATTCGCTTCAGATGGGTCGAAGTAACCTTGGTTATTAGCCGTGCCACACGGTGTATCTTCGACCGACTCGCCCAGGGTGCGGTGTAGGCTTTCCAGGGAGTGGTGCCGATCTACGAAATTAGGCTTATAGGATGCACTACGGCATTTCATGCCGCGCTCCAACGGGAGGACGTATCGGCAACATGGGACACGTGAGTCTGACCCATGGATCAGCATAGGAGGGACTGCAGGAGTAGGGAAGCTATGGTTGCATCGGTGCATTTGGTACCGACTTGTCTGTGTTGCACCAAGAGCTGTTCGATCTGTCGAGAAGGGTCAGGTTGTACTGTACGGCTGTCATTCTGGGTTGTGTGACGTTCTCAACAGGTGTGCATTTAAAATTATTGGATACCTGACATTCCAATCTTGAACACGAGACCAGTGTTTACTGACCCTGCTGTAGGTGAAGCTTCACGGCCTTCGTCTGAGGTCCTTGCTGTACCTGGTAAGTTTCCAGTGGCAAGCTGTGGTCCTGGTTCCCCGCGATTGGCCACGCGGGACTTTGGCGGGCTCTAAGTTCTGCAATCCCGGGGCCAGTGGAAGCTTGAAGCTCTTGTATCGAGGTGAAAGGGCCAATTGGCAGAAGCAACACAATCCTTCATATCCGCCACGTGGAGAACATTCATGTGCGTCTTCACGCAGAACCCGGTGCCTCATCGGCTTCCTCAATTGTCAACTGTGGACTTTTGGCCCTGTAAATCACCGCTTACAGAATGCACGTTTTCCTCTTTCGTGTCCAATCGCCGGTAGGTCCATGTGTCTACCTTTGAGGAGGTTGCTCCACACAAGTCTACGACAGAATACTCCCACTCGCGAACATCGAGCCAGAATGAGTAATCGACAAGCCAGGATAGCATCTCGGAGAGCATAACCATCTGATCGACAGCCCAACGGCCTCATTAATACCGATAGCAATGGCCATTCATAACGCAGACTCTCTATTTGCCTAACGAGTACTCTGTCTATGCTGAATCGGTGCTTCCATCCGGAAACATAGGAAAACGGGACTTCCAGAGTGATGATTCATCTACCACACCTTGCCTAGTGACCCTGGCTAGCTTCTTACTAACAGGTTGAGCATATCAGAGGTCCACCTTCTGTTAGCATGGTAAGCTACGGCGGATCCTGCCGACAACGCTGCCGAGCTTTCGCAGAAGCTTGAGCGTATTCCTTGTGGCGAGTCTGGGGACCGTTTAACCTACAGCAATCATCCGGGACTATGTGATAGTCTCCAGGGCAATCAGCTAAAATGCCGAGCTAGGCTTCTTGAAGTACAATTCCGAGTGCTGCGAGAAGCTACGAAGTTAATGAATGATTACTTGGTAGATATTCTTTGACCGCCACCCTCACGGTAGCGACATCTATGTGTTGTGGCTTTATCCCCTAGCAGAATACTCCCGGTGTCGGTGCTTTGGTGATCTGCCGAATGTGAAATAACCTTGATTAGGAGTTGGCATGTCCTCATAGTTTAAGCTTATCCTGGTTTGATATTCGTCTTCGCAATCAGCTGAGTTCCAAGACCCCTGTGGCATGACCAACGGCCCAGGGGCATGGAGCCGGTGGTCAGATCCATGGCCGTCATGTTTCTTATGGAATGGTGCGCTGGAAAGCTTTGGGTAATTACCTTCTTCCAGATAGGCCGAACTCGTCAACCATTGAGAGGAATTCCTACAAACCATCATCACAACACTGGCCAGCCTACTCAACCAGTAGCGTATTGCTGGATATGGTCTGGCCCAACACTTGGCCATAGGGCTTGCTACCATGTTGATGAGAGGTGGGCTGCAGATCTAGCGTGCCAACGAGAACATGAGATGACCATGCCTCAACTACCCAACACTGGATATCTCCAGAAGAACATCTTCAAAAAAAGAAGCCATTGGACACAAGATACTGCGTAGGGTATTCCCTGCTGACAGGCTAAACACAACCTGTGCGATGAGTCAAATAAATGACGAGGAGGAGCCTGATGAATGAGGGTGAGGTCCACGACAAACTTAGCACGGGGTTTAAAGACAGGTCCACATCTCAGAGTAGCGAAGACTGGTGGCGTCGAATTGGCGAGTACCATGATCCGTTGGACCGGGCAACCGTCTAGACTGTAAGAATACCAATCAGACGTTTGCAAAAGGAGAGCATCCAGGAGATCTGGTGCCAATCACTGAGCGAAGAACGATCCAGCTTCAACTTGTGTTCGTAGCTGATGCAGTTGAGCATGGGCACAGCAACATTCGGATGATTCCCATTTCGATGGTTCCTCTTCCGAACATGGTCGCCCCCTTGCGGTTGCAAGGCGCCCGTGCTTAATGAGGCACCGTAAGGATTCTGGTAGAAGGAAGATATCCTTGGCTAGTAAGCAGAGCGAGTGCAACGGCTGGGGTGATAACGACATTGAGACGCCACTCCTGTAATGAAATGGAAACCGAAATGTGAACCAAGAGGTTTCGCTGACGCACACCGGCGTATTGCAGGTGCTAGTTCTGCTTGCGACGCGGCGGATGTCTCAACCGATTAGAGTCACTTAGAGATCTGGGCTGGGAATCCAACAGTGGCGTGAAACACGGCAACGGAATCTTGCCAGGATTGCGGTAGGAGGTCAGACGCATTAAGCATGTTTGTCGTAGTCGCGAGGCTGAATTCTCGTCTCAGAAAGAGGGAGGGAGCTTTGCTGGGTCTGAGTATCCACAGAAACGTCCTCAGGAAAGGAGAGATACAGTAATTAGGAGCACCGGAATCGGGCCAAGGCGAATATTCCTGCGTAGCGGCGAGCTGGGACCTAGGACACAATCATGCAGTTGAACCACGAGGCATTCTACCTGCTAGGCCCGGAATAACCCCTCAAGTGGCCGAGAAATCCTACCCTTCTTGAGGAGCCCAAGGGGAACGTCATCATTCGAGTAGAGGAAATGAAAACAGTAAACGGCTGTGATAGAGTCGCCTGATTTTAGCAATACAGGGGACAAAGGATAACTACGCTGGACAGCTCCATGATATGTCTCAGCGCACTTCGGTTCAATGTCAGATTGATATATGTACAGATGTATCATGAGCTCCTCTCTGGAGAGCCTACTGCCGGCTTATCTCAAACACTGCGCATCGACCTTTTTGAGACATATATGAGGACATGGTCTTCAGACTCGCCCGTCCTGCTAATGCATTTGTTACTTTTGCGTTGCTGGAGGTGCAAGAATACTGCAAAATCTATGTTAGGGAAACAACAGTCGAGAGTCTGACGCTTTCTCGAGACCATCGCATTGGGTCGCTTCCTCCAAGCTTTGTAAAGGACATATATAACCAGTATAAATGCATGAAATTTGCTCAATAACAGGCAAAAGACTATCCCAAAAAAGTCAGACACAATAGCAAGCGATCAAAACAAATAGCACGCTGTTAATCGTGTCCAGGAGCCTGCTTACCGCTCTATGCTTGGCACTGGAACTCTTTATCACTTCCGGAACCCCTTTTGTGTGTACCGAATCCACGGAGCACTGCGTCTTGCCGTCGGTCTGGTTCGAGCTCTGACCCTGGCCATTCAGATTGTACGCCATCTCGATCCATTGCACTGCCACATATACCTCTCTGCCCACCCGCATTGTGCCGGAGAATGACTGGCCATTGCTCCAAAGATTGAACATAAGGTTGCTGGGGTCGGTGGGAACACTGTCGGTTGTGTTGAACACCATTTTGCCGTCCAGGTACCAAAGTGTCCTGCCTGGAAACCAGTCAATTCGGTACTCAGTCCAGTCTGTCCAATGTTTGCCATGAGGGATCGTGCTATCGAAACTTGCCCCAGGCGTGGTTGAAGATGCCGGCTGGTTGGTTAGTTGAACGGTATCTAAGGGATCTCTGGTGAGAATCTCGATGTCGCTCTCCTGGGTATCAGACTCGTAGGTGAAGAAGCCAACGACCGCACCTCGAGCAACGTTTTTCCCGTCTTTGCCATCCGGTAATATCTTCATCCGTGTGCGCATGCTAGCATGTAAGAGATCGGGCACGCTGACAAGCTGGACTACGCTCTGGAAGTCCTGCAGTCGGGTAGTCCGCAGCGTCAAGTATGTCTCAGAACCTCCCGAGCCAGGATCTTTGGTGATGTAGACATTCGAGGCCGAATAGATCATGGGAACTGTCGACTCTGCATTTCTGATGCCACGTCTAATTTCCCACTGATCTGAGAACGGTGGCTGGGCAAAGTACGGCGAGGTGATGTTTTCCTGACCCTGGTCTTCCTCCGCCGTGACTGAAGGCGGCTCATTGATGCTGTAGTTGCTTAAAGCCCGAAAATCGGAGAACGTATAGTGCTCGAACTTGGTGGTATCTTGGCCAGACACAACATACAAGTCGCATTTTGAAGACGATGGAGATGATGCTCTTGGGAAAAGAGGGCTGCGTCGTTCGGGGAGCTGCGAGGCGCGACTTTGAAGAGACAACAAGGCGATGAGTGCCACAGATAAAGAGACCATTGCTACTAAACACGCGGCAGGCGCCGGAATACGAGACCCTAGAATATCTTTGGAGTAGGACGGCGAAGGACTCAAACTATTTGCGTCAAAAGCACCTTCGCTTTTTAATGTGGTGTTCCCAGTGAAAAGCACAGACAGCGAGCAGCACTGAGAATCGCCGTCATCAAAACAAATCCACCAGGCAGGGACCAGGCCAACGTGGTTTGTCGTGTTGAGGCAGTGCTGTTGCTTGACACAGAGTCTTCTGAATACCCTAGCCAAGGCTCGTTTCACTAGTTCAGTCGGGTTTGCACTTCCAGATTACTTTGGATGGTGCAAATGGGCTTTTCGGGCACGAATCTTCGGTTGCCTGTACATGCCTGTGCACTGAACTCTAGCGTGTTCGCAGCTCAGTAGGAGGCTCGTGCCTTTGTCCTGGCAAACACCACTGAACGCAACTTGCCCTTTTCGTACACCAATGCCCTCTTTGAATCCACAGTCTGCGGTTTTGTGGCTGAAGGGTTCTCTAGGGCGACACTAGCGGCATCAGTGACAGCCGTTAGAGGAGGTCCGAGCTCCCAATACGCCACGCAAGGCCAGCTAAAGCCGGATCTTTCATACGCATCAGCATTGCGATGTCCGGTATCTACGTGGCATAGAAACATAATATCTTGCTGTAGAAAGTGCCCTAGAGTCTTACGTTGGATTCTTGCTTACAAGGTTCAATATGGATCGCTGATCTAGGATAGATACTTTCCTAACATCTGTGGGAGGCACTGTAGTTTGACGGTGGGGAAGATTTTCAACGTCTTAAAGTATGGGCGCGAAACAATAGCACAGCGTCGAGACCCTCCTCCCCAGACTAGTGACCCCGTCGTCCTACGCCACTGGTTAGACCACTGGCCGTTTGTTATATTGTCCTGGCGACGACACGAGTTCCAGCCTCCATGGCCACCATGTCGTCATGTTTCATAAGACCCTTTCATTTTTCAGTTGGACCACACTAACTTTTTCGACTTCAAGACCTCGTACTGGTGTACAAGCCCGGCGCCATGGACTATGGGCAACATGCTGTGAGCCACGTCGACTGGCAAGATTGGATAGACTTAGAAGCCGGTTCTCGTGCTGACCAACCCGGCCGTCAGCCGGAAAGAAGCGGTACGAAACCACCTCTCAGTTCAGCCAGTCTTGGGAGTCCAAGAAGATTCTCGCTTCCAGAGGCCCCTATACCATTTCCCGAGGATGCTGTCCTCGCCGATGGTGGTCGGATACTCGACATTCAACGCCCACGCTCAAATTCTTTACCTTATTCCAGCATTTCTTCCTTGGACGAGAAGATACAATTTCCAGAGGTTCGCAATGCGATTATCACTCCCAGTCCGTTTGCGGCAGAATCGAACCTCAGTGCTCTTCCTCAAGTGGCCACCCTCGTGGGCGAGCAAATTGTGGAGGAGCCCAGCGGCGATCTCACCTGTGAGAGAAACCCCAGTCGAGCAAGCATTCGGAGTCTAGAAAATTATTATAAAAAGAAACGAGTCAAATTCCGAGGGAAGAAAAGGAGTAAATTCGCCCAGATACTCTTCCAATACTCGATCTATCTTTTGCTGGGTTGCATAATTTATTTTGTCTTGGTGGGAATTCCTTTGTGGAAAGGGTCAGTCTGGTGGCTATGGTAAAGTGAAACTCCCTGCTGGATTTCCAGGTTACTGACGTATCTGAATTAGGTGGGCAATGAAATATAAGATGGTTGTCAAAGGTGGCACATCCATCTTCATCTCCGTCGCGTTTTTGTGAGTCCTATCTCGGCGCACTTCTTGTTGAAGCTTGCTGTACTGACAAGGCCTCTTCCAGTTACGCCATTGGCACTCTATTTGTACGATACGAGCCCGATCCAACGCCGCCACGACCAGAAGAGCTTCAAGCTGTTCTAGAGAAGAACAGCAGCACGGCCCTAATCATCGCTTGCTACAAGTCTGCCGAGATTATTGGACGGACTCTCGAAGCCGCTCTGCAAATCTTCCCACCGGAGAACATCTTTGTGGTTGCAAACGGAAACAGCCCGACCCCATTGGACAACACGGAGGAAGTTTGTCAACAATACGGTGTCAATCATGTCTGGGTTCCTATCGGCTCCAAAATCGTGGCCCAGTTTGTGGGAGTCTATGCTGCGCACAGATCCCAGTACGTGTTGATGATCGATGACGATTGCGCCCTTCCAGCTGGGTTCCCGATTGTGTCTGAACGAATACAGCGCGGGAAGGGAAAGGGGCTGGTGAAGTGCGTTGGATATACCATCAAAGCCGTCGGCCCGGACGGAACCAAAGGGAACATTGTTCAGCAACTCCAGGACATGGAATACAAACTATCCGGCATGGCTAGGAAGTGGATGGCCACCTGGGGGACTGCCACGTTCGCCCATGGAGCCATTGCGTTGTGGGATCGCGACTTCATCCTTAAGTGTTTTCGACACCACCCAGGCTTCAAAATCTCAGAAGACTGGTTCTTCGGACTGACCTGCCGCACTCTTGGGGGAAGGATCGTCATGTGTTCTTCGGTTCTTGTCGAAACCGAAGTCCCTTCGGGTCTTTTTATCGGCGGGGGTGCACGAGGGGGGTTTGGTGAGATGACGGTTTACAAACAACGTTTCTTTCGGTGGAACTTTTTCTTTCTTTTTCGCAATTGGCACACTATAAAGCATATACTCTTCGACTGGAACTTGGGAATTTACTCAATTGGGGACAAGGTATACACCTTCCAAGAGGTACGTGATGTTCTCATTCCACTCATCTCTACTCTCTCACTGTCTGCATGGTATTTATGAACGACACCAGTACTAACCTGTCGTGTCACCTGCACAGATTTACACAACGCTGCTTTACGTCATAGGTCCTATCCTTCTTGTACTATCGTTTATGATCGAGCCAGAGTTTACCGCCATAATAACTGGTGCCATGCTTGGAATGTATTTTTCTATCGCCATGATTTTCAACGAGGTATGTCGGACCCGAATCTAGGCACAAAGCCTCCGCGCATCCAGTGGTATTGACTTGATTGTCTTCATCTAGGTGATCTTACGAAAAAAGGGAGAGATGGTCTCTCGAAAAGTTGTCATTTTGTACTATATGCCTTATAAAATGGTGCTCCGGTTGATGAACATTGTTTCAGTGTGAGTCTCTACTCTCAAAGAAGTACCCCTCGTGAAACGGGCCGCTGACGGTGCTGCAGGTACTATTCAGCGTTTACTTATGCTAAATATTTTGCGGTTCGTCACCTGTCAATCATCGAGGATGAACAGGTTATCGAGCTGGTGATACATTCCAAACCCACGGTTTCGCAGGGAACTTCAACAAGTGTTGGTGAATCAAGAAATCCGGCCCCGGAAGGTGTTGATGCCCAAGACTGGTCTTCGGACCCATTTACCTTCTCGCCTGAGAGGGACTCCCACATGAATAATGACTCCTGAGCAACATATTGAGATGGTAGAATGCGCTCATGTCATAAACTTGGATGTGATCATATTGAATGACTTTACCTTCTGTTCAAAAGCTAAAGTGTACTCGCTGCACTACCAATTGCAAGTGATATTCCTACTCACGAGGGATCTGATGCTGCAGTTTGTGGAATCTGTCCGCGGGTGCCATTACGTCCAGCCTCTGTAATTCTTTCTCGTCGGCAGAGAGCCAGCAGGGCCTCGTTTACCTGGTCACAAACCTGGCGTACGGACCCACAGCGCGATAACATAGGAGCGTATGGGCTGCTGTCAAGGAACCACGTTGACGTTCGGGAGCGCCGGTGCCACGCCGATCATTGGTCGTTATAGCGCACGAGCTCAAAAAATATGGAGGCAGGGATTCCACGGACCAATTTGGTCAATAAACATACCCCGTGGGAAGAAGAAAAATTCTGTGCACCATAAGATTCCATGACAACGCTCTCAGAACTGCTAATCTTGTGGGTCAAGTATTTCCTCACTCCAAGCCCAGCGGCATTTGGGCTTTTTCGTGGTAGTGGATCCAGAAGATAGAATACGCCTTCCGCCTCGGCCCGCCTTATCGCAGCCTAGCTTTTTAGAGGAGTTCCAGGAGTCCATGTTCACTCCCAAACTACCGCGCCAAATAATACCCAGCCTGTCGGACCCAAGAAGTCTCTGTAGTCTATGCTGGTCCTACTAGTGGCGTTTGATGAACGAGTCCCTTGAATGATCGGGACTATGCCCTTTCGGCCTCCCATTGACAGGCAGGTATAGGTTCTAGACGCAAAGATTCGAAATGGGCCCGGAGATGCTTAGAAAAGCACGAAAAATCTCAATGACAGTGTTTCTGGGGCTAGAATAGGCTATAGTCATCGAACAGAGCAACGGTCGGACCGCCTTAGACTGGAGCAATGGCTTCAGCCTAATGGTCAACCATAAGATGATGACAGGACCATTGGGATAGCTGCTCCCGATCAATCAGAAGATCGCTGTTTCTCTGAAAATTACAGGGTCCAACCATGGGATTGGTACCCAGGTGGTCAAAGAAACTGCGCTAGTGAGTTCGTTTCTTCAGGTGGTCAACAAGGACATGCAGGAGCTCGCGGTCAAGCGCACGCAATCCAAAGCTCTTGAAGAGAAGACAAGTAGAGTGCGCGCCCAGAACCTAGCAGGCTGGCCCTCTCTGCCAATCGGGCACAGTTGGCCATGAAATCTGCCTTTCGGCTTTCAAAGTCAGGGCAGCTACCCGGCGGCTCAATATATGGTCCGGCAAAACGAACACCACAACAGCGACTATCTTCTTGCCAGCAACACCTCCAGCAGAGGGCTCAACCCGCCTTGACCGGTATTTTGGAGCCGCGCAGCAAATATGTTGACTATCGCGGAGGCTTCTGGCCTCATCGCTGCAGGCGTGATGATCTGTGGCTGCCTCGAATCAGTGAAAGACGGTGGACTGATCAATCACAAGTCCAGGTATGTGCTTCCGGCTGCGCTGATAGTCATATTGGTGAGGTACGTCGGGACAGATAACAGTGCGGTTACATGGTATTACCCCTTTTCGATCGAAGACTGGAGTAAACTCTAACCACATCAGGTCGGTGGTCAATCGCGCCATCTCGACAACATTATGGCCACACCTCGTCCGCTCCGACGGGGTCAACATGCGCCACACACCAATGCGTATCAGATTCCCAGGCTGTGCTGCAACAATAGGTGCCATACTACTGGTTGTGGCGAGCGTGTTGACACCTTTTGGTCTGTACGAAGAGATCGACGCAGGGTCATCCCAATCACTCGCATTCTAATATGTGAAAGACACTGGTCCGCGGGGTCGAGTCGCCATGCCCTCGACCTGACTCCTGGTTCACGCGCCATGGTAAGTTCGGTTTCCATCTGAACTGCCCTGGTCAATATCAAGGCGTCTATATGGAGGAAATTGCGCCAGGAACTTATCAAAGTCAAGAAACCGATGAAAATTCCACCATCAATGTCACGATCCCGGCCAATTTCACCAAGATGTTCACCAGTGCAACATCCGGCTTGGGAGACACCAGATCTGGGATGTTTGACATCCAGTACCGGCGCTGGAAGTTTGATCAAAACGCGATCATCAACAAAGGCAAGCCATACGTGAACGCCAGTTCCCGTAATATAAGCAGCATGATCTCTCAGAATAGTATTCTGCTAGTGGAAGGAGTTGTTGTTGACACGAGAAAGAATCCCGGCATTGGCTTCAGAAACCACACTATCCCAGTGGCGCTGGAGCGCGGCGGGATCTGGACAGAAGATCTGACGTGGATCGAACCAGTGTCCGCACATAACTGTGCGGACACGAACCTCTCCGTCTTGATCATCAACAGCAACACCTTGGAAGACTGGGGTGTCAACACTACACTCTGGGTCCTTGATGGAGGAGCCTTCCTTGATATCGATGTTGCCGCGCTGGAATCTCACCCTTGGACCGACAACCAGACTCGCGACCTCTTTGGCCGAGCCCACAAGGCAGCTCGGATGCACAACGTCATAGTCGCCTCGAGTCTCAGCATTTCCTTGCCTACCGAAAAGAAATTCGGTAAGATCTACATGGACGATACAGGGAGTGCAGACGCGTACATGTGGAGCATTTCCAAGGCTGACGCCATCCTGCGAGGTGCGTTATCTGGGGTTGGCGGTGCTCCGTCTGAAACACCGCCCGATATGCTCGAAATTCGACAGTTCCATTCGTGAACCACTATCCCGACGGCTACAAAAAACTCCTCGCACTCAATTACTCGACGATAAGTAAGCGCTCAATCTCCCAGGCTTTTCTTTCACCGCTGACGTCCAATAGCCCAAGTCTGTAAAGGCTACTACGAGATCGAGGACGCCTCCAACGACCAGCGTGCCAACAACATAACCTACCCGCTGGTAAACTGCGGCTTCCTCCTCGGTGCGCCCATCCAGGCCGCTTCCCAAAACCTCTCCGCCGCGACCTTCATAGGCGTCGAAGTCAACCAGAAGAACCTGTATGTATGCGCCTCCGCCAACCGTGCCAGCATCAAGACCGTCATGTTCCGCCACAACAGCGGCCGCTTGAGCAACCTCGAAGTCCGCGACATCGTGGACAAAGAGTACCCGACCGAGAAGTCCAAGCCTCTCTGGGCCTCGGAGCACAGCTACGACAAGGCCATGCGGTTCGATCCATTGTGGGGCATCGTCTCCGACGACTACGAGCACTACGGCTACGAAGAGGGATTTTACACGATGCGCTCCGAAAAGCTATGGCCGCCTGTCACCCCGTTCGTGGACAGCAGCTCGCGCGCCGTCGATGGCAGTGACGCCCTTGCCGCGGTGTCAGGCTTCACAGGCCGGCTGGGCAACCTGTACGGGGGACTCATTGATCTCGAAGGGCCGGACTGTAGCGGGCTGAACGACATCCCCATGCTCGAAAGGTTTCGGGAGTTGTCCCGCAAGCAGGAGGATGCGGGCTCGATTCTCGGCTTGATCATGACGGATGGACTGGCTGCGGGATTTGTTGGTACGAAGACAGCCATCTCACAGAAGTATGTTCAGTGGCCAGCGAGTTTGGCGGTGGACGATACGGCTGAGGGTATGCCTGCGGCGAGCGTGGCTGTATACAGCCGCGTTATCAAGTATGATCTACGCCATGCGATCCCCGTGTTCATCGTGCTCACGACTCTCCTCCTCGCACTGCTGTGGGCGGGCTTCATCTTGATCTCAACGCGATCGATCCTCTCCAGGCTCAGCAACTTATACAACCAGACGAACACTGGCCGTCTAGCCACAAATCTGCTGGGTTTGGGTAAGCACGACCCCACGCAGGACACGAAAGATTGGGTCGCGGGTGACGGAAAGATCAGGTTGAGATCTGGAGAACTAGAGAAGCCTGGTCAAAGGTGTTTCCTTACTCAAGCTGGAAAGATTGGAGGAGAGGATGCGCTGGCGGGGGAAAGCCCGAAGAGTAGTGAGAGTCCGCCTGTGGATGGTAGGGAGGAGGTTACTGTGACTACGAAATGATACCCAGGGCGAGCTGTATAGGTACGACAGGCTATGCACAACAAATGATCTGGTCTTGTTGAATGAAAAAGTGCGTCGAGGGCATCGCATTTTGAGCGAACCGCTACGCACGCTACGAAACACCCGCACTTGCAATTCTGCCCACACACACAAGCGGATCTGTAAATGAATGTCACACCCTGCACTTCTTTGCGCCACAATGCCTGTGGCACAGATTTGGTATACCACTTTGGAAAGACTGGCGTGCACTTCGCACCTGCGACAACCACCACTACCAACACGCCCATGAGGTACAGTGTTCACTTAAACTTCTGTATTGAACTTTGAGAAATGCTATACATTTCCTGCCTGCCAGTCACATGCGAAAGGGATCACACCGACGCACGAGGGCTTGTTTACATAAGCACAGGCATTACATTTTAGACAAATGTAATGCGTCCTAGCACATGCGCCTGTCGTGCGACCGTGACCATTATAACATGAGCTAGTATTTACGTAAACTTTGGTATTGCACTTTAGACAGATTCTTATGCAAATTGCATATTGAATGAAGTACTATGTCTTTCACGGATGGTACTCGCGTGCGACAAGACCAGGATCCATGACAGCGGCGCGCGGTGCTTGCGTAAATTCGGGCACTGCTTTTAGTGCAAAGTGCGATGTATTTAAAATATCCAGCCTGTACTCCTCCATTGATGAAATATCCTCGAGGTTTCCTTTGATACTCGTAATCCGCATCGCTCCCTGGGAATGAAAACCCCACTTCCACGACCAGAACTACTCCCCGAGTTTCCGAAGCTCAAACACGACTCATCCTCCTGGGGCGTGAAAGGAGGATAGACGAGAATAGATACAACGGGACTTGTCCTCTCCGAGGGTCTAGAGGAAGGGCGGCAGAATATGGTCATAAAGCACGGCGAAAAAGAGGCGCGCGACTCAGAGTCTTAGCGGCCCCCAACGCAGACGGCAAAATCCTGTTAACCAGAAAAACAGATCGTGTCCAAAATTGGTAAATGTCTTTAGGCCATCCTGTGAAAGACGCCACAGCACCAGGGACCAATTTGTGCTCGCAAGGCCAAGTCGCCTGTCTTCATCAAGGCCGACGCTGCAGCCGCTGTCGCATGCTACAGCCGCGCACGAATCTGCTCAAGAGCTGACCTCTTCCAGTACTTGTCCTTCAGCTGAATGACCGAAAATCCGAGTTCTGCCCACTTGTCCTGCCATGGAGGCAATTCATATCCAAATGAACCTGCTGCTGCAGGTCCTGCAAGGTCAACCAGGAACCCATAATACTCAGGCCATTCGAGCCTCAGCTCATGGAAGTTAATGCCCGGACCTTTCGTCTCTAGTCGTTTGGTTTCCCACAGATCTTGCTCGGAAGGCGGAGGTAATGGTTTTGCCTCGCGCCCTGCGAAATATCGAGCTACTGCTACAGCCTGGTATTCATAAACTCGAAAACTGATGCCGGCTTTGAGTTGGCCAATGACGGTGAGCGACGGGTCGCCAATCTTGAACAAGTGCTGGTAGAATCCTGCCAGCCGATTATTTGGCGTTACGGGATCCGGCGACAGGAACGGATATGAGAGTCTATACCCTGTGGCGAAGATAACCTTGTCGACCCCTGAGACCTTAGTCCCGTCGCCAAACTCGACCTCGATGCCTTTGGTCGTCGACTTTATCTCCTTGAGCTGCGGCTTGGTCACCACATTGGGCAACTGGAATGCAGGCTTGAAGAACTCGTTGACACCACGTTGCGCGAGAAACAAAGGTCCGCTGACAGCTCCTTGGATATCGGCGACAATGTCTGCTGCAGAAACATTGCCTCCCACTACGATCACCTTTTTGCCAACATAGTCGTCCGGCGACCGATATGCCTTCGAATGCTCGAATGCTTCTGGTCGCGCAGCATACGCCTCTCTCAATCCAGATACCTGCGGCACCGCAGGAATGTTGTAGTGCCCCGTGGCCACAACCACGGCGTCAAAGGTCTCCTGCCACCAATACTCGCGTCGCTCACCGCGCAAGATATGGTCGGACCGTCTCAGCGTCAGAACCCACTTCCCATTGACTTTCTCCACTCTCTCTACGCTCGTGTTAAACGACACAAGGTGGTAATAATCGCGGAAAACGTCTTCCAGATAATGGGCTACGACTCTGAAAGGTCGGGTTGGATTGTCACGGCCGTATCGCTCGATGGAGGCAGCTGAATTTATGTCAGGCAACGGAGTGTGAGTAAACGCCATGACTTTCGCGCCGACATTGCTGTCCAAAGTATCATACAGGCCCGTACGGCCGCTTGTGTCTTCAGCAGTGAGTGGTGCTGAATGCGGGAAATGCGAAGGCAACGAGCGCTTCAATTGACCGTTCAAGCCTGTCGAGAACGGGTCTGGCACAGGGTCATAGTTCCAAGTGCCTCCAATACGATCTCGTCGTTCAAAGACTCGTACTCTATCAAAAATGTTCTCGTCGGACAAGGCTTTGGTGGCGGCAATGCCTGATGGTCCGGTGCCAATGACGGCGACGGTTGGATGCCTCGCTGGCATTTCCGAGACAAGCTTGATTTTGCGATAAGAGTTCGGCTGAATTAGAAGGCGAATGCAGACTTCAGGTCGTTCGAAATTGTGTGTGGTTCAACAGTTCTACATATATTACCTTAGATGCCGACTCACGTTCTGAAGCGCATTGCGCATTCCTGCCCCACAGTGTCGACATGGCAGCCTTATCTTGCTTCGGTTCTGCATCTCGTTCGCACTGGAATAGATTAGAAGTAGGGGACGAATCCCAAGGCCCCCGTGCAGGTGGTATCAAAACGGCTAGAACGGCAGACTTAAGATACGGAGAATGACGTGATTTTGGATGTAAATGAGGCGTTGCGTCGATTATGAAAATGCCGTTGCATTATCAGGAGAGCCACCTTCGATGCGAAAAGTAGACATTCAAGGAATCTAGCTGGGGAAAGTATACTGAAGGATGAGCCAGTACTCAGAGCCTCAAATGTGCAGAGGCATTTGAAAGTGCCGGTGTCTCTAGGAGCTCGATTCTCTATAGCCGGCTTTCAGCCACAAGACTGGTCGGACGTTCTGCTTGCGCTGAGACCACATTGGCGAATGCTCCTTGCACATCATGCTCACTCAACCATAAAGTGCTTGCTCGGTTGAGCATCCTCTGCCGTAATTCTTCGTCGTTCTGCGGTGGCTTGACATTCCTACTTGCGAGGACGCTGTCCAACAGCTTATCCGTATGTGGCCGCCTAGTAGCTTCGTATAGATTTAACGCCGCCTGGAGTCGATGTGTAGATGGCTTGGAGGCCTGCCAGTCCGGTATCGTGTGTTTTAACGCCAAGAACAAGGCGTAGGCATCATCAAGTGCCAGCGAACCACCAGTCGCATGAGCGCCTCCGTGGGCGTGCGCCGCGTCACCTACGAGCGTTACTCGTGAGCCGAAGACCCAGGTAGGCATGTGCTGGCCCGCGTAGTTAGGGAAACGTCGCACGCTCGGCGCCGCTTCCGCAAGGGCCTTTACAACAGGGTTCCAGTCTTTATACAGCTCTCTGAAGAGCTCGACGGAGCCTTCGTCGTTCCAGGTGTTTATGGCGTTGTCTTTGTGGCCCTGAAACCCCTCTGGAAGGTTCGAGGGATTGTACATGCCGACCACGGTAAATTGATTCCGGCCGAGCCTTGATGCGAAGAAGTTGCGGTCAGGGCCCCACCAATGCATCGAGTCGAGAGGGAGGCCTGGGATATTCTCGACCAGAGATACATCAAACGTTGCTCGGAGAGCAGTTCTGTTCGTGTAGCTGAGTTCGAAGCTGGGGTTAAAGGCCTTTCGCACCTTCGAGTTGATGCCGTCAGCGCCTATCAGTACGTCCCCAACCGCCTTCGTGCCGTCTTCGAACACCAAGGTGACGGTGCGGTCGTTCACGTCGGCTCCGCTGATCCTTCTGCCCAGATGAATGAGTTCTCGCGGAACATGCTCGAGTAAGGCTTGATGAAGGTGCGCCCGATGGAATCTGGCCGTCTGATGGCGAGGTTCTGGAACATCTTGGAAATGGTCGACACTGACAATCTCATTCGTCCTCCAGTGCCTGTATATCATCGGGAGCCCAGAAGGCCCTCGAAAAGCCACTTCATCTTCAAGCGCATTGTGCACCCCCAGCCTCTCCAGCGTTCGCAAACCCTGTCAAGCATCAGCAAGCGTATTCTGCAATCTATCTGCGCCGCAACGTTACGTTTGGACTCAGAGCTATGCTGGCGCCGATTTCCTTCAAGTCAAGAGAGCGTTCATAAAGCTCGACGTCAACGTTGGGAAGCTGCCTAAGAGCCACGGCCGTGGCCAAGCCGGCAATGCCAGCGCCGGCGATAAGAACCTTAAGCTGACCGTCTCCCATCGCTGCTTGTGAGAAGCAACTGCATCATGCTCAATGACGGCGCATCAGCCTAGTTGTCTGGCTTTTGAATTGCAAGCGACCCTTTGTAGTGTCGGAGGTCCGCAAAGCTGGACATGATTACTTCTGAGGCCACAGCGGGCATGTCCACGGCTACTCGGCATGTTTGTTGTCACGCAACAGATCCAGTCTAGCACGCCAACACGGCACTCTCTTAACCACTGGCTCAACTCCCACTGATACACCCACACAATATCCTTTTCTGGGATGGGCATGACTCGACTCATCTTTTGCACGTGGGAGCGCCTGTGCTCCATGAGAGTCCACAGGTGCCTTGTAGCCCACAGCGTTCGGTAGTGCGGAGGCAGCAAAGTCTTCTACAAAGCTTGCACTGCTTGTCCAGTGCCGGATTGCGAATTCACGCTGACATTTGCGACATCGATAAGGCCATGCTGCGGAGTTAGCTCTTGGCTAGCCTTGAGGCTCTAGGAGATATGCTATCAATTATACCCGCTGCTCCCCTGGCGCTCTGATGATGCCCTTTAAGCCTGTTTCTCTCTCAGAGTTACGACTGAAGAAGAGCGGTTATCGACCTTTGCCGCTTGATGTGATGGGTGAATCCAAGACCATCGATGCTGGGAACGCTGTACCAGTGCTGGAATCGCCGTCGGACTCAGAGACGAATGGACCAAATGTTCCCAGGCTTCCGGACCGGTACGCCGACGAAAGCTACAAGCTCTTCAGCAAAGTTCAAGTCGAGGCGCCGACGCCAGATGAGGCTCGAATAATCCGCAACAAGTGTCTGTGGAGGATTCTTCCCTTTCTGTGCATCGGATACCACTTGATGTACGTTGACAAGCAAACGGTATGTCTCCACGTCCTTGGACACCTGCTTTCTCGTCTTACAGCCGATACAGCTTGGGAGCTCGGCCATTCTAGGCATCCTGGAAGATGCGCACCTTAATTCGAACCAGTACAACTGGCTCTCGTCCATATTCTACTTCGGGTATCTGATAGCCGAATGGCCACAAAATCGCGCCCTCCAGCATTTCCCAGTCGGCAAGTGGCTTGCCACGATGCTCATTGGGTGGTACGTATTTCCACTTCTTGCGGCACGACGCGCAGATGGCTGATGAAAAGTCCTTCACAGGGGTGGCGTCACTTTGCTGCACATACCTTGCAACAATTTTGCGTCTCTCTTCGTGGTCCGCTTCTTTCTCGGGCTATGCGAAGCTTGCATCGTACCGGCATTTCTGCTCACCATGTCGATGTTTTTCACGTACCGAGAACAATCCATTGTGATGCCCATCATGTGGGCCGCGGGCAACTCCAGTCCTATTACCTCAGGCCTGCTCTCTTGCGGAGTGCTTTGGATTAAGACCGGAGGTTTTGCGACGTGGAAGTGGTTCATGTGTAAATCCCCTGTTTCTTTCCTCCAGTTTACCCCGCGACTGACTCCCGCAGTGATCACCGGTTGCATCACGATTATCTTCGGGGGGTGTGTGTGGTTTCTCTTCCCGGACAGCCCACTACAAGCAAAATTCTTGACGCTCGAGCAACGTGCTCAAGCCATTCTTCGGATCAAGGAGAATCATTCCGGTATTGAGCAGAAGTACTTCAAGCGATATCAGTTCATCGAAGCCCTCCAAGACCCCAAGAGTTGGCTCTTCTTTCTCCATGCCTGGTCGCAGGAGATGGCGAATGTGAGAATTTCCCATTCACCGAGCCACCTGGAATCCTTTCGTCGTTCCTTTTTCCTGTTCTGGTTTGGATGCTGACAGCAAGCAGGGTGTCACTAATCAATACTCGCTTATCATCAAGTCCTTTGGGTTCACAGTGCTTCAGACGACTCTCCTGGGCTGTGTTACTGGATTGACTGCCCTTGTCTCTCTCCTCACTGCCGCCATCGTCATGTGGAGGACACGGAACTGCCGTGCTTGGATTTCTGTGGTTGCGTATATCCCCTGCGTTATTTCCAGTGCTCTCCTGCTAGGCAAGTTATTCTGTTTCTAGATTTCCGCCTAGCTGACACATTTCAAGGTTTGCCATGGTCGGACAGATGGGGCCTAATCTGGGGTATCTGGATTCGTTCTACTGGAGGAATTCCTTACGCCGTTGTGATGGTGTGGGCTGCCAATGCTTCTGCTGGACACACGAAGAAAACAACGGTCATCGCAATGTATCATATTGGATACGGCCTTGGAAATATTCTTTCTCCGCAGCTGTTTCAACCACGGTGGAAGCCGAGATACAAACCAACTTGGTGGATCATCCTCTGGGTAGGAATATCCGGTAGTCTGAGGGTTTTGCAACTGACCAAGACCATCCAGGTTGCCGTCATTCTCCCATCGTTCGTCATCCTCTATCTCCGATATTACTTGAACAAGGAGAACAAGCGCCGAGATGCCCTGGAAGCGGAAGGGAAAGTTATCGACGGCGGAGTTGTCGAGGAGGTGACAGATGAAGGTGTCAAGATTGCCCACGCCGTGGATAATAACCAGCTTGATTTGACGGACCGGGAGAATTTGGGCTTGTAAGTTGATCATGGGTAGCCCGGTTGATAGGATTGAGCACTGACAATTCGGAAACAGCCGCTACGTGCTATAGTGTGCCGAAGTGAGTCATGTCGCTGGGCACCTATCATATACGGCCCCGCCCTTACAACTCCTACCATTCGCCCTGGGCCTTAACGGCTGCTGCAACGTTGCTGAAGCCCGCAACATTGCCGCCAGCCACTAAGCTAGGGAACTCGCGTTCTCGTTGGAGGGTGAGATACGTCTTTGAGGTCTAAAAGCAGTTCTCACAACAATTCTTCATGGTCAGCTTCTACCTCTCATTCACTTCCTGAGGGACTGGTATGGTGCCAATAACGTTGCCAGAGCGGGAGACATCGACTTTCTTGCCGGAGAAAGACTCGGTGCCACCTGAAGCATGTTTGAGCATGTGTTCCACATACTATCTGATGTCTGTATTTGTTGCTACCGGCTCAGTGGTGTCTTATGTAGACCACACTTCAAGAATGATCCATACGCAGCAGAGTGCCGCATTATGGAGGATAGGGATGCATGTCCTTGATAACGCCGAGATCCAGACTGGGTAGGTCTAAGACAACTTCTATCCATTTCCCATGAGGCATTATAGAAGTGCTCATCACTCCGCCCATCCTCGCTCTCGATAAATCCAATCCTTCGATGTCTTTTGTTAAGTCTCCCCCTCTGAATTATCCTGAGAAAAAAGCTACATTGCCAAACTTGAACGGCTCTACCGCAGGACCAACCCCATTTCGAATCAAGCAACATATCACGAAGGCATGACAAGACTACGGGCGAGCACTTGGGCCGATGGAGGAGTAGGGCCAAGTCAAATAGACGAGGGCTAACCCGCCTGAGCGCATCGTTTACACCGAGGTCTATTCCGAGCTGTGCGGGGGGGGGGGGACGGGGCTTGGCCCGTAGTGTGCCTTTTTGAACCTCGGATGGCCCCCCTCGTGTATACATTCAAAAAAGTTCACAGAGATGTGGGCCATGGCTCCACGACTCTTGCATAACAAGCTGGGACTTGTCTCAGGACTTCGCAACAATGGGCTATATGGGGATCAACATCAAATCAGCCGACGCGACGATTGATACCACACCTGCCAAGAAACAGCTTCACGAGGAAGGCTGGTGTGCCATTCCCGACCTCCTGACCCAAGATGAATGCGCACAGGTGCTGTCACGGCTCTGGGCAGCCAAAGAGGCGAGCGAGAGACAGGGCGATCCAACACGGCTTGCGCACCTGGATCCTAACCCGAGCAACGTCCGCGTATTCTACTTGATGCAGCTGGACAGGATCTTTCTCGAGCTGATCCAGCACCCGACGGCGATTGAGATGGTCAAGTCAGTACTGGGCAACGACTTCCTCATCTCCAACTTCACTGCCAACATTGCCCGCCCGGGTTCCAAATCCATGGGCCTTCACTCGGACATGTCGCTGGTGGTACCGGGCCCGTGGACGAAAGTCTGGGCTTTGAATGTCATCTGGTGCCTCACGGACGTGTATTTTGAGAACGGTGCCACACTTTACATCCCCGGGAGCAACAAGTGGGAGCACCAAAGTCAAGTTCCGCGCAATGCGAAGCAGCTGCTTAAGCCGTTCGAGGCCAAGGCCGGCTCGATCATCGTCATGGATGGCAAGGTGTGGCATACCAGTGGGGAGAATATCTCGCAGGAGGATCGCGCCTTGCTGTTTGGATACTACACCGCGCCCTTTTTGCGACAGCAGGTCAATTGGACCGCGAAACTACCGGAGGCTACAAAGCAGGAGTTGAGCCCGAAAATGAAGGAATGGTTGGGTTTGGGAGTCACGGCGAATACTGGTCAGGTCGTCAACCTGAAGTACTTGGATGACCAGTATCCCGAATAGGCGGGTATACTTTGGCTGAGGCAGGCACTTGGTAAGCCGATTCTGTTGGAGCTACTTACAGCCACGCTGGGGAGGGTAGGTAACGTATCGCTTGTGAGAGCCGCTTGTTTAGTTCCAACGGCTTCATCGTCCTTCTCCCGGCATTGAGATCTGAACCGTTGATGTACGCGTTAGATCTATTAAGCTTACTGATTATTGGGGCGTCAGAATATCAGTAATGCTAGTGCGTGGTATTCCTCGCAAAAGGCAGAAACTGGTTTGCCCAGGTAACAAGACTCGATGGTATGGGCCAGGCTGACAACGAAGTTGGCTACGGATCGTTCCTCAGAGTGTGGGGCTGGTCCGGATTATATACTGCTATATACCGATACTGCTCAGTCCCGCGTGGTTCTGCTCAATAAGCTCAGTACCGAGCATACCAAGTATCTGAGCATACTGAACAGTCGTGTGCCAATCTCGTCGTTGGGCGGCCACCGCAGAGGCAGTCATGGTTGGAGGCCAACTGCACGAAGGCTTGCCTTGTTTGCCAGCGCGCATCTAACGCCTTATTCAATGTGGCATCGACCACCTATTCCTCAGTTGATGGCTACACCGTTCCATCACCTGCTGATACTCGCGACTTCCCTTCCCCGTTGTTGACACTTGCCTTCACATAGCTTGTCCCTCAGCCGCTTGACCTTCCTTCGCCGTGCCCTAGCTAGGCCCAACCGTACTGAAGGTCAGCACGCCACATTGTACAAAGTCCGATTGACCCTAATCGTGGTCTCAAATGCTGCGGTTGCGTACTCGGATGCGTATTCGGTTGCGTACCAAATCCCTTACTACTCTCCTGAAGCGCTTTCACAACCTGCTCCCGGAATTCCGGGAACCTCCTCGGGTCTAGGAACTCGGTAACCTCCCTGATCTGGGTGCCATCGTCGGTCGTGGCGAGAATGATAAGATACTCGTTGTTGTACAGCCCAAAGACCGTTTCACCGCTTCCTTGCATATGCAGCAACACTTTTCGAGCTATCTCGTCGACTTGTGGTGCAGTTCCTTCGACCAAAGCATAACTGATTTGTTTCACAAAGCCACCGAAGTCATCATCATCCCGAGGTACGAATCATTCGTGTATGTGGGTTCATTGAGATTTTTGGGCAGAATGTATTGCTTGCAATCAGGAATGCGCTCGGCAATGATGCCTGCGCCATCGGTGGATTGTTCAGCCCGTCGAGGTAGAGCTGGGCGGTGCGAAAGAGATTGTTCCGGACAGTCGACATGATCACTTGTGTCTATTCCCTGGAGAGGTAATAACCACCCAAGGGTACAGATGTTGAGATCTCGCGAGCATCTTATTACTATGACATCTGCCGCGCAGGCCCGCTCTCCCTCTCTAGGGCACCCACTTGGCAGTAAGACAGAAGTGACCCAGTCCCTCGGCTTCAAAAAGTCCCATACCCTAGCCTTTGCTCTGTAATCATTCCATGCTCTTCATTCCTGCAGCATAGGCTACCGCTCCACGCCCAAACCCTCACAGAGGCCTTGCCAACCTCATTTGAATATTTTGCTAGGAATTTTGTAATTGGCAGGGGCCTTCGCGACTTTGCTTTGTCTATACAAATCATGATTTTGAAAGAGCTCAGAAGGCTTTGAGGCAACAGCTTCTGCACCTTGTGCTTGAGCATAAGTATTCTCCATCTATTAATATAACACCGGAACAGTCGATAACAGCCACGCTATTTGACCTTTTCAGAACCTGTCACTTCCTCTACTGAGCCATCGCACCTCAGCCGCGAACATAGCCGATAATATCCCATCTCCTCCCGCCCGACCTAGTTCCTCAGCCGAAATATTACAGCTACTTCATATCTGATCCGGAAATGACAAAGTTAAAAGAGGTGTTTAGTCCACAGACGAAGTTTAGAAGAAGAACAGGTGCAGAATAGCACCGCTGGCCTGAATGGTACAACTGCCAAGTTGAAGCATGGAAAGCGTTTCTGGTCACCAGACAAGGGTTAAAAGGATGAAATGACAAACGTTTCAGTCATACAAAGAAGATAATAGAACGTCTCCGTGGCCCTCTTAAATTGCCTTGACCTATATCATCCGGGCAGCTCTCTCATATGCAATGGAGATCTCTATCAACCGACCGCTGGAAGAAGGTATCTGGAACTTGGTTTCCCACATCTTAGAATTTTACTTGAGGCTATTTCTCAGGGGCATGGTGGTGTCCATTGTAACATGTCGTCGTGGCCGCTTTGTGCCATCCGAGACTCCTTACACATGGATATCTGCGGGTTAGACCTTCCAGGGTTGGCTATTACACAAGTTTGACCCAGTGAATCGGGCCCAACCGCTTTGATTCGTCAATCTCGTGTGTATTAAGGCATGGTCCTAAAAGCTCAAGGCTCGAATAACGCTTTATTCTAGGGGGAAATACATTACTGCATGATGGGTATTCGCGTCTTTTCTTAGCGCCGTGTTGCGGTCGAGGTAGGACTACGTAAGTATTGCTCTGCGTTGACATTCTCTCCGGAAGAAACCCTTCAAAGCCTTTCGGTCTTGGAATTCTTAAATAGTATCACGAAATAGCGCTCCTCTTAAGAAAGTGGGCCGATGCTCGTGGTCTGGGGCCTGTCTGTTAAAGACTAGGTTGACCCTATTGGCACTTTTATCGTCATATGTCGCCACCTTTTTTTATCGTTTACTCTTGGAATCTTCCCTCTAGCTTGAACCACATGTCCCCTAAACCCAGTCTTGGTTTGGTTTCAAGACGATGCGGAGTCCACAGTACATGTATTGTTGAGCTTCCCTTGGGATGGCCTTTCATTTCGATGTGATGCGCCTAGTAACGTCTTTGGACTTTCAGGTTGTGCTGGTTCATTTTCCTTTCTTAGTGCTTCTCGAATCTGTTTCCATTCCGGAGTAGTAAGCTGACAGGTCCGACCGGTGTCACCGGTTGGTAACCCAAAGAAATGCAGGCTACCAAGAAGCACCTCTGTTCACCTGATTCCTCTGTTGGCTAGTATATTGCCGGAGTGCATCTACCTGATTTCCAGCTGTTATGCTTGGTATGAAGCCAGCAACTCATAGGATATCCAAAACCCAATTTCATCTCTCCATCCGCGCGATCTCACACTCACAGTAGCGTATATCAAGTCCCTCTTCCCTTCATAATTCCAAAATCGAACCCGGCTACCTGTGCAGCAGACCCCAGAGCGCTTTGGATACTTCCTAGGACAGTTTTTGCCTCGGCGAGAAGACTAGATTCAGCGACGGGAGCTGTAAGGTGAATGTGTCCAAGATGCCTTTGAGAAATGCTGATGGTGTCTGCCCTGGAGCCAAGGCTACATTGTACCGTCGCAGGATCTCATAGGCCACCTGACGTATCTCCACAAGGCCTAATTGTTTGCCGACGCACGAGTAGCGGCCTGGTATTCAGATTAGTTCTGCATTGAAGCTGGGGCTCCGGCATTGTACCTACCAGTAGAGAATGGAACAAAGGCTCGTTCGTCTTTGACTAGTTCCGGCCTTGTTGTCCACCGCTCGGGTAAGAACTCTTCTGGTTGCTCAAAGTATCTCTCATCTGCCGAGTAGTTAGAGGTCGGAAATTACCCTTTACTGGAATTTACAAGGCAGATCGTACCGCGGCTTAAAGTGTAAGAGGGAATTTGAACTATTGTATCCCCCGGAATATAAACATCTGCGATAGTCATACCCTCTGGAGGGGTCATACGTTGTACACCTGAAGGAACTGGTGGGTGTAGCCGGAGAGTTTCGTCGATGACTGCATTCAAGAAGCTCAATTTTCGCAGAGCTACAGCATCGGGTTCGGCCGAGGAGGTCAAAGCCTCCTCCAGTTCCTTCTGAATCATGGAGGCGTATTCTGGGTGCATGGCCAATTCAAAGAACATGCATGTCAGAGATGCGGCAGTCGTATCGCTACCAAGTAGTTAGCAGCCATCGACATGTGAGGCAATGCACGACATTTCGTTACCTCCCAGCAATCGCAATAAGACTAGCGTCACCTTCAAGGTTGAGTTCGTCTTGAAAGGTGGGAGTCTGATTTTTCTCGTAGTCTTCCAGAATCCACGAAAAGACATCAGGTCGGTCTGGGGTAGTCTACAAAGATTTAGTCTTCTTGCCTGATCCATCTTCACCTGTGGGAGGATTGACTAACCCTTTTTCGCTCAGCTACTTGATCCCGGACCCATTTCCGGAAGCGTTTGTGCGTTCTGTTCAAAATGGGAGTGGCCTTGAAGATTGGAAACAGCCATAGGAGATGGCTGAACAAGCCAATGTTCATCATGTCGGCATGCAAACACAGCATAAAATAATGCTTAATTCCGTCTCTGAGCATATGAAACGATTTGCCCCAGGCTAAATCACCCATGACGTCGAAGCTATAAAAGTTGAACCACGTCGCCATGTCAATGGGTTTGCCTTCGGACTTTTTCAGCTGATCCATCAGCTGGTCTGTGTAGCGGACCACCCTTGACTCATAGTCCTGCAAAGCTTGAGGTTGGTCAGTCTGGAATCAGACATGTGGTGCCATCGTAGGAGCCCGACCTTTGACGCTGAAGCCGCGATCCCAAACCCGGCGGCGTTGACTATGCTCCGCCTTATTTCGGACCATTTGCAGCGATTGGAAAGGATTCAAAACGTTGTACCAAGGACCCTTGACACATCTGGACTGGCTGGAATGCATCTTTTGCACTGCATCCACATTATTGATCGAAAGCTCTGTGGGTCCTGTGAAGGGTCATCAACGAAGTCACTAAGCTCAGAGAAGCCGTCATACCAAGTCGAACGATGTCTCCGTACTGCCGGTGAAGCGCACGAACCTCATCACAGAGCTGAATATTCTTGCACGACAGATAGGTAGGGTAAAAATTAGAAAACCGGGCAAGGAAAGGTCCAGGGAACCGGCAAAGTCGGTGGAAGAATCCACGGTAGAGGAGCATGCTTCCGAAGAGACCTACTCCGAAGAAAGTGCTCAGCATACTCGCTATTCTGAATGATTCAAGGAAGGTATTCTCCACGTAGTAGTATTGAAGCCCAAGTAGAGCCATGCAGTACAGAGCTCCAAAGAACCGGAGGATGTGGACAGCCCATAGGTCCCACTCGCCTACACGGAAGACCGCGAGATGCACGGAAACACCAGCAGCGAACGCTGCTAGGAAAAAGCGAGATGTTTCGAAATGCGACATGGCTATGTGAAATGGTTGAGAATGCCGTGGAAGCAACACTTACGACAACCATGACACGCCAACCGGCGCTTCTTATATTTTTGACTCTTCTCGTTGTCCGATACTACGTCGAACGACACGGCGCGGAGACGGTCAATGAGTTGACCGACATAGTTGATCGGCTGTATCGTACGGCACAGAGGCCCATTACGCAGACGATTCGATCGAACAGAGTTTCTGACTACGAAGGTAAGCGATATCAAGGTTAGTTTTCTAAGTCAGGCCCTCGAGTCAGAAGATCGGGGATTCGGAGACCATTGGTGTTGTCGATCCTCACCAGGCTGTGAAAGCTTATATTTCTCCGGGTTTTCTGGCCCCGCCGGACTCCCCCATGCCTCGGTACAAAAAGGATGGGGAGGGAAAGTCTGGGGGAAACCAGGCAATACTTTGAGTTTGCGGCAGCGGAAAAGCTCTGCTCAGGCCGCGGCACAGAACTGAGAGAAAATTGAGAGTCTTGTCTCCTCCGAAGCTCTCCCTTCTCCATTTTCATTGCATCTTTGCTTCTGAATCCTATCGCTCAACACCACTTGCCCGTCATCAAATTAGTCTCATGGCCGAAAACTCTTATGCCCGCCAAGGGCCTCGCCTGCGCGCTCAGGAGTTTGAATCTGCGGCCGCGGCCCGCCGTGCTCGCAAGCGCGAACAAGACAAGCTCAGCCAGCGACTCGCAAGAGAGCGGACCAAGAATCGCATCGCACATCTCGAAAGCGTGATTGCAGATCTGCAGCAGAAAAATTCTAATGACAAGTTCATGAATATCTGGAGGGAGCGCGATCAGCTGCTTGCAGACCGAAAGACCCTAGAGCAGACGTTGAACACCATCGAGAAGGCTCTCCAGGTTCGAAAAGAAGGGCCCAAAACAGGCTTAGGGGCAGTTCGCGAGGGAATGGGAGCACCCGATCCTTCGTTGCCGCGGTCACTCGAGGAATACATCCACATTGTGCCAGCCTCTGAGCGGGTTCGGACAGATGGGTCAGAGGTCCGAAAGTTTCATGACAAACTTGGCGATGCTCCTCTCTCAAGGTCAGAAATGCACAAGGAGTCTCACCATGACCAGGATTCACACATTTCATCTTCGTCACCAGCGTCGCAGACAATGAATCTCGTCCCACCGACTCTCGCGACACCGCCTTCGTGGGAGCACGGACAGGCATCTAAGCATAAGGACCCAATCATCCCTTTCATGGCGGGAGACATCTGTGACTGCTCTTCTGCCTCTATATTATCAGCTCCGCAGGCGCAGCCCCTCAACCTCTGGAGGTTCGCCAATGAGGTGCTGAGTGAACAAGTCGAATACTGTCACCAAGCTAACCGCAGAGACCACGAGCTCGAGCACGATATACCCGTCCGAGCCGTTTTGCAAGGATGGGATGCGGCTCAGCGGCGTGCAGGCGGCCACTTACCTGCGTCGTGGCAGAAACTACGTCGTATCGACGAAACTCTGTTCTCTTCATGTGGAAAGCCTGAGAGGCTGGCAATTTTGAGGATTATGCATTCACTTCATCAGTACCACCAGATACAGACCTCCGAAAGACAAGCGTTAGTTCCTCAATGGTATCTCGCGAGGTGCGTTTGTGGTGATGCGCTTATGCTTATGCAAGCATGTTCTGTGGACTAATTTCATCGTAGGCCGTCACAAAGTGTCGCTCATTCATACGCCATTGACTATTTTGCGTGGTGCGTACTCTCGCAAATACTCTCGCAACAGCGAATGACCTCAAGTGAAGTGCTAATTCAGTCTTCGTCCTTCCATCACAGGCCCGGTCTTCGTGAGCGATTTGTTTTTCATCAGCACAAGTATTGCTCCAACCGGTTCTGGAGCCGTTTTTGCTCCGATCTTCACATCCTATGGCCTTTTGAATTTCGAGATTGTTACACTTGTAACACTGCCACCGGGGAGTACAAAGTATCATATGCATTTGACCAGAGAATTAGGGATATCAGGAGTTGGACCATGTCTGCAGATATGTTCCTGGTCTGGCCCGAATTCCTTTCAGACATACCCGTTTATAACTCTCTCCTGCCTTCGATTTCAACCTCGCCATCAGATCAAGCAGTATTTCCCGGACACTATTGGGACTCTGCGACCGCTGGGATGTTCGATCCCACGGATCAAAGCGGTGACACAGATGCTGTTCACGGTGATCTCATTGAGCTGAACCATCTGCAGGATCAGTCTCTTCTGACACCAGATCGTCCCCTGGCTCTTTGTCTTGACGAGAGTGATGTTGTCACCTTCTAAGGGCTCGACAGCCGTTTCCCCTTCAGTGTTTGTGCCAATGTGAGCATAATTGGGACGGAATCACTGCCGCTCTTTCTTGGATTGGACCTTGGCTTCTCGGAAGATGAGGTGGTAATGTAGGAAGTTACTGGGAGATCAAGAAAAGCTCGCACATGGTTCCATTGGCGTGTGCGTGGATCGATTTCGTTTCGCTTTCACGGGGTGGTCGGCACCGACTAGTACAAAGTGAGCCGTATAATCCGTAAGAAATCATTGCTCTATGGCTTGTAATACTGTTCTACTACTCCTGTATCAAGTCGAGATCGCGGGTTAATGAGCATTCTCATCAAGGGACTGAGTGAAAATCGGTTGTGCTCTTGCTCCATCTGCTACTTGTTTAGACTGACCAAAAACTGGCGAAGCTTGAGCCGTTGATGATTAGCTCAGTTTGCTCCCAGCGCAATGATTCCATCTTCCTTGACGATTGCGACATCGACAAAAGATTAATACAACGTAACATTTCTTCTCTTGAGGTCAAATTTGATCTCCCGATAACAACTTGACTACTCGAAAAGCCGCCATGGTAACGATGACGTGTCTCTATCCTGCACAAGTCGGTCCTATGTGCTTGCATGGATGCAGCGAGTTTTACAGGCACAATGGATGTCGCTAATGTTACTAGCCGATGCCGCCAGAAATGGCTCATTTACAACGCTTCTGACGCCATCCGGCCGAGTCCATCTCTTTCTGGCAAGAGTCGACAAATTATCCGTGGAGATCTACAAGGTTGTATTGACAATATCATAGCTTCGCGTTGCAATAATGTCAGCGGGGCCTCTAAGGTGTTTGTTCCACGGATTCACGGGGCTGCTGTTCAATCGCTAAACCTAAGCTTCGCTCTGAGACAGCGAAACTTTGACTACTGGAGACAGAAGCCAAATCAGAGCGCAAGGAAGGACTTGATCCTGTCGTGCTACGTATGCTTGCGCTTTATGCTGCTTCCCCATGCGCAGCCCAACCACGGGAGAGACACTTGGTCGCATGGCTCGGCTGCAATTGTCATCTTAGGTTGGCGGGTTATCCGATCATGTGGCAGATGCATAAAACTTGGCCTTTGCTCACAATGATCGAGGAGGAGCGCTCTGCCTAATAATCCTTGATTGTACTGTCTCTCAAGCGGCAGATCACAACGCCGACCAGCCTTCTATACTATACCCGGACTGCAACTGATTTAGCATTGTTCCTGCTATTTCAACTACCAGTACTATCTTCTGAAGCGAGATTGGCCTGCGATGCAGGAAATCGAGAGTCTAAGCGGCAGTTGAAGTTCACCGGGATATCCCTAGCGGAAATATTGCTACATGAGCTACGATCGAAATGGAGCTTGCACAACGTCGCTACCCACGCCCCTTGCAGAAATGGTGCAATAGCATTTATCCATGACGAGATGTGTCCAATATCAAAGAGGTTACAGCTTTAACGGCCATGTAGAGCCGACTTCTATATACCGAATATAAGCAGCCGGGATCCTGCTTGCAAGCGAGCCTCTCTCTGCCAGTCAAACCCGGGTCCTTTCAATTTGGGTTCAATTGAGTCACCACCAATGGCAGTTCTGAACAGATTTTTTCGTTCCGACAAGAACAGTGCTCAGGAGGTATCAGTGAGTGGTATTGACGTTCAACACAACCTAGTCGCAGATGGAGATCTCAAATACACCATCGAGCAGGCTGGTAATGGATCATCTCCGAGCTACCAAGAAGTATCAGGTGCCCCCGTCGAGGCAAATTCACCTCTCGGCTATTCGGTCGGGAGAATCACAGTTGTGTTCCTGAATATCAGTATGATGATTGGGACCGGTATCTACTCTACTCGTCAGTATCCAGTGTGGGTAATGTTTTGCGAATAGACTCTGACCGCGTTCAGCTGCCGGTATCCTATCCAGCGTCGGATCAGTGGGCCTTGCGTTCATATACTGGGTGATTGGGTTTCTGCTTTCTTCCAGTTCTCTGGCTGTCTACATCGAGTATGCCGCTTTCTTTCCGAACCGATCTGGCTCCGAAGTGGTGTATCTGGAACAAGCTTATCCTCGCCCGAAGTGGCTCTTCCCCACCACGTTTGCGCTGTGGTACTTGATCTTGTCTTTCAGCTCTAGCAACTGTATCGTCCTTGCCCGGTATCTTTTCGAGGTTAACGGCCACGTACCTACCCCATGGGAACAAAAAGGTGTTGCGGTAGCTGGCTGGACGGTAGTCATCCTGATCCTTGTCCTCAACAATCGCTTCGGATATCTGATTTCCAATGCTATTGGCGTGGTGAAGCTCATCACTTTGCTCTTTGTTAGCATTACTGGACTTGTAGTCCTTGGGGGCCACACAAGGGTGAAGGATCCTACGGCAAATTTCAAAAATGCTTTCTCAGGCACCTCACATAAGCCTTATGGTCTGACGCAAGCTCTGGTCAACATTATCTTCTCATACGGAGGTTATCACAATTCTTTTAATGTCGTGAATGAGGTCAAGGTGAGATTCAGCCGCCGAAAGATATAGCCCACCACGAACTGACAACACTATATCAGAATCCCATCAAGGTTATGAAGATATACTCATCCATCTCGCTCCTCACTGTGGCGATTCTATACATCTTGGCCAATGTAGCCTATATCGCAGCCGTGCCTTTGGACGAGCTCAAAGCTTCTAACCAGATTGCTGCCTCCCTCTTTTTCCAGAAAGTCTTTGGCTCGAGTGGTGCCGTCAAGGGACTTAACTTCCTCATTGCACTCAGTGCATTCGGGAATCTGCTAGCTTCCAACATTGGGTTATCTAGGCTCACACGTGAATGTGGCAGGCAAGGTGTCCTGCCTTATCCTCGTTTCTGGGCCTCGGTATGGCCTTTCGGGACACCTTGTGGACCCTATTTGATAAAATATGTGCTTACACTGGTCATGATCTTGGCTCCACCGGCAGGAGACGCTTTCAATTTTGGTACGTTAATACCCAAGCATGTGTGGATCAGTCTAATCAACATACTCTTTACAGTCAATAATCTCCAGGTCTACCCAAACGCCATATTCAATGTTCTCATAGCGGTGGGTATCTACCTTGTGCGCTGGAGACATAAGAAGGCCAATCTCCCGCGTGAATCGTTCCGGGCTTGGGATTTAGCAGTCTGGTTCAACATTCTTGTGAACCTCTACATGGTTGTCATGCCTTGGTATCCGCCTGGTAAAAGAGGGAGTAGCTTTGGCTTTTGGTATGGTACCGCTTCGGTTACGGGTATTGGGATGTAAGTTAGAACCCGGGTAATCTCCAGGATTCTGCTAACATTTTAAAACTACCAGTATCGCTCTATGCGGCGTCTATTACTGGCTGTGGATCATCGCAATCCCAAAATGGCATGGCTATCGAATTCGCCAACAGGTAGATACACTGGATTCTGGTGCCAATGCGCATAAACTTGTCAAGGTTCCACTTGATCAGGTCAAGGAATGGGACGAAACCCATGATCCCACTGGGAAACTTATTGCCGATACACTACATGGAGAACGCAATTCGGATATCAAGATATAAAACGACGGGATATCGACTCGGTGGTTCTGAGGAATAGCGGCACCGCCTTGGGCCACGGCGCAATTCAGGAAACCTTCTAGATTGCTATACCGTTCAGAAAAATTCCGTATGCCCTGCATGGTCAATAAGATAGGCTCTGACGATTTGATAAGCACACATCATATGTCTCCCGAATCTATCATAGCCGTTGGGAATGTCTGGATAGTAAAGCGTGGACATACAAGTCTACACTACAAGAATTTCAATTGCTTCCCTCGTCCCTGAGAATCTGCCATGCTATTCTAGCATAATCAATTGACCTATCATTGCCCATAATGCCCGCGCCCATCTTATTCATAATGTAGGTGAAGGTTACACCACGGTGTAGGTCACAGATGGCAAAGCTTCCGCCCCATCCTCCCCAGAAACACATCTTCTCGTGTGGAAGGTAATCGAAAGTTTTCTCCGATAGTCCACCGCCAATTCCAAATCCGATACCGAACCGTAAAGGCATGCCTAATACCCGGTCCATTGAGTCGGATTGGGTCCGGAATATCTGTTCAACGGTCGTGGGCGATAGGAGTTTTGCGTCATCGTATGGCGTGCCGGACAGAGTGACTGTGCGAAGGATACGGTTGAGGCCCTTAGCGGTGCCGTGGCCATTGACCGCAGACATATCTGCATGGCGCCACAGAGGTTTCTGTGAAAATGATGCGGCTGTCCTTGGATTGAAGAAGCTTTTGTAAATTATGCTCTTCTGATCTAAGCTGTCGACGTCAAACGGGGGCGGTGGAGGCGAGACGACTGGAGCAATGCGAGGCCAATCTTCTTCCGCTGCCCCAATCTGGAAGTCTGCTTGCAAGGGTCTGGCTACTTCTTCCGCAACAAATTGTTTCATAGGTTTGCCAGTGGCCCGTCGAATGATTTCACCTAACAGGTGGCCTTGCGTGGTGGCGTGGTAGCCGCTGCCTGAGCCCGGTTCCCACCATGGCGCCTGTTTCGCCAATCTGGCGGTAGAGTAGGGCACATCGCAAACCTCCTCGATTGTTATGGGACTCTCCCATCCTGAGAGACCTGAGCTGTGGGCCATGATGTGCCGAATGAGAATCTTGTCTTTGCCATTCTCAGCGAACTCCGGCCAGTAGTCTGCGACGGGATCGTCCACGCTCAGCAATCCGCGCTCGTGAGCTATCAGGACGGCGATGGCTGCAACAGTCTTGGTCGAGGAGTACACATTTGTGATCGTATCTGGGGTCCATCGTCTGCTCCTGTCCTCGGAGGCGTAGCCACCCCAGATATCGACAATATCTTTGCCGTTTATGTTGATGTTGATAGCGGCTCCAAGTTCGTCCCCACTACGTAAATTTTCCTGGAAGGAATCTCGGAGCTTCTGAAAAACCGGATCCATGGTGCCTTGAACCTCAGCCATGGTATATTAATGCCAGTTCAACTGCAAAGAGTCTTCGAGTTGTACAGCGATATAAAGCACCCCGGAACCACAGTCAATATATCCTTGTCGCCCTCTCGGAATGCACATTAATGGACACGGGATTGGTGAGTAGTAAGCTTGCACTTGAGTGAGAGATTGTGCTGTATATATCACTGAGAGGGACCAGACTTTTGGGTCTTGAGCGGCAGTCTCAATTGAAGTAAAGGGCATTAAGTGGAATCACATTCAAAGCTCGGTGTTTCCGTTTTTGGACCTCGGCCCGAGACGTCTCCATGGAGGGGTGTATTGAAGTTTTGTCCGCGATTATCTGTACCGGGCACCTCCTTTTGAATCAAATCATAACCATGCTAAGAAAGCGGGAGCCCCGAGCGTGCGACATCTGTCGCCAAAGAAAAGTACGATGCAACGTGGCAAGAATTGGTGTGCCCTGTTTCAATTGCTCTCGGGCGTCTGCCACCTGCTCCGTGAGCCACAGTCCTGCGCGAGGAAAACGGTCAGGGGAGCAGGGATCCGCGAACATTGTGCCTCCAGCCAACATCTATACGTTCAAAGTTAACTTCCCCAGGACACATAGCTCTCCTAGCGACGATCTAACCGCTGTGCCTGCCCCCGAGTCCGCGCAAGGTTCACCCAAGGAAAGTCGTTACCATGTCACAGACATCCCGCCGAATGATGCTGAGCACATCTCGTTGCCACCAATCAAACATGGGCTGCCGGAATTTATCGCCCCTCTGCCTGAGAGCATCGACCAGAACGTCTTGCGACTGTTGCATGAAAGCGGAGCTATCTCAATCCCTCCTAAAAGTATAGTTGATGAGCTGCTCAGAGGTTTTGTTTGCTATGTGTATCCCTTATTACCGATCGTCGACCTGGGCAGCTTTATCGACGCCATGAGTGGGACAAACGAGAACACCATAAGTTTATTGCTATTTCAGGCGGTCATGATGGCAGGCGCTGCATTTGCGGACCTGTCGCATATGCAATATGTGGATTTTCAGAGCAGTACCGACAACCAAAGGATGTTTTTCGAGCGAGTCAAACTGCTTTACGAATTGGATGTCGAATCCAATCCCACAACCATGGTCCAAGCTCTTCTTCTGATAACCTATTGGCATTCCCAGCTTAACGATATAAAAGGGCGAGTCTACTGGCTGAATATTGCTCTGTCACTGGCCTGTGGAATCGGTTTGCACATCCCTAGTCACTATTCTGACCAGCCAGAACAAAGTCGATTCCGCCGCAGGCTATGGGGTTGCTGCATCGTAAGAAGCCAGCTCTTGTCCTTGACGGAGCGCCGGCAAGTTTCACCTCCGTCATTTGCCACGGATTGCGAAGTCATGCAACTAGACGACTGGGATGACATAGCTTTGACTCGGGCACTGACCAAATACTGCCCTTCTGGCTGTGATCTTGATGTGAGTCTCGTGGGCCGACTATTTATACAACAGGTCAAGCTGTGTGTTATCATCAGTCGCGTCCTCGAATCACAGTACGAATTGAGCGGAGTGAGACGGATCGACTCAAGCGATGCACATATGATGTTAATACCAAAAGCAAAGGCTCCGAGCGTGGCAGTAGTTGCTCGGGATCAAGAACTTCGAGAGTGGTATACCGAGACATCTTCACTCACCACTGCATTCGGCCAAGATCACCGCAGTAATGGAGCACTGCTCGGCGTGCACTCTGCAGCACTAGAGATGCTTTACTGGACGACGTTGTCTGCAGCTCATCGCCCTCATCTACTCCATGAACATCACACAGACTCGGCTACCGGAGCCCTGCAGGAGTACTCATGCCTCACAGTCCAGTCCGCCGCACGACGGGTCACCGAAATCGGGAAAACTTTGGAGGACAGCAATCTTGTGCAGTTTCTGCCGCCGCTCGCGGTTGGAGCGTTCATCGTGACATCTATTCAACATCTTAAGGATGCCATGTCGACCGAACCGGAGCGACGCGGGACAGGATCCCTGTATCTTGGACAAACGCTTCAGGTGTTCACAGCATTGAGGAAAAGGTATTTGTCTGTAGATACTGCGATTGATTTTATCGAGCGTGTCAAGCGCGGCCGTGTCTTCTATCATTCTGTTGAGTGGGAGGAACGACTCCGTCCAGCGACTGGGGCGGAAGGAGCCTCAATTCGCCATTTTGCTGGAGAGCCTGAATCTAGCCGTACAGCTGAGACGAGATCTCTGCCCCAGCTTGATATGGACACTGCTGACCTACGATGGTCTGAACAAAGTGGGCGCGCCACGCCTCGCAGCTTTCGCGATGGTAACGACTTGTTGGACTTGGCGTACCTCCCGGTGCCGAACCTTGAAGGGTTCTCGGAAGTATTTTTTTCAAGCTTGGTCTGATTCGAGGTCAGGTTCGCCGCTGAATTTCATTATGATGCAAAGCCTCGTTCCAGCTCTCAAAGCTTTAATGTCCTGGTTCTCTTCAGTGATGCGTTTCTGGAAATGTGAACTGTCGCTTTCGGCCGCACTTTCACAAAGCGGCAAGGCGTCGGACCGAAGACAGAAAAGGCAAGTCCGAAATCGTGGACAGTTTCCCCTTGGAGAGCCAGCCAGTTCAAGCGGTTATGCTGCGCGAACGCCATTTGTACATTCTACCGAAGACTCGATCAGACAGTGCTCCTCGTCCGCATGGAACTGAGACCCCGCGATTCCTCTCACTGGTAGATTTCACCTTTCCCTTCTCTGACAATCTCCTGGACCTCACCGTTTCCCCATGGGGTAGCACTGAGTGGGGTATGTTCAGTCATAAATCGTGCGTTCCGCTCTGAATGTTCTTGATAAGACAGCTTGCAGAAAAAACTCCAATATCTTTACCTCCCTTACACTGATCGACTGCAAGTATGGCAAATCCATCAAAAGGCACTCCAACGAAATCTGTGGAGCCAGAAGCATTTATAGCACATGAAGAGAAAGTTTCGATTGAACCTTCGGCGCACAACGACTCTGGTAATGACTTCCAAGCCTATGAGACACGCAATATCGACATGCGCACCGTTCTTGGTTTACTGGTGCGTACCAAATGATGACTGCACTTCGTGTCCTGATGATCTGCAGGCTCTGGCTATCACATATGAGTGTTGCCTATTTTCCTTCGTGCTGCCTGCGGTGATTCTCTTGATAATTAATCAAGATATTGGCCCCTCGAACAATATTGCATGGGTTGCTACTTCATGGACGCTGGCAAGCGCGGTCGTTATGACCGTTGCGGGCAGGTGTAGTGATATCTTTGGACGAAGGAACTTTTTCCTTTTCGGCAACGTCCTTGGTGTTATCGGTTGTACAATTGCCTGCAGGTGGGTATTGACACTTCTTAGTAAGGCCCCAATGCTGAATCACCTCAGAGCCATGAATGTATCAGTGCTCATTCTGGGAAGTTCAATTTTGGTGAGAACAAAGGTAGTATCCCGTCCCAGTGCCACTGTTGATATAGCTTCAGGGACTCTCCGGCGGGTTACAGCAGCTGGCTTTTGCTGCCGCAAACGAAATTGTGCCTAAAAGAAATCGCGGGCAGACAATGGCTATGATGACGCTTGTATCGCTTCCAGGGTCGGCGTTTGGAGCTCCAATTGGTATGCTACGCCCGCTCTGTGTTGGCCCTGTATCTCACGAATCTCACGCAGCATATCGAATAATCTCCGTGACCTCTTGGCGGTGGACGTACTACGTCGCTCTCATTGTAAATGGCATAGCGCTGGTTCTCATCCTCGTCTTCTACTGGCCTCCAAATTTCCTTGGGCTTCACCCAGAAGGCAAATCACGACGTCGGCAATTCTCGGAGCTGGACTTCATGGGACTGCTGCTGTTCGGCGGAGGTCTGACGGTTTTCTTAGTTGGAATCGGCTTCGGCGGGAATCCCTACCCGTGGACGAGTGCAGTGGTTCTGTGCCCAACCATCATCGGATTCCTTTCCGTCTTCGTGGGGTTCCCTGCTTGGGAAGTATACAGTCCCGATAAGATCACAAAACTCTGCCCTCCCCGACTCATGCGCAACGTTCGAGCCGTCGTTGTACCCTTGGCGGTGTCTTTTGTGTCAGGCATGGCTCTTATTAGCTTGGGTATTTTGTGGCCCCAGCAGATTGCACGTCTTTTCACCACAGTTCCAAAGACAATCGGCTGGTATGGATTGGCCAACCAAGGCTCTGCGACTGGTAGGTATCGCCCGAGGTATTGGGAAAGATGACTGACGACCCTCCAAGTCGGCCTGATGCTGGCCGGTCAGACATTCGCATCCCTTCGCAGGACAAGGTGGCAGTTTATTTTCATTGTCACCATGATGGCTGTCTTTCTGGGACTTAACGCAACAGTCAATCAGTATACTCCTGCTCGAGCTGTTGTTTTCGTTGGACTTGCCTCGGCCATGATCGGCGCAACCAATTGTCTCAGCATTCTTATCGTGCAGCTTGGCTCTTGTGATGAAGATATTGGGGTCGCAACAGGCCTTGTGAACTCCACAAGGATGGTAGGGGGCGCGGTGGGAGTCGCGATCTACTCTAGCCTGCTTGCAAATCGAATTGCAAGTACCTGGGCTCGTGATATCGGCAGAGCACTGCTCGAGGCTGGCCTGCCTGCTTCTTCGCTAGCGTCATTTCTCTGTGAGTTGGTCTTATACGACAGTGATAAGTGGTGGGCTGACTTGCAACGTAGCTGGACTCCAACTAGGAGATGTCACCAATGTTCCTGGCACCACTCCCTCCATCATTGAAGCAGGGGTGAACGCGCAGAAGGGCGTCTTCGTGAATGCGTTCCGACTAATTTATTGTGTCACCGTGGCTTTCGGAGGTGAGTTGAGACATAGCATCATGAGGAGACAGAAGTGACGTCGATTCAGGTCTTGCAATCATCGGGGCACTCTTCGTCGCCAATGTGGACGACAAACTCACAAAGTAACCAATTCTGTCATCTTTGCATGTAATAGCTTGCTAACTCAGCTGTTCTCTAGGCAAGTCAACGTTCAACTCGATCAGCCGCATCTTCTCGGGCATGGAGCCGGTCAAGCCATGGTGATCCGCGCAGAGAAGCAGCAGCTAGCTTAAGTTCGAAATTCTGCTACTAGTAGATCGATGAGGCTGGGGTAGATGTCCATGCCGTAGAAAACCAATAAATGAATCACGAGGTTCCTGAGCCGGCAAGTACGGTTTGTCCAGGGTATGGGATTGATAAGGAGAGAGTGGAGCAGTAATATTGTGTTGAGTATGGAGAAGTCTCGTGGTCAATTCCATCGTCGAGTTCCGTCTCCGGTTTATCATATGCCTGCTTCAGGACCTGAAGGGACTTGCTTCTCGTCCGTCACATTGAAGAACGCTAATCCTTACCTTAAGTTTAGCCTAGCGGCCGGACCGACCCTGGGTAGTGCGAGGAGGAAATCACTTGGATCTACGTTGAACAAGAGGCCCACCTACTAACAGAGCTTCCTTTCGTTGAGCTGCCGCCAACAACAGTCCAGGAATACGAAGCAAGGAGGGAAATCGTGAGAGGTGAACGTTTCGCTTTATGTGGCCTTTCCAGCTTGGGAAGCTCTTTGGGCTTTCGAAGATCTGTGATAACATGTCTTCACATATTGATGAACGCTTGTCTTGATATGTTCTCCTAACACAATATGTCTGGTACCTTCCCTGTCCATCAAAACTGCAGTTGAGGATCATTGGGAGCTGAATGAGCGACCTGAAGGTTTCAATCCATTAGAACTATCGCCAAAGCCCACTTTAATAATTGGTTAGGGTCAGGGTGAAAATCGCAGTTTCAGCCGGACCCCTCGAAATCAAGGCCTATATCGGCTCTGTGAACGTCTGGCCCAGTGCTGTAAGGTCCAATACTGCAAATTACTCCCTATTCATGGCTCGGTTAAGAAATTTCCAAGGTTTCTGCTCGTATTTACTCAGCTGCGAGCGCCAAAGCCAAGAATTTCTACTCGCAGCTGAGCGCGTGCCAAGTCAGCCATTTTCTGGGCGACTGCGCTTTGTGCGATCTTGCGTAGTATGTGTTAGCTTCCTCCTCACAATCACAATGTACTTACGATTCTATTGTCACAGGTATTGACAATACTAGCCAGGGATTTCATTTTTGTGAGACCAAAGAAAATGGTGGCTAGGTCTCGGCCATTTGGCCATCACAGACTTTTGCTCACACAGTCGTGTTGCTTTCTCATTCCAATATTTTTGTTGTGCCTCGTCCATGTTTCAGCCAGCCATGAGACGTGACGTGAGTCACGTTGCTGGGCGTTACTGATCTTCAGCTGAGTTTTGGAAATGTGGTACTTTTGTGTACGATATCCCTTGAAGGCTTCGCCCTTGCTATAAAACCAGGCTCGAATCCTTTTCCTTCGTCTTAAAGGGCTCACATTTCATAACTGACAAACTCAATCAGAGCGCACAGCTTAAGGTTCAAAATGGCTGACGAGAAGAGTAAACCCAGCGCACTTCACGTGTGCTCTACAATACTCCCAAAGGGCGCCCCTTCATCAAATATCATACCCACTAAGGATGGGCCAGACCGCCTTGCCATGCCTACCAGTAGCTTCTGGCCGAATGGAAAGAAGCTTCGCGTAAAGCTTCTCCCTGGTGCCAGCAAGAAGGTTCAGGACAAAGTCAAATACTATGCACAACAGTGGGAGAACTATGCAAACATCGACTTCAGATTCGTGGACGACGATGACGCCGAAATTCGCGTCTCATCTGTGTTGGATGGCTCATCTTGATCCGGCGTCGGCACAGAAATACTGAATAAAAAGTGGTTCCCGCCAAATGAACCGACCATGAACTTTGGCTGGCTCACTGACGACACTTCCGAGTCGGAGTTTTCTCGAGTAATCATCCACGAGTTTGGTCACGCCCTGGGGTGCATACACGAGCATCAACATCCAAATGTGGAACTTAAGTGGGACGTCAACGCGGTGTATGACTACTTCATGGGACCGCCAAACAACTGGAAGAAGGAAGTCATCGACTCTAATATCTTTCAGAAGTACGACATCGCATCCACGAGGGCTACCGCATTTGACGAGAAGTCCATCATGCTCTATATGTTTGATTCAAATCTCTTTACCGACCACCGTGGCACACCCAACAATGTCGTTCTCTCAAGCACTGACAAACAATTCATTGCGAAGATGTATCCATCTCAGCTTCGCTCCTCCGGCTCCTGGAGCACGACAGACCAGAGACCAGAGAGAATGGTTTCCACCGGTCGCTCTCAACTCCAAGCAGGTTACCTTCGACCCCCCTACACCACTCCGCCCAAGATCGCCGTGGGCCTAATGAGTTACACGTTGGAGAAGCCACTGACCTGAGGGTGAAGGCGTCAGTGAGCCGGCTCACTGCTGAAAACTTCGTCGTGAATGTGGATGCGTGGGCAGACACTGCGCTTTACTCAGGTGGAGCAACTTGGGTGGAGTTTGACGATGGTGATAATGACTATCAACGTACGTATATCAAACATAATCATGCCGTGCTGTACCGTGCTCTAACTGGATAACAGCGGACACCTATACAGTTCAAGGACAATCACCCGTGAACAAGAGCCATGTCACCTTTGAGCACCCATACGAAGGAAAGCCGGAGGTTATAGTCTGGCTGTCCGGGCTAACGACGAGCAAAGATCGCAACACTCGTGTCCACGCCTACGCCGAGAACGTCACCTCGGAAGGTTTCGACATCTTCATTAAGACATGGGCCGACAGCATTGTATTTAGCGTCACCGCCACGTGGATCGCGTACCCAAAATCGAAGCCTGGGAGTGACAAGCGGCCTAGACGACACGGCGAACTATCGCAACTGGTCGCCGGCACAGGTCGAGAACGGGAGGAAGGTTGGCTTCAATGCCGATTACGATAAGGCGCCAAAGGTGTATGTCGCCGTGAACAGGCTGGACTTCGACAATGCCACGGATGTGTGATTTCGAGCTACCCCCACCAAGGTGAATACGCATGGGTTCCAGTGGAATGTGAACGCGTGGGATGATACGTTGTGCTACGGTGCGGGTGTCAGTTGGATTGCTTTTGGGTGATTGCTATTGCCTCAACAAGGTAGATAAGAAACACTGCCCGATCGCGAGCGAGGAAGAGTAATTGATCACCACGGGCGGAAAGTTGTTTGCATAACGAATATATTACTCTCGGTCTTCCTAAATTGATCTCTGCCATTCCTCTTACACTGTAGAGGCAATAGGAATACCCTAATAAACAGGCACAGAGACACACATCCTGAGTTTTCGGTTTTCAGGAAACACATTCAAAGAGCTGTGGCGCTGAATGTCGATTAGTCGTACTCGCCGGCTGAGAGACGGATAGCTAGAGAAGTCATGGTCTGTAGTAGCTAAGCATGATCATTAACAAAGTAGGAGGGACTGACTTATACTGTAATTGAGTAGAATTTCAGAGAAAGGTGATACTTTAAACCCTATAAGTTACAACATTGATTCCGTCCCAAAGTAGATCATATCTGTAAGCTACGCTACTACGAGATTGGGTCGAAGGGACTCCTGAGATCTATAGAATCTTAGAATTAGAGGGGTCTCCTACTAGTCCCTATTAAGCATCGTGACTCACGATTCAGCCATTTTTGTGCTACGGTGAGCTCTCCTGAGGTGTCGGCGCAAGTGGTTAGCGGAAAGATAACAGTAATCTCCCACGATGTCCCGACGCAACCGTGTTCTTATGCATCGCTCGGGAGCTGTGCTTGAGAGAAACTGACACGCGTCGATTCAAGTACTAACAGAGGGCACCCAAAAGCACCCGCGTCCCGTGACTATAGTGTTCTTGCGAAATTGCCGAAAGTATCTCGCTTGTCTACTCAACTTGAGCAACCTCTGAGACCCCCGATTCGCCTGTGGGGTAGGCACCTGACAAAATGTTCCAGACAGACGTGTCATTCTCACCACAGCATTTACCTTCATGGTGAACCAGGGACGTCCACAAGTCCATGATCAAAGAACTACATAGGCCATAAGTCCCCTTTGCAGCACCGTCAAATTTATGGACCCGGATCCGTTTGTCTCCGAGGACCACCAAGAGCTTCAACTTTACTTCTCAGAATTGGTCAGTAGCGAAGAGTTTAAAATTGACAGAAGGCTCGAACTCTTCGAGATTGGCCCATACTTAGGACTATAATCAGTGAGTGGACAGCAGTGGAAACTAAGTTGCCGCTCAAGCCGTGCAGAAGTAAAGCGGCAAGAAAGCGTTGCTTCAAGATCTGCCATTGTCTCGTTTAGCTCTCTCAGGTATAAGGAATATTAATAACCACGAACGCTTAGATCCCAAATCATGCTGCAGAACGCTTACTGCAGTGCTCTCAGTTCTCTTCGTAACAGGTTCCCCCATTGATTGCGCTACATACCACAATCTTTTGTCATTCTCAATCAATCTCCTTTAAAGTCAGGAAATCCTATGGAGTCATTTCGGCAGTATCGCGAACTTGCAGTAGCTGCAAACCGGAAACTATCCAGCAGGGCGGCTATGAGACAAAGGCAAACAAGTGAATCTAGCGAAAGTACCGAAGGCATCTTCACTGTTGACTTCGACGGACCTACTGATCCCTTAAACCCCCGGAATTGGCCATATCTCAGGCGGACGCTTGTGACGATCAGCTTAGGGTCTATCGGATTCTTAGTCGGTGTCGCAGGAGCAATCGACTCGCCGGTGCTGTATCGAGCTGCCGAGGAGTTTAATGTGAGCGAAGTATCCGAATCGTTCGCGACCGGTCTGGTAAGTTGGTCTCTCGACTACTTCGTCCTTGGCCGATAAATCTTAGCGGTTTGTGGTTGACACGAGATGCTGTGGCAGTTCCTTATAGGCATTGGGACAGGAGCCTTGATTTTCGGACCTCTGTCTGAGCTCTATGGACGAAATTCTGCGTACATTGGTTCCTTGGCTGTGTACATGCTCTTCATCATGGGTGCGGGCCTGTCCAGGAAGCTTGCATCACAACTTGGATGCCGTTTCTTTGCAGGTTTCTTCGGAGAAGCTGTCTTATCCACCTGTGGGGCTCCTTGGGAGATATGTGGTCACCGTTGCAACGAATTTATGCCTTCCCACTTTTTGCAAGTGAGTGTACCGAACATTTTAATGCGAGCCTCACCACCAATATCTGAGATTGATACTACCACTGTCTAGCAATTGCCTTTTCTGGTCCGGTCTTTGGGCCCCTCTTGGGAGGGTTCATTGCAGACTCAGAATCACTGTCCTGGAAATGGACAGAATGGATCACATTGATGATGTCCGGTGTGGCACTGACACTTATCGGACTATTTCAGCCAGAAACTTATGCACCAGTACTGCTCAGTTGGAAGGCTAAACACCTTCGCAAGTTGTCTGGAGACAATCGCTATAGAACTTTCTCCGAGAGAGCCCAAAAGGCTTCACTAAGGGCTAAGCTTTATCTTACCTTCTGTCGGCCATTCAAAATGCTGTTTCTGGAACCTACCATCATGCTGTGGACATTATACCTGACGTTCGTGTACATGGTGAATTTTGGCTTTCTAAGTCTCTATCCATTTGTCTTCGGAGATGTCTACAAGCAATCGACACGGACTACAGGTATCATATTTTTGAGCCTTTCTGTTGGCAATCTTTTATGCAGCATACCCATAACCCTTCTTGACTATCGCCGAGTAAAGCGCCAGATCGATCAGCAAAAATTGCAAGAGGGGAACCAGGGAGCTGTTCGACAACTTCCCGAGAGCCGGTTAATTTATGCTGAACTCGGAGCGCCTGCAATCCCGATATCTTTGTTCTGGATGGCTTGGACCACATATACATCTATCAGCGTCTGGTCTTCGATATTTGCAAGCGTCCTTTTCGGCTATGGTTATATTGCCGTATTCCTTTCAACCTCGGAGTATCTGGTTGATGTGTATGAAGAATACGCGGCGAGTGCCTTAACGATGGTCACACTGGTTCGTTACGTTCTTTCGGGGATCACGGTTGTGGTTGTCATCCCGATCGTCAGAGCAATCGGCGTACACTGGACACTTAGTTGTCTTGGGTGTATAGGGCTGGTCTTCATGCCGGCTCCGTATCTGTTCCATATCTATGGCCCGTCTATTCGCGCGCGGAGCAAAATTACAGCCCAAGATTGATGAGCAGTGATGCCTAGACGGCTTGTGGGATAGGCTATAACGCAAGACCGGATTGCACTTTTCTTGACCGTTACCCTCGGGAAAAGTGAACGAGCAGTGTGGGCTTTGAATGAATAATTGAACAATGGAAACACGGAGTTAAAACGTATTGAGAAAAGTCATCACATTCATTTGATTTTGTTATACTTTTATTGGAGATTAGAGTGCCCGGCCTGTTGATAAAGCATTCAATCCGATTGATTTCTCCTCAATCGTCTGCAATCAGAATCAGCATGTTAGAGTGTAGTGAGATTTCAAGGCTCACTATTTAGCCCTCATTCCTCGATTTGCCGGGTGGAGTCTTTTACGACCTGATCTCGACGGGATATCATAAATTCAAAAGGGACTAAGTCGATAAAGGATGATTCGTCCAGGAAAAGGTTTATATGAGTCGCAGGAGTGTCGAGAAAAGAGAAGATCCACATACACGCGGTGCAGTGCAGAGATCTAGACAGAGAAGTTTCGGTATGCTGTGACCATAATCGAATCCACTTTTACTAGCAAAGTTTGCTGTCTCGTTTTTGAACCTGGGCACCAAGGTTGACGTTAGCCTAGTGACCTGACTGGGGTCCAACTTTCAAGAATGATGACCACTTCATTAAAGCAGCGCCTTTAATCAAGGAGTCCACTATGCGTTCACGATACAGTAAGTTTAAATTCAAAGAAGACAGGCTTAGAAGGATGTGCTTACCAATCTCAAGCTCTTACAACGGCCGCAATCTCGATGGCCCGAGGAAGACACGTCGCCGCGTTGTGCACCGCGTAAGCCTGAGGCTAGCTGACTTAGAGTTCTTGAACGAGACAGTAGGTGGAATTGAGACGCCGCTTTACAATGTTATAAAAGCAGCAGTAGAGCTTCTGTAGATCATTGGCTAAAGGGGTTTCTACAACCAATCACTCACGGAGCCATATATTCCAGGATTGTGCCAGCCGTTGCAATGGACCCGCATTAGGGGTGGCGAAGTCCGCGGATGCATACTAGGATCGTTCAATGTCTTCCTCAAAGGTTGCCCTCATTCCATCTCACATCTGTTATGATGCTACAGGCGGGCTAGTAGTATGAAATATTTATTTCTGGGATTCCTACCTGTATTGCTTCTTCCCAATCTTTCAAGATTGCAAACCGGTACCTGGTTTGAGCTTCGCCGACTTGTTCTCCGCACTGACAAGTTAACAACAATGGCTGTCCAGCCCAGACCTATTCTGCACTATTTCAATCTCGGTAGTAAGGGCCGGGGAGAAGTTGTTCGGTAGTTTTATGATTCTCCTTTTTAGAACACAACTAACGCTGCAATATAGCCTTTTTCTACGCGAACTCGGTATCGACTTTGAGGATAAGCGGTATCCCTATGACGACACGTGGGCGGCCCAGAGCCAAGTCTATCAAGACCAGGGATTGAGCATCACGGGGAAACTGCCAGTCCTAGAGATAGACGGCAACATTCTTGCGCAGGTACTACTGTTCAAGATGAGAAAGCCCTCTTTAAGGCTGAAATCTGACTATCGCCATCATAGCATATCCCAATCCTCCGTTACCTAGCTCGCTCTAGAGGTGGCTACGACGGCTCTTCTAAGTACGACAAGTGGCTGGTTGACGCTGTTTCGGATATCTACATCGACTGGAGGGTACGTGTTGTTGTACATGGCCTAGAACTTCCAAGGCCACTGAAACTGACGCTTTGAGGTAGGCTCAATGGGTCGCCAACCTTAGTGGGAATGTCCCCAACTATAAAACTCGGGTTGTACCTGAGTTCTACAGAATCTTTGACAGTTACTACTCGAAAACCGACGGACCATATCTACTTGGTAACACGGTCTCTTACGTCGACTTCGCTGTGTTCCAGGTCCTTGATAACGATGCCGCAGTCGGTGCCGAGCCGGTATGTCTTTCTCTGTACTCTGCGCTACTAAAGTATCTACTACAGGTGAATCTGTTGGACTGACGGTCCCTTTTCGCAGGAACATGTTCCGGCAACGTTGATTGCCTTGAAGAAGGCGGTCTCGGAACGTCCGAACATCAAGGAGTATATTTCTGCCCGACTCTGAAGATGTTACGTTGGTTTCAGTCACTTAGTTAGCTTCATTATTCTTCAAGAACAATCCTTTTACGAAATGACAGCAAACCATGAAAATACGTGGAGTGACGGCATATGAGTTCATAGTTAGAGTGACAACTGAATGACACTTCTTTCTCATGTTCATCTCACTAATATCTCGCCTCTGTGTGCTCGCTTGACTAGTTTCGTGTCGAGCGGTTTGCTACCGAATAGAGAGGATTCAAGAAGAAACAGGGGAGTACTTAAGCAGAGTACCATAGGTGAGCCTAGAGCAGGCTAATATCCTGCACGGTCTCGTAAGTTGGCACAACCAAATGAAACAAGTAGCTGGATGTTTGGGACTTAGTTTTAATCGTCTCGGGCTAAATGATAGTTAAAAAGCGAACGTGCTCGGGCCTGTCCTGAGCTTTCAGATACTTGCACTTTTGGATGTAAGGAAATTATCGAGGGACGGTTCTTCTCATCAGGGGTCTGCTACAAGTTGAACAAGACAAGATTCAAAAGTAAAAATGGCTAAATAAAAATCTCGTCTATGAATAATCGACTAGTAAGGGCCAAATCTCATTACGCTCAAAAATCGAAATTTTCGTAGTGTATCACCGTTCCAGGTAGCCATTCATGGACCTGTCGCCTCATCGTTGGAGCGGTGCAAACATACCAATTCTCGATCTGCGGCAGACAAGGTTGCAAATCCTCTTTACAGAGTCGTCTCTGTTGGACCAAGACTCCAGTGTCGATTAACCGTTGAATCTCCTCGTTGCCCTTACCACCGTCTTTGTTCGGAAGAGCCTCAAACCCGGTGAGATAGATGGTAGTGCTCCTGATTAACGCAGGATAGTCTCTTAAGATAGCTAGAGGTAAGCCAATATCGACCATCCTTACGCTCCAAAATGTCCTTAAGGTATTGAAATGGATGTGGTCAAGATGGCTTAGCAACGGGGTGATACCAATTCCAGCGGCAATGAACGCGTTGCACGCGCTGGAGGCAAAGGTAAAGTCTCCCCCAATGCCGCGGACAGCAACTTCACAAATGCCGTCCTTCTGATGTTCAAGCCATTTGGTCACGCTCCCGATCGACCGTATCATAACTTCAAAATCTTCAGTTTCTTCACCCACAGCGCTGGGCAGGGATGTGATGGTGAACGTGCGGATAAAGTCGTCATTCAGACTTGTTGGATCGTCGTCCCGCATGTGGCTGTAGCCTTTTGTCATGCTTGCAGAGGCGTCCATGGTGACATATTGACCTGGCTTCCAGGAGCCAAAGACGCTTTTATGGCCGACCAGAGTGAAATTGTATTTGGTGATGGTTGGGGTAAGCCTGGTCTTCTTGATCATTCTCGCTGTAGCGCAAAACCTGCTCTCCACTTGATCAAACTTGCCGATCTCTTCTGAGGTGAGATATCGAACTCGTGGATTGTATGGAGAACGGCCTTGTGCGCCATCTTCAACGACCTTTGCTCTAAAAGGGAGCCCGTTTTCGACGAGTTTGGCATCCGTGACCATCAGAGCGACCGCAACGGTTGATTTGGCAATTACATTGCTAGCCTCCGTGCCTAGCAGAACCTTGGTATTACCGGTCACATAAAGAACATCGCCTGTTTCGAAGTTTGGTATAACAAGACCAGCCTGCGGTGTGACCCTCAGGTTCCCAAGCGTCTGATAGAGAGCGTTGCCGCTGTATTCAGGCCAAACAATGGTGCTCGCCTCTTCGGAATCATCCGGCTGAACGATGCGAATGAAGCCAGGTGGGCCGCCCCGATAGTTGCAGTCCATGTCCCGATGTTTGTGGGAGGAGGCAATGAAGAAGGCATCGGCATTATGGACGACCTCAATGGCTTTTTGAGGAAGGTGCGGAGAGGTTGATAAGAGTTTTGGCCGAGGAATGTGAGCCACGATATGCTTCTTGTTGAGGTATTTTGGACAATTCCCCAAACTCTGGTCGATTCTAACTATGAGGTGCAGTTCACCCGCCGCTCCTTCAGACCGGCCGCCGACCAAAACGTCACGGTTCGCAGAGAGGCGTTTCAGGGTTGCGGCTGTGATCTGGCCGGCCAGCTTGACCCTAGCACGCTCCTCGAGGTGAATACTTACCCCTCCCATCTCCATTTCTTTGTCCGCAGTGCCACAGTTATTGTTCTTCATGTCAAAATTGTTCCGGCAAATCGCTTGGACCACGGGATCAAAAGATGCGTCCACAGTAGCTTGAACACCTAAAACACTCTGTGCCACGGGTTTCACAAAGGGTACGAGATTTGTACCCCATACTGTACACCAGGGATTGCCATTGTCATCTAAAGTTCCCATAGCGAGAGCGGGATACTGCTGTATCCAATTCGCATAACGAGCTGCTAGGAACGGAGTTGTCGGATCACTGCGCCCACGGTCAACAATTCGCCTTTGAAAGAATAGTTCGCCTTCATGCCACGGTCTTGGTGAGAATGTTTCCATAGTTATGTTGCAAATCGCAATCGAAAACGTCGTTAAATGTAACTCTGTTTCTGTAGAGCTCCAATGCCGTGAAAATATCGACCTCAAAGGATCAAGGGAGCCAAAATTGATTCTGATTCAGTTAAAGGAGAATAGCCGGAATGTGGAGGTCACCAAATAAAGCCTTGCTCAAAATTGGAGGAGACGTGCGATTCTCATGCAACTCAGTACGGCACAGTAAAACTTACTTCAGGATTCAGCCACGTCTCCTAGAAGGAATCGAGTAACTTTGACGGTGTCTGGTGGGGATCAATTGTTCGCATATTGTAAGCGTTCAGGCCGGAGTCAAACATTCAAATAAAGCGGCGTCAAGTCCGCGGGAATTGCTACCGAATTCAGCTATTGCTTAATGGCTTTCTCTCGTCGGTGCATCTCGCAGACCCAGGAATTTCCTAGGCGGTCACAGTGCTTGAACCCGTGGTTATTGGGTTTAAGCATCTTTATTGGTGTAAGGCACGTACCATTGGTAACATGGCCTCATAGTGAGTATCCACGTGAGAAATATTGGCTTACCTAGATATCAAGTCGTCTGACTCGTCGTTCGACTATTTGATGATATTAGCATCTGCTTGGTAAGAAGTTCTGGAGGTGGCCCAGAAGGGCTTACAAGAGCGATAAGTGGTGTGTCGAATATTCCCCCTGCCTGATTTAGGAATTTTCGATCATACTAACTTCGAGTTGGTATTTCGTTGCGTCTAATCCAACGATCGCAAACAAAGATGTCTGCAGGCAATGAACGCCTTGATGATATAGAGATTGTCCGGAACGAATCAAGATAGCAATAGAGAGGCCCGCGGAGAGAGAAATGTCTATGTCTTTGCACGTTTACCAAGTCGTAGCAGCAGATGCTACCGTAACGGCCTGTCCGCAAGGTCTGGAACAGCAGCGAGTGGTAGTGTGTGTGATGTTCAATCATGTTATCATTCAGGCACCTAGTTGCTGTTCTGGCTTCTAGTGTCGGCACAGATACGCGATGCAATACCAGCCAAAGATATCAATGATATGGGCAACATTAAGTCCAAGTGTGGAATTGAGGCCCGTCCTTTGGCATGCATCCTGTTTCTTGTGCCTCTTATACCTCAGACATTGGTATGGACTTTCAGAGCGCCGAGAACGGATTTCTCTTCAAGAAGCCTGTCTGCCCAAGCTGTCATCCAGAGGTACTCAACCTTCATATTGATATTTGCCCGCAAACCCCACCTGTATATCACGAATAGGAAAAAATCCGTCGCAGTCAATGATTGACCGACTAGGTATGTCGTTTTGTTCTCGATCAGTTTTCCTTCGATATACGCGTAACATTCTTTGATTGTTTCAAGGCCCTTCTGCTGTACCTGGGCGTATAGCATAGGGTCTTCAATGTACCTTGCCAGTCTCCACAAGGCTCCATAGCCCTGACCATGGACGGTGCCCGATAGGTAATTCAGCCACTCATACACCCGGATCGTTTCGAGAGGTGTTTTGCCCAATAAGTGGCGATCAGGAACGTGTTGTGATATTGCTGTGAGAATTGCTGGCATCTCGGTCACCAGTTCTTCATCCATCGCCAGGACAGGTACTCGTCCCTTGGGATTGAGAGACATGAAATCATCCGTAAAGCTGCCCACTTGGGACAGTATTAGCTGAAAACTGAGCCCAGATTCGAGGAGAAGCGCATGCGGTGCAAAAGAGCATGCTCCGGGAGAGTACCATAGTTTCAGTCGGGGGACATTTGGCGCAGACATGTCGGCTGTGCGGTATCGGGTGCAAAGGACGAAGACTCCTAAGGCAGGAGTCTGACCAGTTGGGCTTGCATATTATGTACCTTCACCCTGAAGTTTGATCCTTCTACCTTCTGCCTAAAGCGGCAAGTCGCCGTCCTCCTGGTTAGCGGCGAATTTTGTTCGCCAGTCGCTTGTACTATACAGTACGATATTACTGTAGATATTGACCAAAGCCGGTGCGTTTCCGTCCATCTCGCGGAGGTGACGACGCCGCGGAGATGTTCACACACACTTAGCCAGAAGCTACTAATTCTGCCTCCCGAATGCATCCATGGCGTGTCAATACGACAGGGAATCAAAACTACTTCAGTGCGTCGGAAGACTGTAGCGTTGTAGAGGCCACTAGCGCAGATCAAGAGTAGGGCCAGCCATGATGGGAGGTGCTACAGTTTGCTGCTTTTTACCTTCTCCATACACACATAGAGCAGCAAGAGGTTTTGATCATCAAATGTGGGTATTGTTTTCTGACTCGCAATGTCTGATCCACCTCTTGGTTCTGTAACAGCAAATTTCTGGCCGTGAGAAGGTCGGGTAGAAACTTTTGGACTCAACGATCGGAGGTATTCCAACCGCCCAACTTGCAGTCATAGACTCCTGGGGTCTGCAAAGTTCCGTCCGGAATATCTGTCGTACATAAGTAATTAGCGAATATCAGTCACAAGAGGGTATAAGGATACCGAGGAGAGTAGATGACCATGGAACGCTTTGAAGGGCGCAGTAAACATTGGTTGAGTGAGCCGCATACATCACATACAATTTGGTCTCTTGACTACATGAAGACTAGTTAGTGTCTACTCTCGCCACGGGCCCGCGCTCACTTGCGAACTCACTCGGCGTACCCACTTGCGTACCGCTGTGTAAATCAGGTAATTAGCCCCTAGTTCCTTTGACTTACAGTAGTAGTTTCATTAATTGTGACCTCGAGGCTGAGATCCCAATACCCCTCAATATTTGCAACCCCGCCGCTGAACGACTGCCTAAATAGGCAATCGCTGAGCCCGTCTCGGCCTCACAATAAGTTGAGGAAAGCGTCGAGTAATCCAATGCTCTTGTCAGCTGGCAATGTCCTTAAAAGAGCTCGTTGCCCAAGTCTCTTGGGCACATATCTGGACGTTCAAAATATTCTTTTGCAGTCCTTACTACCGGTCCAAGTTCGTACTGTCAACAGCTACGACAGTTGTTCTCAGTAACCTTGAAAGATATCAAGGCGATGCCAGAACGGTCCTCCTCAAAGCTACAGCTTTCGAAGTGGCTCACACGATATGATCTTAGGACATCTTTGAGAGAGATGCAGACAGGTTCTATATTGATTAAGAGCCTTGCAGACTCTTTGCGACTCGCAGCGATGGGTACGGGCACCATGGTTTTCTCAGGGTGATGAGTTCATGGTCATATTCATCCTACTTGTGGCCCACGGAAAGGAGTCGTTGCTGACCAAAATGCCTCGAAGTACTCTTCTACGTACAATGCCTCCCTGGTCTGAAGTGGCGTGTGGACCGCTCGGGCCCTCCGAGCTACACGATGACTAAGGCCTAACTGAATTTAGCAAATGCCTGCGGTGGACATTCCGTTACGACTCTTTTCTTCCCAACGATCTGTTCAAGATGCGTCTACGCACCGAAATGCGGTCGTCTAGATACCATGTCGCTCGTCTGGGTCAGTCATTCTGGCTCCGGACACCGACACCCCAGCGCACGTAAAATCATCAATTCACACGCAGCGCAAATTGGCAGGGACAAACACCGAGAACGCTTGGCGCACACAACCGAGGATGCTGCTGTCGTCCGCAGGAAGAAGAAGCCGCGGAAGGGCGATGACAGTGAAGGCAATGAGAGAAATAAAGTGTTGCCTGTGTGGGAGAACACAAGTCCGCTTAGCAACCAAATTGGCATGAGTTTCCTTGTGCCGTTGGCCTCCAGTACGAGTGAAAGACATGCTCTGATCGCATGCCACGAGTGTTAGGCTCCCTGTGTATTTTGTGTCCTCACTCTAACAGCGGAGTATAGGGGTTACTGAGGTACTTCCTCACGACGGACTTGTCCTAGGCCTCTCTAAAGCACAGACTGCCATGTACGGACGAGAACTGCTTGGGAGGGCATATCAAAATGAGGTGTTTTTGCTGGGTCTGGCACTATACCGGCTCTGTGCGCTACCACTGTCAAAGATGCCCGGTAGCGGGACACGAAATATCATAGATACCATGCGGGCACGTTTTATAAACTTGATAAACTCAAAATTGGCCTACAGAGCCATCAATGACACTCTTATCCATAGCATTTGCTGTGCGACCCCTGTCGATGAGCACCTGGGACTCTTGGAGTACAGTGTCGCGCACTTGAGAGGCCTTGAGGCACTTGTCGAATTAAGAGGAGGATTCAGCCAAGTTGGCTCGTCATACGGACCCCTCGCCGACACTTTGCAGTCGTCAGTATTACACGCCATCACCACTACAAAACTCAACATCAAACGCGATGGACAACCCCAAACACCAATCGCGTCAGAGCAATCGACCCCGAAAGACCATATTATCGAGTTGAGATGCCCAATACCAGGTTGTTTGACCCCATTCTATGGAGAGAATACGGAATTACCTGAAGGCTTTGCAGAATTAGCGGCCATGGACGCCCTATCGCTACCCATGTGTCATATCATCCGGGACTTCCAGAGGTGGCTTCACAATCTACCCGTCGACAAGGCAGATGAATGTGCCTCTTGGCGACATCAAATTCCGGACAATCTCAGCAACCTTGAAAAATGCATATACTTAGCCTTGAGCTGTCTGGCGGACGACCTCAGCGCCGTCGGAGTCCACGTCTGTATGGACCTGTGGCGAAAGCCGCGACCACGAGCCATACAGATTCTTCACGAGACTACTCTCTGGGAAGTGCCCAAATTTGCAGACTGCCTCCTGTGGGTAGCTACGTCAGTATCGTTGGCGAATGATCTCGTCCCGTACGACATCTGGGAACAGCTACAAGACAAAATTCTCGCCTCTAGGCCTGACATCGTGGCTATTGACGACATCGTGCTCATCTTGCAGGGGTTTTTCGCTCCCGAGAAGAGGCTCCGTATATGGCGAAGTCGTTGGGAGGGAAGATTACTTCGACCGTGGTAGTTTGGTCACTTCTCACTGGGGCATGTGGCCGCTCACGAAAAGGGGAAATACGTCCGGTATAGATAACGTGGTGGTACCGTGTAACAGCCGTACACAGTCAACCCATGCCACCAGCAACGTTCTTATCACCACTGCAATGGGAAGAGTACTCCTCTACGCGCGGAATGCTTCTCAGTGCCATTAGCTGCTTTCCACATGATGATTCTCCTAAACCAGCCGACATACCAGGGCTTTACAATTTGGCGAAGCGGCCCATTGTTCGACCTGAGATTCTTCCCACGGCTCGAGTCTTCAAAAGTTTGTCACCTCTATTCTCCTTTTCATCTCTCGATGTTGGCTCTTTCAACTTTTCTTCATCTCCCTCGGCAATATCTCAATCCAGTGCCTGTCCATCCATCCATTCAGATATGTCGAAAAAGGAGATTTTCGGGGGTCGATGAAGCCCATAGAGAGCTTTTGCAAGTGGGAACAACAAAATAGCAACAAGGAGATCGACAGCAAGGAAAGATTTGACTCACCCGTCAGGATCCTGGATAAATGCGATCTGTGCGAACGTCTTTTCAAAACCACCCTCCCACTTCCGAACCGTGCTCTCGGGTTGACGCTCCCAGCCCGGTAGTGGCATGAAGTGGACATCCACCTTGTCTAGAGGTTTTGCCACTTTCCAGCCCTTTTCTTCAGCACGCCTCAGCGTCGCTGCGACGTCGGGCACGCGAAGTCCCAAATGAGCGAACCCGGCCTTTCGTCTCGGCTTTTCGAAACCATTTGTCTCTGCATGCTCGGCTTGACCATGCTCGTTATGTGCAACAATGAGCTCCAAGAGTCCGGAACGTCCACCAGAGGCTCGAGCCATATCTGCTGGAACTGTATCGTTGCCCTTGTCCGGGTATCCGAGGTAATACGCCGTCATGGGCCCAGCATTGAGAGCGAAGATCAGGCTCATGCCCAAGAAATCGACATAGAATGCGAATGATGCGGCTGGCGAGCTGATTTGCAAAGCCACGTGATTGAGGACGTATCCATCTGTGTCGCCGTCGTCGGTGTTCTGTGGAAAGCTGGCTGGAATGAATGGCGGACCCGGCGGTGGAAGAGGCGGGGCCAGCTGAAAGTCCGACATGACGTGTCTGAATGAAAATTGGCGATAGCAGAAGCTGAATGGTATCAGGAGATGCAAAATAGAATTCAGAACGTATCAGCAGCGTCTCGCATGATATCAAGCAAAGTTTAGCTATGATTACCCCGTGGTCCTTGGCTGTGGACTACCTTAGATAGCCATAACCGTAAGCGATAAGTAATGAGTCTTCCCCAGGGATGGCTCGTTAGCCACATCCGTTCCGCTCCCCTGGATTCCCCATTCGCGCGAGTCCGAGGCCACAGCTGAACTCCGAATGCCTCAGCCGTTCTAGGTTCAACTAGAGTCATACCACCTTAGAGAGTCGCCTGATTGAAGATTATTATGCTCAATACAAATGCGTTTTTGTAGCTTAGCTTGGGCCTGTGAGTGAGAGAAATTGCAGTAGATGGCCGGTCCAGTTATTGTATCCAACCCCCATCTTCCTTTGAGAATAGTTGCTCAATTACCCTGCCTTTGAGTTGAAATGTGTGTCTTCACAGAATTGTTCCTGGTGCACGTGGCAGCATATGCCTGGCCGTCCTCAATCCGCGCCCGGAGAAGTCACCTGTCTCGCCCGTCATCGGGACAGATTTGAAAGAGTAGAAGTTGAAGTTCTGCTGGAAAAAGATCAAGAGAGACGCCCCGGCATCCAGAGAGATATCTAGGATCGAATCACGAGCCAGAGAATAGCCGAAACAGCATTGCACTGCATGGGACTGGTCAATATTATAATCCTTAATGGCGCCATCTTATATCCAGTTGGGACTATAGCAGAGACGTAGGTCGAAGAATGGAGAGGGTTATTTGACGCGAGTTTCTTTGCCTTCTCTCACACTATAGGTTCGTGAATCCCGTCATCTCAAACTTGTCGATCTAATGCCCACCACTGTTGAATGGAAGCTCGATTGACATTGCCATCAGATCCAAGCAACACTACTATAATTGAGGAGACTGAAGGCCAAATTCTAATGACCTCTTCAAGGATAGCCTTTGGAGAACACATGCAGCTTGGGGTGTGTGTGCATGCGCAAAAACCGCTATGAACTAGCTCTATACCAGTTTGGCTGTGGAAGAAGGACCAATTGAAAATGTTCACCCCCCGAGGCTGAGGTTCGAGATCAGCGCAACTTCGTGTTCGATTTCTGGTTTTACAAGAAGCGCCAACTCACGATGAGTGAACAAAGACAAGATACCTCAAGCACACCAAAAATGGCTCGCAGATTCACACCCTGAACAACCAGCACGCTCCTTTGTGAGACTGGAGGTGGATGGAGCCCAAAATTAATACAAGGCTAAGTTTTGCATGGCCTTGGATGATGGACGATTCAACTTATTAAGTTAGACAACCACAAGCATCGGTTGTCTTAGTCGGCTTCAAGTCCAAGGGGTATACCTGGCGGAGACGGACTCGCTAAGAGCAATTGTGGTGAATCAACGGCGGCCTGTGTGTTGTCGTTCATATCGCGAGCCCCAAGTGAAAGGACTACCTTGCTGAGGTTTGCTGCCATTCCCCACGCCCTCTGACGTTTCAGTAACAACGCCGTTTGATCTAAAACTTGCTGTCGGCCTAATGCACATGCCAGATCCGGTACCCCATGTAGACTGATCCTCTCATTCCCTCCCTGAGAAATCCAGGTCGACTGTCGGTTGGTTACCTCGCGATTCTCACTATCTAGAAGATCCACCAAAATGGGAGGACTTTGGGGGAGGGGTACGGCGGTAGGCAGTAACAATGCCATGCATGATAGCACCACCCCTGCATGGAACGTGAGAAATGGTTCAAGTGACATGTTACTTGGATATCGTCGGACCAGAGCGAGTATCTGTGCGCAATGGAAAACCACGTCTCTGATTCTTTGTGCGTTCTCATTCGCCCATTGTTTCATCCGAGTACGGGCATTTTCCGCTTCTGGCCCATGACGGAGGTAGGGATACAACCAATTCATCAGATCCCCAGCGCCGTAGATGTGGGAAATATGGACTAGCTGCATCCGATGAACTAAGCGGTTTATCTCGGATCGTGTATGGTTCTTGGAGGCGGCCACAATTGCAACGGCGAATTTGTCGATTGCATGTATCAGGCTTAGCCGTCCGTCATCATAGATAGGTGGAGTCACTAGATCGTTTATGGGAGAAGATCTGATTTCCTTCAACGTCCACAACATTCTGAGTAGAGTCAATAGAATGACGAAACAGTGTTCCTCGTCCTCGATCTTCTCAACCGGATTTGTGGTGCCGTCGAAGAGTAACCTAATCATGGGTCGCAATCGGGAAGTGGGAGGACAAGTGGTTGACCATGGATGGAGCGAGGACCACGCCTGTGCTGACTCGGCAGACCAATGCTCAGTTGAGCTGGGCAGACTGAGATTGATATCGCCTATGCTCAAAAACGGCCTGTTGTTGTGCAGATACGCCACGGAGGCATCATACTTGTACACAGCCCAGCCTAGACGTCTCAATCCTTCCTCTCGGACCCATTCGCGCCACGCTTCCTCTTGCGAGTTACCAGGTCGAAGGACATGCTGCGATTCATAGCGGAAAAGTCCCATGCATTTTGCATGATGGACTAGAGTGCTGCGGCACGATTCACTAATCTCGAAAAGCCTCTCACTACCGCTGCAGTAGCCGTGAGTACCCTGCAGAAGCTGCGCTGTCAAGTAGGAGGCGGTCCGAACAAATCGACGGTCTTGCTCTGCCATAAAGACTAAAAGTTTCCTGATGAGCTCAGACAATGCGATTGAGAATGACTTCGCTCCTGGTTGCCCAGTGTAGCAGGACCCTATGCAGATCATGGCCAAGGTGACCACAAGATCTCTGCCGGGATCGAATGTGGGACGATGAACGACGTCTAGCATTGGGTGAAAGTATTCGAAGTACAAATCGATACAGTGGTCCAGTGTTTCGTTGTTTGGAAAGTGGTCCAGGTTCAACGTTTGCGTGGAGCTGTGCTCGAATGGAAACATTATACATTTTACCAAAGCCTGTCTTGTGCGGTCGTTAACGGGGACCAATGAGTAGAACTTGGAGAACGATTTCGGTGTCTGATCTTCAGGTCCCAACCCCGGCAGTATAGTGTGACTTTGAGAAGGCCTTGGATTTTCCACTGGCCACGGATTATCAGAAGTTCCGGTTTCTTGTGGCCGGGGTGTTAGAAGGCCCCCTAGGGCGGGAGCAGAGTCACTAGTATCACCTTCTCTTGTGTCCCCCATTGCAACGTAGTCGTCGCCGCCGGCATCAGACTGTCGAGCAGAAGGAACCGCGGTTTGCTGGGCAGACATAAGAGGATCATGGAGGGACTGATTCTCATTGAAACCAAATAGACCAAAGAAGTCTGGAGTCGCAAGGAAATTATTGGCTCCTGCATCTTCTAGAAACCAGTCCAGATTGGAAGTGAAGTCGGTATTGTCAAAGGTGGAGCCGAAAGGGCTCACATTTTGATCGATAGAGATGATCTGATCGCAATTCGGCGGGCCATGCTGCTCTTGAAGTTGGCCAGGCACAGCTGAATATGGACCATACGAGTCGTTCATTCCTCCAAGCAGTTGATTTGCGCCCATTGGCGATATCGTTCCGAGTGGCCGCGAATCACAAGAATCACTGTCTCCCCTCAACGGTTTAGCGACAGGGGTGCCGTTTTTGTTGCGATGGGCCCCAGGGGATCGTATTTCCTGCTGGCGATCAGGAATGTTGTTCTCGTAAACGCACGGGATGTTCTTCTTCCGGCACGATGAACAGGCGGGTCGCTCGCCAGTACATTTTGTTTTGGACTGGGAGCAAAGAAGACAGGCTCTTCTTCTTGTCTTGGCTCGCAACCGACGCTTATCGTGGGTTTGCACATGCCGCGACAAGGTGTCTTTGCGGTCAAATGGCCGCGAGCAGATCGAGCAATGATAGCGAGCAAGCCTCCAGTTCTCATTCTCGGCGAACTCCATAGTGTCAACGAACTATTGAAGGGTGCAGAACGAGAGCGAGGGCGAGGGCGAGAGCCCTAGAGAGAGGGAAGTAGGTATGGCTGCTATGTCGTGGTCAATGACCAGAGATGAACAAAACGCATGTCGCGGAAGTCTACGGCTGAACGCCATTTTCATCTATTATGTGCCCTGGGGGCGCGGGGTGCGCTTGTCTCCAGGTACGCAACCCCGCAACTAGTTAGTTAGTTAGTTAGTTAGTTAGTTAGCAGCTCGCAACTACAGTAACTTAGTTAGCCCGTCGCAGCTAACTTAGGCCTACTAACTAGCCCTCGGCGCACTTTCTCGACATGGTGCCTCTTGGCGCACTAACTAACTAACTAGCCTCCTTACTACGTAGGCCTCTTCTTGCGCGGTCTGACTCTCGCTTTTACCCGGGTACTTTAGTTACTCACTCTATAACCTCTTTGCAACTCCAGGGTTTGGGTCGGTCATTTTATCTCTGCTCATCCTCGGCCCTTCATAGCTTATCCAGGCCTCAAATCCCCCAAAGATTTATTGAAACCAACCAAAGAGAAGTGCTGGGCTGGCCTACAGTTCCATATCATTCTCCGTGCGCTGCGACTTCCGCTTCTCCCCTCCAAACACTATCCGGGAGCAATCCAGAGATCTAGACGTTTCTCCAACAGTGAAAGGAGTACCCTTGGAGCTTCCTTGGAGTCATCGAACTGGCCGACGTTCGAAGTTAAATGAGCTTGCCCTGGATGTGCGCCCTTGTGCCGTGGCAAACGAGAGAAGGCTTCGGAGTTGTAGTGTGGCTTACCCGGACTCCGAATGGGTGTCACGAACCTCTCACGCGCCATACAGTGAGATTCTACGCGCCGAGGTCCAGAATTCCCGAATCACATCCGATTTGCTCAATTTTCCACGGCCGTCGTGATGGCACCAATGTTTGGTCGTGTCAGCAACACGTCCTCCAAATGCCACAGCCTCTCCATTCCGCTCGAGTCAGTGTTCCCCAATAGATCAGTGGTGGAAAGATATCAACATGGAAACAGAATCTGTGGCAGAGCAAACGCTGAAGGGGAAAGTGGCCATCGTTAGTGGTAGTGCTCGTGGTATCGGAGCAGCTGTGTGTATTGAACTGGCGTCAAGGTGAATAAATTCTGCCTTCCGCGAAAGTCTCTCACATGGGCAGCAAGAGACTAACAACTGTCTTGCAGAGGTGCTCTGGTGATCGTCAATTACCCTTGGCCAGAACAGAAAACGGACGCAGAGGCGGTTCTGGGTCAGATCGCAAAGACTCAAGGCTCAGCGGCATCCAAGTGCCTTGCAATTGAGGCCGATTTGTCCACTCTTGATGGCCCTCAACACCTTGTTAACGAAACAGTTCGCTTGACGGGCGGTAAGATCGATATTCTCGTCAATAATGCTGGGATAGCCGTCATGCGACTGCTAAAATATGTGGCCCTTGATCAGTGGGATTCACAAGTTAATTTGAACGCTCGAGGCATGCTTCTCCTCACCCAAGCCGTTCTTCCTCATCTCGCGCAAAACAGCCGAATTGTCAACGTGAGCAGCACTGGTGCTCGACAAGGTTACGTTGGATCGACTATTTACAATGGCACAAAATCGATGGTCGAGTCCTTCACTAGGTGCTGGGCTTTGTAAGTCACCTCCACCATCGGTACGTCTTTGATATCGTTTCTCACCCCCTCGTCATAGGGAGTTAGGAAGGCAATATGGATGCACCGTCAATGCTGTCGAACCAGGTCCAACAAATACACATGGCTTCAATCACGCTGGCCCCAGTTTCCTTGAGAAGATCCAGCCGATGCTGGACGCGACCCCGATGGGATCTAGAATGGCAGATCCCTCTGAGATCGCTTACGCAATTGCATTCCTGTGCGAGAGGAGGAGTGGCTGGATAACAGGAGCCTGCATCCCTGTGAACGGAGGGTTCTTAATGACCTAGGGAGCTGGTTTTAACCTTCACATAGCGCCATGTCGATATTGGAAGCTTCTGATGCTTGGATTCGACATAAAATGTTTCAATTTTGAAATGATGTTGTTAGATTTCTTCGCCGCCACGGTTGAACGGTGAAAGGGTGTGAACAAAGGATAAGCCTTTGTTGAATTCTTCGTTATGTTGACTTCTTCATTGTGTTGAATTATCTCGTTTTTATTCTTTTGAGGGACTTGTCTCCTATTTGCTGCAACACACTCTGATCGTCACCTCTTCGCCCCTGGTCTAGTATGATTGTCTGTGGAAATTCGTCTCCGCTCCGAGAGCTGGAGACTTTTGGCCGCAGGACATGCTATATCACAAAATATTTCCCTGCCCAAGCGACAAGTACAGCAAACTAGAATAGGAATATTCTTAGGCGAGCATCCCTCTGCCTCAGCTTCTTCCCGAAGAAGTATATCACCAACACGGCTGCGTCAATAACCACCACAAGCACAGCCAGAATAATGAACACCGTCACTATGCCATCGAGCTCAAGCCATGGGACTACCGCAAAGCCCACTGCAAAGGAGACAAGGTTCTTGAAGCCGTTGAACGTCTATAAATAGTCAGTGTGGAACCTTCACAAGGACTGCGCTGTTCCTCAGTTAAGACGGGGAATACGTACCACCAAGCAATCAAAGATGACTGGAGCATAACTATCCATCAAGTATGGCTGTATGATTGATCCAATTCCTGTTAATGCAACACCAACCAGACCAGTTCCGAATACAGGCACAATCCAATGAGTTTCGTGAGCAATTCCAACCCCGAACATGAGCAAGCCCGCCGGAACTAGGAGTGCTGGAAAGACCACCACAGGGAGGCGCATTTCCGGCTCAAACACGCCTCCATTGCGGCGAGTGGACCATTGGCTCAACTTGTCGTTGATATATCCACAAAAGAAAGATCCAAAGAGATTCCCAATGCATGGGCTCAAGAATACCAATCCCTGCTGGCTAATGCTAAAGTTGTAAGGCGGGGCTCCGAGATAAACTGGGATTAAACTGATGAGGACCACAACGCTGTCGTAGTTGCGTCAGCGACTCGCTTTCTTGATATGAAAAGGGGAAACGACTAGACAACCTTACCATGTGACATGAATTGAGAAGGACAACACCGACCAGACAACACTCGGATAGCACCAAGTTGCCCATGGGCGGAGGAACGAACCAACGAGGTTCACCTCTTTGTTTACCGGTGACCATGGTTTTAGCTCTTCCTTATATGTCTTCTTTGGCTTGACTCGTGAGATGGTTGAGCTTTGTGCTTCGAGCATTTCCACCTCAGGGCCCGACATTATCTTCGGATCCACCGTCTCCGGTGGCGTGTCGATACTCCTACCGTTGTTCTCCTTCTCGGCGCCAACGGCACCGAGTGATGACTGCATATCTCTATTATACTGAGTTTCTGGCACCACGAAGAAAAGAAGTATGAGATCAGCGCCCGCCAAGATAGACACAAGCCAATGGTACCAGCGCCATCCCTTATCTTGGATCAAAAAACCACAGATAGGGGGTGCCAGAGAACTCCCAAGACTCAACCAAATGGACTGGACACCCGCTTGGGTTCCTCGCTCGTGGAGGAAGAAGATGTCATGCAAGGTTCCGACACTTAGGGGTTCGCTTGTTCCGCCTATTGCATTCATGTCAGAATTTGTACAAATATGCAAGGGAATGAATGACTTACTCGCCCAGGACGCAAAGAATCTTGCCAAGAGGAGTGATGAGTATGACTTCGCTGCGGCAGCCCAGAGGTTGCAAACGAAGAAGAAGAGACCACAGAGAAGCCAGAGTGGTCGTTTGCCATACCGGGTCGAGAATGGTGCCACTGTATAGCAGCCCATGAATTCTCCCAGTAGACAAGCTGAGATCAGCCATGTAACCTGAGTGAGACTGATATGAAACTCCTCGATGAGCTGTCCAAATCCTGGCGCCAATCCGGTGATACAAAAGTTGCACAAAGCAGACAAGAAGAGAACCGACCAAAACGCTGCGACGCGTTTCGCAAAGGGCCAATTCTGGAGAGTCGTTAGTACTTCAATCACAGCGTCGGCAGAGTGACGGCCATACTAGAGGATCGTTAGGGTCGTTGCGAGTTGGCTGAGGCACAAGCACAATCGAAGTGCCTTTCTTACGTTGGAGTGCTTGCCCGTCTGCGCGAATTGTGTTAGTTGAGAATGCTCTATCGTTAATGCTAGCCAGCAGTGGAACGGATAACAATATGCACTAGAGTGTTGTATTGAAGACTTACCTGATATCAGCTGCACAGTTCCATGGCTCTGCTCAATTTCGTGCAGGGCAAGGCGTTTCATGTTGGCGGCGGTCACAGTAAAGATAACTTGACTTTTAATTCAAGGATGTCTCCTATCACAGTGAAATTCGTCTCGAAGGCCTGCCCCTGCTTACCACGAAGCAAGCTCTTTATATGTAGGCATGCCTGGCACACGATCGATCCACACGGGGCCCCGAAGGACTAGTTAGCTGGGGATGTGGGATTTGTCAGAGCAGGTCTAGAGATTCAGCGACTAAGGGACAAAAGGACGAGATAGGAATTGAACCGCCAAGCATGGGAGGAAGTGCCCTTTCAGACAGTGGTTAAGACTACAATAAGCCCCACTCTCGATTATGTATGTTGCGAGAAGGCTTCGCGCTTCGACCGATGAGTCGTTATTACAGCGGACTATTAAACAGAATATCTTGCATCAACTACTACTGGAAATGCTGTTCTCAGCGGAGGTTCTGAAAAGACTGAGAGTTTTCGGTTTTTCCCAGACCTCCCTGAACATCTTGGCAGATATCTCTCTCCTCAGACTAAGTTCCCTAAGCTTCGAAGCTTGATCCAGGTGGCAAGGCTTGTGCCGGAATCCTGGATTTGGCTATCGTTGAGGTTGCTAATGGACCAGCAGAAAGCATGACCCTTACTCCGATGTAGAGTTCTTCATGCAAGCCAGAGATCCAAGCTACCCACGGGGTGGCTTCGGACTCGGAATGGCTTCGGACTCGGGCTGACCACCACATAATTCTCCAGGGCCCGCCCGTCACTTTCGTTGCGGAGCCCCGTCCATCGCTCACGGGGTTGGACGGAGCTCAGAATGCTCCCCAGAAGCTTCGGGCCCGGGTTGAATCGCATCAGTCGATACAGAGTATTGCAACACTCGGAGGTCAAATGTTGTCGAAATGCTAACTGTGAAGTCAGGTGAGCAATGCAATTAGTACACATGTGGTGCCTGCAACTTCGCGGATCAAAGTTTCAGTCCTCCTCGTCTGGAATTAGTGAGTTGAACGGTTTTTGCTTTTAAAAAGTCGGCTCCGGCGTGCTTCACTTCACATGAGTATGCTGACACTCGGTTTCCTACCATCTCAAATTTCAAGACAATCTACCAGAAAAACATGCATCTTGGTGAAATTGACTCTCTGTCGGGCTCACCAGCAGCTGCAAGTCCACCTCAACTAGTCAAGACCTTTGACGCTGGCATAGTGGGTGGAGACGAGTATGGCGCGCTCACCGGGTTTGCACAAACAGGCGACGCCCAGCCCGTGTTTGCACCCGCCAACACAGTTCCTTTGGAGCGGCGGAAGAAAGTCATCATCGTCGGTGGAGGCATCAATGGAATACAACAGGCTTCCATACTCTTACGTGATGGTCATGTAAATCTTCAAGACATCCAGCTCTTTGACGCTTTGAATGGCTACGGCGGCGTCTGGCAGAAGAACAAATATCCCGGCTGTGCATGCGATGTCCCGGCCATGATCTATACCACTTCGTACAACATAAACAAGAGTAAGTCTGCCTTCTGCTGGACATTCTCACCAATACTGATGGTCTAAGATTGGACGCACTTCTATGCCAAGCGATCGCAGATCGAGGCCTACTACACGGAGTTTGCACATGAGTATCAACTCGAGCAAAGCACCCAGTTCGAAAGTTTCGTCAAACATTGCGCTTGGGATGAAGAGCACATGGTCTGGCACGTCGGCGTTTTAAACAAAGTTACCCGAGAGACTGAGCATTGGCTCGCAGACATTGTCTGCCAGTGTGTCGGAAGCCTGGACCGCCCAAAATGGGGCAACACCCCTGGGCGTGAGAACTTCAAAGGTGTCTCATGGCATACTGCCTACTGGCGAAATGACTACGACCTGACAGGCAAGAATGTGGCTATCATTGGCTGTGGACCGAGTGCTGCGCAATTGATCCCAGAGATCATCGACAAGCCGAAACACTTGACGGTCTACATGCGGACCCCGCCTGTCTGCGTTGGTCGGGGGGATTTTGCCTACTCATGGTAAGATTCTCCAAAATCTACGACGTTGGAACTGGAGCGCTGATGAGAACCAGGCTCTTTCGTTGGGCTTGTAGATGGGTACCTATGTTTGCCTGGTTCATTCGGATGAGAATGAACCTCCGAATGATGCGATTTGGTCGAAGGATGGCCACAGACGGAGATCCGTTGAACGACTCGATGACCGCAACTGCGGTGAAGTTTATGGAGTCGCAGATCTCAGATCCCGTGTTGCGTGAAAAGGTCCGACCCAATTCCAAATGTAAGTCGAGAGAGAGAACTAGGTCGCCCGACGCAAGCTGGTGTATAGCAACCCGCTAACTTGGGCTCACAGATTACTGTAAGAGACCACTACGGCTTGACAACTTCTATACATCACTTGCGAGACCCAACTGTACCGTTCTCCGCGAGAACCTCGTTCGCTATACTGAACACGGTGTGGTATCTGCCGATAAGATAACCGGGCAGGAAGTCGAACGACCGTACGACGTCATTATTTTCGGTACCGGATTCAACGTGGCACAATTCCTGGAGCATGAAACAGTAACAGGTCTCAATGGACTCGATCTCCAAGAAAAATGGAAGGACCACCCCGAAGCCTTATATGGCTTGGCTACGAGCGAGTTCCCAAACATGTTCTACTGCTTCGGACCTAACTCGGCACACGTCTGGTCATCGCAGCAGGATAACTGGGAGCAGCAAGCACGCTTCGCTGCAAAGGTGGTGAGGGAGTCTGTTTTACGCGCGAGAAAGGGAGTCAAGTTTGCGATGCATCCAAACAGGGTCGCCGAGCGGAGATACAATGACGAAGTGCAGAGAGCACAGGAGGGGAAGTTCGTGTGGACCCGACCAGATTGCGTCACGTATTATAAGAACGATGCTGGCTGGAATACATACACGATGCCGTGGACTTGGTGGCAGTTCCGGCGGATGCTGGCGAGGATCAACTGGAGCGATTGGGAATTCATAGAGAAACCGCTGGAGAAAGTGGCGATTGACAGATATTGAAAGCGAGACATGATACTGGATGGCTTAGCGTTGGAGAGTGAGATGGACATCGTTTTGATCTCCAACGCCATGCAACACGGGACTCGTCTGCAGGTAGTTTTCATTCTAGACTTAGGCATCTAAGAAGGATTTTATTTATACTTGATCACCTATGTACTTGTTCAAATGATCCATGCTTCTCTGGAATGCCTTCTCGTACTGAGTCCTAATATTCTCGTCCTTGGTGTCGGGCCGAGCTGCGAACCCATGTCCAACTCCTGGATAGATCTCCATAGTAAACGGGACATTCGGTCCCATTTTCGTCGCCGTCCAAGCTTGCAGGTCTTGAGCCAGTGATGCTGGTACCATGTTGTCCTTCTCCGCTAGGCCAACGTACAGAGGTGCCTGGATGTCCGCGATGTCCCCAACCTCAACGAAGCTGGGGTGGAAAGCCGCGGCGGCTTGCAAACTCGATTTTGCCAGTCTGAGAACGTGCTTCCCACCGAAACAATATCCAACACCGACAATCACTCCAGCTTCAGATCGCTTCTGAAGTCCTTCAACAAGGTCTTCCAGCAGCGACGACACGCGCGCATGATTGTGGCGTTGCAGCCACGCTGGGAAATCTAAGTCTCGAAGCTTTTGCTTGTCTGACTCCGGCCACAGCTGCTCGTCAATGGACACAGTGTGGTCCCGACGCAGCATTTGGATGGGAAGTGGGTCGCCTTCAAAGTAGTCGGGCACTATTACACGCCATCCTTGACTCGCAAAGCGGTCTGCCAGTATAAAGTTGTGCCGCGCAAGGCCAAAGCCATCAGGTAGGAGCAGAAGCAGTCCCCGACTGGGAACCACGACGGGTGGATTTGATGAGTAGACTCGGATGGCTCCGATAGTTTCGCACTCTCCAAGGGGTACGTACGAGTCTGGGTGTGTGGTTAGTACCTGAAAACAATCGTCTCTCTGTTGCACGCAGCCTCGCGGGCACCAAGGCTGAATGTCACGTTTGGGAACGTCGCTTACCTGGGGCAGGTTTCCCGACGACACAACAATTCTTTGCTGTCGACATAGTTCTTCAAGCATCGCCCTGTTTCACGCAATCAGACATGTTTCCCGAAACCAACGGCCATGGAGGCAAATATCATGCCGGCTCGCATCATTTCAGTTGCTGCTGCGGTTGATCCAGGCAATGGCCCGTGTTCCGAATGCACTCCGCAGTTTCTCTCCGGGCCCGGAACTTGCCTTCGGGGTCGGTGACGGTGCTTCCAATCCCGTGGTGGAGGAGTCCTCCTAGTTCCGATCTTGTGTCCTTGCGATATCACTTATTGATGTCCCCGCTTTACATGTTGCTGAAGAACAGGGAGCTAGCAGCATATGTGGATCTTCACCCTGGAGTCAACTCTGTCGTCGTGCTTGCTCGCCATTTGGATGAAGGATGACATTGCTCAATGGCGTCCAGATCAGTCTTTCTGCACCAGTACTGCTTATATTTGTGACTAGAATAGCATACACTATCTCGTCTTTCTTCCCCTGTCCCTCAACACCAACCACACGTCCCTTCCTTGATTCCGGCTTTGTAAGTTATCTGTATCCCACCTTTCCACTGTTCAAGGTCTTAACTCTGAGCCGTCTCCTCCTTGACTGTGAGAGACACAAACTCTGGGTTCTCCTCCCTCACCCACTGCGGCTTATGATAACCAGGAGGGGACGGCCCAACAACCCAGTCTGTACGCATTCCTTCTCTATCTTCCCCATCAACCGAATCTTTGAACTTAATCGCCAGACTGGCAACTTGAAGCTCCCCCAATCCAAACGCGGACCCTGGCACGGTTTGAAAGAATCCTTTCCGAAAAGCGCGTTCGAAGCCCCTGTCAGCAATGAATCCGCGCACGACGTGCCGGTTGCGCCCGTGGCTGACGATCTCGTCGTAGTGTCGCATGTGGCCAACGAGATCCTGGTTGCGGGCTTTCAAGATTTCCTGCTGCTCGGCACTGTACGTTCCGTAGGATTGCATGTGTAGGTTCGAGACGAGAAGACTGCACTGCGCGACGTAGGAGCCACCCGATCGGGAACGTAGGTACAGGGCATGCAGTACCGCAGCTGTCCCTGCGTGGCCTGTGAGGTAGTCGGCATTGGGACCCGGGAAGATATGTGCCTCGTCGAAGCCGTTGAATCGGCCGATTGCGAGTCCAATGCCACACACCGTGTCGGCGATCTGAGCCCAACCTGGCCTGATCGTCCAGGGGCCTCTCCACCCGTAGCAGTTCTCCTGGATATACACGATGCCACGGTCACGCTTGGCGACGAGCCCCAACACAGCGTCGCGCCCGAATCCCAGATGTTCCAAGACCGCTGGTCTATATCCATCAATAAAGACGTCGGCTTCCTCAACCAGTTCGAGTAGCTTCTTGCGACCCTCGAATGTCTTCAGGTTGACATCCACGCTTGTCTTGCCCAGACACCCGTCCATCAGCGTGATCGGTAGTTCGGTGTTCATTGAACATGATACTCGAATGACTGTTGCTCCTAGCGCGGCGCACACTCGCCCAACTGTCGGGGCTGCAATGGCGCGTGCCAGATCTAGCACTTTGATACCAGACAGTGGGCGTCGATCATTTGGGTCGAAGGGTATCGTGTCCCATGATACTACTGGTTGAGTGTAATATGGTTGGGAGAGAAGATTGTAGTATGGTTCGTCTTTGATAGCTTTGCCCTGAAGTCATCTAATGAGTATCAGCGACGAAAGAAGGATAGATGGACTAACGTGAGGCGTTTCTTCAAACTCCCCCTTCTCGTAACAAATAGTCCCAGGGGTACGGTAGACATTGTTACTCCAGTTGTCAAGCGTCGTTGAATCAATGTCACCCACTATCTTCATGTACATCTCGAGGATTTGCTCCCAAGTCAAATTCTGTTCGTTGTGCTGCGGCACGCCGAGCATTTCCAGCAAAGGTGTTGGATTCATATTGCCATGCAGCGAATACCAACGACCATCCTTGGACTTGTAGATGTTGGTCGCCAGCTGTCTGTACAGCTCACGAGTCTGGCCGTGGTCCCAACGCTGTACTGCGCTTACCATCTTTGGGCTCCCGGAAAGCCATGTGTCCTCATGTCGCATGAACAGCGCGCCCAGACCGTTCAGTAGAGCCTGGCTAACATCGATCTCGCACGACTGATCTGTGCCGTAGCGATCTTTTGCTATGGCTAGCGCCAACAGGGCGACGTGACCTAACAGACCAGCTTGAGCCTCTGCACATTTGTAGGGGACCGGGTAGAACGGTTGAGTCTCTTCACCCACAAAGTTGACTCTGTCGGCTAGCGCCTTGACCTCCTCGGGAACATTGAGTCTGGAGTCGTTGACAATGGTTTTGTAGATCTTCTGTGCTTCTCCTTGGATGGTGTATGGCTTCTCGCCGTCGGGCACTTGTTTTGCAATCATGCTGACTATGACAGTGATTTTAGAAGAATAGCCATCGTGGGTACTCACCGTGCCAATATGAACATTTTCTCAAATAAGTATCTCTCCTCATCAAAGACTCACACTAAGCATCACCCGAAGCATGGGGAAAACAGTACGAGCCGGTGGTGGAGAAGTTGATTGAGACCGCAAGCCTTACCGGATGCCGGGGTTACTTGGTGGTTCGCCGAGCTCCGGATGCGCGATTTGCAGAAAAGTGACCGTGACCAGAGTCAATTTCCATCATCGGATTCTCTTACCTCGAGATCATATCCGAGTCTTCTCTACACCCTTAGAGTAGAAATGACAATGGAAGGCAGCTGTCTCTGCGGCAATGTCAAATTCACACTGGACGTTGCGCCAGATGCGGCCAATCCGGTAACCCCCTCGGTCCTTCTTCTCCGGCTTTGCTAAGAGCACATCAGACTTCGGTGTGCCACTGCCGGCCTTGCCGCAAGATCAGTGGAAGCACGACATCGTTGAACTTGACAGTGCCAACGCAGGCCTTCAGGCTTACGAGCGGCAGTTTGAAGACGTTCAAGACGAAGCACATCGATGAAGGCTTCGAGTTCTCGTTGTCCTTCTGTCCCGAATGTGGCAGTCCAATACATGCGGTGCCTCACTCAACACCTCAGCCAGATATTGTGGTTGTACAGGCGGGCACATTGGACGAAACAGGGCCGCTCTTGAAGACTCCGGTTACGGAGCTCAATGTCACGCATCGACTGCCATGGCAGACCCCGATCGAGGATGCTGCGCAGAAGCAGAAGTATTGATCGCGAAAGTTGTAAATGAGTCAAGTCCGGGAATGGATGGGGCGGGGGGCGGGGAGGGGTTTTATTGCCTGTTAGATACAACCACCTGGTCGCCATCTACTCGAAGTGCCATTTGCGTACACAGAGGAGGTTGCTGGTTGCGTAGAACAAATGGAATAAAAGTATGTTGTCCTCTGTGACAGTTGGTGTGCAGTGAGGCTGAAAGGACAGGCGCAATTACATGCAACACACCGAACCTCTTTTCAGTGATCGATTTGCAGAGTTTTAGATTGACGATGTGACCGCTTGTGAGAAATTGACCACTCAATTTTGGTCATGCCGTGAGAACTATCGAGTTCCGTGTTTCGACTGGGCCCATGCCGCATACGATCGTCAGCTGAAAATGTTGGTAACAGATTCTTCGCAATGCATCTGCGGCATGGCCCCACATGAAGTCGGTAAGGCCAAAAGCCAACCTAGAATCCTGAGGGTTTAGGTATGCGACATAATGTTTAATACCCATAAGGCCTAAGCTTACCGGCTGAGGCGTCATGCGGGCGCTCTAAGTTAACTAACTTAGAAGCCTTCATTCCCAACCCCTAACGAAGTCCGAAAGTAGACTTTACTTTATCCCTAATCAAAGTCAGCCTAAGAATCAATCCTAGTGATTGTCTAACTAATGAGAGACCGTAAGTCTGACCGCACTATATATCCTAGCAATATCACTCCTCTCGCCCTCCAAGTAGTCATCCGCCAATTCGATCGCGATATCAACTGTTCTCAATGAGGTTATCCTCATGTTGCCCTTCATCACCAATGTGCGTTGGAGCAAGAGCCCGTGTGGGGAACCTCCATAGGCTTTCTAGACCCGAGCACACATACTTCTTAGGGCAATTACCTCGCTCACTATTGCCGTGCCGGATTTACATCAATAATTCCATCTCAACGGAGATAGCAATCGGAGCCAGCAATTTTCGCCTTTCTTTATTACTCTGGAGGCAATGTATGAGTATATCAGAGGTGACCGAGAAAGGTATAAAAAGAGCAAAGACTCGATATTCAGCTGGGCCGACAGCTTCAACAGAACCATAAAACTCATACGAAGAAATGGAGTACCGTGCACTCGTTCTCACTTCTCATGATCGTCCTCCAATCCTGGAGCGCCGAGCGAAACCCACGCCCAAGTCCGGCGAAGCTATCGTTCGAATCCTTACGGTCGCCGTGGTCCCATACATGGGCGAGATTCTTGACGGCAGTCGAGGCTATCCGCTATCGCTTCCATTAACACCTGGTGGTTCAGCAATTGGCCGCATCGAGGAAGTCGGACCGGACGCGGTGCATCTTGCCAAAGGGCAGCTCGTGTTTTGCGACGTCACAATTCGTGCGAGAGACAATCCCTCTGTATCTATCCTGTTCGGCATCCATGGTGGCGGCTACCCAGAGGCGCAGAAGCTGATGGATGGAGAATGGAGAGATGGAACTTATAGCGAGTTCGCGAAATTTCCTCTCGAGAACCTTTATCCCCTCAACGAAAATGTTCTCCTAAACCAGCGAGGTTTCACTGTCCCCGAACTTGCTGCTCTGGCTGTCTGCCTCGTTCCCTTTGGCGGCTTGAGTGAGATTGGCCTCTCGCCGGGAGACTCTGTTATTGTCGCTCCAGCAACCGGATACTATGGCGGCGCTGCTGTCTCAGTTGCCATTGCAATGGGAGCAACTGTGGTTGCCGCTGGTCGTAACAAGGCTGCACTGGACAATCTGGCTGCGGTTTATGCGTTAACTGGACGCCTGAAGACTGTCGTCCTCAGCGGTAACTCCGCGGAGGATACTGATGCTCTGAGGCGCGCATCCTTGAACCCTGAGGGGGCAGACGCTTTCATTGACCTATCTCCTCCAGAAGCCGCCAATGCTACGCACATTACGAGTGCAATGTGTGCCCTGCGCCCGTTCGGCAAATGTGTTCTTATGGGAGGTGCAAAGGGGACTTTCGAGTTTCCGTACCTAACCATCATGTTCAAGAACTTGAGGATTCAGGGAAGGTTTATGTACGAGCGAGACCATATTTTGAAACTCATCAAACTTATCGAAAGAGGTTCTCTTGGACTCGGAAAAGCTATTGGCATCAAAAACCTACAAAAGTTTGATTTGGATCATGCCATGGATGCGGTAAAAGCTGCTGCAGCATCGAAAGGCTGGGGATCGCAAGTCTTGTTAACACCGTAGTTGTGACGTCAGAGGACTGGCCCAAGAAATGTCAACTGTGTGGTACTTTGATTGGAATGATAGGAGATAGTGTCATGTATTAGCCTAAGAAAGCTTCTGGAACGCTCTTAAGGTTGGTAGTCGAGGCAATATTCGCTGGGGAACAGGTAAAGCTTCTAGTTCAGTTGTGTTAATCACCAAAACTCTTTCCTTCTTTCATTGTTATCCATTCCATGTCCTCGGTTGACATCATCGCCCTAAAATAAATAGTGACAATGAAGTATCTGCGTAAGGGACGATTATATCAGCAGTTGTCACGAGAAATTATCAGAATCTGGGGTACACCAGCCACCAGAGATCATTCCTGGGCCTCCTATAATCTCCCATAGCCATCTAGCGATCTATATAGTCTAGGACTTCCCCGAGGCCCTCAGAGAACAAGGAACCTTTTCAACCTCGCAGAGATTGATAGAAACACTGTTGCTGATCACCATCTAATGCCGTCAGCACAAGTTCCAATCCATCAACGCTAACACCGACAGATAAGAACAGTAGCGATTCTGTCACAGTATTATCTCTTCTTGATATTCACCAGCAACCCCTTCTGTACCACGAAAAAGGAGGAATGATGATCCAGAGGTTTTTCTGGGTTGACCAATTGAAACTTGTATCTCCGTAACAGCTGAGGGAGTAGCTTGTTCATCTCCAGTAAGGCCAGATGGCGTCCGATGCAAAGGTGCGAGCCACCGCCAAATTGGAACATGCATCTCTCCATAATTGTCAATCGCTCTTTGTTCTTGTCGTCTTGCTCGTTCAAGATCCATCTTTCGGGCACATATTTGTCTGCATCCTCTCCGAAGGTTTCCCTGTCACGATGGAGAACCCAGGCGTTCAAGGCAACCCTTGTGCCGCCTCTTAATACGTGCCCATCGACTTTTCCGTGAGGGCTAGGAACAAATCTTGTGATATTGAGGCCGACAGCAGGCCCAATCCGCATGGCTTCTTTCAGACACGCTTGAAAATACGGGAGCTTAGTGGTCGCTTCCCCAAAAGTGATCATTTCGCTCAGCAAGCCGGTTGAATTGACGGATTCAATTTCAGAGACAAGTCGCTGATGTATGCTTGGATTAGCCAAAACATGCCAAAGGAAAGTCTGCATCGTTGAAGAAGTGGAATCGGCTCCTGCAAATCTAATAAGGACGCTGTCAGCCATGGAGATAGATCGGAGATCGTTCCCTGCTTACATTGCTCCGTGAGCGATAGCAAACACATCTCCTTCGCTTAATGTATTATGTTCTCTGTTTTGCGCTTGCATCAATTGGCCCAGGATATCGACGTAAATTGTCTCCGCTGCTTCGACCTTTCTCTCCTCGAGTTCACGCAAAGCTATCCTGGTAACAAGAGCATTTTTCGTTGCCAGGAAGGGAACATATTTCCAGAGTGGGTTGCGCCGCAGTAAATAGTCAATCCACGGGACCTGACCAACAATACCATTGTAGGTCTGCGAATTGTCGATGGTTTGGATCGTATTATCAACATCCTTTCCTTGGGTGAGAAATCCAAACGGCTTCGAAAACGCCACCTGCCCCAGGACATCGAATGCAAAGAAATGTAGCCATTGACCCAAATCACAAACCTGACCTGACGAAGCAAATTCATCAAGCTTATCGGTCAGGATCCGCTCAGCTTGGTCAAGTCGTGGGACGAGGCGTTGCATTGAGGCGAGGCTGTATGCCACGGTTGCCATACGCTTTTTCTGGGCGTGTGCACGTTCGTTGACTTCAGTAAAGATATCTGGATTCTCCGGAGGTGGGAAAACCCTGTAGAAGTCGGTCTTGTGAAACCCTTTACCAGCAGCCAGAATCTCTCGTGCTGCGCTCGGAGATGCAAAGGAGAGCTCGTTTGGAGCAATTCGGACAACAGGGCCTCAAAGGAGTCGACTTGTTAAATAGATGTTCCAGAACTAGGGACTCTACTCACCATATATATTGTGAACTCGGATGTGGTCTTGCTCTGTGTGACCCTTGTATGTACTCCAGACTGCCTGGAGTGTCAGCTGGTAATCTTGTGACAGGAAGTACATACCCTTCCAGACTCTGGATCCCGATGCAACAAAGGGACCGGGGTACTTTAGTAACGGAGACGAGTATCTTCGATATAAGAACCGCAAGGCTAACAATAGCAATATATATCCAACGTAGCCACTAAAAGCTAAGAGATGAGACATAATGTTTGACTCGTGAAGGGAGCCTTCGTAAATGTCTGTTTCTCAAGTTGTAATATCAATAGAATATACCAAGAGACGTTGGAATTATGAAACTGCGACTCAAAGCCCTTGTATGAACATTCAAGCTTTTAAATATCGTCTCAATCCATCAACATTGAGCCGAATATTAAGGTTCACTCCGTCTGAAGGAGCAGATGACGTGAGATTCGCTCTCCGTTTCAAGGTACATAAGGCCAAATACTTGGAAATGATAAAAATAGACATGATTTCATGGACTTTACCTTGCTAGAGAGATTGTCTAAATAGCAGCTAATACTAAGATCAGAATGTATTGACCGCATCCACAGTTTCATCAGATATCTTTAGAGATAGCTAGTGCAGTAACTATCTTCTAGACGATAGCGTGTAATGATAACAAGAGAAAGAAGGTCACAGAGAAGAAAGCACAAAACGTCACCATTTGACTACCGAAACAACGACGAGGGATAAAGTCCACAATACATGAGAGCGCGAGCAAAGCAAGACACCATTTTGATCTTGCCAGCAATGGTCGAAACCCATTCCGAGAGAGTTAACACGTCATTATCAGACAAGCGTACGACACGACTCTGCAATCATATTTCGTCGAGGGAAGTGCACGTGCTTATCCTTTCAGTTTTACCGTCGGATTCAATAACTGGTGTGTACACGGAAGCAAAGAGCAATACACAGCAGGGAAAATAACAACTATACAACGAATGATAAGACTATAGAATTTGAAAACCGTTGAGTAAAGACTGCCTCAAACTCGGCCACAAGACCCGCTAGATGACCCACCTATTGCTACTATACGTCTGGATTTGGGGGGACTTCTGCCACATAAGCGGAGATAATCTTCTTTGTTACGTTTCGAGCAAAGATAATTGCGTCGAATAATCCAACTTAGCTGATCTATACATTTCTTTTTGGCCACTTTGACAGACCACCGAAGTGGGGGAGTAAGCAACTTCCTATCGCGTTACAAATACTTAAAGAATATATCTCTAATTAATAGTGGGAGCATAGAAATTAAGCTGTATATTTTTGCCTTATGTAGAAGCGTACAATTTACTGCAGCAAAGTAAGAGAGGTAGGCAGATATTAATAGCTAACGGAGACCGAAAAAGTTAAGTAGCGAGAACACATTCCCGTTGTAGTTAGGACAGTGGGGGACCAGGTATGAAAGTCAGACGTCGTCGAGGGTCTGGGCCGCTTTGCCGCGCTCTAAGCAATTTTTCCCTGAGAACCGGCAATGCCCTTAATCTCGCACCTTATATGTTTAGGCCTAACTCAGTCTGTTTAGGGAGGTCATTCTCTCTACTGCTCAAAGGATCCTAGTAGTATTGTCGGAAATCTGCGGAGTGCCCGAGTCACGTCTGCCGGCTTTTGCACATGATACTAGAGTGTTTCACCTTTACTTGGCCGATGCATGGCTACCTATCTTTCAGGAGCATGGGCGACGAATCAGTATGTACTAGAGTAGTGTGCTGCGTATTGAAGTGATTATCTCGGGCAAAAGGTCTGGCAACAAGTTTCGCTCCACGACGTTTCAGGCTATTCTCTGAATTACCTACTAAGGTCGGTGTCCGGAAGCGTAGCACGTAATTGTATTATCGAATCTATGCTTCTATGGTATATGTTTCTCTGGTCCCAGATTCCGAACTTCGAGCGCATGCTTCGAGCATTCGATGCCTCAGAGCGGCCCCTTCCAGGTCTACGAGGCAACCTTTTGTCTTTTCCCCGTCTGCTATTGCCTCGTAGAGCTCACCAACCTGTCCAAATGCGAACGCTGGAGTGATTTCCATCTTTTCCCACTCTTTTCCGGCACCGGCATGAAGGAATAACTCAGGAGGAATCATTTGAATATTGATGTTAGGACCTTCGAATTTCAGGGAGGCTTTCTCACCAGTGATAATCCAGCTGATAGAAGAGGGCGTATCTTTTGTCGCAAGGACCAGAGAAAGGCTTGCTACTGCGCCGTTTGAGAGAACACCTTGCACCATGAACGAGTCCGGAGCATCCCTTGGGACCGAAGCTGAGTGGTGCGGAGTTTCGATCAAGGGGAAGAAGCAGTGGGACGTGGAGGTCAGAGCTTCAAACTCCCCTAGGAGAAAACATAGCGCATCGAGGATGTGGCCTGAAGTAATGCTGGAGATGTCCGCACCTAAAACTGCTTAGTGGACGCTTGTTTAACGTGTGAATGGACTAACGATTCTTCTTGTCGTGCTCATAGTCAAACTTTGGTGGTAAATAAAGCAACGTGCTATCGGTGCCAACAATGCTGGTTGAGATTATTTTGCCTAGGATCCCATTCTCGATGATCTCCTTGGCCTATTTGGTTCAGGAGGTCAGCCTCGGTGAAGCTGGTGCAAGTTTGAAACAACGAACCTTCAGTATCACAGGAGAACATCTTGCTTGAAGACCGACCCAAACCTTTCCTCCACCATCGCGTGCGGCTTGTCGCAGCTCATCTATTTCTTCCATATTTGTGGCAAGGGGCCATTCAATCAACACGTCTTTGCCTGCTCGTAAGGAGGGAAGAGCAAGGTCCCTGTGAAGTGGGAGTTTCACGCCGATCACAACCAAGTCAACATTTTTATCTGCTGCAATTTGGTCGGGGGTGTGATATGCCGCTTCCCGTGGGAGACCCCAGGTTTCAGCCGCTGCGGTAGCAGAAGACGGCGACGAAGTCGCAAGAGCCTTAAGCGTATATTTTGACGAGAGGCGTGGATGTCGAAGGGCACCCATATGACCGCGGGAGACCCATGCTGTGGGTGAGGCACTCAGCCCAATTATGCCAATACCAATAGCCATAGTTCGAGTGAAAGTAATAAGGTCCTCATGTATGCAAAAATGGTGGTAGACGTGGTAGAGCAAAAGTATCATTTAAATACCGTTTCAGAGACGCCAACCCCAGACAAGAAAGGTGTCCCGGCCCCCCTGTGTGTTGTAATCCCACCAAAGTTGAATTCTCTTTCTGGTTATTTGTAAGCTATGTAAATCATTAGGACATAAATTGATGCTCGGAATAGTCGACAATCATTGCACGTGGCTAGCATAACGGCAAAAACATAATTGTGTATTGGTAAGCCTTCTAGCCTCAATTTATATATATAGAGAACTAGATATCTTCTGCATCATGTACTGAGGAATAGACAAAGTATCTTCATTTACACAACTCTGCAGACCGCGATACAAGGAGCTATTCAGGGGACGATATTTTTGCTTTTTGGTGCTGAAAATATATACATTTCGAGAATGGTGGCAGTGCAAAAAGTGGTGGTTCTTGGGGTGCAGTTCTCCATGGATTTACTTTCTTGCAACTAACTAACTGTTCTTCCAGGCCTCCGGCAACATAGGACTGCCTGTGCTGAAGGTACTTCTAGCTGAAGGATTTGAGGTGACTGCAGTGTCTCGAAACCCCAAGACTGAAGTCCCTATTGGTGTCAAGCTGGCAGTTGGCGACATCTCAAATGAACAGGAGCTCGAATCTCACTTCCGCGGCCAGGACGCCCTTGTGGAAGCTTTCGGCCCGTCTGCAGCAGGGAGCCAGGGTCTCATCGTGAGAGCTTCTGTGAAAGCAGGAATCAAACACATCATCACTCCTGAGTTTGCGGGAGATACATTCAACACCAATGCTGGCGAGCTGATGATCTATGAACCAAAGATTAACGCTCAAAAGGCATTGGAAGAGAACAGTGTTGGCTACGATTTGAAATGGACGGCGATTATCACAGGCCCATGGTATGATTGGGGTAAGTTCGAACGATATTGAATCGTGTTGTGGCGGCCACACAACCAGCTAACGATCGAAAGCGATTATCAACAATTTCTTCTGGTTGGATAAAAAGCAACGTACCATGACAGTCTTTGGCTCTGGAAATCAGAAATACAGCATGTGCAAAACGCAGACAATAGCTCGAGCAGTAGTCGATGTCCTCCGTCGTCCGCAAGACTTTGCCAACCGACCGGTCTACGTTGCAGATTACACCGTTAGCACCAATGAATTACTGGCTATCCTTGAATCAATAAGCCCAGGGTGGGAGGTCAAACGGGTGAACATCGACAATTTCTTCCAGACGGCCAAAGAAAAATGGCAGGCAGACAGGGCGGCAGGCGTCAGAGAAACGCTGGGTACTGAGGCGTATATGATGTTGGGAACATATGGCATGTTTGAGGAAAGCAACAAATATGGAGCTGACTTCAGTGACAAGGTTGAGCCTGCATATGTGAATGATATTGATCAACTTAAAATTGAGTTGAAGGGCCTTTTATCGGTTTAGATAGAGGTTGAAATGTCTCGCCTTGCCTGATTATGGTTGACATTCGAGAGATGGAAAAGAAAGAAGATCAGTTCCTGTTTTAGCTGTGGTACTGCAGTTAGTAGCACAGCGTTTAAAATATTAGTGTTTGGCTTTTCATCATATTTTACACAGGAGTGTTCTATGAGATACACATTGATACGGAGCCCAGAACGCCATATACTAGGCACATATAGATAGCTACATAGCCTAGGCATAAGTACTCACTCAACGTCGTCTGATGCTCAAGAAAGTTGTTGTTCTACATCGATGGCATAGCACAGCCATCGCCCCTAGGGTCGCTCCCTGCACTGTATATGGGCATTCCGCCCAGATTATCGAACTGTCGTTTCACAACTTGACCTCGACCGAACGTACTTCTATTCCAGTTCCCTAAACGCTGGATGTTATGTCCCATCTTGGTCAATTCTTCCTCAACACTGGCTGAGACTCCTTCCTCGAGGAAAACTACTCGATCTGCACCTTCACCGTCAACGCAGAATCTAGGAGCGTCCAGAGCTTCCTGTGCGTTCATCATGAATACTTCCAAATTCATGAAGACCTGGAGCTGACCTTGCGGTTGCATAGTGCCGCCCATAACACCTAGGACGGCCGCAAGGTCTCGACGTACCCCTTGACTTCGAGTGATAATGGCTGGGATAATAGTATGAAAGGGTCTTTTTCCACCTTGATACACATTGGGGTGATTTTCTGGTCCTAGGTGGAATGCGGCTCCCCGTGCTTGCAGCGCGAATCCGTACCCAGTTGGGACGATGCAAGAGCCAAAATGGCCGTAGAGAGAATTGACCATACTCATTGCATTTCCCTCGCGATCTGTGACTGCCAAATATACTGTGTCGCAAGATTCTATGATAGGACTGAACAATGGTCGACCATAGGAATGTGAACCTGCCTTGGTGGGATCGAATAACTTCGCCCTTTCCGTAAGATATGATTTTGACAGGAGCGTTCTGGCATCAACACGAGCGTGACTAGGATCCGAAACCCATCTGTGAGCGTCAGCAAATGCTATTGACAGACTCTCGATGAGTGCATGAAGATAAGGTGTTGTGTTGTGATCTTCAGGTCTGAACTGAGGGATTCGTCCAGCCTTCTCAAATTCCTCCAGCAAGGATAAGGCAATCAGTACCACAATCCCCTGTCCGTTTGGCGCATGCTCCCATATCTCTGGAAACGCCATATTCTGTTTAAAAGCTCTTTGACCTCGAAACATGCCAGAAATGGGTGTTGTAAACTCGGAGCTAGTTCTCAAATGCTCGGTAAGATCGGATAACTCCAAGTAACCTCCCCCAGATTGCACCGCTTTCACAATTGCCTCTGCGATTGGTCCTGCATAGAAACCCTCCTTCCCTTCTGCCACAAGTATTTGAAATGTCTTCGACAGCTCTGGAGAGAAAACTACCTCTCCTGGCTTTGGTGCCCTTAGCTGGCTCAAGGAATGATCATACTTCAACACCGCACTGTTGTCAGTATGACTACTCTTAAGGTTATCTTCGGCATCTTTCCACTGAAGCGTAATTAGAAAGAAGCAATGAAAATGATAGGATAGTATCGACTTACAAGCCATGAGCTGATATCGCTGACTGGAAATCCCTCTTCGCATAGCTGAATCGCTGGACCCAATATGTTCTTCATACTCAACTTATTACTTCCGAACGATCCAACGGAATCGATCCAGCCTGCAGCGGCACCAGGGACTGTGACTGCATGCGCAGACCTCATCGGAATTCTGCCCAACATCCCTTGTGGGATGTTCAAATCACCCCTTACTCTACTTAGAGTTGAGTTTCGGGGAGAACGACCAGATCCGTTTATGGCGTGAACTCTTCTTGTTCGTGCGTCAAAGAACAATGCAAACATGTCTCCTCCTATTCCAGTCGATGCCGGCTCGGTCACAGCTAGTGCAGCGGCTAAAGCGTGATTAGATCCGGTCAGGCCTTTTCTCCGTATGTAGGCTCACCTGCTGCAACCGCGGCGTCCTTTCTGAGAAGTCATCCTCATGCGTTAACAGTCATTCCCTGATTTAACTCACAGCAGCATTTCCCCCAATTGCTAGAACTCTTTGACCGGCTTCCACCGCCAACGGTTGTGTGCAAGCCACCATACCAGCCTTACTATACACGACGCTCCTTCTACTGGGAAATCGCTGGAAATGAGGCATCGTTTTGATTCTCCTCGTCAACAACAGCACTTTCGCCTTCTCTTAGACGGAAAGAGCGAAAATTATTTGAACCGAACGCCCTTTCTGGCTATAGCGTCGTTAGACACTGTTGAATCAGCTTGTGGTTTCCAGTGGGGGAATAGGGAGAAGTTCAGTGGCCAGAATGGACTTTGGTTCAAGGCTGTAACTTGGAGGACCTTAGCTTCTTGAACTAGGACAAGACAAGTAGAATAAGTGTGGATCGTCAGCGGGATGCATTAGCGCATATCCTTCTCCCAGCTGCGTCTGACAACTCAATCCGTAGAGAGCACTTTTACCGTAGACTCTCTCCCCTTTTGGCACATGCATCTCTCCTAGGATTAACCTATCTCCGGTTCCAAGGCAAACCGATCCCAGCGACTACTACAGCTGGGACAGCTCGGACGGCTTCAGGAGTTAACCATGGTTGCAATATGCCGCTGACATCTCTCGGTGTCAATACCCGCTTCACCAATTCCCCTAACCGCATTCAGTATGTGTTCTCGCTTCCTGACGTCAACTTAAGGTTCAGAGTACCTTGTTATGTAAGCCTAGTCAGCGAAAGTATCGCCCAAAGCCAGTTTAACAATTTCGCGTCGCCCACCATTCATCGGTTTAGCAGCAAACAATCTACCAAGGTGTCTCCCACTATGGCAAATCAAGAGATTAATTATCCCGATGGGGAGCTGCCTATCATAATTTTCAGCAACCAGAAATACATACGTCGTACCGTACTCCGGCGCATCCGAAGTCATGCCATGCATGCAGTTCAGCATCGTAAATATTTGGAACGGACTTCTATACGAGACCCCCCTGCCAAGGAGAACCAGTCTCCACAGGGAATGGCGCGTCACGGGACTTTGTGGGATTCTTCGCGAAGAGAAAGAATGAGCAGATTTCAAGCCGCCTCGGCCGATACCGAAGAGCTGATAAGGGAACTGGAAGGGAAATGCCAGACGTTCGCTTCTCAAATTGCGCTGCATTCACCCTCACTGTACACCTCAAATCTTGGAGGAGTCGATCCGTTCAATGCGTTCCCAGCTAATATTGATTCTCAAATTCTGAGCCTCTTCGTATTGTGTTGGTAATATTGTCCCCAGCATTCAACGTGTACTGATTCGATCCCAGGTTTTGATCGGTGGAAATGTGACCTTCCAAAGACCCAGTTCATCCAGTCTACCCTGTGCAATGGTGTTCTTTTGCATAGCTTCGCAGCTATATGGTTACACTTGACGAACTGTGACGCTTCGATCATATCACAACACGAAAGAGCTACTCTAAAACACGTAACGACACTACTCGAGACCCTCAACGACCAAAGCAAACCGAGTCAAAGTGGCTCGGTGAACGACCTGGTCTTATCCATGAGTCGAATGGCTTTGATGGAGGTGAGTTTTCTGTGTCAGCTTCCGCTGTGAGCTGTAGTCTGACGGAACAGGCAACAAGAGGTCGATTTGTCAGTTCCTTGCAACATTTGAAGGGCATAGAGCTCGTACTCACCTACGGAAGACACTTATACGACGATCACGCTCGAACCTCGTTGGGCAGTCTCTTATTATCACATTATTCGATATGGAGCCAGGTACCTCTATCTGTCCGTTATCCATTTGGCTATCTTAGTCACTCAGCAAGACAAGAGATGGAGTCACTAGGCTTTCGCGTTGCGCCGAATTCTCTACTTCTATCCACGAGTATACGGCTTCTGCTTCCACCAGCGCTATTAGACACCTTTGTAGCGTTGGCGGCGCTATGTGCAACAGCGGACTTCCGTTGCGCGCCGGCCTCCGAGGGTCAGCCTCGCCCTCTCGCACGGGAATCTGTAAAACTGGGTTTACGGATTGTCTACATGGAAGGGCCCCCGGTCAATGCGAGGACAACGTGGTCTTTACTCGCGGAGAGCGTACGTTTGACGATCTTGGTTTTCCTGTGGGGTTTCTCAAGGAAGGTTTCACGAGCTTTCAATGGGATGAGGACGTCACATGCAGAGATTCAAGGCCTTCTTCAGAAATACTACGCAGGATCAGACGCATTCGAACAAGACTCTGCTCTAGGGTCGTTATTACTATGGCAACTCGTGGTTCTTGGGGCCACATCTCCGTCGAATGAGGAAATGGCCAAGTACGCTGAACTGATCAATCGACATCTGCACAAAAGCTCGCGAAAGACCTTCTGCCAGATTGAGGAAGAATGTTGCAGGTTTATTTGGCTCAAATTTCCTGTTCCGTCGCAGGCCGAGGAGTTCTGGAGCTACACAAAATCCTGCCAGTAGGGTAGGACGTACTACCCGGGAACAAAATGTGGTAGACGTACTGACAGCAGCCGTAAAGGGTCTTAAAGTTTCATGGCACTAACATGACATTCTTTTTACCATCGGTCGCACTGTTCTCAAGTGCATTGAACAGAGACAGAAGTAATACGACAAGACATAGTCGTGGAACGTCTGCAGTGCGTGAAGACAGGACGACTTCCTAATCAGTCTCTGACACAACGTCTAACTTGTCTTCTTGTGCATTGAGCGATGTGGAATGAAGAAATAAGTGAAAGATGCCGGCCAAAATGAGCTAGTTGATCGCTTGCCCAGCATACAACAGCATGAGATGTCTTAAGTGTTGAATGTATACAGTGTCAATCATTCAAGACCGGAGAGATCTGGACTAATGGTGTTCTATGTTCGGCGGTACTGAAAGAATTTATCTGATATCCCATCCCACCATGGCGCGTCGCACAGCAGATGACAACCAATTCAAGTTCCAGGTGGCAGTTGCCTCATGCACCTCATTGTTCGTGTTTCCTTCAATGTTGGAATCACACGGCCCAGCCACGAGCATGAAAGTTCTCCAGACTGTCGCGTACAACATCTTCCATTTTGTGGAAATCAATCGCAAGAATCTCTTTCTGTTTAGAAGAGTCGAACAGGATTGCTCGACTAATCGTACCCTGTACAGGATTTGCGATTTTGTAATGGTCTCTCAGATTTTTCATAGAGGCAGCAACAACAATCCAGTCTTGCCAGACAAACTGGCTGGCACAGATGATAATTCTCTCACCTCCAGCAGTCGCCACTTCCAAGGAGCGGACGTGGGCTTCTGCCACATCTCGAACGTCTACCCATCCATGTCCAGGACGCGTCAACTGAGCCTCGGCACCCTGTGTCACAGCTCTAAACCACAGCTTCCACGATGGATTAATGGCGGTGAAATCCGGTACTTCGTGTAGGGTTGGCCCAAAAATCCAAGGTGGGTTCAGCACTGTAAGGTCCCAGGCGATCTCAGGCTTATGTCTCTCATAAAATTGCCAGGCCGCTTTCTCTGCCAATACCTTTGAGGCTGAATACTTTGACAGCGGAAGCGCCTCTCTCCCTTTTTCTCGGCATTCTTGCACAGAAGGATCGTTCCAATCAAGTTCGGACAAGGTAATATTGGTTTCTGATTGCGAACATATAGCAGCACAGGAGGAAGTAAGCACAATACGCTCCAGCTGTGACCCATATCGTAGCGCACTTTCTAGTATTCCTAGAGTACCCCTCACTGCAGGGTTGATGATGTCCTCTGGATCATTGGCGCGCATGTGAACGGGAGAGGCCGTATGAATGATGGCTGAGACATTCTTCACAGCCTCGTCGAAAACCCCCTCGTCGGAAATATCACCAACAGGTGTAAGTTGCAACTGTTCAAGATGGCTCGCAAATAGATTCTTCAGGTGTTGTGCTTTTGAATCATTCCGGACTGCGCATTTGACTTGGTATCCGGATTCTAGGAGCTTTTTCACAATCCAAACTCCAACAAACCCTGTCGCTCCAGTGACGAGGACCGTCCCGCCGCGGTGGGAAAGGGCTGGCATGAGGGTAATCGTTAGTATTCAAACTGGCGTGAAAGTTCGATTCGGTGGCGTTTGCGACTTGACTGGTTTTGCTGTTAAATTTGAGCCAACAATATATACATTGTGGAGAGAACAACGCCCGAGAGGAGGATGCCACCGTACAAAACATAAAAGGAGCATTTCGGAATTACATGTCTCATTGCTGTTAAACTCCATGCTATCTCCAGTAGTGGATTAATTCAGCTCCAGCTCGATTTTAAATACAGAAGTACATAGCTGGACCATTGAATCCTACTGTAAGTAAGGCACGAAGCGAGAAGACATACTGGATATCGTTAGTATATCGGCAATGTGCACACAAAACTCTAGCATGCGACCAATGGGGAAGCCCTGTATAAGTGCTTTTCATTGACAGCACAATCTCTTTACCAGTCACAAGTGCAGGATTAATCTCTAATCAAGAAGCACACAAAGCAGGACAACGTGTATCCCCGACATAACGGAGTTAATTTGCCGGAGCTTACTATCCTCTATGGAAGCTACTGTTGCGGGTGGAATCACGTGCTTTTTTGGCACTGCTTTGTGCACTGCCCCAGTGACCCAAGGGCAAACAGGCCGTCCTAGATTGATTGCTCTTCTCTCGTCGCAAGTATGATATTATTGAGCCTATCTCTTATCTCTTCGTGGCCTCTGTTGTTGACTAAGCCAGCCATGTTGGAACATTGTGGGTCAGCCTACATTTGGGTCAGTCTACATTTGTGTCAGTCACAGTAGGTGGTCAAGGCTTATGCTTTGCTCAATGTGCAGAGTGAATGCTTAAATTTATCATCAATGGTACCAGCTATCTACGCGGTATTGCTATGATTGGATGTCTAGGCACAGTGTTGCCCGGGATGATTTCAGTCACGTTGTGAAAAAGGTTTCGCCTCAGTGGGGAATACGCAAGGGCGGATTACGAGGGCGGACTTAAGCAAGGGTTGCGCCATACCTGCATAAAACACACTTCCTCATCCCTAGCATCGTTCCTTCATCATTGCCTTGGTAACCCGGCTCTGTTGGTACCACGAATATGCATCCTAAGAGCGTGCGGACTATAATGTTGTCTGCATTCTGCCAGTTGCTGCCGAGATCATCAGTGGAGACATGGCATACCAGGGGTAAATGAAGACGGTTTTAGTACGCCTTTGACTATTCAGGACTCGAAGTATCAATGACTGATCTCATTGTGTTTGGCACATCTATATAAATAAGATCTTTAATCTGCCTGAAACCATTCTTTAGATCCTCTTTCATTCAATCACCTGAATGAGATATTGCCAGTGCCCAAGCAAGAGATTCTGCAGGTTATTGACCGATTCGATCTTCTGAAAAACCATATATCGCAAACGTGATTCAGAAAAAGATCCTGTGCATACCAAAAGGCACTGGGGACTTACAACCTCCTTCAATCAAGGACGGGCCGTGTTAAATCAGCTCTCACATTCCCTTCATCATTAATAAGGCCCTCATCATGTCATTCTCGGAGTCGAGTGTTCCAGATTTAACTGGGAAAATAATGATCGTAACCGGTTTGTATTCGGCGGAGGCTTATATCTATATTCACAGACATCAGCTAATAGTATACCAGGAGGCAACAGCGGCATTGGAAAACAACTAGTTGCGGTTCTGGCCAGCAAAGGAGCCAAGGTATACCTCGGGGCCCGTTCGCAGGCCAAATACGATCAGGCGCTACAGGAGATTCACACGTCTCACCCGGCCACGAAAAAGTCATCGATCGAGTTCTTGAAATTTGACCTCTCCTCTGCTGCCATGGCTAAAAGGTCTGCCGAGCATTTCAAATCGTAGGTCGTAGACGAATAAACTAACGAAACAAGATGTACTACGCTAATGATATGAACTCATGCAGAAAAGAGACAGAGCTACATGTTCTCTTCGATAATGCAGGTGTAATGGGAACACCTGCTGGAAAGCTGTCTGCGGACTCTTACGAATACGTAAGCACAAGCTCCAGAGCTCGGCTGGGTCAGCGTGAGGAGATTGCTCACTTGTCTCTAGCAATGGGCCGTCAATGTGTTCGGCACCTTCGTGTTCACATACCACCTCCTCCCTCTGCTCCAGCGGACAGCCGAGAAGTCACTACCAGGAACAGTTCGTATTGTCATTACTACGTCTGACGGCGCAAAACAAGCACCAAAATCTGGTATTCCTCTTGATGACCCCACTGTAGGCTCCAACGCAACTCGATTTCAGTGCTATGGCCACGGTAAACTTGGTCTCATCCTCTTAACCCGGCAGCTGGCTCAGCGATATCCGGACATCCTGACTCTAGGCCCTCATCCCGGACCTGTCCAGTCAAACCTCACTCGAGAATTAAACTTCCCAGGTCCTGTGAAATGGCTTCTAAACGTGAGTCTACTACCGCCCTCAGAATACCAGTTACGGGAAATGTCATGAGGGAAGGGGTGCTGACTATGTTCCGCCTATCTACAGCGCGTAGTATTCAAGCCGGTAGAGTATGGTGCTTTGACACCCCTCTTCGCTGGCACTGCATCCATTCCAATGAGCAAAACTGGATCGTACCTTATTCCTCTAGCGTTGGTACCCCGGACAAGCCCTAGATACTGTGCGTTTTAGCTAATTTCGATACTAGGAAATTCGAAACCAACCTCCCACACAAGCAGTGCTATGACGACAAATTTGGGACTAGAGTCTGGGAGTGGAACATGACAGCGATGAAGAAGGCTGGAGCAGATTAATGAGGATTGTACTGTACGACCACCACTTTTTGGATCTCTTAGTGCAACAGAGATTGCTAGCAGGTAACCTTTAAGCAGGCTCGAAGAGTCGTGTACTTGATATCGCACCCTAGTTGAGTACCGATCCCTATTGCGGAGCACCGTTCTTGCTGAACGATGGCCAGTTCGATGCAATATTCGGGCAGCTCATAGCGCGCGTGATGAGTCTTTAAGCCCAGTTGATACCATGCTTTCCGTGATAGTGTCTCATCAGCTGCGCACTGCCTCCCCCGGATTCATGTGGAGCTTCCGTATCGTCGGGTATTCCCGCCGCTGGGTTCTTTCGATAGATGTATTGGATTCACAGCTCTCGAGGAAGACGAGGGAGGCGAGAACAGCCATTGCCGTCACCATTACCAGTAACCCTGAGGACAAGTCTCCGTAGGTGCCATGCATTCTTTCATCGTCTCGTCTTTGATTTCTATATTTCACTTCAGATCCCTTATGCTGGAGGTGTCGTGAAAGACATTGTGAACATGGTGGAGTTCCGGAAACATGGCTAGGTGTTTCCCGAGCGAGACTCTAGAGTCTTATTGTAGTTGGAGGGACGCATTTTGCTCTGACATGGTTTAATACAGGCGCTTTGTCGAGTGTGAAGGAGCTTTACTAGAGAAACAACATCGGTGTCGGGATAAACATATGAGGCGACAGCAGGGATGGATGATGGTGGTGGCTTCCGGAAATCAACCATATAGTTACAAGGGGCAGAATCTACTTGAACGACTATTGTGCCCAGTAACTTGCTAAACTCTCGTGTCTGTTATTGTACATTCAGTCCCGATTTTCAAATGCAGATGACGTGTCTTTAGCTATGTACTCACTCCTTAACATGATGGTCAAAATTGCATATCCTATTCTCAGATCGGGTCGACCAGAGACACCCTCCCTAGATGGACTTTCCAAATACTGGCTGACGCGTCAGCCTTTGTCCTCAGCAAATACAACTCGAATTGGCTGGTATGGATGATATAGTATTGTTCTCTAGCAACCTAGCTTAGTCACTACCTGACTTGAATTACAACCTTCCCAGTAGTCCGCCCACTACTGAGACGATCAAAAGCATTTTGATAATCCTCGATCTTCCACACGCTGTCAACAAGTGGTTTTGCCATGCCAGCCTCGATAAGTTCAGTGATTCGGTGAAGGTGGTTCCCGTTCGGCTCCATGATAAAGAATCTCCCCTCGACGGTGTTACTGATGCCTTTAGGTCGATCCAATGTGAACTTCCAAACCATATCCCTCGGTGGGGCAATGCTGAGGACGAGACCGTTCTCACGCGCGGCATGCCAGGCCTGGTTCAGACTGTCACCGCCAACACAATCGAGAACCAAATCGAACTTGCTCTCCGGGTTATTATTGATCCACTCTGAAATAGGTGTTGTCGTGTAGTCGATTATCTCGTCGGCTCCAAACTCTCGGACAAGGGCTGCATTACGCGCATTACACGATCCCGTCACCCAAAACCCGGCCGCATGGGCGAGTTGAGTTATCCACAGTCCGACACCACCTGAAGAGCCGTTCACAAAAACCTTCTTTATTGACTTCTGTGGGTGGTGTGATGGCGCGTCAAACTGGGGAGAACATCCGCCATGCACGAATAATGCCTGCCATGCCGTGAGTCCTGAAACAGGGACACAGGCAGCCTGCTCAGCTGTGATGTTAGCAGGGCGAAGAGCCATCTCGTTTTCGTGTCCGAGAGTGTATTCTCGAGCGGAACCAGGTCTTGGGAATGTTGTACGCATGTAGACTTTGGATCCTGCAGGAAAATTCGACATTGGAGGGGCAATCACAACCTGGCCAGCCATCTCGACCCCAGGATGACTTTCATTCAGCTCAGGTGGACGCGGCCAAAGTAACTCTCCATTGGTGAGAGCCACAGAGTCGACTTTTATCAGATATTCATCCTGGCTGACCGTCGGGACCGGATACGAGTCGCTGAGGCTGAGTGTTTGGAGTGCCTGGTTGTGAATAAGCGCTCGCATCCTCTTTGGAACTTCCGTTGCCATGTTGCGTGGTCGACGGCTGTCGTTACAGTCTAGTCTTAGGATCGCAAGGATCTTGTGGCTCTTTCAAGGGTTTGTAAACATGGGAGAGAGCGCCCACTCCGTCGTTTCCGTTGTCGATTATATAGTTTCAGGACTGATGGGCAATGCAGCGGATTATTAGATTTGTCACCTCGCACTTGATGATTCCTACCAAGCATACCTTCTCGGAAACGGTCGTATGATAGGGCCCCTAAAGGCACGTCCACGAATTGTCCTCCTCGGTCGGGAAGGTCCAACACGGGTGTTTCGAGTCGCAGACGCTGTTATTACAAACCAGCAGCCTGCCAATTGGCTGGTCGTGCTTTGGCGGAGGCATGCCTTTGGAGGCCGGAATTCCAAGCACTTGCCAAAACGGGTAGTGGTCTCGGATTCGGGGGGCCAGGGACCCAGCTTCGCGGCAGTAACTTAGCTCGCTCGTGCGACGGTTACGCTTACATGAGTACCAACTAAAGAAACCTCGTCACTTCCAAGAGGCATTGATGGCTTTGACTACCACAGAATACGCGCATATCAATACAATCATCGTGCCAATTGCAGTTGGATAAGTTGCTCAGCCAATTTCTGCGTTCGGGGTCTCTGCACCTGCACGTCAAAAAAGAAACCGCGCTGGAAGTCCTCCAGCTTCTCAGCAAGATTCCTACGCCCATCCCCGCTTGGGTCTGGGACTCTTTGGAAGTTGCCAACGTGGTAGCACTGCTTTACAAACCAGGCCGAATCATCGCCTCTCTCGATGGTGCATGAAAACCCAACCACAAGAATCCATAAATGGACGAGGCTGTTCCCAATCCAGCCAGATTGCGGCACCTTGCCAAGGATCGATCTCAGCATAGGTGCCATAATTTTCACGGTTTTGGTTCGGCCCGTTATATTCATGGTAAGTAGAGTCCACATGATTATGGCTACGCGTACAGCGTTGACCTTCGGATCATCCGTCGTCAATGCCAGCAGTCGGTGTCTGATTGCCATGTTGCGCATGGTAACCCAGTGAGTAACTTGTAATGCCCGCGGTGCCGACATTGAAGAGGGTCGTAATCGATTTTTCACACTATACGAGTCGAGTATCTGTTCAATCAGCACTCTGAGGCTCAAAGGAAGAAAACAAGTGTTCCCTTCCAGCAAGGAAGTTGCTGTTCCTCCATCCCCTAAAGGCTTCAGTTCCTCCTCCCTTAAGCCAAGGCTACTTGCTGGACCTGGGTCATAATCGCAATCGAATAAGCAGGGTTCAAAGTTAACGCAGGCAATATATAAATCACCCATTGCGAGCTGTCCGCGTAAGTTTTCGTCTTCCACGCACATGAGACCGCCTTTCCCGCTTAGAAGCCCAACGGCCGCCTCCAAGTGTGTTTTAGCCGCAGACACTCCATCCCTGTACGCCTCGGCTGAGACCAGAAACGCGATGCAGATCAAGATTTTTCTCAGCTGCTCGGAGGCTTGAAAGTCGCTAGTGTCGATGCGAGAACGGAGCAATCGAAGAGCATTGTGGAGGTAGTAGTTCTCCATGCCGGTCACCTGAGCGCATGGGAGCCGATCAACAAACTGCAGCCGAGAGGCAGAAGCGCTTAAAAGACAGCACATGGCCAATCTGTCTTCGACGGCCATTCTTACGATGCTGTTCACGGCGCCCGGAAAGGTGTACAGCCCATGACGAAGGATGGCCATTTCATTGGGCCATATAGTTGGGTGATAAAAGTAAACGTAGTAGTGGAGTAACCCAGCCACAGTGTTATTGACCTTGACCGACGCTGTGCCGAAGGGATCTACCTTGCATAGACTTGCTTGGTTGGTTGGAGATGTGATGGTTGACTGAGTCCGCCGTCTCCGATGCGCCTCACGAGCAGCGTGGGATTTCCGACGAGAATCTTCAAATTCACGCTCCTCTTTGGAGTGCTTGGGTTGATAGTCGACAAAGAGAAGACTGACATGGTGCTCTTTCGGTGTAGCGACATGGATGGGATTGTTCAAAGGCTCAGTATCAGCCTGTGCCGACCTTGGATTTGGTGTATGGTCTCCTTGAGCGCATTTCGCAACAGCTTCTACCTGTTGGTCTAGAACTGATGCTCTAAAAGAAACCGAGTTGCCTGGGCGATTGCGTCTTCGGCCTCTCTGCACGTGGCTTTGTATCCTTGCCTGCTCGATAGATGCACTTTGTGATAAATGACTGGAATTTCGGCTTTTATTGACAAAGTAGTATTCCTTCTCGCCGTTCGGTCGTCTGCTAGAGGAATATCTACCTTGTGTCGCTGCATCTATGTTTCTGTCATTTGGACCCATGGCAGTACATGCGCTCTTTAGCCGTGCGAGTGGAAGTGCCGCTCACGTCTACTTGTGGCTCACGGGTGGCAACGAGGTTACATGCCGTGGCATTAGAGCCAAGCCTTTCTGTCCCTTGGCAGCCTCATTAGCACGTTCTTCCCGATGCTTTCTAAGCGGCCTGCATTGGGGGTGGGTAAATTCTAGGGGTGATTGGCAGAATTAAATTCGGAGAGGGAGACGCTGGTATCGTCGATTTCCTCGGAGTCTACGTACAAAAAGAAAACGTGTCATTATGACACATTCCCGACGATTTTAAACTATATTTCTAGGGATTCAATGGCCCAGTAAGTCGCGCAGGTATCCAATGGCGCCAGAAGGGCGATATAAGCACCATCCTTGATGAGATTATTCACCCCATTGACCACTCTTTCCCCTCCAAGATGGCCATGGCTTCTCTCTCCACAAGGTTGAGAGCTTTCATCAACAGCGTAGGGCCGATCGAAATCCTACTAACGCCGCACTGCTGGAGCGTCTCGATTGGCAACCCTTGGGCAAGCACGGCCAACTTCCCGTCCAGCCTCTCTACCAGATCTCTTACTTCTTTCTCTGTGATAACTCTCTTCATAACTCCCCAGACAAACACGGTTGTCGCCCCCGCTTTGAGATAGGCGTGCCCGCGCTCCACTACATCGTCGATTGTGCCCCCGAAACCCAGCACATCGGTGCGAGCGTTCACCACGAAATCCGGAACTCCGGCTTCCTTTGCCCCTCTGACAGCATCCGCGATACGACTCTTGGCCTCCTCAAGCGTTCTCAATTTTGGCGGTTGAACACTATTATCAACGTCCTCGATATTGCAGCCTACCACTCCTATTTCGATAACCTGCTTAATAGACTCTGCAGGGTCGCTGTAGCCATCCTGCAAGTCCGCGGACAGTGGCAATGACTCGGCTTTCCCAGCGTTGCGGAGACCAGTGGCCACCCGTTTGACACCAACAAGATTATCTCTGAGAGACATCGTGTTTTCATCATCAATGCCAATGCTGGAGGCTATCGCATACGAAGCGGTCGCGACGGCCCTGGTCGAGGGAAGCGAGGATATTAACTTAGCAGTACATGCATCGTAGACATTGGTCAGGATCAGGGGCTGACCAGAGACATGGAAAGATTTGAGTCGACGAGCTAATTGGTTCAGCTCTTCTGGAGATTTCGCCATCGCCTTCACTCAGTGAGCCTTCCTTGGTTCTGGTGAGTTTTCATGCGAAATTAGGATGTAAATGTAGGGAAAAGTGGATGAGATGATTTGGCGACCACTTGCTGATCCCTCCGCTATTGAAGGCTGAGAGGATGGCGGATTGATTGAAGTTCTCAAAGGTTGCAGATAAAGCTACCTTAGTCAGTGAGTAGGGTAAACCCTATTACGCACCCAAGGGTTCCTATTACGCACACACTCGGGTAACATTCCTAATATAGAATACTTTTCACCTGCCTCCCCCCTAAAGAGTGCCTATTTACAGCCTAAACTTTAGGCATCACCGCCTATATTTTAGACATTATTATGTACATTTTAGGCATCATCTCTACATTTTAGGTATCACTGTCTGAATTTTAGGTATTAATATCTAGATATTAAGCATTATAATTATAGATTCATCAATTCTAATCACCTCCTCTTCAACTTATCTCTTTTAACTGTTAAGATCATGAGATTATCTCTATTCTGTTGTTTTGATTGTCGCTACATCACTTATGGTTAAGGATTAGGCATGAATAAAATAATTAGGCGTGCCTAAAGCTACGCCAAGATAGGCGCTAACTAAATGGGGATGTGTGCGTAATAGGAACCCTTGGGTGCGTAATAGGGTTTACCAGTGAGTAGCTAGGTCTACATCCCATTTAGGCGATCAGCATCAGACTTTTAGGCATCGGCATGGCGCCGATGCCCTTAGCTTAGCCTTTCGCGTGTGTAACTAGACCTAACGCTTGAGGTTAGGCTTAGGCTTCTCACACGCAAGATACCGGACACCTAAGCTGGGCGTAGACTCAGAGCTAGTGGAACGACGCCACCCCTGACCTTCATCGCTGTAAATCTATCGTTACATAATACGCAGAAATTGATAATATGTGAGGGTGAAATATGATGAACTGACGAGTCTAACCTCAATAACTAGGAGATTGCTTTCACCCCACATTGGGCTGTAGAAAGCCATTCATCACGTTATCCGTAAATGCGAGTATCACTGCTTTTATAGGTCTCTTATCAATCAGGCGGTTTTTTAATGGTTTTCTGTCTCTTCTAAGGACTGTACTCCATGAAGTATTTGCATCCATACTTGCCAGCGTATTCGTCTACATTTTGTCAGTCTACTTCGTAACTGTAGATGTCGCGAATACGGCGGCGCGAGGATTGTGTGATAAACAAGCTTCGTAATGTGGAAATCTCGGCCAGATTGGGCATTGACTCTTATGTCATAAACCAGTAAACGTGCTCCCTGACGGCTGTGCTATCTTCTCTTAGTTAGCCTTGAGTGAGTAATACGCACCCATAGATGTACATCATATTGGTTGCAACTCTACTAGTAGATTGGCGTATTCGGCTACGTAGATATAAACGCCAACTAGAGATGAGCATATTTCTTGTTGCAGCCTAATTTGACTAGGTATTCTACGGCAGATTGACTGAGGAAATATCAAATGCAAACGATCTAGTTGATTTAGGAAAGGTGAACTTATAAGACAGTAATCATAGCGCTGAAAAGGTACCCTACGGCACCTGCCATATATCATGGCAGGCTATATCTATAAGTCGGCAGTTTACTCTTGTGAGTTTGCTATATTCATTCTTCACTCACGATGAAACCCTCTTTCTTCACATGTATCACTTGGGCAGCTGCGCTTCTAGGCTGTGCGGCTCGGGCTGTGACTGCTGCTCCGGGTAGTCGGGGTTTAGCTATACCATCTTGCCATGATCTAATGCTCCCTCTCTCGATCAGCGCCAACAATACCAATATTGTTGGCGTTGACCAGACTTTCAATAACCAGTCTTATGCTACGGGCACCATCCTTCAACTTACGGGTACAGCGAAAGCATGGGGTTCGCAACATATCTCAGGCTTCTTTATCAACAACAAAACTTATAACATACATGCAAAGTATTGCGAGCCCGCGAACGGCGCAAACGTCGACTCCCCTCTCATTGTCGCAGTACACGGGCCTGGGGTGAATCTCAAATACTGGGACTTTGATTTGAGCCCCGAGTACTCCTTGATCAAGCAGGCAGTTGCGAAGGGATATCCCATCCTTGCCTATGATAGACTCGGAGCCGGATTGTCCGATTCGACCAGCAACGGATTTAACGAGCCTCAAATCGCTACCGAAATTGAAATCCTGGCAAATATCCTAACCCAAGCGAAGGGTGGCTCTATCGCCAAAAACATTCGATTTAGCAAGATTGTCGGAGTAGGGCACTCCTACGGGTCATTTCAGTTACAAGGCATTACCAAGATCCACCCAGAACTCGTGGATGCTGTAGTCTTAACGGCCTACTCGGCCGACTCCTCCAACGCAGCTGAGTTCCTCCTGGGATCCAACTACGTGATTGCCAGGGATACGTCACCGGCCAAGTTCGGCCATCGCCCGTCGTACTGGCTCACAACACCGACTGATGCGGCTGATCTGACGACATTCTTTTGGCCGCCCAACAGTGATCCGGCCGCGCTCTCTATCTGGCGGAATCAGACTGATGTGATTGCTCTTGGTGCTTACACCACGATCTCCGCCGTCACTGGAATGGCTCCAAATTTTCATGGCCTAGTCCATGTCATTACGGGTGATAAGGATCTCTCGGCCTGTGGCTATAACTGCTCAGGTCCTGATGGGAGAGTGGCACAGGTAGCAAAGTTCTACCCTAGCGATCAAGTCAATTTCACTTATAGTATTGTTAACGACACTGGTCACGGCATTGTCCCACATTATAGTGGCCCGGGAGTTATTCAGGATATCCTTACTTATATTGAGAAGAACTTTATAGTTCCTTTATAGAACAAGGTATATTCGACATTGCATGCCAAAATTGCGACAAGCTTTCAGTGCCTTATGGATCCCTGTGAAACTTATTGGTCAAATATTGTCCTTTTTCTCAATGAGTACTGTCGAATATAGCGTTAGATATAGCGAACAGCAAATATAAACGGGAGACTTGAAGGAGGATCTCTTATGCGCACGTCGAAGTTGTCAATTGTGGACATGCGCACTCCACAAACACATTTTGCCAGCGTCAAAATGCAAAATCGAGCTGAACGTCTAAAGCACAGTGGCTATGAGAGCCACAAACTGTCATATACCCAAAGTTTGATGTTAAGGGGCGAGAGCTCTAACTTGGAACCAGATTGCTATAAGTAGAATTGCGACTTTGTCTACTTCCACTGGTCAACCCATCCATACATCCATTCGGCCTTAATGCTCTCCAGATTAGCTAATGTCGGACTGGCTTGGAGGGTGCTAGTCAGAGCGAGCCGTGCCAGACCACGACCTCCAGGGGCGGCATCGGCCTCAGATTGCGGAGCTGGAATGGCAAGACTTTCAAAGAATCCAAGTAATTTGATGGCCGGGTTCTCCTGAGCTAGTTTCGCTTGATCGTATCCCTTCGCCTGTCCGGCTTTGCTGCTGTACTGCAGACGACTGAGCCACTCTCCAAATGTCACAATACTTGTCTCATTCAAATCTGGAGAATTCGTTCTTTGCATTAAAGCTCGGCGGACCGCGTTTGAAAGATTCCTCCATCCTGTTGTACGTGGATTGACGGCGTGAAATACTCGTGCGCCTGCCTTTGACGAGGCGTAAGATAGACTCTTCAAGAGTTCGACAATAATACCAGGTAACTTGTCGACGGGAATCCAGTCGATGGTCCCCATGACCCCATCAGGATACTCTGCGCTCTTGGAACCAAGGGAATCAGGCAACGCTCCAATATACTGCGAACTCAGGACGAGGCTGGGAAACCATTCGTTTCTACTCCACCCTGGCAGATTGTAACTTGTTCCACATATCTGACCAACTCGCACGACGCCGGTTTTAATCCGAAACTTATGCGATGCCATATCCAAAATGCGCTCAGCCAGGTACTTGGACTGGCCGTAACCCATGGGTGCTGGCGCTGTGATGTCCTTAACGATCGTCTCGGGTACTTCCCGAATAGCAGCCCTCGGACCACCAGAGTAGCTACTGACGGCGCTGATGGAAGAGATAAAGAGTAATGATGGTGACTTCCTCGCTGTGGCAGCAAACACTGCCAGGTTTACAATCCCGTCGAGACTCGAATGGAACGAAGGTAAGCTCTTATTGAAGTCGACGGGCCACGAGCAGTGTACAATCTCGGTTGCCGTGGTTGATATGTGGTCGTACTCGGATTTAGTCAACCCAAAGCTTGGTTTTGATAGATCAGCCGTGAAGAACGAAACACGGTCCTCAGATATGTCGGTGTCTAATTGGTGGCTGGCATTTCGGGTCTGTTGGACAGAACGCGAGTCTGTTGACCTGTTCAGGCACACAATGTGAGATACCTCTGTATCGCCCACGAATTGATGAAGAAGATAAGAGCCCAACGTCCCAGTCGACCCTGTCAGGACTACAACCCTGCCTTTGCTGTCTCTCTCATCAGTCGCATCGCCTTGGCAGGCGATGGACGCGGACATTCTGTCGAGATGTCTCGAGTATGCTTCAACTGTCGCCTCTAGCACCTTGCCGTCAGTGTCTTCTGGAGATGATCCCTCGGTTTCTCCGACTGCTACTTTGGAAATTGCTTGTGTCAAAAGCTCAATGGTGGGATTGGCGTAAATGTTACGGATGGCCAGATTGGACAATCCAAACGTGGTTTTGAGTTCTCGGGTGAGCTTCAAAACCTGCAGCGAATCCATACCCCGACCAAAGAATTCATCGCTGGAGCTGATATCAGTCCAGTTCGTGATCTGCTTCACGAGAGACTCGACCAAAGCCTTGAGAGTCTCTGGCTTAGTGAAGTCGACGCCCACAGGAGGTGAAAGAGTTCCATCTCTTTCCGGCTCAGCATATGCCTCGTCAATCTGTTCCTGATACAAGTCCATGGTAGCTCTTCGCTGCACCGTTCCTTTACCAGCTCGAGGGAAGGGCTTGTCCGGGCGCGAGAAAATGACTTTAGTTTTGGAGATTCTAGCATGGGCTGGTGCAGTAAAGTTGGCATCTGCAATGATTGGCCACAATCGGTCTAGGAGCTCGTGGCGTTCGTCGGTATTCATATTCTTAGGGTTGACTAACTCGATCAACAAAAACGCCTCAAATCTCTGTGCACCACCAACAAGAGCGGATTTTACTTCAGGATGTGCACTGACTGCTTGTTCGAACGAGATCGGGTTCGTCTTCTCGCCATTCAGGAACACTATAACATCGTCAATGCGGCTTTTGTGAGTCCATAGTCCTGGCTTGGTTGGATGCGATAAAAACAAATCCCTCGTGGCATATTCGGTCGTGCCTGGAAAATGTCCAAATACCGGCTGGTTCAGCTCGTGGTCGGCGTTCTTAATGACGACGAGTTCATGCAGATCTTCGAACCGATGCCGGAATTCGTGTTTAACAGCTGGATGAATCTGAATATATCTCCACTCGGTGCAAGTCTCATCGGAAGATGGTCGAATCAGAGGAAACGTGGCACATTCGCTTGATCCAAGGCATTGATAAATGTCTAGTTTCTGTATGACAACGTCGCCTGATGCCTGAGAGACGCTGCCACCAGTGTAGAAGAGGTACTTGAGCTTGGAGGCAGCTTCATCTAGCAATGCAGGATCCCGGGCTAGCTGTTCAATCACAACAGGTGGTACAAATGCCCAGTCAACTTCGGTTTTACCCGCCGCTTCCAGAAGACCTTCTGTAGTAGGCGGCGCAGTGGGGAGAGGGTATACTGGAACGCTGCTTTGAAATGATGGCACAATAAGTGAGAAGCCAATACCAGCGACGTGAAATGCAGGTAGAGTCATGAAAAAGGATCCTGTACGAAAGTGCCTGTCTAGCATCTGATAGCCATAAGGGGGTGCTAGCGAAGTATTTGCTGCTATACCACTGACGAAACTGTTGGTGTATGTCAGAGGCTTTGGAATCCCTTATCTTGGTCAGTTATATGTATTCCATTGCAGATATCGGGCATGTGTACCTGTTGAACCCGATGTGTGTAGGATAAAAATAGGATCTGATTTGGCGATGTCGAATGATTTGAAGTAAGGATAGTTGGGCACCAGCTCGAGGTCTAAGAGATCGGCGAGGGACGGAATCGCAAATTTCTGTACAGTGATCTCGCTTTCAATCTGAGCAACGCAAGGCAGTTCCGGGTTAGTGACCACGAGGCGGGAGCACTCTAGTCGGGAGAGTAGGGAAATGTGAGCACTAATACTGTTTCTTGGTGAGGGCAGAAATGTCTAGAGTGATATCAGTCAATAAGGCGATGAGTTCTTTCACTCCCACTTACCTTGTAGCCAGCCTTGATTGCAGCTACTACCACGATTGAGTAACGGAGGTCGCTGGGTCCAAGATAAGTGATCGTGGGGAAACCATTTCCCTTGCCAAACCCTTGCTCGATAAGCCACGCAACTTGGTTGATGGCATTAACAAGCTCAGAATACTTGACTGCGCGGAAACCATCTCGGTATGATGTCGGAGACCTTGGTACTTTGGCAAAGACATTGTCCGGCGTATCTCTTGCCCGTCGATCCAATATTATGGGCAGTAACTGTTGCGCCTGGGTCTGCGTCGACTGCGAGGTAGCCATCGTGATGTTTTTACAAACGTCGAGTCTTCGGGTCGTTCCAAGGTTTCTTTCCCTAGGCTTAGCTCTCGTACTCTCAAGCGCTTCTCCATCCTTTTCTTATGGAAGATGAAACCTCCTCACCCAACTTCTCCACTAAGGGCAAAAAAATCATCTTCAAATGAATCAGCTCATTAGTCTGATATGATGCCACTAATCACAGAGCACCTTGGGCTGGTCTGCATGAGGATGCGATCAAGCCAGCGGACGACACTAACGCCCCGATGAACTGGGCCGTTGAAGCGGTATGGCACGGCTAAGCCGTGATCGGATCCACCATGGACGTAAATATTTACGTGAAATGCGCCAAGTGTTGGCCAAGCCTGATTTGCCCGGGCAAAATCTCTCTTGTCCCCGATGACGAGGGAAGGAGCAGCCGCGCCTGTTCATGGCTGTTGAAGTCTTCAAGGTGGCGATTGACAAGATGTAAACTTCCTAGGGGAGAAGCATACCCCTACCACGAGTAGATGAAAAAGCGAATAAAATCAAAGTCTCATACTCTCAATGCAGAGCATTGAAAGGACAAGTGTAGAAACACTCGATGTAATTATGCCAAACGGATGGATGAATTGCGATTTCGGGGTCGCAGGCCATCCTCGGGGAGGTGAACAGGAGTCTGATCTAAAGAGTTTCCGGGAACAGTGCACGTACACTTGAACTTGTGGACACAGTCCGGAAGGACATCCCAAGTCTATAATCTTACTACTCTTTCAAGCTGCAACACTGTACGTGAAACAATCTATGCCGATATCAAACATGTTTGCAATGACTCCTTAACGCCATTTTCCTGATCAGGAGATCTACCAGCTGTATATGCATGCCACTGTAGCGGAATCTCGGAGCATCCCCAAGCGTACCGAGATCAAAGATCGATAAGCGAGGCCATCATCGTCACCAAGTCAAATATTTTGGCGCACTCGTCTAATGCAGACTTAGACCGGGGTAAATCGTGTGCGCCATCGGTGATTAGCACTTCAGCCTTGTCGGATTTGCACAGCTTCACGAGTGTCTTGGAGTGCTCTGCGAATTCGTCATTTTTGCCAATGACATGCAAAGTTGGAATTGATATTCGATGAGGGAATTGTGAAGGCACGAAGCCGTATACTAGTGGAGTCTTCAGAAGACGGGTTGACTCAAACGCCACTGATCGTTTTCTCGCAGCTTGGAATTCGCGATTGTTTTCCATATTGTCTGAAGAGTTCGAGGAGAGTGAAGAAAGCGAAGTTGATGAGAGATCCCAGTTGGGCATTTTCCACATGATGGGACCCGAGGCCGTAGTAGAGGTTGGAGAAGGTGGAAGTGTTGAGGTACTGGATGATTGTTGCCAATCGTCGGAGCCATTGAGGAAGCCGATATATCTCTCTTCTTGCTGTTTGATTTGTTGAGTGATATCGTCACCAATCTCTTCTGATGGCGAAAATAGCATGACACTGTTGAAGAAGATGGCAACTTTGAATGGCAGGCTTCTGGTAGCCTCTGCGTGTCCGTTTGCCCTATAAAACTCCTCGGCTAGCAGCATACTAGCTGCCAGAGAGGCTCCTTGTGAAAACCCAATTATTCCGTCGTAAGGTCCATCTTCATTAATGATGGTTCGAAGATATTGATGGGTTTCTTCCACATGTTCGGGCTCGTAGCGTGAAAACCACGCCAGATACGGCCCTGGGTAAAATTTCGCGATGCCAGGAGCCGCTGCGGATTCGGACGGCGCATCTACGAAATCAAAAGTATGCTGAGAAGATAGTTGAGAGATCAGTGGTCCTGCTTGGAGTTCAAGGGGTTAGCCATGGACAAGGTTTAAACGCATACACCTGGGTCGGCGGCATTCTGAATCCTACCAGGCACATACCTAGTTGAGCCTCAAAAATGTCCGAGTTGGTACCCCGGCCATGCAGACAGAGGAACTTCATATTAAATGAGATGAATATTCAGACAGTCTTGCAAGTAGAAGAGCGAGAGTATTGACCTATTGCAACGCCACCGAACACAACAGTAACGCGTTAAAGAGATGCAAGCATTTACGTCCGATCAACATGTCACTATATCTGGCAATCCATGGATACAGGCAGTGAGGGAGCCTTGAGCTTTTGCTTATGCGGAGTAGATCGAAGCGCAAACAATTGTACTTTCTGAAGCGTGGCATGAGCGCGGTGTCGCCGATCCCATCTGAAGCGTGGCATGAGCGCGGTGTCGCCGATCCCAACTGAAGCTGAGACAACTTGACGCCAGCCACTTACCTCCATAGCGACTTACGGTGCTCGTTAGCTTCGGACGACACACGGGCCTATGATCGCGGTTATCGATAACTACCGTTATGATGTATGTGATAAAGTCCAGGGAAATGCCAAGAGAGAAAGAACTAGCGGTGTGATGCTAACTTCTGCGATAAGATGGACGCTCGCAGCTGCTCATTAGTTGCAGAACCCCTGGGCGGTTGCATCGTACGCGGCACGATAAGTAATTTCAGCCTCTCTTGACGGTAATTGGGCTCAGGGCGAAGAAAAGCGCAGTCCACAATCGCGAATTCCGCGGGCTAACCCCCAACCAACAAGCTATCCGACCCACAACAGCTCCTTATAGGCTTCGCGACCACCAACTCAGGGCGGAGCAGCTGGAGCAACCGGTTCTAAAACCAAGATTGGAGCCGATTACTGTAGAAGCACGTTTGACGTCAAATTCGTCAAATAAGGCCCGTCTCGCCGTTAAATACCGACGATCATACCCTGAGTGGACATGGGATTGGGCGATGAAAGTGACTTGTGCTGTGAATATCTCGCTAAAGGCCAACTATGTGGCTCCCATGCGCCATAAGCAATGCTAGCCTTGAGCCAGCTCCGGCCAACGTTGGCAATGCATATGCATCCTTCGTTGTTGGCGGTCTCAAACCCTTGATACCCACTGTATCGCTGGGTTTGACATAAAAGAGTACGGCATGTCAATCTTGGTTCTTTCATGTCGCGTCAAGCATATCACTATGTCACTATACCATTATAGGCTGTCGATCTTAGCTCGCGGCTGGCTGGGGGGATACCAGATAATAGAATGATCACAACCACTCCAGAGGCTAGCAAAATTGAAACTGATTCCCGATGCTTTTGAAATTCGCCGGCTTGATGGCTGAAAAATATGACTGCGGGCTGCAATGCGCTACTCTTCTTGGACGATGTGGATAGCCTCAGCCGTGGTTAATTGACCAGCTCACCCAACGTCGCGAGCTAATCGTCAATGGCTCATTTCGTAGTAAATATAAAGTCCAATCCCCGAGGGAGTTGTCCCTTGCCTTGGAGGTTTCAAGCCAGGCAGAAGTTTCATCATTACCGGGGCACATTCTCTCACACTCTAGATCATGGGTTCTTTAGCACAGTTGGCGACAGACTCTGATGACATAGCAGTCATTGGACTCTCATGTCGGTTTCCTGGAGGGGCCTCAACGACAGACAAGTTCTGGAACCTATTGTACAATTCAGAATGTGAGCAGAAAGGCTGTTAGCTAAGAAGGTTGGCTAATCGCACATTTCCACAGCTGCCTACACCGAAGTTCCCAAGTCGCGGTTCAATGTGGATGCATTCTATCATGCAGGGGACAAACTGGGCACCCTTCGATGTCGCGGAGGCCACTTCCTTGACGGAGACATATCGGCCTTTGATGCTCCATTCTTCAACATAACAGCACAGGATGCAAAGGCCATGGACCCGACAGCGAGGATGTTGCTCGAGGTTACTTACGAGGCCTTGGAAAATGCCGGACTACGACTTCACGACCTGGCAGGCAGTGATACAGGATGCTATATTGGCTGCTTCACTAGGGATTGGCATGAGCAACAGATAAAGGACAGCGAAACTGCTCCCATGTACGCTGGCACTGGAACTGGATTCTCTCTACTCTCCAACCGTGTGAGCTGGGCATACGACCTTCGCGGACCCAGCATCACTCTGGACACTGCGTGTTCTTCTAGCTTGGTCGGTTTGCATCTGGCATGCCAAAGCCTCAAATCGAAAGAATCCAAGCTCGCCATAGTGTGCGGCGCCAACCTCATCCTTAGCCCGGACTTGGCAATTTTTCTCTCGAATCTTCACATGTTGTCCAAAGAAGGCTTGTCCCGGTCCTTTGCTGCTGGTACGTCCGGATATGGCCGAGGAGAAGGCATAGCCACCCTCATTCTCAAACCTCTGGCAGATGCTGTACGTGATGGCGACCCAATTCGAGCTGTCATCAGAGGGACGGGCGTCAACCAAGATGGGCACACCACAGGAATTACGGTGCCTAACAGTGACGCTCAGGCTGACCTCATCTTGAGCACGTACTCGGCTGCAAAATTAGATCTTTCCGAAACCGCATATTTCGAAGCTCATGGCACTGGCACAGCAGTTGGCGATCCGCTTGAACTGGCTGCAGTTGCTCGAACATTGGGCAAAGCCAGGAAGCAGGATAATATAGTGGTTGGATCTGTGAAATCGAACATCGGCCACCTTGAAGGAGCAGCTGGTCTCGCGGGCGTCATCAAGTGTATCTTGATGCTGGAAAGGGGCACGATATTACCCAATATTCATTTTGATCAGCCAAATAGGCGCATTCCATTCGACGACTGGAAGATAACTGTACCTACGTCGGCGCTTCCCTGGCCACAGCATCTTTCAAAGCGAACGAGTGTCAACTCATTTGGCTATGGCGGTACGAATGCCCACGCCATAATTGATAATGCAGAAGACTTTCTCCGTTCTCAGGGTTGGCATGAGATCTCGCAGGGATCTGGCAAAGAATTTCCACGTAAACGCCTTTTCGTGGTCAGCGCACCAACAGATGCTGGACTGGACAGGCTACGCAAGCAATTTTGCGAGTACCTCGACTCGATCAAAGCCGATGCAGAATTAGCTTACATGACTCGGTTGGCCTATACTCTTAGCCATCGCCGGACCCGCTTTGACTGGAAAGCTCACGTTGTTGCTTCGACCTTGAAAGAGCTCCGGGAACAACTTTCGGCTCCCTCAATTTCCGCTTCACGTTCAAGCGCCACCCCGCCTGCTTTGGCATTTGTTTTCACCGGTCAAGGCGCACAATGGGCACGCATGGGTGTGGAGTTGATGCAGCTGCCGACCTTTAAAGCGAGTATATTTGACGCTCAGGCGTATCTGACATCGATTGGCTGCGACTGGTCACTAATTCACGAGCTTGAACAGAGCCAGTCAAGCAGCAATATCCAACTCGCCAAATTTAGTCAACCAATCTGTACGATTCTTCAGGTTGCACTGGTTGACCTACTTCGACACTGGGGTATCTTTCCTGGCGTTGTTCTCGGCCATTCTAGTGGCGAAATAGCAGCCGCATATGCCTACGGAGCTCTCACCTGTGAAGATGCGTGGCTAATCTCGTATTGGCGTGGCAAGCTCTGCTCTGAACTTAGCAACACTGCTCCGGAACTCAAGGGCTCCATGGCTGCAGCAGGTCTGTCGCAAGCAGAGGCCTTAGAACATATTTCTCGCATAGACCCAGCCCACGGGAGACTGGTCGTGGCGTGCATCAATTCTCCAACCTCGGTAACCATTTCTGGTGATGAAAGTGCCATGGATGTCTTGGGTAAGAAATTGAAGGAGGCTTCGATTTTCTTCAGAAAGCTCAAAGTCGAAAACGCCTACCATTCACACCATATGCAACGGATAGCTGCTCAATACCTAGAGAAAATATCTGGCCTGCAACCCAAATCGACACCGAGTCAGGGCGTGACAATGGCCTCGAGTGTGACCGGGCAACGGGTGCCGCCAGGGGACCTTGGGCCCGAATATTGGGTTAGGAATCTCGTCTCACCAGTGCTTTTCCTCGACGCTGTACAGACATTGTTCACAGCTTCTAATGAGAGGCGGCGACGCGCACGCACCACGCACTCAACGAACATCAATATCACTGTCGAGATTGGTCCACACAGCGCTTTGAAAGGACCTCTGCGCCAAATCCTCCAGGCCCAGGATATCTCTGGTGTCGACTATGTCTCTGTGCTCACTCGTGGAGATGACGGATTGCAGTCAGCTCTTGATGCCGCAGGAGCGCTGTATGACAAGGGCGTCCCGGTAGATCTGCTCCATGTGAATGACATCGTATCAAAACCAAAGGTTCTCACCGACTTACCACCCTATCCCTGGAATCATACACTGAAATATTGGTCAGAGTCGAGACTGTCTCGAAATTACCGAAATCGGCAGAACCCATATCACGATCTCATTGGAACTGTAACGACGGGATACAACACGCTCGCGCCGACATGGAGAAACATCTTGAAGACTTCGGAGAAACCTTGGCTGAGGGATCATGTTGTGCAAGATACGATCCTCTATCCCGCCGCCGGCATTTTGGTCATGCCCATTGAGGCAATGCGCCAGCTTGCAGACCCAAGCAGGCAGATCGACAATATTCAGTTAAAGGACGTGAGGATAGGCAAGGCTGTCGTCGTGCCTGATGATTCTACTGGAGTCGAGGTTACGCTTCAACTGCACCGCCAGAAGGCCGCCAACTCTTCATTGTACCAGAACGAATGGTGGTCGTTCACAGTTGCCAGCTGCACTCCAGATCAAGAACCAGAAGAGAATGCATTTGGCATGGTGAGTGTCAGGTACACATCAGACAACGTCACATCCTGGCCTGCAACGCAACAGGCAAAGAAGATGCTTGAATCGGAATATCGCGCGTCATGTGCCCAATGCACTCATCACGTGGGACCGGAGGACTTCTACAAGACGACCCAGCAAGCGGGTCTTAACTATGGGCCAGCATTTCAAGGCCTCACACAGATTTGTACTAGTAAGCGACGATGCCACTGTATCATTGCTATTCCTGATACCAAGGCAATTATGCCCGAAGGCATTGAGAGCGAGCACTTGATCCACCCGACTACACTCGACATTATCTTCCATTCTCTCTTCGCCGCATTGGGCGACGATAGATCTCTCAACCTTCAGACAGCTGCGGTACCCGTGTCGTTTGAGCAGTTGACCATCGCAGTCGCCAGCCTACCTTCTGGCGCCGGAGCGACGTATCACGGATTTTGTACCGCACGGAGGGATGGCCCGCGAGAGATTGTGGCCGACATATGTTACTCCGATCAACAGTGGGATGGGCCCAAAGTTCACATTCAAGGAATTCGATGTCGAGAATTACCACGTTTGAGCTCGACTGCTTCTGCTGACTCACTAAAAGCTCCCCTCGGCACGTTGGAGTGGAAGCCTGATATCTCACTCGCTGGGAGCGGTGCTTTGGACGGCATTCTGAGCAAAACCGCCACGTTTCAAGAGGGTCTGACCAAGGTGAGGATCTTTCGTGCTGGGCTGGTCGGCTGACAGGCGAACTGGATATCCACTAACAATCAATTTGTCCAGATTATGGAACTGACTATACACAAGAACCCAAAACCGTCGATCTTGCAGCTCAGAGGAGTTTTGCCCTCTTCTAATCATTTGGTTCCACTTCTCACGGACACTCATAACATAGGAGAAACCTACTTTGAACGATTCGCGTATGTAGACTCCGACCCGCAAAGCTTGCACGAAGCGAGGCTGGCCTTGGAACCGTGGAAATCCAAAGCTTCATGCATCGAGGTCCCTGATGGTGCAGAGTTGCCAGGCGAAGTCCTTCCAACAAAATCATTCAACGCTGTCATCGTGTGGCCAAAGGCTGGATCAAGAGCTACAGGGGAGCAGGAGAAGTCGAAGCTGAAAACACTTCTTCAGGAAGGAGGCCTTCTCATATGCCTCAACCCAGGAGTGGCTGTAAGGACTAAGTATGTATCATTTGCGTTGCATATGTCCCTGCAATCTAACGTGGATAGCGACGGTGATGCAGGGCTCGCACGTACTGAAGGGCTCACCCTCTTAGGCCACACGATATATCAAGACGAGACCACCAGCTTGACATTGACCGTGGAATTGAGATCAAGCGAAATAATACCACCGGAAGGCGTATGTATCATTGAGCCCGTAACGACGTCGAAGCGCACCGAAGCACTGTCTCAGGCTTTGGATCTCCAGCTCTCAGAATGCGGTCTGCCGGCAGTGAGGTACAAATGGCCTATCGAGTCCGCTCAGATAGCTCGCAAACCCATCATCTCTCTGCTCGAGGCTGAAGATGCCTTTTTGACCGAGTGTTCATCGGCAGATTTTGGCGCCATTAAGGGGCTCACCTTGCACTGTGGCTCGTTGCTCTGGATATCTGGAGGAGGTTTTCCAGTGGCTGGGGCCCCTATGGGTTTCATGCGGGTCATCAAGAATGAAAATCCTAACCTTGATCTCCGATACCTGGCCTTGGAAGACTACATGACAACATCAGATCTCGGGCAATTAGCAGCGAATATACTACGGGTGGCTTTCCGGCCTACTGTTGACAGAGAATTCAAATTGATTGCCGACCAGATCCACATCAGTCGTTGGACGGAAGACGAAAAACTGGGGCAGATGATTAAGGATAAAATTCAGTCCCCAACCACCATGTTATTGGCAAAAGGTGTTCCGTCTTTACAGCTACACCGATCGGTGGCAGGGAGCGCAAGCTACTTCACTGCGACAGCAACCGATATCGCAGATCGCGTCCTGGCTGCTGACCAGATTGAGGTAGAGGTCAAAGCTTTCAAGCTCAGGTGAGATACTTCGAATTTCGTCCGATGTTTGGAGAAGCTAATTATCCATAGTGACACCGAGAGCTCTGCGAAGGAATTCAGTGGCACTGTCAAGACTGTTGGAAGTTCGACGAGTCGTCTCCGTGTTGGTGATCGCGTGTTTGGTTGCCAGGTAGGGCCATACAGAACTACTTATAAGATCTCCGAAAGCCTCTGCCACACGATCCCAGAACAAGTCACTTTTGAGGACGCAGCAACGTGGGCGATCACTCTTGGAACAGCTCATAAGAGTATCTTCAGCACGGCTCAGATCCGACAACACCACAAAGTCCTCGTCCAGGGGGCAACATTGGTTGGCGTAGCCGCTATCCAGCTAGCCAAAGGTCTCGGAGCTGATGTCCACTTGTCTGTCAAGAATAACTCAGAGCGACAGCTGGGAAATGCGTATGGTATTCCAGATCATCAGATTTTCCATGAGGAGGATCCAAATCTGCAGGTGAACCTGATGGCTATTACAGACAAGGCCGGCTTCGACACAATCTTGGTCACGTCCGCGAACGGTGAGGATCTGGCCACACTTTGGAAGTGTGTCACTGATGGTGGTCATCTCATCAACACCGTCGGTGGCTTCGTCACTGGTGCTTTGGATCTGGCGCCATTCCAGAAGGGTTGTCATTATTCACAGATCGACACGATTCATGATCTTGAGACCAATCCAAAATTGGTGGCTGATACGTTGAAGAACCTGTCAATTTTCGTAAAGACGCAGTCAGTCGTGGTAAAGCCACATCTAGAGGTGTTTTCAGCGGCCAAGGTTGCGGATGCCTTGGCATACGTCCAAGAGCAAGATGGTCCACATGAGGCTATTATCACGATCAGCAACAGTGATGAGATTCCAGTGAGCCCTGACGCCAAATCACCTCTGAGACTGAAAGGTGATGCAACATATGTGATCACCGGCGGCACAGGTGGCCTTGGACGTAGCCTTGCCCGGCTTCTGTTCTACCATGGTGCCAGAAACCTGGTTTTTATATCTCGTTCAGGGCTTAAGTCAGGAAATGCACAGACTCTCGTCGATGAGATGACCGCTCTGGGGATATCGGTCCGCGTGTATGCGGGTGATGTCTCGGACGCCGATCGCATGAAAGAGATAGTGGCCTCATGTTCTTCGGAACTCCCACAGATTCGAGGAGTGATCCAGTCTGCGGCGGTGCTGAACGATGCTATCTATGAAAACCTGACTTACGAGTCGTGGCGTGAAGCCATCAAGCCCAAAGTCCATGGTTCTTGGCTTCTCCATCAGCTCCTCCCCCGCGACATGGACTTCTTTGTCATGCTGAGTTCGATTGCGGGTGTGGTTGGTAACCGAAGCCAGGCCGCTTATGCGACTGGAAACACATACCAAGATGCATTGGCGAAATACCGTCGAGATTTGGGCCTCCCTGCTGTTTCCATTGATCTCGGTCTCATGACTGGAATTGGATTAATTGCCGAAAGAGGGGGCTTCACCAACCTTCGCAAATCCGAAGCTGTTGCTCTGAATGAAACCGAGCTCCACAGTATTGTCCGATCGGCCATAGTGGGATTCTATGGTGACTCGAAAGTTCCACCACAGCTTGTAACAGGACTTCCTAGCGGCGGGATTCTGCATCGACAAGGACTTGATTCCCCCTTCTACTACGATGATCCACGCTTCGCATTCCTTGAAAAGCTAGGGCTGGACCAAGCTATCGTTGAAATGGGAGGGACACCCGAAGGATCAGATACAAAATCAACCCTTTCATCTCTCCTTGAGAAGGCAAAGACCCTAGCGGAGGCAACGAATATTATAACCGCTGCCATATGTGCTCAGCTGGCCAAAGGCTTACAAACCACAACGGAGAATATTGATCCAGAAAAGACGATCCATTCGTATGGTGTGGACTCATTGATGGCTGTGGAGATTCGAGGCTGGATTCTGCAGCAGATCAAGGCTGATATTTCCTTGTTCGAAGTGTTAAGTGGACAGAGCATCTCGACACTGGCAGCTAAGGTCAGTTCGGCTTCAAAGCTGGTTCCCGCAGGTCTGGAGTGAAGGTGGTAAATAAGAACAGACTACACGGTCAGGTAGCATATTACAAGAACAGACACAGACTGTTTGCGAATCGATCGATTGTTGGTCTCCAAACTTGAACGACAGGTCCTGGCGCGGAACCTCGGGGACCGTGGCGATAATACCGGGCCCGCTGAGCGATCATCGTGTCTGCTACATCCGCGAGTGTTAGAGACCTCCAGCGATCGTCCTCTTGTAACGAGAGATAATTCTGGGATGGAAGCCTCTCCTTTCGGCAGACGCTTCTTTCAGACCCTCGCAGAGGACTGTGGAGATGTCTTCCTCGAACCCAAACAGTGTTTAAAGTGAAATAAATGAAGCTGAATTTCCTAACTGCTACGGAACAATACCTAGCCGGTAAAGTTGTCGATGTAGGTCTTTTCGGCATGGGCCAGCACCGTCGGATATACATCTTTAGAAGCCTGGGAGCCCATCCAGCAATCCAAATGGCCATATCCATCAAACACCTCACGCTCATAATCCTTCAGGGCGAAAACCGCGGTTAGGGTCGTGAATGACTTGTCTGTGCCTTCCGGGCTAAAGACCACGTTCTCGCCTCCTGAGATAAACAAGATCGGCATGCCTTGAAGACACTGCAAGTTTGCGGGCGTGACCAGCGACTCACGATTGTTGTTCACCACGTAGCCGTGCGTTCCTGTAAACATAAGCAGTTCGAGGGCACGCATAGTGATCCCACCGAGGAACTTTGACAGGTTGTCGTGCGTGGCGGCATTGAGGCGCTTATGTGTCCATAATCTTGTCTTTTGTCAGCCAAATGCAAAAGCCTTTGACGATAGAGGCAATTCTCACCTTCCGAAAACAAGATCTGCTCAGCGGCAGACAACGCTGTTGCATAGCTCATGTGCCGAACCGACGGGGTAGAATCACAAAACCTGGTTGAAAAGCCGCTGCACTAATGTGTCGTTCTCAGTTGAGATGCAAGAAAACCAATTCCCGGCAAGGAGCCGATAAACTCGGGTAAGCGGCACCGGCGAAGCTGCCTTGAGCTTGTTCACGGTTCCTGCAATCGGATTGAAAAAGACTTGAGATGTGGTCAGACCTTTAATCCATGCAGACTTGATCGTACCGTCGAGCAAACCCGCAGACAAGGCGATCGATCCCATACAGTGTGATATGACGTAGATAGGCTGCTCTGAGCAGTGGATTCGGTGGATCTCTTCGAAAGAAGCCAGAATATCAAGCCTCGCATCATAAGCTGTGTAACCTCTCTGAGCATTGGGAGTCTTGCCCATCCAGTGGGTCACACAGAAAACCTCGTAACCAGCGGCTTGAAAGTATTCGACAGCATTCGTCTTGATGGTGGGAAGGGCGTAGATTTGATGATCTACGGCGGCTCCAGGTATCATTAAGACAACTTTCCGGGCTCCAGAAAAAGAAGCAGTAGGTGTCTACCAGAGAAGAGTTGAAACTATGTTGTCGATCGACGTGAGTGTCTGTCACGAGACACTGTGATTGGCTAGAATAGCCTTACCTCTAGTGCCTCGGTGAGCAAGGACCAAGATAAGGAAGCGTATCACTCAGCATAGCCGAGGGTACACTTCCTAGGCGGCGTGAGGGTACAAGAAGAGGTCCCCTCCCGAATCGAGTGGAGACGACTTCCTGGCTCTTCAAGCGATGAGTCGTTGTTACATAGGACTGTTCAATAGACTACGTTGCATCAACTACCTCTTCGCAGGGCTATCCTCAGTGAAGGTCCTCACAGTGTCCTTGTTTTGGCAGGAGGCCTCTTGTTGGTGTCATAGCCCTCGTACGTTGTGGTGGGAAATTCCAGCCAGCCTAGTGGCCCTAAAAAGTTCGACAAGACTTGTTTGGTGAAGAAGGTCAGGAACTTGCCCGTAGAGGATGCTCGTGATAGCAGTGACGGGCCGTGTGAAGCGAATGTTCAGAGCTGAGAAATAAAGTCCTGCGGCTCAATGTGTAGCGTTCCCTTGCCCAAAATCTGGTCTCCTTTACTCAAGGTGACAAAGAGGGTCGAGGTTGCTCTTCAAGTTTGCAGTGGATTGAATGCAACGGATCGGTTCACCACTTTATAGCCACGAAAGTGAATGACTTCTCCTCGAGTAGATACCATGTCGAAGTCGTATGTCAAGTTGGTAGTATCTGGCGTGCACTTATCCTTGATGAAGAGGTTGAACTCACCGCGAAGGACCATAAACGGAGACCCAGCTAGACCAGCGCAGGTAAACCTCCCAGTAAGCATTGCCGGGTGATCAGATCGGCCAAATACTGACACGGTCAGTTACCCCTAAAAAGCGATAAGTGAAGACCTTACATTCATCGATATCCCAAGCATGACAACTAAGGAAGAATCTTGCCGTGCTGCCGGCTGCCCGAGCTGCATCAGTCGCGAAGGTGAAGTCTGATGTGATATTGCCGGTGTCGACTTGGTCCTGAGTATTGATGAAGCCAGTCATGACTTCAGTAAACTCAAGGCCCTCAGCTCCTGACTCCGTCGCCACGCGGACAACACGCTCGGCCTTGGAGAGCTCTGCACCGGCGGGTTTCAGACGAGCCGTGCATCCGAAAAGGTCGAGAGTCCCTATACATGTTATTAGGACCTGTGAATTTCTTGGTGAGGACGTATGCAGACCGTTTTGAGTTACGAGATCTATACTCAAGCTGTTTCGCTTCGCCACAGCTTCGACTGAGTGTTCCGCGAGAGCAGTGATGGTGGCGAAGGGATTGACGCCGAGAGCAGTGGGAAGAATTGCAGCGTCTACCACAACAAGTCCGTCATACGCATCACTACCTTGGCCTGTGAAAACTCGACCAAGCTGATCCACCGCCCCGTACGACCCCGTCCCGTTACTGGAAATAGCTGCTCCGCCCATGATGTGGACGGTTATCTGCCTCGTCAGAGGGAACTCTAAGTCATTTTAGAACGACTACTTACCTCTCATTCTCCCAGTGCCGCGAAGAAGGGAGAATTGATATAGGTCCCGCCGAAGGCGTTGGTCATCTTCGCCAGGAACCCATTCAAACTCTTCACGTGGTCGCTCCGTCCCACACCGAGGAAGTTCAAGACGGGTCTGTTATTCCTCCCCAGTCTCATGATGGCTTGATTGCTGTCATGCGACATTATCAGATACATCTGGGTCTTTTCCAGGCTTCCCAATGAGGCATATTGATACAGCCTGCTGTGTTGACGGGCGAAGAAATGAACCAGCATGTCTTTCATTGTGTAATTCGTGGGAAAGATCTTTCCGGGAAGTAACTCCAGCATGGGCTGAACAATAGATACGAGGGCCTCTGTTATGGCACCTTCTTCCACCACGAATCCATCGAGCGGATTCGGCTGATCGCGGCAGTCAATCACCCCTGTGATAGTTGGACCAATAGGCTTATCAGGGTTAGGGGTACCTCTGCAAAACCCGTTCGCTTCATAGTCGGTGTTGTACCTAGGAACTTAGTCAGCTCTCCCAACTAAAGACTTTTGGTATGAAATACCCGAGTGCGAGGATGTCGACGTTGCCGCTTATATCCTTTCCGACTCTGGAACTCATTTCCAACCCCATGGCTTTGCTACGAAGAAGTATTTCGGTGGTGCCGAGGGACCCAGCGCCCATGAAGACGAATTTCTTAGCATACACCCACATAAGATCGTTGTAAATATTGTCCCTGAACAAACGGCACTTAACCCCATGCCAGGCAAAGAATATCAGATAGCCTTCTTGCGTCGGGTGCTTCTTGATATACCTAACCTCGCACTCGCAGAAGCTTGTGAGGTCAGTCAGTTAGTCGCTCTCAGAAGGAGGAGAAGAAGACTATATTCGGCGCCCCAGTTCCATGCGTCACTTATATATGTGACAAGGGTTGAAGATTTGCTACCGTCGTTGACGCCTGTTCTGGCCATACCAGTGAGGGCACTGGCTTGCATTTGCTTAGGTCAGTCAGCAAGAAAGATCTATGCAAGCTTTGGGGCACTCTTATCATACCACACCGGCATAGTTAGGTCCGTTCTCAAATCTAGTCGTCTGTGGTACTCTATAGAACTTCTCCTGCAGGCCCAGGAGTTCTGCCTGCTTCTTTAGGAGCTCGAGCTTCAGCAATGGGAGAAAGTCCTCCGGGTACTGCTCAGGCTGGAGCATCTGGGCCGCTCGTTCGTAGTCTATCGCATCATGGTGAGATCCTGTCATCTTCCGCTAGGGAGGTGAGAGTTACACTCATCCAAAGCGCGGGGCTTTCTCAGATCGTCCGGCCACTCGGGAAGGCTCATGGTTCCGTTGTCAGCTTTCAGGAAGACATTTGCGTTGAGCAGACTAGTGCCCCCAAGACCTTCGTGTCATGATTAGCACCAATCAACGTTCGTCTGCACATGAAACTGACCGCTCGCCACAAAAGCATTCTGCCCAACTCTGACGACCAGCTGATACAGCTTGGTTGGATCGCCAATCTGCACCGGAGTGCCTGGCTTATCGCCGGGAGCAAACAATCCCGAAACGCTAATTTCTGGCGTAGCTTGGACACGATTCGACGGATACTCTCCAGCTGTCTGATGTTAGAGTATTCCAAGAGAGTCCGAACAGCACTTACGCCATCTCTCCCTGCCGCGTTCAAGAACACAGACAGATTGATCGGCACGGGCCATTCTGGAAGCTGCCACTCCTCCTTCGTAACCCGAGCCTATCACCACGACATCGTAAGTGTGTCATAGCAATTCCAGTGTCCGTGAAATGTGTGGGAACTTGTTTCCTCCACGGTAGTCACATGCCTCGAGCTTCGACTGAACCCTCGTCAGCGGCCCGCAAGGCTGAGTGGTCCCTACTCGATAGGGTGACTCCGGATAGCAAGAGGAAAGGGAACCGTTCGCTGCACCAGTCAAGGTCGATGGTAGATCCATCTTCCACATCTACCTCGGAGACATTCTGAGATTCTTTGTCCATAGGCAATAGCTGATTGCGAAAGCGTAAGTTTGAAGGTGTTGGAGAGCAAATCAACGTTCAAAACATACATTGGCAACACATGCGTTACTATAATCAATTTCTAAGTGTGGGAAGCAAGGAGATAGGAGATACTCGCCAAGTTCGTTTATTACAAGGACAGAGCGGTCCCTGAACCACATAGTGTGTGCGTGCTAGTGTCATTCTTAGCACTACTTCTTCCATGAGCTGACATGTGAAATTGATGCAAAACAACAAAGCCCTCTTACAGCTTTGGTCTTCTGCTGAGGGCAGCAGATGGTTGATGCACAGGGCATCACAGAGAGGAATAACTTATTGAAAAGCAAATCGCGGGTCCTGGTGCTGAGCTGAAACTGGTTGGCCTCTAACACCGTGTTGGAGCGGAAGAAGATGCAGCCAGACCTCGGCGCGTCTCCACTTCTCCCGGCGTCTGCTCTCCCCATTTGTGCCTCCACACGCCGCAATAACTACATAGCTACATCCGGCACGGTCTGGGCAGTACGAGGCGTGTCTTGGCGACTTCAGCTAAGTCAAGTGGCGTCGTGCTCGGCCCTGAACAGCGTTTTCGGCGTCCTTCTTTTGCATTTGACATGTGCTCACTTACACTAATTACAGTTTCAAAGGGCCAGTTATGCAGACAGACAGCTGATGACCAAGGAGTATTGTTGTATTTTTAATATTTTGAGAACGACACGCTCTTTCAAAGCTGTGCACCGACGGCTGTTCGGAAGTTCCAAGCCTTTGTCATGGCCGACAGGGACATCAATTTAAAGAAGGGCTGAAGTGAAGATCTCGAATGTGCTCTGGCTCGTGTCTGATAGTATCCTAGGGCTAACATTAGTACTGCCTGAAGTAGAGACATTCGCTGGTGCCTTGATAGCTGTGATATCGAATCCGAATTATTCAACCAACAGTTCGAATATAGCAAGCCGCCAGTGAGTCTTGGTCATTCTTGTCCAAGAAAAGTCTCATAAATTCTTAGATTGGCTGGTTTCGAGCTTCTGTTTCGGCTCTCCTTTCTTTAATTAACCTGATGTTTAGCTTTCCGACCTTTCTGAATACTCACAAATTAGCGACTCACCCAGCCATCTTCCCCAAATAGGCCGAAGCCTCCGTTATAGCTAAACGACTGGCGGAGTGCCAAGACCGCATTATCTCTGCCTCTTACTTTCTCGCCATCCGGGGAACATCGGGATTGAATCTTTGCAGTAAACAGGGTCTCCAGTGTTTCACCGATGAGGATTGTCACAGTACTTGCGTCGTTGGCCTGCCTTACTAGGGCTGGTACGAGCAATGGCTATTCAAGATGGATATGGCAGTCGAAGACTTCCGGTCATTGCTCTGCGCTTTCAAGATTTCATATATGCGTCTTGATATTGACCAGTGATTTGAATACGTATGCAGCCGAAAAGACTTTTGCCTGTGGACAGGCTTCATTAGCGCCCACCATACCAAAATTCAGAGCGTCTATCACCTTCACGAAAAGGTGCAGGGCACCAGTTCTTGTGGTCCGCCTGTGCCACGAACCTTCTGATTCCGCCAGGGGAAATTATCTTTGACTTCTTATCATTACTTAATAATTAGCCTGGAAGAAAATGAATCTTTTCATGTCCGCAGCAGGAAAAGCTTCCAAATACATCGGCCTTAAGTTTACCGAGGTTCGGCCCGTGGATCTGCATCCAGGCCTACTGGCAACAATTCCCACCGCGTTCAATCCCTTCGATACTCTCTCCTCGCCCTAACCTTCGGTGATGCTCAAGGAAGAGGTTATAAAGCTCTCTGATACTTCTGGTCAGGCACTAATATTTATGGATATGCGGCTCAGAGCTACCCAGCAGAAGTTGGAAAGCACAATTCGCAGGCACCGCTACCAAATGAATGCTGGATCTAGTGCCAACATGAAGTCGCTTAGAAGTCTGGCTCCCGTAACGTGACCCAAAATATCATCGAGGCACTCTCACGACTTTGATAAACGTCTAAAGATCGTTCCCTGTGGGTGGAAGCCATCTTCATAAACCAAGACGACAAAGATGCCGAAACGGCCACTCAAGCCCCTTAGATGGTCAGAATATATTCATGTACTTCATAGGTAATAATTTGGCTGTGAAAGACACTATCATGGCCGCTCATAGATATTATGTTTAGCTGCCGGTTTCACAGTCGATAATTGCTCTACGTTGGAACACGAAGAAAGAAATTAGGAAGAACCCCCGCGATTATCAATCTGTGATGCTCGCTTATCCATGTCTATATAGTGGCAAAAACCTCACATGAGGATGAAAATGAGTCTATTGACATGTCATGGAAAGCAACTAAAAGCTACCCTAATCAGTGAAGAGTATTTAGTGGCGTATAGTAAAGTAGCAACGCCGGATATAATGGAAATAACGAACTCACAAGAGGACCTCTGCGCCGATCATCATTCTGAGAAGATTTAGAGAATTTCGTTAATGTGGCCTTGAAGATTGCATCTCTAGAAAATGAGGTTTTATTTCATGGGCGTCATAGATCAGGCCTTTTATGAAGGCCGTAAACGAAGCTGTGATGACGGCTATTCAGTGCTGTAGCGCATCATGATTCTCCCTGTCTTGTGACGTATATTCATGACAAGAAGGGCTAGTTAACCCACACTGAAATAATGTTGGAGTTTAAAGTTTGGTTAAGCTTAACCAAGCATTTATCCGGACATGCTTAAGTTGCCTCCACATGCACCAGCCCTTGTCTTGTTGTTGGTGTGACATCATAGGCTTACGACGCTGTAGCTAGCAGGTTTCTGTCCCGCTCATTTTCTGGTGTTGGAAGATGATGCTTGATATTGCTTTTGTAGTCCCGAGTAGATTTAACAGGCTCTCTTTCTAAGTATCTTTATGGATCCTGAGCCTCGCTCCCCCAAGTCCATCTCGAGTCTCTAATTGAATGGACTACGTTCGGCAATGCGAATTTGGAGCAGTTATATCACAATTTCTCACAAAGCCTAGCAGTATCACATCAAGATAAAAGCCCGCTTCTGAGTGCTTCCGCTTTTAGAATTAGGCGACATGATCCCGAAGAACATCTTGAGACTATGTCAAAGTGGCGTATCAGTCAGCGCCGAGCTGGCCAAGAATCCAGCGCTGTCTGCTCATGAGGTTGTTGGACAGCTCTTTCGTCAGCATATAGAAGATGAAGAGATGGCCAAAAAGCAGGCACTGAATGGTGAAACGGAGGAAGACCTCGACCAGGCGCTCGCCTGTGGTAGGTGGGGCACTGCAAAGCCGTCCAAACTATTTCTACGAGTAAGCATTATTTCTAAGTTGCGTACTCATTTTGTGACTTTTCTTACTGAGAAGAGTGCTAGATCTTCCATGATGTCTTGTGTACACTAGAGAAGAATCCACTTACTGGAGTCTGCTCGCCATCACTTATGGGCAGTACCGGTGTGTGCCCACTTACCATCATCGCACCGATACCAGACATCTGCCGGCACATGTCCAATGTTATCGCTCGAGCAGAGGAGGAGGTCTTCCTAGCCACCAATTTCTGGATGCATTCCGAGTCTAGCATGTTGATCACCAACTCTATCAGGGAGCTTAACAGAAAAGCTGTTGCATTGAACAAACGAATCGTTGTCAAGATCATATACGACCGAGGTAGTTTGCAGCAGGTGAGTTTTCTAGAGCAGCCTGATCCTTCTCCTGTAGCTAAAGGGCATAGTTAATCAACAACCACCTCGTGGTAGAACCCAAGACGTATGCTGATCCTAATGGGCCCATTCGGCTACCGCACCCAGACGACATACCCAATATCGACCTCGAGGTGATCAATTACCACCAACCTGTATTTGGGACTTTCCACTGCAAGTACATGATTGCAGACCGAAGAATTGCTATTATTCAGAGCAACAACATCCAAGATAATGATAATCTGGAGATTATGTCTCAGTGGGAAGGGCCAATTGTGGATTCATTCTACGACATGGCCCTCATATCCTGGCACAACGCCATGCGCCCTCCCCTCCCTCGCCTGAATCGACCCGCTGCAGGACAGCCCACTCCCACATTCGACTCGCACTCTTATGCAAGTTTGTTTGATCAGAGCGGGAATTTGAAAGAAGTCTATCATTCGTGAGATCAAGACTTGCAGACTTTAATGTGCGCAGGCTTATATGTTTACAGGACGGAGACAATGCCCCATAACCATGAAAATCTGCGCGACCTGGCCAAGGACGGATCAGAGGTAAACCTGCCAATGCATACGTCAAATGATGCTCACTACGACCCGGACATAAAATCTGAAGTCTTGCGTGCTACGGCTACCATGTGTCCTGAGCACGGTGAACGGCGTATAGATGCCATCACTCGTCTTCTGAATACAACTATCCAGACGAATACTAAGGCCAGCGCACCGGACATCGCACCCGCCGATGCCATGACTCCTTTTATACCCCTTCCCAGGCACGATCCCGTCCCTATGGCCATGGTGTGCAGGGAACCGTGTGGTAAGCCAGGCAAAGGCTCGTTACACACTCCGCAGAATGAAGCATTTATGTCGGCTCTACGCCATGCCGAGCAGTCTGTTTTCATACAAACTCCAAACTTGAATGCCGAAGATCTTATTCCTGAAATCATCAAAGCATGTCGTCGCGGCGTGCATGTGGAGTATTGGTACTGTCTTGGATACAACGATGCTGGTGAGTTGCTGCCGGGTCAGGATGGTCATAACGAGATGGTTGCACACAGGCTCTACAAGGAGCTCAACGAGCAGTATCACCGATATCTGGACATCTACGCCTATGTGGCTAAGGACCAGATTCATCCGATTCACAACAAGTTCAAGAAGCGGTCATGTCATATCAAGATCATGCTTATAGATGGACACATTGCTATCCAAGGAAATGGAAACCAAGACACGCAGAGCTGGTACCATAGTCAAGAGACTAACATCATGTTTGATAGTGCGTTGATTGTGGGCAGGTGGATGGAAGGGTTGAGGCAGAATGAGAATACACACATTTACGGCAAAGTCGAAAAGGGCGGGCTTGAATCTGGATGCTGGAGGGACCCTCAAACTGGGAAACAGGCCGAAGGAGCCATTGGTGTTGATCCCGGCAAGTTTGCCTGGGCGAGGGGCTTCATTGGCGCGGTACAACGAGTCCGTGGTGTTGGTGGGTTCTAAGAGCAGGTCTACAATGTTATTCCTTTGCGCGAAAATTCCGTACTATCGATGATAATCAAAGATAGGTTTGTATATACGGGACTGTTCGTGGAACTGCGCACCTGTATGTACTGACTTGCCTATCCTGTACTTTGTCAGGGTCGAGTGACTACGTCGCTCAGGGGGCACTTCCACCCTGTGTGTCAGTACGTGTTCCTAAGCGCGGTACTGCGTACGATTTTTCAGCTCTTCTATTTCAGTGTCAAGGTCTCTTATATGTCTAGGTCCACTTGACTGCTCGATTATGTCCTCGAGCCCCGACATCATATCACCGGTTAATGTTTCGTGAGCTGGATTATTATTGAGTCTCCGCAAACATTAACTCGAAAGGCCGTGGGAGCCGAGAGGGGCCGAGATCCCGTAGTGCTCCTCGGGAGAGCCGATTCCCGAGTAGATATAAGTTATTATCTAGACGCCTCTCTACAAGTGCTAGATAAATATTACAATAGAGGCTTTAGATATATCGGCCAAGCGATATTGGCAAAGAAGCTAGAGCAATATAGTCCGACAAAGCATTCGCTCATATTGATTAACCCTAGACTGTCAGTGCAACCTACAAATTAGGAGCAATGAAACCAGTTGTAGCAATGCAGGTTGTCGTGATAGTTGGACTACTATCGTTCTGGACAACCAAGGTAAGCAAGAGAGTCTCTCTAGTATCTATAAAGACTGATCTCTCATGAAGGTCTTGTTGCGTGCCTACTGGACTCCCTTGCGTCGCATTCCGGGTCCATGTTATGCCAAGTTCACCCACCTTTGGTTGAAGAAGAACGTGATGTCTGGCCGAAGAGTGCATTATATCCACGCCATGCACCAGCTGTATGGTCCGGTGGTTCGAATAGCCCCCAATGAGATCGATATAGCCGATCCTGGATTGTTCAAACAGGTGCACAAGATTGGAGGAGGCTTTACCAAAGACGCTTGGTATCAGTCATTCCGCACCGGTACTACCCAGGATGTTTTCTCCATGATTGATGTAAAGGATCACGCTCAGAGGAGGAAGCTCCTTGCACCGTTGTGGACTAACACCGCAATTCACAATAACTGGGAGGCAGCTGTCTCTGAGAAGGTTCGGTTGGCCGTTGCGCAGATCAAGAAGGAAGCCCAATCAACGGGAGTTGTCGACATTTTCAAGTGGTGGACTTTTATGACCACTGACGTGATTTCGTTGCTGGCATTCGGCGAGTCTATGGGCATGCTTGAAAGGGGGACGGTGAGCAAGCTGCGCCTTCATTTCAATTCATCTTTACACACTGATACAGATACAGAAAAACAAGTTCATCGAGGACGTCGAACTCGCGGGTAAGGTTGGAGGATTCTGTGCAGAGATACCCTGGGCTAGAAGCCTAATGGCACTAATTCCTCTCAAGTTTGTGAGGGATTTATTGGACGTAAATGACCGCGTTCAAGCATATGGTGAGGCCGCAATGGAGAGAGCCAAGACCAAATCGGGCAAGGAGAACGTTTTTTCGAGGTTGATAGCCGAAGGCGACAGAAAAGACGGCCTCACTCGATACGAAGTCGCTTTCGAAGCTGCGGGCTTTATTGTTGCGGGATCAGGTACCACTGCAGTCTCGCTGACATACCTCGTATGGGCTGTCCTCAGCCACCCGGATGTCCAGACTCAGCTCGAAGCCGAGGTTGCACGATTACCGCAAGGATTTGATGATAGCCAGCTTGAAGAGCTACCTTATTTAAACGCAGTGATTGACGAGACGTTACGACTTTATGGGGCAGCGCCAGGCAACTTACCACGGAACCCTCCAAAAGGCGGGACAGTTATTGGTGCATACTTCATCCCAGAAGGTACTACCGTGAGCTCGCAGGCATTCACACTGCATAGGGATCCTGTTGTATACCCAGAGCCGGAGAGGTAAATTATCTCTCACCCAAACATCTTGCTTCATGTAAATGCTGAATGCTAACGCATGATCTTAGATTCGAACCAAGCCGGTGGATTGATGAGCAAGGAACGAACATCGCTGCAGTGACCGCATATGCGCCTTTTGGAGCTGGCTCAAGGACATGTATTGGGTTGCATCTAGCAAAGATGGAATTACGACATGGAGCTGCTGAGTTCTTTAAAGAATGTCGAGGAGCCCGGATAGCGCCGACTATGAAACCAGACGATATGGATATGCTCAACTTCTTCCTCATTAGTCCACGAAGTGGACGATGTGAGATTGCTTTGAATGCTCCAATTAGATAGCATGCCGCAAGCACATCAACAGTATCCTGTTGCGCCTGTGCCTTTTCCTCCGGTGGCTAGAAACCCACAGCATTCTCGGGCCCACACTTTCCTTCACGTGCCTCGGTCAATCTTTCTCTGGTGTTTTGTTGCCACAGGTTTGTATGCGATCTACAGTTAGATCGACTTGGGATATAACTCTATAGGGTGATTCACATTCTAGTGAGACACAGCGCCACCAAAATCTATCGATTCCTTTTTGCCATCAATTATCTTCGTCACCATGAGTTCTATCTAAATGCAATAAGAAGGAAGGCTTCAGTGTGCCATTAAAGCAACACAAGATAGTAAAGTTGGCAGTACCAGAAATGCAGCGCGCGCATGCCATGTACCACGCACGGCATTAGCACGGCGACTCTATTCACTGAGGAGCCTTGATTCTGATCGAGGAGGCCATATTGATTTCGCTCCAGGGGATGCTGTAAGCCCCGAAAATTGGTCGACTGTGCAGCGTTGGTATATTGTGGTCGCGTCGTTGATTTTGGTGCTCAACGCGACTTTTGCTTCGTCGAGCCCAACAGGATTTTTTGAGGTGAGGCGTCTCTTGGGCTTCCAATCGTTTCTGTGGCTGCTGAACAGCCCCCAGAGCATCGCAGATAACGTCCACGTATCGCTCGAGGCATCCAAACTCGTCACCATAGTCTCTTCCTGCTGGGGTACTGTTTCTGACCACTCTTCTGGGATCCCCAGGCGAATTTTACGGCCGACAAATCATCTTAGTCATGACCTTTACACTATACTTTGCGTTCAACTTCCTCTGGGCCCTTCACACCGATTTTTGCCGAGTTGCTCGTTGAACGATTCCTCATAGGCTCTTTTGTTATCAGCACTTTTTCAAACTCGCCAGCTGTGAATGCCGACCTTCGAGATGCTTACGACCGCCGAATCAGCCTGGCGCTTGTTGCAGTCATCACTATTGAGGGACCTGCCCTCGGTCCGATCATTTCGGCTTCCTCCGGCTAAAACCCAATTCGGGATTGAGATTTTGCGTCGTTCTGTAGCTAGCGAGAGGATCAGTTCCGTTTTTGCTGTTGCTGCCTGGGACACATCTTCCGACCATCCTTCTGGCCAAAGCACGTCGAGCAAGACGCAATAAGATCTCGGGGTATAAAAATGCCATGACAGCAGAGGAGGCCCGTGGTCGTACGCTTGGGGCAATCGTGCCAGTGGCCCTCACAAGACCTTGGGTTATCTTCTTCGAGCCCATATCTTTACTCTTCGCTGTTTGCGTGACGGTGGCTTACATACTACTGTATATGTCATTAGTGGTCTTCCCTGTGTTCTTCCAACAAAAGCAAGACTGGAACAACAGATTATGCGAGCTTCCTCTCCTAAGTATCATGGCCGGTAGCTCTCTGGGGTTTATTGCCATCTCTTGTCAATCGATATAGGAGAGAAAGGAGACTCTCAAAGGCTGGCAACATGTTCCTGAAAACAGCCTGACCGTCACTATCGCTGTTGGCATTTTGCTACCAATTTGCGTGTTCCGGTTTGCTTGATGCGGCAAATACAAATACAACCAATTCCCTAGGGTCGTGGTTACCCTCACGTCGATGTTTCTGGTGTCAGGAGATAATTAACCTCGCTCAGAAGCCTCCGGGAGTTCACCAGCTGTTTTTGACTACCTCCCACTCCCTGGCGAGCCAACGTGGAGCTTGCTTGTACCAAAAGAATTTAAGCCCCATCTTTGTGAAGTCTTGTTCCTCCCAGTACCTAATCTCTGGGAATTTTTCCGCCATCTGGATAAACAGTCGCGACCCTATCGTTGTGAGACTGGCCTTCAGTGTCGTGCTCACGCTCCATGCGTCGACCGCGACCAGCCATACCCACAATAAAGTATCTCTCTCTACACCTGATGGAGGCGGGGCTACCTGCGGAAGAACCTCGGAAAGAGTCCACGCGGCTTGCTCGTATGGACAAACGAAGTGCCTGACTCTCGTGTGTGCATTCACCCTGTATCTAAGCAAGGCAAGGCTTACGAGCTTGGCCAAGAGACTTGCCTTCTGTGGGACGAACAAGTCAGGAGCTTTGTTCAGTAAGCGTTCTGTAGCCTGTTGCCGCCGCTTCTCGTTCGGTAACAAGCGTTCTTCTTGTGCCACTTTGAGGACGACGTCCATCGAGGTCTTACACATTGAGCCATGTAAGAACATGTCTCGGAACGAGACTGGTTGTGAGCGCCAGCCGTCACTGGTGCTACATTCATATAGCTGTGGACGTATCACCATAGGCTCTATCGACGAGCTGGGGATAGAAACATTTTCAGTAGTAGCGCTAGACAGCTGCTGGAATGTCACAAGGATATCCCGCAAACCGAGTTCCGAGGTGATGTTTTGGGGACCTCCGCGCGCCGTTACCATTTGGCCAAGCTGTCGCCAATGAATAGTGGCAGCATAATCATCACCGACCCCTTTATCAAAGATCTAGAATTGTTAGCACCAATTAATATTGTCAGTTGGGATAGCGCACGCCAAGGAACAAAATGGTTAGAATAGCACAATCGTCTGCCACGGCATTTGGTTGCTGCAGGTGGAGTCGCAGCTTCCGGATAGCCTGGCCACGATGGTACAATATGCCTGGAGAGAGCACCTTGAAACCATTCGGACTAGAGTCTGTGACAACCATAGTATGAGTGGCTGCGAGAACGCAAGTAACGGCATGAGTAACCTCGGCTGAGTAAGCCATTGCCACGACGAGCTTGCGCCACCAGTTGCTGGTTCCATATGCTGAGCTGATAGCGTCTCCTGACGGGAAAAGATAGCTGGTTACTGAGAGAGCAGTATTAGAAGATTTATCCGGCTCATCCTGGCAGGACTCACAGTATTCAAAAGCCACCGCTTGTACACCGTCGTTTGTCCCGGGCACACACTCAAAGGGATCATTGCGGAACCCTCGACTGAGCTGCCACGGATCGTAAAAATCAATCGCGCCGCCATTGAGCAACAATAGCTCCATGTTCCATGTATCTCGAGCTGGGACATTTTGATTCTTAGACAGTTCGAGTCTCTGACGTGGAGTCTTAATGTGCTCTCGGCGTTGGCGTCGATGGTGGGACATGGCTGCGGCATGTGCTCTGGCGTGCGAGTCTAGGAGTTCCTTGTCGCGCGTGGAGCATCGTGGATCCTGGAGAATGAATTTGAATCTGTTCATATCGTGGTGGTTCCTATCGCTATTGCAGAGGTAGTGATTCCAGGTGAGGAATTTGCACCCTGTAAGAGCTTTGAAAAAGGTACCCTCAGATCTGAAAAGCGTAAAGAATAACAGTGGAGTTTTTCCGATTTCTAACTTCTCGTGCCTGACTAAATTTCTCGGCTATGTAATCAGAAACCGATCATGTGACCGTGTCCGACCTTTTTAGGCAGTTGTTACAGCTAGCTTTACCGACCTCGGATAATGGAGGCATGTGAACACTATTGATCATTAGTCGGTAGATTAGTGGGAACTACTAATCTTAATACTTTCCTTTAAGTGAGCCTCAGCTGATCGTTACACACCGGATATACTATGCATCCAACGAATTGATTAATCTCAGCAACAGCGGTCAAATGCAGTTCTCGCTACTATATGGAGGAGAGCTAAAGGTTTTGTCGGGTTCGCTGATCACCACGTCTCTGAAACGGGTGTCCAGTCCCTTTGATGGACTGGGGATGCCGCGTCCAATCTCCATCATCGATCCGAAACGCAGTCCCGTGAATGTCCTCAGCAACTCAAAGGGCTACACAGGCCGCTGCATTCGTCCCGTAAAAAGGGGTGGGCAGGCAGGCTATGACCACATTGTGCTCATGACATCTGCCTCGAAGTGCCTCACAGGAGTATTTGAAAAGTAATATACAACAGCACCGAAAGTGAACGACGATACTAGGAGGATTGATAATTGATAGTCAAATGAAAAGCCGGTCATTCTATATATCTATTATCTTCAGTTGTGAAGTGGGCCCCATTAGCGTTTGTGGAAAGTCCCAGCCGTTTTTTCTGACTATATACACCTCTAGAAACAGTGGTCTTGACACATCAAAGCTCGATATTTATAAACAAAATGGGTAGTGGTGATAGCACAACGCATTTCCAGCGTCCAGAGATATCCATAATAGTAATGACGGTACTGAGTGTGGCAGCCGCGATGTCCCTTAAAGGACCATGGATATATTTCATCACAAAGAGTATTCCACTTTGCTGGAATATCGATTACATACTGAAACTTATCTTGCTCAAACAGGATCTGCTTTGTCGCGATTAGCTGGATCAGCGCACCTCCTTTCTGCGGAGCGGCTTCGCTCAGGCGGCTGCGCTGGGCAGCAAGAGAATTTAGCTCTTCACCCGAAAAGATGCCGTCGCAACAATCCGCCCCTGCTTGACCTAGGAAGAGCACGTTTTGTCCCTCTCCAACCCGAAACAGATGGAATTCGAGGTTGACAGACTAACACATGCTACTATAGTATTTTGCCATGAAGACATGCTCAGAGAGTGCCATCACAGCAAAATCGTCGACCCAACCTCCCGTTTTTTACAAGAGGGCGATTTCAATCAGTATGATACCTGAAGATCCTCTACCCTACGCTTTAATAGCCCAGCAAGGATCGCTTGAATGCCGACTACAAACCCTAACCCGACAGTTATCGTGGACATTTTCCGTGGATGTACCCACCCTATATTACCTTCATGCGCACTTGCGATTAATAACACAAAGTCCCAGCAGCCATGAAGTAGTACCACCACCCCCAGAATTTGGAGCCGTGTTGTCGGTATATCTCGTACATCCCTTGCCAGCACATTGACGACGACAAGCGCTGCACTTATAACATGTCCAGGAAGTCCAATAATCGTTCTTTCGAGTATCGTGATGCCAAGTTTGAAAAGACTTCCACTGTTCTTGTATGAGCTGTACACAAAAGCAATGTTCTCAGTAGTTGCAAAGCCAAGAGCAGCTGCGGTTGGGACAATTAGATAACCTCGGTCGTGGGCAATGGTGCCGTATTTGGAAGCGCACATCAGTGCCAGATATTTGAAGCCCTCTTCGGGCACGCTGGCCATTCCGAAGGCGAAGATGACCAGGAAGACTCTGTAGGACCATCGCCTGGACATTTCCCGCCGGTTCGCACGATGAGCTGGGTCTTTGATCTCGTCTTCCGCCATAGCGAATTCCTTAATGTATTCCTTTGCATCATTGCGGAAAATGATCAGTGCAAGGAGATATGAGAGGACTCCTTGAATGGTCATGGCTACAGCTATGCAAATTGTGCCAGTGATGATGTAGGTCCAGATGAGAGTGCCGGTGTCTGTGCTATCATCTGTCTTCTGGCTTTCCCACCTCCAGAGAAGTGCACTGGGCAAAATGAGGATGCACAGTATGACTGGAAAGATGAGAGGATCTGTCAAGGACCTGGTTGACCCTATGGTGATGGAGGAATGGTGTTGTCGCTGATTAGTCTGTTGGTTTGGACGTAAGCGTGCTTTAAAAGTTAGAATACTTTCTCATAGGCTGACAATAACCCTCTCGAAACGGAAAAGCAAACTGTTCGTGTTAGATCTAGTTTCGAGGGCGAACAGGAATATATATCAAGCAAACGTGCTCTCGATCCGACACGGATCCACTTGAGTACAAGAGTGCAGAACCTCCCTCCTCAACCCGAGTTCGTGATCGTGATCGTATTCGTAAATGGATCCGCCCATGATGTGATAGTGTCCGCGTTAAGCCTGAGAGCCCATTCATCTGAAACAAAGGAGACGTGAGAGATCAGCTTGCTTATTTTATGCATTTGACCGATCAGAAAGCGCCCCTCAACCTATACTGTCGAACTCGTTCTTGGGCAAGTGTAACCAAGCCTTTCGTTTCGTCGTCCGTAATATCGGCCAATTTGCTTCTCACCAGCTCGTCTACAAGAAGGCCTCCATAACTCCGAGCCCACCAAACTTGATGACCAAATTTCTGACAGAGAACACCCCAGTACATTAACAACAGAAGTGCAGTAGTATCCTCAGCTATGACGGCTTTGATAAATTCGTCTCCAGCCATGTTAAGCCACCCCAAGGTATACCCGCTGTGGCTTTCATCTGCACATTTGGCAAAACACTCTCGAAGCATTGACAGAGCGTTCTTACAGGTTTCCCATAAAGATATCTGACTAACACGGTGCTCGTATAACTCATTAACAGTTGATGTAATCCTAGCCTCGTTACAGTCCCCAATTTTCGACAAGGTACTTTCAATTTCTGGATCAACCGCTGTTGATGGCAGCTCCTTAAAAGGCTTGAGTCGGTTTATGCATGGCGAGTTTGTGACATATTCAGGCTTTCGCTCAACAATAGCCGAAACGCCTTGTAGAAGCGCAAAGTGCGTGACCGTGCTTTCCAGAATGCCATTTCCAGAAAAGTATGTCGTGCTATCTGTATTGGGCAGGCAACTAGAGGCGTTGTTCAGTCGGGCTTGAGATGAAGCCAGCGTGAGAACCATAAACATGAGTGAGAATGCAAGCATTGGCTCGATGGTTTCGGGAAGGGGATTGTCTAAGTGGCGCCTGAAAGCGCTAATCGAGCTTGTCTGGTATTCTAGCGCAGCGTAGATATAGTTGCCATCGTTGTATGTTGCGGCAATCTCGAATGCAGTCACAGCGAAAATTCCGTCAAGTAGAAAGTCAAAGTGCAGAGCCATGGCGGGTACTTTTGTGTGCCAGAAATAATCGTCCTCGGCGACTGGGGTGCACATGCTCTTGTAGGTATTGGTGGAATATCTGTTCATGAGGTGAAGTTCAAGGAACCGCTTGTCAAGATCAGTCGGAAATGCTGGTGGCTCTTCCTCAGAAGGGCGAGAATCATGTCTGGTTAAGCTGCTTGGTACCTGTCCATCTACCACAGGAAGAGTGAGTTGCTTCGATTTTGTTTTAGTATCGCGTGAAACAGAAGATCGAACAGTTGCGGGATCGATAGCATATACGCATGTGGTCCCTCGGGTTCGACATGGATTATAAGGTGGGCCATCTTCTGTACACCGAACATGCCGTTGTTTACAGGTCACACAACCTGCACGTGACTTCGTGTGTGAGCGTCGTGGAGCCATTGCAAAAGAACGAAACTTTGCTCGCAGGAATGAGCGATTCTGGTCGCGGCTTCACGACCGCTAAGAAATTGAATGTCAATGACGGAGCTACTGCAGTTCGTTCTCTATGCAGGATCTAATTGTTGATTGAAGAAGGAGGAAAACATTCGGAAGGAAAGGAAAGGTCATAAATTGTTGTTGACGAGTACGAACACGAACACGAACAAGTACAAGATTAACTTTGTCCCCACTAATGCCGAACTTAAATTTCCGGCTAAGGCCGTGTAAAGGGCGGATCATGATTAACGAGTACGAACACGTACACGAATACGAATACGTATACGAAAATCCTGCAAAAATCCACTTTTATTGAGACTGAACTTGATTTTCCGGCTAAGGCCGTGTAAGGGGAGACACAGAAAGATCTTTTTCGTCAACTTTCGACCATTGTCATCTGCATGGATATATAAACCTTACTTATAGTTGATGAGTGGTGAAAATGTCGAATCTCAGTGTGGACACAGTAAGGCGTCGAAATATCCACTTATATCAGGTTCTCGCCTCCATGATAATGCCAGAGGTTGTTTTATACAACGCTTAGTTCTAGGCGATGTTTGGGGGCTAAACAGGATATATTGACGAGTCTGACCTCCCTCTCTTGGAGAGAGATCTCTATCTATTATATGGGCAAAAGATTACTGACGATGTTCCTCCACCGAGACAAGGAAAGCGATAGACGAAAAGCCGAAGAGTTGCTAAACGGTATCATCGTTTCACCAACAAGAACGATCATCTTTATCTTGGTCCAGAGAAATCACGGCCTATTCGACACAAATAAAGTCATCGGCTCAGGCCCTTTAACTGCCTGCGATATTATCGGTAGGCAGCAAAAATCAGCTCGTCAGATGGATGTGCGTGACACCTAATAGGTAGATTTCGTAGGTGGCGTGCAATATCATGTCCAGATACGATGCGTCCATGAGACCCAAGCTTCTTCATTATCGGCTTGAGTAATGCGCCGTTGCGAGATAGCTGGTGTCTTTGATTATCGCCGCGGACGAGACATATACAGTAAGGTAGAGAAGGAGCAATTGAATCATCGGTATGCCTACCAGGATGCTGATGGCCTATTCCCAGTAGATTGTCAACTTTTGCGCTTACTGCAGACCGATACCAGCCACTGTGATTCTCCTCCCATAAAGATCAAACGACCTCAGCGCTAAGAGAGTAAAAGTACAAATCACAGCAACATCTTTCTCTGGAAACAATTCATCTTGCGCCTCACCAACCAAATGGAAATTATCAAACGATGGTAAACATTGACAATACGCTTTATGGTCACCCTTTGCGGGAATGCTCGAAAATCTCCTAGAATCTCTAGCTACTTTACTTCATATCTGACATCTTTGGTCGGTTCAATAATGGCACCATAATTTGTTTCCAAGTCTCCACATTGAGGTAGTATAATATCCGAGTCAAAGAGCAACACAGCAAGCATGACTTTGAGCTGTAGCAACACGAAACCAGAGCATGGGCAGCCTCTCGGACCTGTCAGGAATGGAAGATACTGACAGTGATTCTCCATGGCGTTCCTGCGTTGGCCAAGCCATCTGTCCGGACAAAACTGACTGGCGTCTGAACCCCAGACTTGCGTATCATAATGTAGCAAACGGATAGATGACAAAATCTGAGTCCCTTGAGGTAGAACGACGGGCTCGCCGGTTTTTGTTTGAATGACGATCGGTTTCGTCACTATTCGAGCCGTCGTGGACACAGGAGGGTGGAGGCGAAGTAGCTCGGTGACAACCGCATCCATGAAAGGGATTGTGCAGATGTCGTCATATGTGAGATTCGATGAGCTACTCGCCTTGCCATGGAGCTCTTTTCTGAGCCTTTTCACAAGCTCCGGATGCTGGCTTAGTTGGTAAATTGCCCAAAACAAGATCAATTCGGATCCTTCAAGCCCAAAAGTGTAGACTTGACGCGCCTGGGACAGCACATCGTCTGTAAATGGGTTCTCTTTTGTTCCACCAGACTCCTGAGAAATCTTTTGTAGGAAGCTACGTCGGCTTTCTCCAAGTTTCTTTTCGGAAGGGCTCTCAAAGTGTTTCACCAAGAATTCTTTGATCACATCGTCGATATCGTGTCGAAGTTTGCTTTCGATTGCGTCTGGCTCTCGAAAGGGCTTGGCGCGGAGACAGTTTCTCAGAGCATGCCAATATAGGTGAGTGGCATTACCAACAATATTGAGAAAACGCGGAAGAGGACTGAGGAGTTGGTCGGACGACGATGATGCATCATCTACTCCGATTGCCACATACCACACTGTATCGAGTGCATACTCTCTCAATACTTTTCGAAGGTCGGGACCGGTCATGCCATCGAGCATTCTCAGAACGTACCGTTGAGCAATGTCGAAGATGCCCTCGTACGACTCCCTTAGCGATGCATGGTTATAAAAGTCGATCAGCAAGCTCCTTCTCCAACGTCGCCAATCATCACCATCTGCTGTAATGGCGATATCACCCGCAACCCGGTGCAAGATTCCGAAAGGGCCGTTGCGCTGAGGCCCAACGCGAGTAATGCTGTCGGCATTGGTGACGAATATCTGGTGAAATATAGAAGGATCTCGAACATAAATTAGAGGGAAGGTGCCGACCCATGATCCAGACACCCCCGCGTCTTCAGCGGCATTAAAGAATTTGGTCATGATGGTCGTGAAGATCTTGCCCTTAAACATGGTGGGCAGAATGCCTACGATTGGATAGCCCCATACCTGAGGTACGTTAGGAAGAGACGGCCAAAGTAGATTTGTTATCCAAGCCCATATCTTAGACCAGATATGTGCGAAAACCGGCTGCCACGGCAGGTTGGACTGAAACGTCATGGTGAAATTGGGAGATAAATTGAAGGCTTCAATCCAGTTCCATACAGTCATGTTTCAGTTACCTCATTGAGACTTATATGTTCGGTCATTAGGGGTCCCTGCACAAGAGCGACTATTTTGGCAATGAACAGCCCTGTTGTATATTTGGAATCAAAGTCGTGAATCTCGACTAAGCGTACATAGGCCATGCAAGTAAGATGAAGGCCTCAACTGAACATGCATAAAACTCTTAACCAAGCAAGGCTACTGCTTATATTGTGGATCTGAACAGACCTGCCCAAGTACGTAAATAATGCACGACTTGGAGTCCTGGCAGTACGATTGTTAAACGACTTGTCTGGAGACTACCCTTAGCTCATAACTGTGTTTAAAGCGGAATAAAGGGACTTGTTCAGTGGACAACACTCTTGGGCTAGTGGCAGGGCTGTTTGAGTAATTTGCGCTACGATAGGTAATGTCGTCGTCAGAAAGCGATTGATTGTTGAACGCAGTAAGCGAATAGTCTTATTCTCACTAAGATAACCTGTACTTCGACACCGCCACTGCATGTCAATTGCATCTATATAATGATCTGGCGTGAGTTGTGTAAGTTCACATCTTAGAACTGAACCGCCATCAGCCCCTCCACGTTGTAGGTCAGGATGCTATTATATCTCGCCATCATCTTCATTTTCACGGCCGCTGTCGGCCTTTATGTCGTCTACAGATTGCTACTGCCCAAGCCTCTATCCGGTATTCCCTATAATACTGAGTCTGCAAAGCGCCTTCTGGGTGATATACCTGGGTTGATGTCAGAGATGTCAGGGAGAGGAGATTTCGTGGCCTGGCTAATCGAAGAAAACCTCAAATCTGGTTCAATGATTAACCAGATCTTTCTCCGTCCATTTTCGAAGCCATTCGTTGTTTTGGCAGATCATCGAGAGGCTCGAGACATACAGATGAACCGTACTAAAGAGTTTGACCGGACCGACGACATTCTCTATATTTTCGGTCCATTGATGAGGTCGAATCAGCTGGTACTTAAGACCGGCCCAGAGTGGAAGCTTCACCGGCGACTCGTACAGGATACGATGTCGCCAGCCTTTCTGCATCGTGTGGTCGCTCCGAGTATGTACGCCAGCAGTCTCCGCTTCATCGAACGCTGGAAAGCCAAAGCGGCCGTCGCAAATGGTCGTCCATTTGAAGCCAGAGAGGATATTTCCCTAGCCACACTTGACGCTGCCTTCGCATTCACTTTCGGGCCTGACTTTCCTCACCAAGCCACGAAACCTGAAATTGAAGGACTGGACTACTCTTGCATTGAGTATTGCCAGTCTCCCGACGAGCCGATAAAGTTCGCTTCACCCAGTCAGGAGCAGGAGGTGCATTCCATACTAAAGCTGGTAGAAAAAGTGGGAACAGTTCAATCAAGCCCGTCACCATGGTTGAAATGGAAGCTTATCGCAAACAGTCTCTCATTCAGGAGGTGTCAAAGTACAAAAGACGCCTGCATCCGGCGTGAAATTGAGAAAGCTATGGAGCGCCGAATACACAAACCATCGTCGACAGATGACTCATGGATCAAGAATACAGTTGAACTTGTTATTAACAGAGAAGAAAACCTGGCCAGAAATGATGGTAGGGAGCCGGACTTCTTCTCCCCAATGATCCTGGATGAGGTAAGTAGCTGCACAAATTAGTCCCAACTGTCACTCACTGACCCTCCAGCTCTATGGCTTTCTCGTCGCAGGCCACGATACCACAAGCACAACACTGGATTGGGGCGTAAAGCTCCTGGCAGATCACCCGGCCGCGCAATCGCGTCTTCGAGGCTCGCTACAAGCCACGTTTGCAAGTGCCCTGAGAGATGACCGCTTGCCCACCATTCACGAGATAATAGAGACATCAGTCCCTTACCTGGACGCCGTTATTGAGGAAATACTCCGGGTCGGGCGAACTGTCCCCATTGGGTCTCGCCAGGCAACGCAGGACACCGTGCTCCTGGGCTATGCTATTCCAAAGGACACGACGGTATTGTACCTCAATCATGGCCGCAGCTATTTCCTCCCAGCCGGCGAAATCGATGAGAGTCGCCGCAGTCCACAGTCACAAGAGGAAAAGCGAAATGGCAACGCTCCGTCGTGGGATGCAAGTGACGCGTCTCTTTTCCGGCCAGAGCGCTGGTTGAAGAAGACCTCTAGCAGCAGTTCTGGGAAGCCACAGAAGGACGATGATTTCGTCTTTAATAGTCAGGCCGGGCCAATCAACACTTTCGGACTGGGGCTTCGCGGTTGCTTTGGCCGGAGATTGGCCTATGTTGAGCTCAGAATCATGCTAGTCATGATGATCTGGAATCTAGAATTACTTAGGTGTCCGGCTGAGCTTTCCGGCTATGCTTCGAAACTTGTGCACACGGGCAAGCCGCAGCAGTGTTTTGTGCGGCTCAACGCCGTCAAAAACGGAGAGCTATAGATGATCCTTGCCAAGCGTATATACGCCGTATAGGCACTTTCAGGTTGGTTTTGGTTAGCGTATCCCACAGCATTGCGTTGGCTGTGGCGCGCTGCTCAGAGAATTAAGGCTGGACGCCTTGGGGAGACTTACGTATCTATACGAGGTGGGCCATAGCGAAACTCTAGGAGGCAGACACAACACCTAAACTTTGCCCCCAGGAACAGCCGTCATCTGACATGTGTGACTGGAGTTAACAAATCTACTGTACCACCAAAAATACACTTAGGTACCGTGACTAGCTTAACAGGATGTATCGCGGCAGCGGTTATGCGGCCGGTCTGTAGGACACTAGATACATACATGGTCGCATGTAGCAGCTATAGGCCTAAGGGATGACTGAGTCTAATTCTTCTGTATTTTCTTTTTCTCGAGTAGAGACACATTTAATTGTGCTAGCCATCCCCCCCTTTGGCCCCCGACTCGACCGCCTCGCCTCCGTGTCTCTGGAAGGAACCCTAGTCTGATATTGCGAACTAATAGAGAGATTTGCTAAATTCTTCACTGAAACATAGACGGTCACCTGTTAGGAGAGAGCCTATTCAAGGTGTATTATCGGCTCACGTCAGACCGACCGACCAAAATCTTGCATACTCAGTTTCTAGATTCGGACACACCACTCAGTTCCCGAAAGGTTAACTGCCTAGTATTCACTTCGCTGTGTTGGTCATAATAGAAACTTTACATATGTAACTATTTCCGAGGCAGAAAATTTGGTTAAAGTAGCAAGACCTTTATTGCACGAGGGTTCGAGAGAGGGAGATAGAGACGGATTTATTGAGTTTAGAAAGTCGAACAGTACCTTAACATGAGAGAGAGCTAGACCAACCACCTCCCCTCATGCCTCTGTGCTTAACTAGGGCGCTGAGCAAGCCTCTATCACCTCCTTGGCTGTACCAACTTGTATCCTGCAACAGCTTTTGCGAAAGAGGCGGAGTACTAGCCTTCGAGGTCAGTAAATTTTGTTAAAAGTCAAGGCTAGTCAATCATCGTTAGCGTGTCTCTATTTTCTCACTGACGCTGTTCCAAGAAGCTGACTATTCAGTAGCACCCCAATGGACCCGAAGCATTGTCGAAGAGAGACCATAGAGGGCAAATGGAGAAATTATCCAGAGCTAGAATCACGATAACCTTAATCAGAGGTCTTAACGAGGCTAACTAGGACGATGTCAGAAATTTCGCGCGTAAGCAACGTTTCCTGATAAGGTTTGTTCATTCTACCTGCTTTTCTTCCTCTTTACCGTTCGTGAGAGCGTATTTGACGCTTTTATTACAATCCCGGGGTGTTCTTATTCTCCATTCGCTAACATTGAAGTTATTTAACATGTTCAAGCCGATCCAAAGTACTACTGTTTACGGCGACGCAGACTGGGTAGCATATCTCCTGGGTCGGCCAGAATATCCTTCAAGCCTTTACAACATCATCCGAGCACACCACGCCAAGCATGGGAATGGTAAATGGAATAGAATTGTTGACATTGGCAGTGGGATCGGCGTTGCTCTTACAGGTTTCGCGGAAGATTTCGAAGTACTACACGTTTCAGATCCCAGTGCCTCCAATTTACACAAGGCATGCCGCTTTCTAACTACGTGGATGCAATGCCATGGAGCTAAAGCAACGTTGGAATTTTCCCAATCAGAAGGGGAATTCGCCGACCAACTAGTGGGTTACAGCAGCTCGGACATGGTGATTTGCGCAGTTGCCGCGCACTTCATGGATCCTGATGGACTGGTGCAATCAGCCTCGAATATGCTACGACCAGGTGGCACCTTGGCAATATTCACCTATATGCACCCCTCATTCCCGAACCAATCCCGAGCATTTACAGAGGCGTACCTCGACTCGCTTATGAGTTCAATCATCTCGAGCAGTCGCGACAATTCGAAGGCCAGCAGCGTGCTGTGGCAGGCAATGTCAAGAATGTATTGTGGCGGGGGTGGACAAGACAACGTCCCGCTGCCAGCAAAACTCTTGACCAAACGCCACCGATATCATATCAACGCGAGCCAGGGGGAGATGACCTGCCAAGGCAAAGCGTTGAAGTACCTTCCGGCGGGAGTCGACCTGCCACCGGTCAGGATATCGCCTTCCGAAAAGATCATTGCTTTGGAAAGCGGCGAGGACGCCGGCGGAGATGGCTGGACCTTCGAGATGAACAAGAAGTCTCTCTTTGATTTTATTGCAACGGTAGGGAAGCCAATCGGTGAAGAAGACAACGAAGAGGTATTGGCCAGCTATGCGACGTTCGGTAAGATTTTTGACGAGGAGTGTCCATCTGGGTTCACCCTCGCTCGGTGGCCATGCAAAATTGCAATTGGCACCCGGAAGTGATAGAGAAAAGGCATGACTTCGTTATTGTGCATAAGCATAATGTAACTGAAGCTAGTCAAGAACCTCTTCATTTTGTACACGTGTCCCGGTACGACACACTTCGTTTCCGGAGCCGATCCCTCGCCGAAACGGGGCTCCTCAGTGAGCCTACAGCTAACGACCGTTGAACCTGTTGTTGAATCGGTTGTTGAATCGGTTGTTGAATACACTGCTGACATGCTAGCCGAATACGCTGTTGAATACGCTGCTGATCTGCTAGCCGAATACGCTGTTGAATACGCTGCTGATCTGCTAGCCGAATACGCTGTTGAATACGCTGTTGAATACGCTGTTGAATACGCTGTTGAATACGCTGTTGAATACGCTGTTGAATACGCTGTTGAATACGCTGTTGAATAC